TCCAGCTCTTTGCTCCGGCTCATCTCCGACTCATCTTCGACTCACCTCCATCTTATCTGCATCTTATCTCCCGCTCGTGTCCGACTCACCTCTGTCTACCCAACTGCCACACTGGACAAACGCCACCATTTCATTATGCTCGTATACTGCAGATGTTAGTCATTACGTCAAAGCTTGTCGCCACGCTGCTGGTTGTGCCTCATGCCACCATCGAACACTCTCGATACGTCGCACAAAAGACCGGCACGCTCACCTTCTCCGTCAAAGCATGGTGACATGTCAAAGACTCTTCATTGTGTCTTTCACTGCGACTTGATAGTACAGGCTGATAAACGCACGATGCGCTTGATACCATCTTCACCAGCCATCCGGTTTTGTGTCTTGAGTTTGACGTGAATGTAGTACAGCCTTTAGCAGCCGACAAGCGCTCCTGATAGGGTACGTCCGATCGGTAGAAGAAGCTGCATCGGTCTGCGTCAATAGGATGAGTATGCAATAAGCATGCGTTTATACTCATAGCAGATGTGTAGTAGAAGGTAAAGTGTATCCATTGCGTCTAAGACAGTAGCTTACGTGTCAGGTGTATTCGTTGATGAAGCGTTTTGCTAAGGTGGTGGCTAGTTGAGCAAATACGATTTTCGGATTGTGTAAAAGTGGTGGGTTGATAAGTCGTTCTACCGGGCGCATAGCGCAGTGGTAGCGCGTCCGCTTTGCAAGCGGAAGGCCCCGGGTTCAATCCCCGGTGTGTCCAGCTCTTTTCTCCGACTCATCTCCGACTCACCTCCATCTTATCTGCATCTTATCTCCCGCTCGTGTCCGACTCACCTCTGTCTACCCAACTGCCACACTGGACAAACGCCACCATTTCATTATGCTCGTATACTGCAGATGTTAGTCATTACGTCAAAGCTTGTCGCCACGCTGCTGGTTGTGCCTCATGCCACCATCGAACACTCTCGATACGTCGCACAAAAGACCGGCACGCTCACCTTCTCCGTCAAAGCATGGTGACATGTCAAAGACTCTTCATTGTGTCTTTCACTGCGACTTGATAGTACAGGCTGATAAACGCACGATGCGCTTGAAACCATCTTCACCAGCCATCCGGTTTTGTGTCTTGAGTTTGACGTGAATGTAGTACAGCCTTTAGCAGCCGACAAGCGCTCCTGATAGGGTACGTCCGATCGGTAGAAGAAGCTGCATCGGTCTGCGTCAATAGGATGAGTATGCAATAAGCATGCGTTTATACTCATAGCAGATGTGTAGTAGAAGGTAAAGTGTATCCATAGCATTGCGTATGTGACGGTATCTTACGTATAGAGGTTACAAAAATGTAGCCGAAGAGAAGATCCAGGTTAATCAAGGCAGATTTTAGCGGTAGTGTTACGATCGCGTGAAGAATTTCCGTGTGACCCTTCGTTAATCCAGATCCCATAACGAATAAGATTGTAGAAAGTCCACTAAGTAGAGTGCAACCCGCCCATTCGACAGGCACACAACGTGAAGAAGACCAGCATACGGTATTGAAATTTCTCCTTCGTCAATCGACAGATCGGGCGCCAGTGGGAGTTCGAAATTACATAGAGGTTTTTGTGATCATCGCTCCACCACAAGTCCCCACGAAAGCATGGATGAAGACGTGGATTTTTTCACAAGGTAACCACGTAGGAGGTTCTCTGGATAAAACATCTCCATATTCTTTCGACAAAGGAAAATAAGGATCCGAAGGGTCATTCAGAATCTTTGACCCACTACGCGCATTCATCGCCTTCTTGGTATCCTCAAGAACTGCTTTATCCAAAAGCTTTGAGGAGTTCAACTCCTCCTCAGGTCGTATAACGACCACTTCGGCGATGTCGCCTGCCTGTACGGCAATGCCAAACTCGGCAAAAGACAACTTGTCTAAATCTAACCGAGCAATTATTGCGGGTATAGCTGAAAGAGCGACCGGCTCTTCAACATCCTCTGTCAAACCATTGAGGAGTGTATATAGCTGCTCGCTATCACCGTCACTCACGATATTGTCATCGCTACTCATGATGTTCTCAGTATCCAACTTATCGGGTGTACACATCTCAAGGTCGAAGACCACTTCGAAATCTGACTGCACCCCACCCTCTTGGTTCAATGCCTCGTCATGAGGTGCTCGCACCTCGTTGTCCTCAAAGGCAACCGTAACTTTGACTTCACCCGGCCCTCTTGGGCCAGTAACTCGTCACTAGGTGCTTTCACCTCGTTATCCTCAAAGATAACATCCATTGATTACTTCACCCGGCCCTCCAGGGTCAGTTCCTCGTCACCCAAGTCATTTGGACTCATGTCCTACATCTTGCCACCAACACCACTCACGGTGTTTAATGTGTAACATCCTTCTCATGACACATGTCATATGTGCCAACTAGTGGATTCTCAACCACATTATTGACAGTCTTGGGCCTCGCCCAGGACTATTGTCCTTGACACTTACAGTGTCTACAAAGTCGGATATTCCGACATCCAACATATTGACCGACTCGTTCCAATATCCGCGCCAAAAGCGCTTTTGCTTTCTAGCGGAGGTGGGTTCATGACTCTCCAGAGCCCCACCAGGAGCGTTGCGCGATGCGCCTAAGGTCTTCGGCCTCCAATCAATCTATGGCGTATAACGTTCTAGCCATGCCATGCCTACGATGAGGTCTTACCTCGCATCCAGGTCAAAGACCAAACATCGTTCCATGCTGTTAGAGTCCACCGTAACACGCGTACCAGTCGCTAAGCGAACTGTATGCGTCGCTTTCACGCGCTCTAAGCTCTTCAGCATACTGCTGACTACCTTTCACGGTGGCACGGCGCACATAATTGTCCGATGCCCTCGAATCGATCAAAATGATCCATGGCTTATCATAGCCCTTAATCGTCCCTTCGACGGCTAGCAAGCCTGGCTTGCATTCTCGTTGCGTTTTGGAGAGTTCGCATCTCTTTGGGGCTGGGCCCTGTTAATTCTACCTCCTAGAGGCTCAACATGACTCAGTTCTTTCCCAGTAGGGTCCCTCGCGCCTACAGGGTCCCGCCGTTTCCCCGCGGCAAACCAGAAGGTTTACCCATGGCGCGTCGGCCCTTCGAGGTCAAATATGCCTTTCTTGCAGGGCATTTTGCCATCAAATGGCCTGTGCTCTAGCAGATATAACATCACGCACAATTTGCTGCCTTGCAGCTTGAAGGTCAGCTTCTTCATCCTCCACTTGACTACAGTCCATGGAGACATACCCATCAGACGAGTAGTTATAAGTGGCAGGCCTTGCGGCCTTAAAGTTGGTTTCGGCATTCAAGACCACCCCAACAGCTTCCTCGAATGAGGACGGCTTTTCCCGGAAGACTTCCGTTCTGGCAACGCCAACTCGGAGGCCCTCCATGAAGACCGTGACAGTCACTGTCTCAGACATAGGGTCGATGACCATGACAGCAATGAAAGCTCTCAACTCTTGTACATATGCCGCAAGCTCACGCTTTCCTTGGCGACACGTCAAAAACCGCGACCGATTACGGTGTGCTTGGTTTGGCGGTGCATACTGCCGGGTCATCTGAACGCTCGGATCGGCCCATGTTGGGAATAGCATCTTGCAGTGATGCACCACATGTGAATGCCCACTGTTTGGCTAAACCACCTAACTTGCCCGTGGCAAAGCCCACACGGTACGGTTCATAGGTGATGTCGTCGATAAACATAGCCGACTCAACCTGTCGGAACCAAAGCATAAGGTTATCACCTTATTTGTAGTTGACCTTACCGACTTCCATATATATGGGTTTTGGTCTGCGGACCACTTCTTGCGCCATAGTCGCCATGGGCAAAGGCGCAGAAGAAGGCATATGTGCCTTTACATGCTCGACTAGAGCTTATTATATTCATCAAGCATATGAAAACGCTTGCGTCTTCCTCGCCATGGGCGATGGGGTACTCCACGCCCTTAGGGCCAAGGATAGGGAGCAGCCTTTGCAATCCTTCCTGTTTTGCATGTGACAGGCCAACCGCGTACAAGTCATCAATGTCCATTCTCACACAGAGAAGTCGCAAACCCAGGTGCAGTATTGACTACAAGTGCTACCAGGTGTAGCCGAGCTACTGTAGCCAAGCTACTTATGCACTACGTGCAGAAGAAGACAAGCTCCAAGATTTTGTATGTCTTAAAGATCTTAACCCTCCCGAGGCTAGCTTCACAAGCTTATGCCTTTTGGTTGTAAACAATCACGTCTCCAAGAGTCGAGTTTAAAAGATACAATTGATTCAGAGTAGGTTTGAAACTGATTTATATCTATGTTTATCTTCTAGCACTAAAATATAGAAGCACCTACTCTATACTTAGTGCTAGTCACTAATTGTCTGACTCTATAGCCTATTACTATGAAACATGTAAAGTCACTATACTAAGCTAGGTATAATGACCACGTGCTCTCTGCCACGATGCGACCCTTCGTGCGTTAGGTACGGTCACATCACCTACTGTTGTACCCAAGGTACAGCCACAACACAATGGTGTGGTAGGTATGTATGTAAAATACACACCTTTCGGTAACCTCCTTACACGTATAATTCCCACTTGAGCGATCTAGCCCGCCTTTGCGGCACTGCTAAACACGGCAAAGATCTACTTATCCAGCTGTCACCGAGCATTTACTGTGGGCAGAGACGAAAGAGTGCACCGACTCTTCGACATCCCCGTCAAAGCATTGACGAGTGTATAGCTATTCACTATCACAGACACTCACGATATTATCACCGATACTTATGATGCTCTCAGCATCCGACGCAACAACATCCACAGGTGCAAACACCTTAGGTCAAATACCACTCCGTTTATTGAATACATCATACCCTGTTGATTCAGTAGACGATGTTTGTACTAACAATCATCTGTATTAACTTCAGGGACAGAAGATCCATCGCGCATGCCTCACCCGGAGCTTCGAGTTGTTCAAGAGGAGGCTGGAGTTGTTAAAAGACAAATGATTAAGCTCAAGAAATGCCACCGACGTCTCATCACTTCTTTCATTTTACTCCAGTCATGATGAAGAATATAAAGGAAGCGGCAACTTGTGGTGGGTTTGATAAGGATGGGGTCAACGAATTTTCTTATGTGAGCACCATCGACGCTATTACAGCGTTGTTCACTGTGCTAATCTCGCGAGCTCGCGGTCATGGAGAAGATGTACGGGTTATGAATGCTATGAACGCTCGGCGACGTCTAGGACTGCCTGCGAATTACGCAGGAAATGTCGTCTGCAGCGCAATGGCGACGTACAATGCCAGTGAATTGCAGTCTGGTGATGAAATAATGACTGCAGTTTCCCCATCAAACGCTAGGAAAGCTGGCTCGACGCCTGCAACAATCGATTGTACAGAGTGACGAAATCTTTTTGCGCGACGCTATCAACTTCCTGGCCGAGCACAGCAACGGTTGAGTTCAGCTGAGCAATAACTTCTTGTTTGGGCCTGACCTCGTGTTTTCGTCGTGGGTGCACTTGGGCATGTACAATGCAGAGTTTGATGGTACGCATCCGTGGTATGCGTCCTTCCCTCGAATGACATGCTATGACGGCTGTGTAATCATTACGGAGGCCCAAAAAGGTGGCGAAGGGATCGATGTGGGTGTATTTATTGAATTTACTGCCATGGAGAAGCTCAAGAAGATGTTTTCTGAGGTGTCGATCCTTTTCTTATTCCTGTTTTTTTGTTTTTTTTTTTTTCTTTTTTTTTTTTTTTTTTCTCTTCTCTTTTTTTCTCTCTCTTTTTTTCTCCCCCTTCTTTCTTCTTTTCCCCTCCTTTTTTTTTTTTTTTTTTTTTTTTTTTTTTTTTTTTTTTTTTTTTTTTTTCTCTCTTTCCCCCCCCCTTCCTCCCCCCCCCCCCCCCCCCCTCCCCCCCCCCCCCCCCCCCCCTCTTCTTTCCCCCCTCTTTCTTTCCCCCCCCCCCCCCCCCCCCCCCCCCCAACCTTGACGCACAGGGTCGTGACACTGTTGCTTACTTCATATGCTTTCGTGGATGCAAGCTCGATCCTGTGTACCTTGGTCCTGTGCGTCAAAAATGTCAAAGATGCAACCTTGGCACTGCTAGAATCGTATGCTGTACGCGCGCAAAATATCAAGATTAACTTACCACTGACGCACAGGGTCAAGGTTGCATGCAGGATAGCATACGAGGTAAGCAACAATATCAAGATTACCGTACCAACTTGGTGTAGCATTCGTGCAAGTAATTTGAGGTGGAAGGAATTCATCGTGAAGGTCATGCAGAATACGCATATACTTCAAAGAATTATATTCAAACCCCAATAAAACTTCACGATCGGGCCCGAAAGCGTCAGTAGGTGCCGACAATGTCAGAGTAAACTTGCGATGACACTAACATTTTCAATCTTGTACTTCATCATCACCAGACATCGGCTTTTCGTAAAGGTTCGACACCTCAGAAAACATCTTCTTGAGCTTCTCCATGGCAGTAAATTCAATAAATACACCCACATCGATCCCTTCGCCACCTTTTTGGGCCTCCGTAATGATTACACAGCCGTCATAGCATGTCATTCGAGGGAAGGACGCATACCACGGATGCGTACCATCAAACTCTGCATTGTACATGCCCAAGTGCACCCACGACGAAAACACGAGGTCAGGCCCAAACAAGAAGTTATTGCTCAGCTGAACTCAACCGTTGCTGTGCTCGGCCAGGAAGTTGATAGCGTCGCGCAAAAAGATTTCGTCACTCTGTACAATCGATTGTTGCAGGCGTCGAGCCAGCTTTCCTAGCGTTTGATGGGGAAACTGCAGTCATTATTTCATCACCAGACTGCAATTCACTGGCATTGTACGTCGTCATTGCGCTGCAGACGACATTTCCTGCGTAATTCGCAGGCAGTCCTAGACGTCGCCGAGCGTTCATAGCAGTCATAACCCGTACATCTTCTCCATGACCGCGAGCTCACGACATTAGCACAGTGAACAACGCTGTAATAGCGTCGATGGTGCTCACATAAGAAAATTCGTTGACCCCATCCTTATCAAACCCACCACAAGTTGCCGCTTCCTTTATATTCTTCATCATGACTGGAGTAAAATGAAAGAAGTGATGAGACGTCGGTGGCATTTCTGAGCTTAATCATTTGTCTTTTAACAACTCCAGCCTCCTCTTGAACAACTCGAAACTCCGGGTGAGGCATGCTCGATGGAGCTCCCGATCCCCCGAGCAGTTGCCGGTCGTGACTCACAACCAAACGATGTTGTTTTTCCACACCGCTGTAGTGTTGACCCCATATCTTCATTAGCGTGAGCATGGCCTCTCCATCAAAGAGCTTATGACTGAATTCCACCCCAATGGCCAACCCTCCATCGGCCAAAAGTGTCCCTTTCACACAAAAAATTTTTTTCTGTCACGCATTTTTGCCGGAATCAAGTCCAACGAACGCTCCTCTATCGCTTGTTCTGTTGTCATGGAATTTGACAGATTTGCCTCCTGATAGTCGTTTTCATTTGTTAGCTTGGCATTCTTGACTTTTGTCTTAGGGTTGACATAAGATTCTCCTACGAGAATGGGGTAGTCTTGCTCAACGAGGTTGACGAACGAAGATTGTAGCTTTTCGAGACTATAAGACGAAGACGAAGGTGGAAAGATGTACAGAATCGTCAAATTTAACGCTCAGTAAGGCGTCTACAGGCGACAATGGCACAGATGCTCATCCGAATTTTGAGTTCATATTTGCAATATCGGTGTCTTGGTACGCGTTTGGACAAACTCGAAATAGTAAGGCCTTTTTCCCCTTTTCAAAAGTAGTTTGCGACGTGAAATATGAGCAGTAGAAGTCCTACGTCCCCTGTACCTCTTTCATTCTAGCGTCATTACTACAGCTGCTGTCCACGAGTAGCTGAAAAACCCCATCCAATGCTACTGCTTCCTCCTGACCTGTTTGTACGAAGCACGCGCGGCTCCTCGGTTCCGTCTCTCGCTCCCGAGACGATTTGCTACGCAATGTGCAACGGCTGCAGTGTCGCCTGGTACAGCATATTATGGCAATCTACACGCGTAAGAATTATTTACGGTGTGGCACCTTTGTCTATGTATTTTGCCGGCTGTGTTCTTGTTGACGGCTAGCGTTAACGGACTGTTGAATGGTTAGTATTGTAAGTTTGGCTCGGTTAGCGAGAAAAATGGAAAGTAGGGTGTCTTTGGTCCGAGAGACAAGCAACCTCCGCTCATGTCGAAGACCGAATATTCTTGAATGATCGAACCAAGGTCGACATTTTATACAAGCACTGTTTATTCTTGAAGTTTGTTCTCATCATGTGCTGTTCAGAGCTTTCCCTTCGACTTTGCTAGATTCATGCACAGAGATGCGACAGAAAACGCAAACACAGCGTCTGTGATTTCAGACGCTGTGTTTGCGCTGACGTCAGCGTCTCGGGAACTAGATGAACACAAGCAAGTGACAGACGCAGCAATTGCAACAGTTTATAAGTAGTGAAAGGCAAAACCTATAAAAAACTCAGGATGGTAGTGAAATTGCTGGCTGACGTCTTAGAATTAAATTGCTTTGCCCAACAGCTACGCTCAACCAAAAACATAACCTCATGATTAAATATAATTGCTTCAAAGGTCACTACTATTCCAGAAACCGTCGTCGCTAACATGTATAGCATATCCTAAATTATTCTCCAAGAGTATTACATGATATCTGCAACGGACAAATACACTAAATTGCTTCAGAAAGGTGCTGTTATGAATAGGAGGAACCTGAAGTTGATGTCACGCACCTGAAAATGTATTACAAATCCTCGTGTAAATAAATTGGATCATGTCGGACAAGTCAGAGCTACTCATAACCGTCGTCTTTGGCAAGCTGTCGACGGCTTTCACGATATGCACGCAGGACCCACAGGCTCTTGATACCCTCAAAGCGCAAATCTACTCAACGTTTCATCTCGATCCAAAGTTCCAGCGCTTGGTACATCGAGGACGCAACGTTAAAACGTCGACAGTCCTTACAAACGGTTCTAAGGTAATCGTACTGCGTACTCCAGCTTACTACGAACAATCTGAAGCGTTTAAAGCAGTACTAAACTGCTCAGACTCTCGCTCAGTGCTACTATCACCAGTAGCAGCAGCTTATGCATCGAAAACAGCTTCTGCAAACCCCGAAATCGATGTGAACGAGTTGGAAAAAGACGATCTGTTGGTGCAGGTTTTTAAAGGAAAAAACCGCTATGAGATGATCTTCCCTTGCTCTAAAAAGATTCTAGACGTGAAACAAAAACTAAGTTCATTATTAGGACTGCATTCACCGCAAGCGTTGAAGCTGGTAGTCAAGGGAAAAACTCCGGTAGACAACACAGTGCTCGGGACTTTGGTAGGAACAAAGAAGGTTATCAAATTTATGGTGTTGCTGCAAGCTCAGCAGCATATGATTCAGGAAAAGGAGAAGGAGCTAAGAAAGCTGATTAACGAATTGTCTGGGGCTCAAACAGCTCTGCAGCGAGTACAGAGGCAGATGGCGCGCAACTTTATGTCGAGAGACGAGAGTTTATTCGAGCTGTCAAGAGTGCTAGATGATAGCCAGCGACTTATTGGAAAGTTTGAGCTGGTGAAGCAGCATTTAGCTGAATCGAAGACTTTGGCGAATAGACAGACCCTTGCGGCTACAATGCAAGCGATTGAAGAAGCTATTACGCTGGCTGAAACAGCTCAAGGGCTGCTGGATCACCATTCAATGGTGTAAGCTGAAAGGGTCAATGGGACGAGAAGAGGCGGAAGAAAAACCATAGCTTGGATTTGGTAGCAAATTCCATGACGATATTCGCTCAGCAATAAAGCAAATTAGGTGAGCTTTGAACTAGAATGGCGATGTGCCGATTATTAGAAACAGCATCTTATTCTGGGTGCAAGGGGTTGAAGACGTTAGGAACTACCGATTTGGGAAAGGAAAACAAAAGGAAAGAAAAGAAGCGGCGGGATGAGTATATCTAGAAAGAATTAGTATGGTACGACAGGGTCTGCCTGCTGCGGTTAGTTCCAATGTACCTAAGAGGTAAACAATTTTTTTTGTGAGATTGTTGTAGTGCTGTTTCTGTGTAGGGTTATGAGCCCAATAGCACGCCAACAACGCGGTGCTTCACCACCACTACGACACACAAGACCAAACATTTAGTCGTCTGGCAGCGATGCAGTTGGTCAGGGATGCAAAATCGGCTCCAGTAGAACTCCAGTTTAATGGAATAGAGATGATCGGACTTCTTACAAGCACGCTATCATGAACGCGTTTGGTGAAAGGTTCGTTGGACATTGGCCAGAATTGCCTTGTTAGCAGCTGGAGCGACAAAGAAAAGGGGAACTTCAAGAAGTTAGCAGCTGGAGCGACAAATTAATTTAACGCTCGCTCTCTACATCGCTGGCCAAGCAAGTGATGATAAAGAGTACCGGCACGAAGATGTGGGAGGAACTCGTATCCATCCATGAGGGCACTTCAAATCCTGCAATGACTGCACAAAAGGTATAAGATGCAGGCTGAGTTACAGCGAACTAACCTCGGAGGAAGGGGAATGTCCGCAGTCACTTGCATACACCATTTGCAATCAAGACTCAACTGGCGGATTTGGATGATCCCGTAAACGACTTGCAAATGGTGGATCGCATGTTGCGAAGTCTACCTGCACAGATATGTTACGATGAATAGCGACGAAAGGTCTTGTTTAGCTCCAAAAAATATGGCAAAATACTGCCAGAGCTTCTTTGCAAAATGATTATAACCGCAGAAGCAAGAAAAAAGAGGCTAAGCAGAAATGTCGTCGGCAAGAAACAACACAAGAAGGAGCAGAGATCACATGACTCAAATGAACGTGTCAAGAACGACAAGAACACCAACACAAGGAGTGGAAATAGTGGCTGTTTTTATCGTGGCGGGGACCATTTTAAAGGCGACTGTCCCGATTTTGAAAAGTAAGAGGACGGTGAAGTCCAGATATGCTCGGTCCAAAGACCAAGTGGTAAAGGCAGTAAAAACCCAGGAGCATGAAGCTGCAAACAATTTAGATTACAACGCGTGAAGTGATGGATGGAAAGTGAAAAAACTCAAGCACTTGAAGAAATATGTGAACCGAGTCTCTGGTATTTCGACAGCGTGCAAAAGAGTACTTTACGACTTTACCAAGCATGACCGACAGTGAATCAAACAAGAGGAATTCGGGACGCGCCGTTGGTGTTGATGCTGATGCAGAAGGATTTGGAATTATCGCTTTTGCTGCCGAGGCGGATGAATAAATGGTCTACTTCGTGGTTGAAGATGTGCTAGATGTGCCGAAAGCGGGTTGCAACCTCTTTTCGCCTAGATTAGCACTCGGCCAAGGGTTTCAAATGACATGGTAAAATTAAACGAGATGTGTTGATCTGGATAAGCTGGTCACAAGTCACGAGCAAGAAAACGCAGAAAGGGAAACGTCGTCTAACTGCTCAACTTCACGTGACGTGCCAAGGACGGAAAATTAGGAGATGAACTGGTTGAAGAAGATCAAAATTGTGGGATGGCATACTATACAACAGTTCCATGCGTACTGAAAAGGGTGAGGATAGTACGTCTGGCGGTGAACCTGATACATATGCTCCCATTACGGAATGGAGGAAATGACGGGTCACGTGAAGCGGTGAAGAATCAAAATCAACGAATAAATACATCCTTCCGATGCTGACGACATTCTTAATGAAAGCGAATATGAGAGTGAATTTACCAGTGAACGGTAGGAGGCTGAGTCAACAGGCCACAGTAACGATCTGGTCACGATGGACGTAGGTCAACTTGAAAGACGTGATGATATTTAAGATTATGACTGTCTGTTTCGGTCCGTGTGATATACAAGAAATTAATGAGTATCCGGTACCAGAACGTCGATTTGCAGTTCCCCAAGTCAATTTGATTGGACATCGACGTCCACGAGATGTTGAAGTTCGGAGAACGCGTAATAGAAAGCATGCTAAGATGGACGTGCAGCGACTCAAAGCATCCCGGTTGCATCGTTTTCACTTCGACGATCGGCAAGAGCAAGGTGGGTCTGATAGATGAGGTATATTTGGCATTCCGCGTAATGCATGCAAATTACTAAGGACGGTAAGGTGTACGCGAAAAGAATATTAAGATCCGTAAAAACTATCACCAAGCTACACGCTTAAGACAAGCAACATCGTTGGATGCGGAAATGTCTGTACTCAAAGCCAAAGAAGTTTTAGAGGAAAATTTTCCACGATTGGACATGTTAAGGGGACAGCAAACAATCCGGACAATGTGGGTCTTTGATGTTAGACAGACAATGGGAGATACCAGGCACGATTTGCCGCACGGGACGATAAGCAGCGCCCAGGTATTGATCTAAAGTAGCTCGGCCCACATGGCCTCGTTCCGGGTGTTAGGTGCTGTATTTGGGATGATACGATACATACAGGCGATATAAATACCGCCTACCTCAATGCTGCAATGAACATGAAGCAGTATCTGGAAGGGGTCGAGGGTTATCCTTGTGATGGAGACCGACACATTTACATCATAAGGTCTTGTATGGTCTACGCCATCTTGGACGCGAGTAGAATACTGAAGTGAATAGCTGGTTTGTTGAATTTGGATTTACCCAGTGTGTCACTGAGCCGTGTCTCCACTTTTATTCTTGCAATGGTGTCTTTGCTTTGGTACTTCTGTACGACATCCTGTGTTCCACCAATATCGCAGAGCTTGAAAAAAGAATGTTCAAGCAGCTTGACAAGAAGTACGGAATGAAGTACTAAGGTCTATTAAGCTCATACTTGGGTGTTAGGCTGGAGCAAACGAATGACGCGGTCAAGATCCACTAGACAAGATAATGTAAAGAAATAATTGAACGATATCAATTTCAAGATGCGCAACCGAGCTCGATGCCAATGGAGACAAATATGCGTTTGTCTGTAAAGGAAAGTGACATGGATCGTCGAAAGCAAGCACCTGTAAGTGGCAAGAAGTTTACATATCGTGAGCTGTCTGGTTCACTTATGTACTTGACCACATGTACCAGGCCTGACTTCGCATATTGCGTTGGACAGCTGAAGATGTATTGGAAACAGGATCTTACTCTGGGGTGCAAGACGTAAGACGAGTATATCTAGAAAGAATGTAGTATGGTAAGATGCGGATCTACCTAGCCAAGTACTGTGGGTTAGTTCCATTTACCTAAGAGGTAAACAAGTTGTTGTGAGTTTGTTGTAGTGCTGCTTCTGATACCGATGTCTTGAAAACTGACTCAGTCACAGAATGAAACGGTATCCTGAGCTCTGCATGAGATAGTGTGTCTGGTTGAGCACACTTGCCCTTCAATAAAGGTGCTCTGCACTTTTGCCTTTGGGGACTCTTCGGGTCCGAGACAGTATGTGTATTGCCTACCAACTTACGAGATAGTGTATCTGGTTGTGATATTAATTGCAATCCCGGGCGCTCTTGTCACTTTTTGACCCAAAGGTAATAGGTCATAACGACACGAACGCACAAGTTGCAAGTATTTTGAATGCGTCCGACGGATCGAGCACTGATGAAGTAAGCAAGTTGAGTTCGAACACTATCACAAGTTTTACCGTTTTGCTGTTAGACCATGAGCATTTGATGCCGCACTTATGCCACCTGTTGATCCACATAAGGTATAAAGATTGGACTATGTGGCAGCATTGTTTGTATGTATGTGAACGCGTTGCGCGAGCCGTCTTGCCACCAAAGCGGCTCAACTTCCGCATGCTTCAGGTTATCTCTCCTTCTCTACATTTTTCTCTAATCTCGCCAGGGTCCATTAAGCGGCACGCGCTATAAGCGCCGCGGTGAAGGCTGTCCAGACTGCACGATCCTGTGCACATTGGCGATGGAGGTACAGGTCTGGGGCCAGTCGACGGCGGTGTCCAGCGTGGTTTCCTGCTTGATCCCTTGGTCTATCTTGTCAACAGGAGCCCAGGGAGGGTCCTCGTTGCTTGCACCTAAACAAAGAATGACGCGAGCGCACCTAAGCAAAGATGCCGGAACTTCGGGGCTTACGGCGTGGCGGCGTACATCGTGGCGGCTTGGCTGGGAGGGGAGCGACAAGAGAGAGGTGTGTAAAGGGAGAGGAAAACCGTCCAAACTGACGGATGCCGCGAAGCACCTGTCGAAGGCCTGAGCTAGCATCAGCTGGGAGGGCGTTACCCCACCTGACCAGGATAGGATTGTTTGTATTCAAGCAAAAGCATTGAATGGATGCTCTGTTTCAAAAATGTGTAAGATACTGGCGACAATACTGGAGTTTTGCGATTAGTTACTTTTGATTATCAGAACCTTCTTGATGCAACTTGCAGACAATGAAAATGATATGGTTCATTGTTAGTAACGAAAACGGAACAAAAACGGATTTCATTGTCGGTAAAGTAACGAGTTAATTTACTTGTCATCGAACAATGTCGTGTTTGAAGGTTTGTAGCAAACTAGAACATCGCAAATAGTTAAGCAGCTTGTCTCAAACATTAGCGGTGCAATGAGATCCTCTAGTCGTTTACGACACACAAGGTGTTTGTAAACGAGCTGCTTTAACATCTTCGAGTTGCAAAACTGAGTTTTTCCGTGTTGTAGGATCACTAAAGATAATTGCAGCTAGCTTCACGCGGCTGTGCGTTTGCTCTCTGATATTGTATCGATGACAAAACATCTTCTACTTGATGGTCGAATGTAAGCCATTCACAATCTGCTCCAACGCTAGATTACCTCCTAAAGAGGCAATTTCATTGTGGATCTCCTCGACTGTGTCGTTAAGTTTCGCAAGAGTGAGTTTTACCGCCCCTGTCTCACGCAAATAGTGCACAGCATACTGCTTAACTTTGTTGCTCTTTGTCCGTTGCTTGAGAATACTTAGCAATCTTGTGTCCTGTGGGTTTTCTCGAATAGCCACAATAAGCGGAAACGAAAACTTTCCCTCCGTCAAATCTTCGCAGAAACTTTTATTTTCCATGTAAGCTTCATCAAGCAGATTAACGTAATCATCTCGAATCTGGAAATACACAGCCAGAGCATTCAGCAGTGGCGTAAAGTCCCGCGTGGAATCACTGAATGCCTGCATCAACCCCACCGCTAGTCGAAACAGTCCTCCCGTTTCTAGTAGTAGGAGAGGACAATAGGCAGTTAGTCATAATCACGAGCTCGACATGAATGTAAAGTCCACTTGCACACTCAACTGTTTTGCACCATCTCAAGATATTCATCTACTGTAGGACATTGCATATGGTCCCTCCAGAAAATGTCCAATCCTTGTCCCTGGTGAAGTCTCAGCATCTCTTTAGTGTACACTTGCAATGCCTTGTGGTTTCCCAAAGCCTGACACTTTTGTAGCGACAAGAAGTAGACGTAGTTGGCACAGTTGATTGTGGCTGGCACGCCGAAGATGTGGTGGGCCACGGGCTGACCACGTCTCATCTCCGAATCGTCTTCAATGTCATCAATACTGCAATAAATTACGACTCATTGTTAGAAAACAAGTTATAAATAAATGCACGACGATTGTAAAACAGTAGCGCACAGAAGACTGGCGTTATGCAGTTGGTCTACAATACTCTGGATGCTCTCCACAGCCTCAGAAGGAGCGCGCAGCCATGTCTGGAAGGCGCCAATCATCTTTGCACGCACACCCTTGCCAGGGAGCTTGCTAATATACGTGTACGGCTCCAGGAGCTTTGTTTCATTTTCCTGTACAGTTGCCATTGTCCTGTAGAATTCTGATGACTTACGTGAACGCAATGATATAAATCGGCAAGCGATAAGTTTGGAGCTTTTAATTCGGGAATGATTGGATAAATTATAGTAATGTATCCATGATAATGACATGTACATTCGTTTAAAGTGTATTAATTTCGTTTTGACGTATTGACGTATTTCTATCGCAACATTGAGTAAAACTAAATGTTGCTTCATTTCTACGTCTCTTATCTTGAAGTAAAGTTTAATCAGTCATAACCTTTCAATATCGCCATCGTGCGTGGCTTGCTCGGCACTAGTAATCTCCTCTCGTTTGATAGCTTTGCCTTGGACAGCAATGCCTCGACTCATTTAACACAGCTGCATCTCCAGCCGTCTTGAACGTTGTCAGTATCTCACCAAATTGGCACAAAATAAAGCTAACCAACTGAGTAAAAGCAACAGGAGATAATTCAATTTAATAAATAATATCGCGCCAGTTGCGCCAACTTCCTCTCCTTATGTGTTAGTGTACTAGGCCGCGTCCCAGTAACACTAAGAGGTGGTTTTTAGTGCATAATAATTCCGGAAAACGCTTTCACATCTGCGATCGCCGATATTCGAATACGCTGAGTGGTGAATCCTCCACTCTACATAGCCTCTGCACGGTCGTCAAGGATCGTCAAGCTAAGATCTTCCGAATTGTACTCGTGTGGACGACTACCACGCAATCCCACTGATTTCATCTCAATATCAGGAATATACGATCGGCGATTTGACTGTCCGGTCTGATGTTCGCGAGCAAACTTCTCCATGCAGGATGGAAGTACGATCGCATTTGGCTCAATCCAATTGATCCATACTCTCAAGCGCGGGTTTGATACCGGCTCGCCGGCTCGGCCTTAATTGCAACCTTGCGGTCAAGCAATGATGCTGCACCTGTAGGTCCGAGCGACATCCTTTCTATCTTGATCGACTCTTCCAAGTAGGCTTCAGATTCTGCCGAGGCGAAGTACGACGACTCAGCGTGGTACTCATTGGGCTGTCTCGGTCCTGTTTGCTCAGGTGTTCTGTCGACTTCTTCACATTAATCATAGAAACTAGCTTCTTGAACAGCAATTGAGCTACGTCGATCATTTGATTTTGATCGTGATCGCAATGGAGTAGTCTGTGGTCTTTGAACGACCCAGCTGTAATTACAGCGTCGTGTGACAGCTGCATTAGCTGGCGGATCTCCTTTAATGTGTTAGTCATCGGTGTTGGTTTTAAACTGGACCTTTCAACGCTCCGATCAGCTTTGGCTTCATGATGTTGAGCACAGGATCTATCAGCAACAGCGCATTCAATTCTTATCGATAAAATTCGTGGGTTATCTGATCCAGTTGGCATCCTTCCGCCTTGATAAGATCACCGTCATCCACAAACTTGAACGAACGTGCATGGTCCAGCAACTTCCCTTAACATCTTGATCCACAGACTTGAGTGAATCGCCATGATTGGATGGCTTGACTTAATCATCCTGATCCGATCCTGGTGCTCGCAAATTTTTCGTCTTTAAATCCTTCGACTTCATGATCTTAGATGCAATATTTGGAGGTTTTTTAGATGAAGATGTCTTGGTTTAAACCGATTGATCCCAACCTAGCGAGTCGCGCTATCTATCCCGATCCGCGGGAGTCCCCGAAGAGACCTGGGGAGGAGGTAGAGGTTTATCTTCCAGGTCCAATTGATCTTCCTTTGTAATATTCTTTTCGTCAAAGTCCTTCGACAAACTCTGACGATCCGTCAATTCTTCATTTTAAGGCGTATACGACGATCCCTCTTTCGCTGACGCTCCGATCCCAAGTTTTGTCTTCATCATTTGATCTTTGATTCCTATGGGATACACGTATGGTGAAGCGTTTAAAGAACAGGTAGGTCAGAGGACCGGTGGGTCAAAGAGAAAGGGACCCGCCAAGGAGGAACGACCGTTGGGTAGGAGACAGAGATACGGTGCGCTAAAGGGGACGGAGAACAACCGTTGGATGAGAAGGATGTACGGTCAAAGCGTGCTAGTTAGCCGCCATTCAGAGAAGTTAACCCGGATAGCCCGATGGACCGCGGTTCCTGGAGGTGAACCCGGTCTTTCACGGTAGACCGTGTTCTATTATTGGTAAACCTCGGTCTTTCATAAAGGTAGACCTGAACCCTTCGGTCTGTAATTCCTCGGCCCCTGTCCCTAAAGATCGACCTTGGTCCTGAATTAATGGACTTCGGTCCTCAGTCGATAGGCGCTGGCTCTTCGGTCCTTGGACTCTCAGCCTCTCAATCCCTGGTCCCTGGACCCTCGGCCTCTCGGCACCTCGGTCTCTCGGTCCCTAGGCCTTTCGGTCTCTCGGTCCCTCGGTCTCTCGCCCCCCCGGTCCCTCGGACCTTGGACTCTTGGCCCCTACGGTCGATATACTCTATCCAAGCAAAATCAAGAATCAGGTCTCGGGGGTAAAGATAGAGTAAAGGAGTTAAAAGATAGAACTACAATAAATACTACTCAATTTGAGATCTACGTATCACGCCTCCGTCGTGCTTTCAAGGTACTTACATAAGTCTACCGACCTGTTCCGGGAAGGGATATATATTTTGCCACCGCCTTCGAAGACAGTGGCGTGGTAAGACCCAAGTGTAAATAGAGCCCGAAGATATATTTGGCCTGTGGGTTCGTCTGAGTAGCACCCCCCCCAATTGATCCGCTATCGCAAGCGGTCTCCCTACCCTAGTGGTTCTGGAGCAAGTAAAGGCCAGGCGGTTAACACCCCTGAGATATCAAAGAAAAGGAAGGAAAAGGCCAGGGTTGAGAATCTCCCCTGAAGATTTTGGTTATAAGTCCAACCTCGACCTTGTCGACCAAAAGGCCACCTAACCGCCTACCAAGTGAAGTATATCCACTCTAGGCACCACAAGGTCGACCTCTCTCAAGTCCGACATCACATCTCCATCAAGTCCTCCGAAGAGTGCAAACCGCCAGCCGACGGGTACACAAGATTAGCGAAGGTCCATACGCGGCATTGGGGTACCCCCTCCGACAGTCGGCAGTCCGCCACTCGTGAGTAACTTGATGTCTCATTACGCAGTTTTGAGAACCCACTCCACCACAGGATCTTGTAAAATTGTTTTACGCGATCGCAGTAAACACTGGCGCTGAAAGCTGCCTTGATTTATTGTAGATTTTTTTCTTTCTCTTCCTTACTTGTCCTCTTGAGACGTCTAGTAGATCTTCTGACCACTTGAGCCGTCTCGTAGAGATCCTTTGTGGAACGATGCGTCCGATCGAAGTTGAATTGATTTGAGTATGCTAAAACCCTTGGCCAAAAACGTCTAGTATTGATTGGCTGTACGTATGTGTGCTCCTTCTATTCAACGGTTGGCCGACAATAAAACTCGGAAGAGATAAGAACACGCGTACCTTAGATGTTAGATGTTACATGTGAAATACCAATACCCATACTTTAACTACCTAACGGAAAACACTACCTATGGCTAACCTAGCAAAATAAATACCGATGTTCTTCCTTGCAACCCTCCCCCCCCTGTCCAATACACCCAAAATCAATTATTTTGCCTACTTGTATGACAGGATTATCGCCACGCGTCGCTTTAATCTTGATTGCGATCCGAGACATGTGGTTCACACCACGCAATCCGATCCGCTGAAGACTCGATCTTTGATGCAATCTGGGGTGTGAGGTCCACACTACGCCATCCGATACGTAGACGACTTGATCGGTTGGGCACGATCGCGATTGTGTATTGTGTAGTCCACATTGTGCGATCTCTGTAGTGACCAATCAAGTGTGATTCGGACTTACCACAATAATTGGATCGCCCGATCTTCCCGAAAAAGACCATTCCCCACATCTACGAGACGATTTAAGTGGCCAGACATCTCAAGAGAATAAGTAAGCAAGAGAAAAAAAAGCATCTAGAATGTATCAGGCAGCTTTCATCGCCAGTGTTTACTGCGATCGCGTGAAGAATTTTCACGCGATTCGCCCCCCCTCCCCTTGATCCAGACCCCATCACGATTAAGATCGGAGAAACTCCATCGAGGAGAGTGCAACCCACTCAGTAGACGGGTACGCGAGGCGAGGAAGGACGAGCATACGGTGTCGGAGTCCCCCCCTGGGTCAGTCGAAAGTTTGGGTGCCAGCGGTTGGTCGGGATCGCAGAGAGTGTTTTGTAATCACCGCTCACCCCAGTATTGGCGAGACCTAGAAAGTGATGGACGCAGGCAAAGACTAGAAAAACTCGTCCGCGTAGTGGGCGAATTTCGTCGAGACGATGAGAATGCGGTGGACAAGAAAATGTGGCGTGATGACTCCAACGACGGTAATGAAAAATATAACGTCTGGAAGACGCCATGATGGTGGAAAGCGAGTAGGAAAAAGGACAACGACACGCAGAAGCCGTTGCTGACAAGTCGGATGATAATGGTGCCAGTGATGATGATTGTGGTGGCGATTGGTTTATGATGGTGAAGACGGACAGATGGAAGGGATTAACGATGACTTTGGGGACAAGCACACCGATCATTGCGATGCTAGCGCGGCACGGCTGCGTAGAAAACACCGGTAGGGGTGGTCTGGCAAACAGCTTTCTTAGATTGTTTGGTAATGGTAATGACAACGGAGACGACCCTTGATGATGAAAACAAGGTATAACTGAACAACTTGGTGAACGTTGCGGCGACTAAACAAAAAAGGAATCAAAAATGCAAAAAGGGAAGGCATTGTTGAATTATGAATAATGCAGGTGCTGTAGATGATAGCAAGGATGAACGGCTAGGCAATGCGATACAGCAATTCCACATGAGGCGTCACTAGACAGGATTGTATGAATACATGTTCTAAACTCATTTTATTATTAGAAAAAGATTAGATAACCAGTGATCCCTTAGGTTTTCTTACGTTAAGAAAACCTACTATAACTGTCCGGTTTTGACATAGACCAATCACGTCAAAACAAGGAGTATTCAGCCCTGCAAAATGAACTCAGACGCTGAACGCATCGAGCGCGCCCGCGCCAAGAATCTCGCGTACATCCGCGAGTCAGTGATGTGTCTATTTTGCTAATAGCATTCTAGTATCAATTTTTTGTTCTTTTTTTCATTTTGTGCTTATCAACTGCAGAAAAGATAAGCGTGAGGATTCTCAAGCCATTGACGAACTCTTGGCCTCCTCTGTCGGTTCTTCAGTTGCTAGTAGCTTAAATGTCAAGCGACCAACATTGGCGTCAGGAGGAATAAAGGGAAACAATAGCAGCGTCTATATTACGGGCCTTACAACATATATGGCCTGTAGACAACTTGGTCTGTCATCTATTTGTTTCGGCTCTAGTTGAATAAGAGGTTGACGCGCTACTCTTATGTTGGAATGTGTAGAGGGCGCATGCGCTAGGATTGGCAAAGTGCGGCGTATCAAGTTTTATAAGGATGAGAGAGGAGGACTTAAGGGTGATGCAGTGGTGACATTTAGCTCGCGTGCCACGATGATGAAGGCTGTTGACACGGTAATGCTACTGTCTCTTGCTGCATGATCCTTGGGTTAACAATTTCAACTTTTATGGTAAATGGTTGCCACGACGCGTGGTGCTTGTTCGCATATCCTACCTTTAACGCAGCTAAATCGCTTTGAAGTTAAACCGGGAGTCATTATCACGTGAGTGTGTTTGATGTTGCAAGGAAGCTGGCAAGTTTATACTTACAGTGAAACTGTGTAGAGCGACAGAAGCGACTTTCTCGAGCAAAAAGGCAAAGAATACTGAAGGGAGTACGGAAAATGACGGCGACGATCAGGCGAATACAACAGCAAAAGCATCCGCGCCATTGAAGACTAGTTTATTCAAGGACACGCTGCTTTTGGACGTGCCGTCGTGCTCGGTGATCCTTAAACATGTATGGGATTTACTTGATAGGAGCGATGCTGAATTCTTTGCTGAATTGGAGGAAGACATGCGTGTGGAATGTACCAAGCATGGAGTAGTAGAGCATGTTCAAGTTGTAGCGGACGGGTCAGTGGTTGTGCGATTTACAAAAGTAAACGCAGCTGTTGCGTGTCAGAAGGTAATGGACGGGCGGTGGTTTGACGGACGCCAGATCGAGGCACAATTTATTCAGGCTACGACTGAAGGCCCTCGCGATGCAGATGCCAAGGTTAAGGCGTTCTTGGCGTCTCTTGGAGAGTGAGTCCGTGCAGTGTGAGGTAAGTCATAGCCATGAGAAATTCACGTATTCGTTTTGTCCAAGCAGCACATTGTGTGGCATTATCGTTTACTGACAAGGTTGAAAATACGCATCAAAAACGACGAAGCGGTTTGGCTGCAGGGAATACTTGGACGGATCGGCGTGTTTCTTTCGGAAGGAAAAAGTAGGATGACGGACGGTCATACGCTAGTTGAGTGGGCGTGATGGGCTTTTCCATTTAGATGCTGGAAGAACAGCAAGCAGCCTTACGCCATGACGCTGCCAAGATTTATTGGCGCAGAAATCTAGCACGTTAATTGTACCCAGTTCAGTGTAGGACCTTTAGCAGGAACAGCCACAGCGTTTGTAATGAACATGTTATCAGCTGGTTACGACCAAGTGATGGCATTGTTACGTAGAACAGATGTTTAACTTCAGTTGTCAAAAAGCCCATAACACTGATAGCGAGCATCAAGCTTTGCTCCTCTTACTGCCATCGGTATTGCAAAACGATTTGCCGAGGTGACCTCATGGGAGTCTGCTTCAAACGAACTCCTCAGCGGTGATTGCCCAGCATTGAATATGTCGACGGCCAAAGGGATGACATTGCTACATGTGATGACAAACTTTTTCCAAATGCATCGATCGCTTAACCTTTTTTTGCATTCTTGTTTTTGTCGGTGCAAAAAATGCCAAGGCCGTTTTTTAGCATTTAGTTCCTTTCACGAGTCGATCAGTAAGTACAAATCAGAGCAAAAAAGTCACACCTGAATGGGCTCAAAAGCGTCCAAATTAGCAGAGCTACCGAATTCATGTGGAAGCGAGATGGGCACTTACGTGAAGTAGGTACTTACGCTTTTGCTGAAATAGTTTGGAAACGTTCTGTAGAAGCAGAGGAGATTCCGACATTCTTTTGTTTGTTAGGTGCGTGGAAGCAAAGACCGCCGAAAGCGGAGGTCTACGTGATGGAGACGAGTGCGAAAAGGAGGGCGAGGCCTATCGTGAGTGCAGACGAAAGGTGAAAGCGCTCAAGGCTGCTGTTAGCAAGTAAGAGCTCGTTTTTGAGGGACAAAAACGTTTAAAAGATGAATAGACGGTCAAGATGTTACAAAATGCATTTGCTCGTTTGTTTAAGTGTACGTCACCGCCCCTCCTTTCTTCCTTCTTCTTTCTTTCTTCACAGTGTGTCCACCTTTCCTCGTACTTACTACCAACTTGCCTACTTCATGTACATCCTAACTCTCAACTTAATCGTATCACTTGACTTGAATCTCTTGGACAGAAAGTCTGCCGCTGTGGTCGGCACGTCGATTGGACACAGCCGTGGGGTTCTTGCTTTCATCGTCACTGTAGCCAAAGCTAGAGGACGCCGTCTTGATGCCAAAGTTGTACTTTTTGTTCACACTGCCACCGATTTTGTCAGTCGCAACATTCGTGCGCACCACGTGCACAAGGCCCACACTTCGATATGATAAATTGCTGACTCGGGACGACCCTATTGACAAATTTTTGCTATGACGGTGCTGGCGCTGTCTGCGCTGAGACAGCACCTGTATGTCCTTAGGCAGAAAAGCTTCCGGAATAAGCTGTTCTGAGTTGGATAAAATGGAAGCCACGGACGAGTCCGTCGTTGTAGAGAGAGAACGCTTACGTTCAGCCGCTACTTTGTCAACAATCTCTCGAGTGAAGTCTTTGCTTTGATAATGCTGCATTTGTTTGACATAAGAGAGCATTCGATGGCGAGTAGTAATTCATTAGCACTTAGATTTACTACCTATCAATGGAAAATAACAGTACAATATGTACACGCACCAATTGTGTATCGTGATCGTCGCTACTGGCGACCAAGCCGCACATGGAGAGACTGTTGCCCATCGTATAACGTAACGGTCTGATTCTAGTAGTGCTTGTTTGTTTCTGAGCCCGAAAGTCGCGCTGTACAGTAATCTATACAGTATAATACAGTACGCTAAATTAGTAAGCGGTTTTGTATTCAAAGCCTCTACTGTAATATATTAACCTATGAATTGGTACAATCTTTGTCTTCCATTGTCGTCTTTTTTCCCGAGATGAACATGCGAGTCCGACGGTGGAGTGACATAGAGGTGCGTCAACGGCCTTTGCATCGCGCTGCATATGCCAATAGTACACCAAGTCCTGCACCTGCTGCACCTGCATCTGCTGCGCTTATACCGTCTTCAAGTAGCAATAACAACGTCCCACTAGCCGTCATGGAGGATGCCCCCGAGTGTGTCATTTGCCTGGATGAATTAGCGTTAGGGCGTGCATTGTTTACAGCAGAGTGTGGTCACCGCTTTCACTTTAGTTGTTTGCTAGAGAATGTAAATCACGACGAAGTCAACTCCGACAAATGCCCGATTTGCCGTAAAACGCAGACGCAATGGCCTGAACAGACCGAAGGACTGGTTAAAGCTCATCCTTATTGTAAGTTTAGCCTCGTTCTTTCTTATACATGTAGGTGATGTTATGATGAGACGTAGACATAGAAGACTTTACTCATAGACGATATTTATTGGTATTTTTGTATTTGGATAGGTACAAACTGCGGGAAAAGAGGGTCCGGAGGACAATTCTGCGACGGATGTGGACAATCATTGGCCCACACACCTACAGCACAGGAACGTGCGCGAGCAGCAGCTGCAGCAGCAAGAAGTAATGTGATGGTCGAGTGTCCTACATGTCGCATCCGCTGTTTAGTGAGCACGACGGCACGCGGCACGCTCCAGTGTCCGAATGGTCATCTCTTTCAGTTGCGCATGCCGCCGACCATGGGTAGTTCACAGGGATTACGGCAAAGCTTTACAGGAGGCGGAGCCGGCCCAATAACTTCAGGACCCCGGCCTATCATGCGTCAATGTCCCACGTGTTACACGCGCGTTCAAATGCCCCCAGGTAGTCAAGCTGGCCAGTACATGTGTCCACATGGACATACTTTCTACTTCTCCCCGTTTCAATAGATTGTTGTGTGTAATGAATTATGTTCTTGTTTTTCATTAATGAAGGTAGGCATATTCTTTTCTCTTGATATGTTATTGACTCACTGCACTAACGTTGGCTATTGTTGTGGGCAAACAAACTTTTCTTCGTGTCTTTACAAAGAACTTGAGAAATTAACATGTCACCGGTGAAAAAAGTGTCACCGTTAAATACATATGTGTTCTGTGAAGACAGGTCCACTGGTTCTTACTTGATCGCCAGCTGCAATAGCCTTGTCCAGCAATCGATAATGATGGCCTCGACAACACAACCAGCGATTCCAACTCGCGTTTGCCATCATCTCAGTGAGTTCTAAGTCAGGCCCAAGTCTCGCAAGAATGTTGAGTCAGCCTGACGCTAGGCTACTATGAAAAAGGCGATGAAAATGCGGCAAGACATTTTTTTGTCGTTAAAGTTTCAAGCCGGACGCTTGGTGTTGGCAAGGCTACTGCTGGACCATGGGCAAAAATGGCTTGTAGTCTTCCGCTCAACAGCTGATGTTAATGCGCTGCTTAAAAAGGCTGAAGTTTTATCTGAGTATCTCGTCAGCCGTGTCCGGACGATACGTTTTTCATGCTTAATGCCGCAACGTAGAGTGAACAGCGCGGTGTTCGCGGCAGCAAATGCTCTATAGAAGCTACTCAATAGCTATGCAGCGCGTGCCTCGCTAAACGCTTCTTTTGGAATTTTACTTGGCATATGCAGATATTACTTGACAGTGTGCCCCAAAAATCTGAGTCAATCATGAGCTCACCACCCCAGGACATCCTCGTCACGATATTATAATCGACCACAATCCTGTCCCAGCACTTCATTTTAAACACGCCTGAGGTTACGAAGATAGCATGTGCAACCACGTAGCAGCTTGCAGAATGCAACTTGAATGTAAAAGCAGTCTACAATTGTCTCCAACACAAAGCGGAGCCAAGCCAATCTGACGCAAGTGGGAACTGCTAGAGTAGCCTGTCGTCGCTTGCGTAATTGACGAGTCGCGAATGATCTTGCTGTATGTAGTCGCCCACTAACCACGCTTGCGAAGATTCTTACTGCAGACAACCAGTCCGCTTAATTCCTGGCCACTCAAATCTTCGTCGCCTGTATGATTATCGGCCTCACAGGATATTGGTGCATCATCTTGATTCTGCTTTGGCTATAACGTCGCTGGTCGAATGGAGAATTTAACAGCATCATTGACTCAAATTTACCTGATATCTGCTGCATGGAAACAACATTGATAGAACGCGTAAATGCGTCCTGCTAGTCGCCCGCTTGTCATCTCGTGACGCGGCGGCAAAACTTTATCACGACAAACAGGCGTTATACTCACAAGGAAGCGCTGAGGAAACTTTATTCAAAAGTCAGCAAAATTTACCAAAAAGTAGCAAACCATATTTGTCCGCTTTGTCTTTCTCTACAATCCATTCAAAAGCCGATTTGCGGCCGCCTCTACATTATTGTCCGTGGACTGAAGTGCCTGTAGTGCGCGCTCTCTTTCGAATCCGAGGGCCTAGTGTTTTGCATGAAAACGATTAGACATCACTCAACCAATTCCACATCTTAGCTTATATCGTTTCTTACTATCAGTTGCTGAATCGCATCTTCAGACGGAGATGCTGCAGCCATGTAAGGAGGCAACATGCCGCCGCCAGCGGCCACCCCAAGGACACCACCAGGCAGCATCCCACCATCACCTGGGAGTAACTGGTCACGAAAACCTTGACCCTCAACGGCTGGCAGGGCTGGACGGCCTCGATTAAGACGTGCATCCAGTCTGCGCTGAGCTTCAATCGCCCGCCGCTGCCGTTTAAGCGCCAATGTGCTCGCAGGAACCACCTCAAACAGCGGGTGCAGTAGACCAAATATCGAGCATACGAATGATGGCAGTCTCAATCGTCCAAGTGGCGTCGAGCGAAACAAAAGTCCCAGGATCGATCCACCTAAAAACGGAATCAAGGCGTGATAATCACGCGCCAGCAACTGAAAAGGACAATTAATTGATACCAAATACCCATCAGCTTGACAAACTATTTACACCTATCAAATAACTCTCGTACCACCAGCATAAGCATATATGTGCTCGATTTGTCCGAGAAGTGTAGACCCCATACACTAAATGTTTGCGGTTGCAGCTTGGGAATATATTCTGAAAGCATCAAAGTTATTGTACCACGAAAATAAGAGGAAGAGTCGCCCACATAAAATACATTAGTCCACCAAGTCAAAACTTACTGTTAAAGTAAACACTAAGAGCTCCGACGACAGAGTACGGTCCTCCTGGGATCAATTCCACCACCGATGACGATCCCGATGTTAAAGCTGCCAGCTGTAAAGCTCCTGATATGAGAAGCACATACACCACAATGCTTCCAAATTTACGAGATCCCAAATGCCGCTCAAGAAATCGAAATTGGAAAACGACGTAGAGACCAAGAGAGACTGCCAATCCACTGTAAGAGATTAAGTTAGTATCATATACAACAAACTACTACATCATAATCATACATTGTACTAGTACGTACTGGTGAAATGTCATTTGACTTGTGAGTAGCCGCCAATACTGAGACCGAATGAGGATTGCATCCCTGTCTAGCGCTAGGAGATAGCCACGGTCCAGTAGCAAACTGACAGAGCTAGCAGCACCTACTGCAAGAGAGAAAGCGTACGTAACAGGCGCACCATCTGCCATCAATGATATAATACGTGTAAATGATTAGTAGAAAGATACATTGAAACATAGCGATACAAGTACACGTACAGAAGCCGCGAAGGTCACCGTGCATCATGGATCGTACTGTTGTTACTTTGGCCACGTAAGTTTACGGAAGAAGTAACAACGTGAAGTGAACCGATGAAGTGACATGATAAAGTACTGTAAATCTTCGATTAAGCACGATCAACTTCACAATCGTGCCCACAATTTCATGTTGCCAAAATAGTTAACTCGGCCAAGTTAGTATGTACTAAAGGCGACTTAGATCCTTGGTTTAGCAGCATTTAAGGTGACGAGGAAGCTTGCAGACTAACATGCTAGACGGGAAAGCTTCGCGTACCTTAAACTGTTGCCAAACCAAGGCTCTAAATGTATTCACTCTTGGCGTTTATCTATTTTGGCAGCTTTGGGAATTTGGTAGCACATGTAAATACAAATCGATAACCAGTTCCGTTATTTCTCACAAACGATAGTGCCACGCAAACGATCGTGCTTGAGTCGGTGACAAAAGCTGTTTCCTGCTGAGTCCTCAACGCAGCTCATAAGCCTATTTTTATCGTAAAGTTACAATATGTACATGGCCGCTGCAGGAGAGTAAACACTGGCACATATGTACTCACCTATTTAAGAGCTGTAGTCCTGGCCGTACGAACATCTTCGTGTGGTGGGTTTACCAGAGCGGTGCTATGATACAGACGGCTGCCATCACAGTGTGCTTTGACGGAGACTCACACGAAACGCCGGCAATTGTCCTTTACGAATCCTTTGTCATCCCAAAAAGCTCTTAGAGCTGGTGCCGTTTGCAGACTCATCAATCTCTTCCGTGACTCATAAAGTGAATTGCGTGACAATACATGCGCTGGATACTTGCGCGCTACGCATGCATTCGCCTCAAATATAGTTAGTGAAGAAGAAGAGCCACCTAGTCATCCTTGTGATAAGACAATTTGACTGGGTTACAGCGATAAGTGACGCATGCGCTCTGTGTAAGTCATGATTGACTTTGTAATAAGCTTGACGAAGATGCAGTATCGCACAATGTCGAATTGCCAGGGAGTTCATACGGACCAAACGCGAATAAACGTTTCATCCTTCGATACCAGATTAAATAAAGGTTCGCGAAAGGCATGGTCTGCGGCGTTACGGACGACATTGAATTGTCAGTCATAGCCGAAAATGCGCATGGGAGTAGCTTTTAAGAAGAGTAGACTCTATCACAAAGTCTTGATATGTAAGCCAAGCACCAACCCTTATCTTTTATCCAGAGGATTGACAAGCCGTCGCCGCGTACTTCTCGTCACTTTTGCAATTAATTGGTGAGTCCTTCCCACGTCTGAATGCCTTTTTGATTCTCGAAATCGGACGAATCACGATGGCCTTGACATTGATGAAATCCGTTTACGACCGCACCTGCTAATAAAGCAAACTTTTCTTCATGAAATGACATAATGCTAGACGCACTTTCTACATGATATGATTTTTACAACTGGCAAGCGTAGAAGCATCAAGAGGTGACGACTAAGAACAAAGACCCGCTCGATTTGCGTTTGTCCGACTATTTAATTGCATTAACTGTCGCCATCCTACCCATACTTATAGTGATTACTGACAAGAATGGCGCGCCTGTATGCCGCGAAGGGGACAGAAACTCGAGTGGGCTTGCAAATTCTAAGGTCTTCGCACAAACTTTTTCACGTAGTGAACATCGGAATTCCCGCGGCTCGCCACGCACCACCCGATTTGCTTCCATCGTTATGCCCATGCAATGTCCACTGACCCAGCCGTTATCTGCTTCGCCCGTCCTACTTTTTAGGAATCGACGCTGTTGATTCAATAAGCTGTACCGATAAGAATGTTTTGTCAAAGCTTGGAAGCAAGCGACGAGGTTTTAAAAAATTATGCTTGAAAATATGCATTAGACACTAGTAACTTTACTATTCTGACAGCGATGTTTATTTCATATAACATTACCGCCTCACGCTTCCACAATAAAACCGAGGTTACGGTGATAGATTGAAGATGCACTCATTCTAGATCTGCGTGCTACATTAACCACTACACGTAAGGTTTGCATGCTGTCTCGAAGTGCCAGATTATAAGGCGTACGATCTTCAATGTGGTGAGCTCTAGAAAGAGCAGCTACATATGCGACGAATAAGGTGAGCCATGGAATGGAAAACCAACACATTAATATGTCATGTCGGTAGTTGCTTGTTTGCTCTTGTTGCATATGCCAACCAACACATTTCGATTTCCATGTTGATAGTATTACCCATACGAAGGTATGACGATTACATCGCGTTTTGTTAATAATGTTAGTTCTACTAATCATCTAACAGCGCTGACCATGGCTAAAGCGACAGTGAGGGTGAAAAGCACGGAACTGCTATCGGTAGCAAGACCGCGAGTTAACACAAACTACCCTTGACCCTTTCGACGCATCCAGTTCAGAGGTTCCGTTCAAGCATCTCATCCCTCGCCTTTTATCCCACTCTATTGATTTCACCAGGTGATGATGATCAGGTCTTTCAAAGTAACAACATCAAGCTTACTCTTCGTCATTTGATTCAGTCGTCCTACCACAGCCCATAACGGCAAAGATGTCGACAGAATTCCGGCAATGGAGCCATAATATGACTGTCTCGTCCACTGCGGTGAGCAAGGCAAGGAGTTGACGCCGAAAGAATCTCTTGGACAGATCCTAAGCAAGCAGTCTTGCCATACCACAATAAGTACATGATGGATGCATTAATCTTTTCAAGGTTCTATAAAGCCTATCGGTGTTGAACTTCTGGTCGACCTGAGCCCCTGACAATACCCTTGCGCCTCCTCTTCGATTGCTTATCAATCTTTGAGCCAATCTCTACGGTACATATCCAGCAAATGGCGGTACGTTAGTTGAAAATTTATAGCAGATCATGCGTCCTCTATCTCCCACGAGTGAAAAAATAGAAAAACGTACTGTAATAATGTACTTACGTTTGTTCCATATTTGAATTCAACTTGAGAGTGAAGGAAAGGTCGGAACCTGGATGCGCAACTTCCTCCACCGAAAAAACATCATTTTCAGCCATAGCGGCTCCATCTCATTGCACGCTGCGTGCATCGTTCTCGACAACACTATTCGTGCAACTCTCTTACCTTATTCTACTGAGTCTACAAGTTTTTGGTCTTGATGACTGTAGGATCCCGTTTGGATCGCATACTTACTGTTGAGCCCCACAACCACACGATCATCTGCTTCGTCTCCGCTGTCTTTGGTAGTAAGTTTATGACTGAGACCTTGGTGCTTCAACTTCATGACAATCAGTTCTCAATTCTAGCTCTTTCGTGCAGATAGACGTCCGACCAAACATGGACGACGCATATTCGTTTCCAGAGATGCACCCAACTGCTGGCTACTTTTTCTCTGAGGAGATCAATGTTCATTTCATGGCGTTAGATGACTTTCAGTCGACACTACTTCAAGACTCTCCAGTTGAAAGTTCCTTCCATTTAAATCTTCCTACAGCTTCAAAAGACTCCATCTTACCCTGTTCACAGTCGTCATCCACGGTCTATCTACCTCCTTGCGATGGGCTTCTCGAGGACTACTCACCAATAATGAAACCAGAGATCCCATTATTTACCACCACCGATGATCATATCTTGAATAAGCTAGAGCCTGCACCTGATGATCTGTTGGACAGCACCGACTTACAACCGTTGCCGGTATACGTCATCCATGACGACACCATCAGTGATGACGAGGACAAGGAGCGACTTCGACGTCGCCAACGCGGATACGAGAAACGCTATCGAGGACGCAAACGAGTAAGTACTATAGTGTATCGCGATAGATTGAATCAAACAACTCCTTACCTCCTTATGTTTCCATTCGCAGCGAGACCTTAAAGTGCAGCGGGATATGTGGCTAGCCCTCGAGATGAAGTTGGATGACGCCCGTAAGAAATTTTGCAGACCTTATGTCCGCACCAAGGCTAGAGAGAGCGACACGTTGCGCTGTAAAATGTTGCGGCTAAAGCTCGAGGAGCGCGCTCTCCGACAGGACCAAATTGCGATGCGGTCACTCCAGTCATGGGAAGAAATCTCACGCATCCGTGAGTACTCGGACAAAAGCCAGCTTCATACGGCAAGCGAGTGGCGGCACAGTGCCGATAAGGTCATTGGCCGTTGCGCCGTGCTCGGCCCTCGTCAATTCCACCCCTATGCACCAATCCAGCAGTGCCACTTCACGTGGTGAAGAAACTTACTCAGCAAAACGTCATCTTTGAATATAAGTCGAACGAATGACGCGACGAATCGGAGTATACTACTAAGAACGCACAATAAACTTGCACTGAATGAATCCGCTTGCACCAAATCCACTGCATCTATGTAGCTGTCATAGAATCTCGGTGTCCCGATCTAATGCATGAAATTATTAACGAACATGTGTGATGGTTGTGTTAGTCGCCAACTTCAGACACTGTCTGAGCTAGACAGTACTGGACCTCCATTTGTAGTCACGTCGCATAAGCTCGTCAACACATCGGTCCACCTGAAAGCATCATGCGTTCACTGCACATGTAAAAAGCATTTCATTCGGACACGAGAGATGGAGGTGAATCCTGTTACAAAGCAACTGTGACGCTCTTGACCAGGACGCATAGTTGCGCTGCCATTTACCTGGAAAAGTTCTCTTACTATTGTAGTAGTTACATTGTCAGAAGTTCCACTATAGTCAGGCACTGATCCCGGGAACTGTCGTGTAGTGTCCTCAGATGTCCCGCGAAGTGGGACTGCTCTGCTAATCAAGTGGCTCGTGCTACATACAGACGAGCCATCCAATTTAAAACTAAGGGTAGTGCTAGCGTCAGAATTCTTCACTCTCGGTGGTATCAACCTGATCACTGATCTATGTCGAAAAAGACAAGACGCTATAGTTTTCATCGAACTGTAGCTAAATGAACTCTTTGTGTTATAGCATTTTGTGATGGACGTTTCACTTTACTATGTCAAGAGTAGGGAATCTGCTTTGTAGATGCATAACGCGATCATGAGCAAACGTATGGCAACTAAAAAGAACTGTCTGTACCGTCTTCTTTCCAAAACGACAAGTCGGCGGTGTTGAGTCTTTCCCGTAGAACATCAAATATTGAAGAGTGCCCAACCCAACGCACCAGTACTTGAAACTTGACTGTCGAGAGTAGCTTTCAGCTCATCTCAGATGACGGCCACATCCAAGTGGGCTCAATTCAACGAGCACCAGATTCACAAAAACAGCCAAATCTTTTTTCGATCATCCGAGCGCCAAGATCTGCTCATTCGGATTTTTTCGAGACGCCACCGACATGACTGACTATGACCTTGAGCTCAATGCTGTGAGCATTTTCCTTGATGAGTTGAGCCTTGATGAGATTATACAATGCGGCTTTCTTACCCGAGTGAGTGTACGTCCTCGTTCCCGTTGAACGAAAGCGTGTGTAACGACGATGACGATGAAGAAACAGTGGGCGCGTGTTCCGTAGCGGGGACCACATCAGGCGAAGGGAGCGACAGTGAGGAACTGCATGATCAAAGCGCGATCATGAAATGTCCAACAATCAGATCGAAACGACTCAAGACCGAGATCCAACGCGAGCTGCAACGGTCGTACGACAGGAAGTTTCGAACTAACAAAAGGGTATGTCAAAACTAGTACTAAATCACACATGGTCTATAAAGTAAGTAACAACTAATAATCTCCATAACTACTTCTAGGCACGACGTATTGCAGGATGCAAGACGTTCATCTCTGGATTGCAAAATTTCACGGTACTGATGCACTTTAGACTAGCACGGACCGAGAAGGAGATTAATCTGCTTTGTCTCGCAAAGAAGAATGGGAATGGTATTCCGACTGAAAGCAACGCACAGCAGCAGTTAATCCGAAATGACGGCGTGATTCAATGCATTCACTCCTGCACATTGAGTTGGAAACAAGAAAAGAGTGGCGAGTTGGGTAAGTATTTCTTACGGGACCAAGCGAAAAAGATTCAAAGTTATGTGGATAAATTGGCTGAGCTCGGGGAGCAGTTGAGTATATTAACGGCTGAGCTGCGTTGGCGAGTAGAAGAGAAGACAGCAGGAGTATGGGTGTAATTTGTTTCATGCATTTTCGTTCAATTGTTTAGCTTTGAAGTTCAGTATATTTGAGTGGTCGTTGGTCGACTATTGAAAGAGTAGGTCTCCCCTGTCTGTCTGTAATGCCTTTACAAAGATCAAGGTTTCACCCTTACATCACCACGTACTATACATACGACTGTCACATTATCAATGCACGAATCTAATCGTGATGAGATATGAGGCCGATCAAATGTGGCGATGCTACAAATCGAACACTGAAAAGGTCTGACACAACAACAAGAATATTTCATTATTATCATCTAAGGAAAACAGGTTCAGAAAATGGTTGTAGCAGTTAGTATTGTAATAATGAGCTTCAAGGTAAACGATAACATAAAGCATCTTTCTGATCGCTGGATGGACTCTCGACGTAAGATGCCTGCCTAGTTACCAGAGACATGGATGTGTCTTGCAATATCAGCAACGGTACATTCAAAGAAAGACAAACAAAATTGTTGAAGAAGACAATTAGCTTGGCATGTTTCAAAACCAATTAGTGTTCAGTTATTGTCTTACCAACACGAACAAGGCTAAAGATCCTTCCTTGCTGTGGTTCTATAACAGTCGAACCACTAGACTAAGCCTAGCGATTGTGCTTCAACATCTTCACAGCTTTTTCCTCGTCCCCCACTTTGAGGAATGTACCAGCAATGTTTGATTGCAATTCCACCGACCACCGTCGCATCCACATCTTTAGTCATTGACCAGCTATCATCGAAAGTGTTAAAGTTCACTTTCAACCACGTCGGAGAGACATTGAACGAGAAAAAGCCATATGGATAATGACCTGCTGCCCATATGTTTTCCACATAATCTTCCGCAAACGGAGGAATACCACTCGGTGACTCGTTCTGGATGCCCCCCACCTGCACCATTCTCGATAAAGTGTGTCTTGAATGCTGCATAATCATGTTTTTCGCCGTGGGTGTGACCGTAAAAGAAGAGCTGGATGCCAAGACCATCCAATAACTCACGCCATTTCTTGGCAGGACCGGGAGCGTAATGGTTGTATGGAGAATAGTGCGTGTTCACGATCTTCCAAGTCGCATTGGAAGCTTTTGCGGCCTCGACAAGATTTTCCCGTGAGTCGTCTCCCCACGCTTGAAGCTTATTCATACAGGCATCAAACATGCCAATGTCACCTCCAGCGCAAAGACTGTCGCCCCGCTTCACGTTTTCACAAGAGTCGTCATCTTTGCCAGAGTACCCGTAGCACTGGCAACAAATTTGCTGAGCGCCATGTGAGTCTGCGTCGTTCGTGTCAAGATTGAAGATGTCGATTGTCACGTTTGATATAGGATCAGCAATCGAGTGCACGAAGAAATGATCGGGCATGATCCATCGATTATCCTGTGGACTCACGTATTGTGACTGCAAAGCAAACTTTTGGTCTAGCGATGCCAGCAATTCGGACGTCGATCCACACTCTACGGCCATCTCTCCGTCTGTGCACACATAGCTCGCGCCTCCATAGTCATGATTGCCCATAACATTCACCCAGGGAATTCCAGTCAAGCTCGGCGCATTGTACTTGTCCTCAAATGTCTGTTGAAATCGATAGGCTTGATCTGTCACGCCGTGCAATCCGTCCCAGTAAAAGTTGTCACCATGGCCGATCACAACGGAAGGACGAGGTTGTAGTGCTGCAGCGGCCTGACCCAACAGAATAGCCACATACTCCATCGCGTTGTAGTCCAGCACAGTAAAGGATTTGCGACGCGCACAACAAGAGCCGCCATCTTTAGCAATCGTGCGACCCCAGTCTCCGATCGCAAGAGCTGATACTGAATACGTCTCTGTCAATGGATCCGTAGTCTCTTCATCCTCATCTTGTGACCCACTTGAGTTTTCGCTTTCAAAAGTACGCAGTTTGTCTTTTTCGCGTGGCTTTACTATGGCGTCTGAATGTTCATTGCCACCATCACTAGCTATAGTAGAGGTTTGTGAGCTGGACACCGTCACAGCGACCACGATAACTGCAACGATAACAGCGAGCGCCAATACAATACTGATCACAAGGACTTTCTTCTGCATCTCACTGAATTAGCCTCAGGTCTTGTCAAGATTGCAAGAAAAGTAATGGAAGCTTGACACCATTGTGCACAACAAGCTGGGCATCAATCAACTTGTTGTCTCTCCATCAAGGAAAACACTCGGAAATTGTGGACAACCCTGTTGTCGTCACATATTAATTGTAGGTTATCCTGAAGCAGTCTTGGTTGGGCGCAGGGTCCCACGCGACAACATAGCCATCCATCTCTCGATAAAGAATGTCGACTTTCGTCAAGAACTTGAGCATCTCAGAGGCCGAAGCCAGCGAACAATTCTTGGCCTTTCACTAGCTGTCTTTGGTACTATTTTTTCACTGGATCACGTACTTCTCGCTCGATGGATTGATGACGTTAGTTACAATAACATCAATCACGTTAGAATCGCCGAGTCAGCGACACAGACAACTTGTGTCTTGCTTTCAGTAGCAGACCATCGTTTATGCTTCAGTGTCTTCATTTTGCCATTGGTGAGTGGACTGTGAACGTCAGGACAATATGTGCGCAATGGCATGCGTTCGTCTCAGCACACCCGACAATGTCTTGGATGCGAACGACTTTTGCTGAAGACCGATGTCTTGATAGCTCTAGTCGTATATTTTGGACGTAAGTCAGCTCAACAGCAGCTTTTATCAGTCAGTCAGTCTGCCAAGCGTGATAGCTTCAGGCGTTAATGTAAGCATGAAAACGCATTGGCTTCGCGATCAGACAAGTTGGAAGGTTCACATTTTCGAGAGTGCGGCTAGGATCATTGCGTGGCCAGACAATTTGCTAGCCTATGCTAGCAAAGGTGGTTTTTAACGAGGTGCCGACATTAATGACAATCGATGGTGGAGTGTTTCCTAAAACGTTATGTGTGAGCAGGGAACTGAACTCGCGGTATTGGCGCTTTCCCGGTTGATGAGACGTTTGGGGATGGACAAGCTGATCTCATATCGCATCGCTAATGCGGCATCCGCAACAGTGCAGGTATTCCACCTTCTCCAAGATTTGTTATCGAGTACGTCTAGTGTTGAACGCACATATCAAAGAAGCAACAAAAAGTTTTGTTTTGAAAACGAAAGGTGTCATTTGCGAATGGATTCCTGAGCGTTTGTAGCAATGTAGCAGCAGCTTCAAGGAATGCAGCACAGAATGATAGATGCAGTGGTTCGATGGTAGTCGGAAAGGTCTAGCATTCTGATCGTCTGGAAACCTTGAACAGATTTGAACACTGTGACGATTGTGGGAGTCGCGTACTGCCCACTCCGTTAGGTGTGGAATTTGGTCTTTAGCATTACGTGTAACTACTGCTTTAGTATCTTGCCGTTGCTACTTAACGCGTGCTTGTACATCATTCCGAATTGCTGCACTAAAAGATGTCAATGTTAATAATCTTGATATCCGTAAGAGGTTTGTCTGACTTGTCCACTCGTGCGTTCTCAATGCTAGAAACAGTGTCCTTGCCGTGTTCAACACGACCAAAAACGGTATGTTTATTATCAAGCCATGGAGTAGGCACTGTCGTGATGAAGAACTGCGAACCGTTAGTGCCAGGGCCGGCGTTGGCCATCGAAAGCGTATATGGCCGATCGTGCCGTAAGTTGCGGTGGAACTCGTCTTCAAACTCGCCTCCCCAGATAGATTCGCCACCAGTGCCATCTCCCAGCGGGTCACCCGTTTGAACCATAAAGTTTTTGATCACACGGTGGAAGATGAGATCGTCGTAGTACCCATTGCGCGCATGCGTACAAAAGTTCTCCACCGTTCTGGGACATTCCTTGCCAAACAATTTGAGGGTGATGTCTCCCATAGTTGTGTGCATGACAGCTGTCTCGCCAAGCATCTTAGAGGCGCTAGACTCGGTGGCGACCTGAGCCTCTTCCAGTGTTGGCTTCTCATTGAAAACGTCGCGGCCAGTTCCAGCGTTGTTGCCTTCACCTTCGTCATCTTTCGGCTCCCGAGATGAAAAGAGAAAGAAGCGATTGCGCTTGAACGACGTGCAGAATAGCGTAGGATCGATACTGTCCCGCTCATTAATCGAGTCTGACATGACCTCTGCTTCGTGTTTGAGCCCCGACGCTACCTTCAGGTGCTTTTCATACTGTGTATTAACCTTAGGTTTGCCCTGAAACAGACTCAAACGCAAAAAGCGGTCGGAGCTCTCGACCTTACCCAGCACTTTCACGACCTTGTTTGTCTCGACATTCACCACCTTGATACCTGCTAGTGTTGCATACAGAATAAAGTATCCAGATTCGTCAAAGATGCAGTTCGACACGACATCCGAGTCGACCAGCTCCCGTTCAACGGCTGCTCGCCTACCAAAATCAATAGCATCCAGATGCAGCGTATCATCGGCCTGTGCATCCTCAAAAACAGCCAAGCTCTCGTCGTATTTGCGCCGCATTTTGCCCGTATCAAACCTGAATACTCGAATCTGCTTGTCCTTTGCTGTAGCCACGAAGCTCTTGCCGTCAGGCGAGACATCAATAGCTGTAGCATGTGTTTTACCTTTCGCTAGCTCGTACAGGTCTGTCTCCCCTTTGAATCGGAACTTGGTCACCTTCCTGCCTGTCGGAAACTTGTACGAGTCGGCATCCCAGTACTCGATGATGCCCTTTTGGTCAGCTGAGATAGCACAATTGGTCACAGCGTTGAAGGCAAGTGCTGTGACTGGTGCAGCATGCAGCTGACCAATAATGTGTACGGGTTCGTTGGCCGTTGTGTAGATTTTCACGGCAGGACTGTTCCTATCAGCGACGGCCACTTTTGGTTCAATGGCTCCTTTGGACGAAATCCAGCTACATTCTCCTGGTGTAAACGTTACAGTCAGCATATTGACCATATCAAAAGCCAAGACGTCGTACAACTTGATACTGCGATCAGCTGACGTGCTGCAAAGACGTAAACCATCGACCGATACTGCAAGACCATGTATTTCCTGAAGATGGGCCTTATAATGTTTAACAAACTCAATACCACGAGCCATTTTCTTCCAAAACTTGACATGACCGTCTACACTGGCCGTGATAATGAAATGAGTCTCTGGTGCAACAAGTACGTGCGAGACGATGGTCCGATGCATAAAGCTACGTTCGTACATGGCTGCACTAGGCAAATTAGCAAGATAAGCAGATTCAAATGGAAGCTTCTTGTGTTTTTTCTTGGTCGGTTGAGCCGGCATTGGTAATGGCATTGGCCCATTATCATCTGAGCTCACTGCATCACCACGATCGTGAAGAGACTTGTCGGTCATGACCAATGGAGAAATGATACAATGAGGAGCTCTGTGATGAAGAAAACCGAGCATATGTAGCTATATTTGTTTAAAAAGGTGCCACACGAACAGTTATAGGGAAGCTACTGTAAGTTAAAGATAGAGCAAGCTTTAATTAAAAGGGCTTTCTTGACTGTAAACTAATATTTTAGTCAATTTAAAAACAATTAATATATTTTATAATAGCAAAAATAAAATACCATGATATAAAAGACAAGAATTGATTTCACAGACATGTGTCACTAAAGTGAAACTTCTAGCACAATCTCTTAAGATCTCAGATCTTTCCATTAAAGCACATTCCGAGATCTAATGAAGTCCTTTAACGCCCTTGCGTTGTCCTTCCTGGTCATTGTCTCGAATGTTAAAGCACAGAACTACCTTAAACTGTCTTTGTTATTGACTGGAGAAGAAACTGAATCATGTACAATATACAAGAGCAAAGAAATGTGCATACAAAATCACTGCGCCTGGTGCATCTGCGCAGCCGTTCCGTCGTCCTGTTTCACGCGTAAAGAGGCGGACCTACTGCCTCCCGCTGTTTTTAAATGCTTTAAAGAAAAGCAGACAATCTCGTGGGAGCTAACAGAGGTCCCGTCAACTTTTAACGAGCTCGACAGCCTCTTTGAAGTCTGGAAAGCTGAACATGGGAAGAGCTACGACTCGTCCATTCAGAATGAGCTTCGCAAAGGCATTTTTGAGATCAATGCACGCTCTGTGGCTGCGCACAATAGTAAGACCAACAAAAGCTTTACGATGGAGCTCAACGAGTTTGCAGACACGACGTGGGACGAGTTCCAGACCTGGTACTTGGGAACTCCGCAGGAATGCTCAGCTACAACGACTGTAAATGACGTGACATATGGTCAAGTCCCTGCGGAAAAAGACTGGAAAGCTGATGGAGCAGTGTCTCCCGTCAAAAATCAGGGCAAGTGCGGGTCGTGCTGGACATTCTCTACGACAGGATGTCTTGAGAGCCATGTGAAGCTCAAACATGGCAAGTTTACGATCCTATCGGAGCAGAACTTGCTGGATTGTGCACAGAACTTTGACAATCATGGCTGCAAGGGAGGACTACCGTCACATGCCTTCGAGTACGTTAAGTACAATGGAGGCTTGGACAAGGAGGACGTGAGTAATAGTTATTCTGTAGCTTTTTTTGCGTGCAGAGCCTAATCTTTTTTTATTGCTTTCTGTATTTATATTGTAGACCTACCCTTACGAAGCAAAGGAGGGTAAGTGCAAGTTCAACACCTACCATGTTGGTGTGCAAGTGAATCAGGTGGTGAATATTACGTCGCGCAATGAGAAAGAGCTGGAGGCTGTCGTGGGCTTGATTGGCCCCGTTAGTATTGCCTTTCAGGTGGTATCCGACTTCCGTTTCTACAAATCTGGAGTGTATGAGTCGACAAAATGCCGCTCAGGTGAGAAGGACGTCAACCATGCAGTTCTGTCTGTGGGTTACGGCGTTGAGGACGGCAAGAAGCACTGGATTGTTAAGAACAGTTGGGGTTCCAAGTGGGGCATGGACGGCTTTTTCCAGATCGCACGGGGAAGCAACATGTGCGGCTTAGCCGACTGCGCGTCGTACCCTGTGGTGGTGTAAAGCAGTCCTTGGCGTCGTTGAGCAGCTGATGCCCCGTCATTCCGTCGTGATGGTATGGCTGTAGATGTTTCTGCAGCTGCTAGAGCTATAGAAGTCATTGATGGGTATCATTTTCTACGAGATAGTTCTACGCGCTTGTCTTTTTCTCCATTGGCACGGTGCTTACAGCAGCGATAGGGTTCACATTGAGGAATGTTCGGTTTAGTCTTTATCAAAGTTTGTATGTGCAGCCTATCGTAAAAATGAAACATACGGACGCTACGAGCTCACCATAAGTATTCTGGCCTTGTTTTGCGTGTTGTATATCAGGATTCACTTGACATGATTTAAACTGCCGTCGGACAAAGTGTACTTTTTTCCGACTAAGATTGATAAAAGGTCACTAAGGGATCATGTCATTGAACCTATCGATGCGGTATTGTTGACATTATTCTTGTCGGACTCGCCCGATACGCATCGGACATAGACACTTCTGTTTACGCACCAGGAGCCCATGAATTGCCTATCGCAAAACGCTGTGAAAATCCCATGATGCAAAGGAGTTCAGTCTCACGAGTGGGAACAAAAATCGGGTCGTGAAATCCTTTGAGTTCGTCGTTTGATCTGGTCTGGTAATGAATGGTAGGAAGCTTGCCGTCACCAATGGACAATGTTGTCGTCAATTATTGGACAAAGCCACGGGGCTGTCACGTTGTTGATCGTACAATCGCATAGAATTTGAAAGGTTATTTCGTCCATGAGGCATAATAAATCAATGACACCTCATTTGATGCTGTATATTACATTTGTCGTTCTATTTATTCTCTTTTCAAATGATTTTTGTATACCCCCAAAAACGCTTTTACCGTCTACTTCACAGAGACCTTTATTATATGGGGCACCGTAATACTTCCATCAGTATGGAAGAGACAATGCCATTAAAGGGTCTACCGTCTACTTTCAAGCCTAAGAACTCACGTCGTAATACGCTCAAGGAGAATGCAAAACGCGCACAACGAAAGCTTCAGCTCGCTTGCGTCTGCTCACTGCTCTTCATGTGTGCCGAAATCATAGGAGGTTTTCTAGCCGGTAGTTTGGCAATTATGACGGATGCTGCGCATTTATTGTCGGACGTAGCGGGCTTCTGTATCTCGCTCTTTGCCATTTGGGTAAGCACGTTACCAGCATCTAAACGTTTGAGTTTTGGCTTTCAACGTGCCGAAGTGATTGGCGCCGTTACAAGTGTCTTGGTCATTTGGGTCCTTACAGGAGTGTTAGTCTATGCCGCGGTGGAGAGATTCATGGAGTGTCTGGAGCCTAATCCGAAGGAACACGTGAATGGCAAACTCATGTTTATTGTGGCCTGCATTGGGCTTTTTGTAAACCTGATTCTAATGCAGATCTTGGGACACGGTCACAGTCACGGAGGAGGTAGCAGCCATGGTCATAGTCATGCAGGAGGTAATGATCATGGTCACAGTCACGCAGGAGATAGCGACCATGGTCACAATGACGGAGGAGACAGCCATGGACATGGTCATGGAAGTACAAGCAGTAGCCACGATTCCTCCCATAACCACTCGCACGGATACGAAAGTTTGGAAAACGGTCAAGTCTCCTTGTCATCTCATAAAAAGCTGGAAAACTTAAACATTCAGGCGGCCTACATACACGCGCTTGGCGACTTCATTCAGAGCATCGGTGTGTGCATTGCTGGGGGACTCATCTGGTATAAGCCGGAGTGGCAGATTGCAGACCCTATTGCCACTTTCATTTTCTCTGTGCTGGTCCTAGGCACGACGGTTGGTATTGTCCGTGACAGTGTGCATGTGCTGATGGAGGGCACGCCCGATGGCATTCATGCCGATGAGATTGAGCGCGGTCTGCGTCACTGTTCTTCTGTTGTGGCTGTGCATGACCTGCACATCTGGTCATTAAGCGCCGGTTTACCATCGCTAAGCGTGCATCTGGTCTCGGATGATGCTGAGACTGCACTGCACGCTGCTCAGCGCTACCTCCTCTCCAAGGGCATCACCCACACTACTATTCAAATTGAAAAGACTTCAACGCTGTATCCCCGCAACTGCAATTCTGACCTTAAGTGTGGTCAAGACTTCCCGCAGAACAGCGACTAGACCCGAGAATTTGCTGTGTTGGTGAAGAAAAGGCTTCCTTAAGGTTTTGCAACGTATTAGCTGCAAAATGACAGAAATAAGATACATACAAGTGGTCAAGGTATGGTATGTCGAAACGTTGTAATGCTAGACACCTTTAACTACTTGACTTGTTCGACAATAGAAAGCATGAGAGAGCTGAATGGTGCTCTCTCATAAGCCAAAAAAGAGAAAGAAAAAAAGTTGATGATACAGCAGTAGAGACCCTTGTGTTTAGTCACCTCGACAGGTACTATGCTATCAATTACAAATGACCTCAGGTAGGTTCCAAAATGGCGATATCATTTGGCAAAGACGTTGCGTGCGCTCATTGATAAGGACACAACTTATGGCAGAATAAAACTTGCCGGTGCTGGGTCTGTTTAGTCCCTTTTCTTTATTTGGCCTCCACAGGACCAGAGACTCTTTTTCATGCCGATCACCTTAAGCATCAAATAGTTCTTTTGGCAAGGTCCTACTCATGCCACTAACCTCAAAAATCAGATCGTTCATCTTGGCACTCGAAGCTTGCCATTGTTAGTTGCTACAGATTCGCGCTTATAGCCGTAGCACTGGAGACAAAAGTGTTGTAGATTTAAACAATTTTAGTTGACAGAACGTCAAAGATTGTTGCTAGATCAGGCACTCAATCAATATTCATTGTCGTATGAAGTAAAATTAAGGCCGTGTTGATGAGGCTAACGTTGTCACGTTAGCCTCATTAAAAATCACATCAATGATATACAGAAGTTTTGATAGAAAAATGTGTGCAAACAGGAATAAATAATCATATAAACGCTTTTGGCTCCAATATATAGTCAGTCGCTATTATAATGACATTAGTCGAAGGTTTAACCCTCGGGACACCGGTTTGTACTCCAGTATACCTGTCGTGCTCTGATGCTTATGAAGCACCGCGCTCTTATTTGCTCAATCTTCCAAAGGAGGAGACTGTAGAAACAAGATGATTGGTCTATTCAATTTTACAATTTTGATTTTGACAAAATTGCCCATTCAGTAAAGTTGACTGAGTACCCAGATGCAAATGCAACAGGTTCGCTTTGATCGCGCTAAACAGGTGCCCGTTCCGCCCGAAAACGCTGCGCCACTCGAAATATCGCGAGAGATGAGACAGCAGCTTCGTGTGATGCGCCATCATGCGTTCGAGCGGTATCAGGAGAATGCGCAATGGACAAAGGAGCTACTGGAGGGTTCCATGTCTCAAGATGGTGTAGTAGTGACGCATAGCCACCTTTTAGCGTCAGTTGAGGAGCTACAGATGAAGTTAGAGGCAAGAAAAAATTTGGTACAGGACCAGGAAAGGAAGTTGGTGCAACTGGAGAAGGCACACGAGATGACGCAGCGCCGGTTCGTTACAACAATTTTGCTCGTTGCGGCTTTTAATTAATTGGTTGAACTCTCTACTTTTGCAGATTTGAAGACATACTGACAGCTTTGAAAACGGCGGAAGATGCAGCCGCAATAAATGAGTGCGAGGCAAAACTGTCAAGCGAGAAGCGATTACTGTTGCCGAACAAGTTACGCAAGATGGAGATTGTAAGATTATGACTGATTAAACTGCACATCAAGATAAGAGACGTAGAAATGAAGCAACATTTAGTTTACTCAATGCTGCGATAGAAATACGTCAATACGTCAAAACGGAATCAATACACTTTAAACGAACGTACACTACATTACTTTCATTTATCCAATCATTATCAAATTAACAGCTTCGTCGCCGCCACTGCTGCTCCAGACCAGCTTTCTCGGAAGTTGAGACATAGGTTTCCTGAATACACCACGCCTCCGATCGATCGCGCGGAGGCATCCCGCGCCAAGCCGACAACCATTCGATACGGACTTGTTTACGAAACTCCCGGATATTTTGCTTGACGAAGCGCCTATCGGCTGTAGCCACTGCCAAGTTACGTTTCTTTTGCTGAAAAAACCGAGTAAATTCGTTCTGCTGGAGTCTTCTGATGGCGTCCAATTCTTTATAGCCAGGTCTCCCGACGGTATGAAAAGATTTGAGCTGCCCCAGGCACCGCGCCTCTTCCGCGGTGGTGACGGCAGCTGAAAAACTGTTTTTCGCGGTCCAGGCGAATTGAGGAAAGTCAGACGTAAAAAGTGACCTATAAGTAGCACCGACACGGATAAATGAAGGTAAAGCGTTAATCGCGCTGATGGGTTTGGGTCCTCATCGAATTCTTTGAACAGCCCGAATTTTGGTTCAAATACCATCGCACTGAAAGTGCTGCGGCGCCGGGGGTCACAGAGTCTTAGCTGTTTGTCATGAAACAAACCTAACCCTCGCAGACGAGCCCAGTTATGCGCGCTGTCCACTAACGGTACAATCCCTACCGCCGCTAGTACTCTCGCTGTCGATACAATCCACGTCTTCAGCCATGCTTTCGTGGTGGACTCTGTTGTATCACGGTAATATGAGCATTATTTGTTCTGTAAACACTTAAGACGCCATGAGAGGACAGTAAGGCTACAAAGGGTACCTATTCCAGTGATGACCATGTCATCCAGGTCGAGGACCATAAGGCCGAATCGGTAGATCATCAGATTGACCAGGTAGATCATCAGGTTGACCAGGTGGATCATCAGGTTGACCAGGTGGATCATCAGGTCGACCAGACGGAAGAAGGTGAAGGACCGCTGGTAGAATCGTCACAAGCGGATGACCAAGTGCGCACGTTCGAAAGTGGGGAACTCTGGGCCGAAAATGTATGCCAAGGGTGGGCTATCATACCGAAGGTAGACCTTTCACCCACGAGTATCAAGTTGGAAGATATACAGATTCCTGACTCTGACGGAAACACGGACCGACTGAGTCAGGAATCTGTATACTTATGGAGAAGACGACATCTTCTCATGGGAAAGGGTAACGCCTTATCACCGGCAGCTCGAGGAGCTATTTGTGACATAGATGTGGGTAATGCCAGGCCGATTGCACTACGTGTACGGAAGGCGGCCTTCCAGTTCAAAGAAAGTTGGCCGATCTGATCAAGGGACTATTATTTGCAAAGATCATCCAGCCCTCTACTTCGCCATGGGCCAGCCCAATCGTCATTATTATGAAGAAATTGAGTGGATATCCGGCTGTGCATTAATTATCGTTTGGTGAACTTGACCTAGCTTATGGTCTACCCTATGCCTCTGATCAACGAATTATTGGAGGACCTGAACGGAGCATTGTGGTACTGCTTCCTGGACATGTCAAGTGGTTTTTGGGTCGTCAGCATGACCGAAAGTGCGAGAAAGATCTCAGCCTTCGTCACCCCACTGGCTACTTGAATGGCCACGGGTGCCATTTGGACTCAAGAATGCGCCACAGATATATCAGAGACTCTTGTATAATGCTTTGTATGTTTTTTTACGTATCTCTCAAGGAGCTGGTACAGAGGAGACCGAAGACTTGTTTACGATGGGGAACCCTGATGTACAGACGGGTCCCTTGGTACTGGGTTGGCGGTCCTACATAAACGACATTCGGATACCGGCCAGCTCGTGGGATATGTTGTGCAAAAAGGTGGAGCGGTTGTTAGATGTGTGTGACTATTGGAATTTGTCAAGAGCTCGTGGAAGTGCCGAAAGGTAGACTATCTCGGTCACCGGGTCTCGGACCAAGTACTAGAGGCCCACCCAAAGGACCTCCAGTCCTTGGTCGCCCTACCATTGCCAACGACACTCAAAGCCATGCAATCGTTTCTCGAAAGTCTGAGCTACTACAGTAGATCTATTATAGATTATGCAGTGTACGCATTGATCCTGGGGGGGGGGGGGGGGGGGGGGGGGGGGGGGGGGGGGGGGGGGGGGGGGGGGGGGGGGGGGGGGGGGGGGGGGGGGGGGGGGGGGGGGGGGGGGGGGGGGGGGGGGGGGGGGGGGGGGGGGGGGGGGGGGGGGGGGGGGGGGGGGGGGGGGGGGGGGGGGGGGGGGGGGGGGGGGGGGGGGGGGGGGGGGGGGGGGGGGGGGGGGGGGGGGGGGGGGGGGGGGGGGGGGGGGGGGGGGGGGGGGGGGGGGGGGGGGGGGGGGGGGGGGGGGGGGGGGGGGGGGGGGGGGGGGGGGGGGGGGGGGGGGGGGGGGGGGGGGGGGGGGGGGGGGGGGGGGGGGGGGGGGGGGGGGGGGGGGGGGGGGGGGGGGGGGGGGGGGGGGGGGGGGGGGGGGGGGGGGGGGGGGGGGGGGGGGGGGGGGGGGGGGGGGGGGGGGGGGGGGGGGGGGGGGGGGGGGGGGGGGGGGGGGGGGGGGGGGGGGGGGGGGGGGGGGGGGGGGGGGGGGGGGGGGGGGGGGGGGGGGGGGGGGGGGGGGGGGGGGGGGGGGGGGGGGGGGGGGGGGGGGGGGGGGGGGGGGGGGGGGGGGGGGGGGGGGGGGGGGGGGGGGGGGGGGGGGGGGGGGGGGGGGGGGGGGGGGGGGGGGGGGGGGGGGGGGGGGGGGGGGGGGGGGGGGGGGGGGGGGGGGGGGGGGGGGGGGGGGGGGGGGGGGGGGGGGGGGGGGGGGGGGGGGGGGGGGGGGGGGGGGGGGGGGGGGGGGGGGGGGGGGGGGGGGGGGGGGGGGGGGGGGGGGGGGGGGGGGGGGGGGGGGGGGGGGGGGGGGGGGGGGGGGGGGGGGGGGGGGGGGGGGGGGGGGGGGGGGGGGGGGGGGGGGGGGGGGGGGGGGGGGGGGGGGGGGGGGGGGGGGGGGGGGGGGGGGGGGGGGGGGGGGGGGGGGGGGGGGGGGGGGGGGGGGGGGGGGGGGGGGGGGGGGGGGGGGGGGGGGGGGGGGGGGGGGGGGGGGGGGGGGGGGGGGGGGGGGGGGGGGGGGGGGGGGGGGGGGGGGGGGGGGGGGGGGGGGGGGGGGGGGGGGGGGGGGGGGGGGGGGGGGGGGGGGGGGGGGGGGGGGGGGGGGGGGGGGGGGGGGGGGGGGGGGGGGGGGGGGGGGGGGGGGGGGGGGGGGGGGGGGGGGGGGGGGGGGGGGGGGGGGGGGGGGGGGGGGGGGGGGGGGGGGGGGGGGGGGGGGGGGGGGGGGGGGGGGGGGGGGGGGGGGGGGGGGGGGGGGGGGGGGGGGGGGGGGGGGGGGGGGGGGGGGGGGGGGGGGGGGGGGGGGGGGGGGGGGGGGGGGGGGGGGGGGGGGGGGGGGGGGGGGGGGGGGGGGGGGGGGGGGGGGGGGGGGGGGGGGGGGGGGGGGGGGGGGGGGGGGGGGGGGGGGGGGGGGGGGGGGGGGGGGGGGGGGGGGGGGGGGGGGGGGGGGGGGGGGGGGGGGGGGGGGGGGGGGGGGGGGGGGGGGGGGGGGGGGGGGGGGGGGGGGGGGGGGGGGGGGGGGGGGGGGGGGGGGGGGGGGGGGGGGGGGGGGGGGGGGGGGGGGGGGGGGGGGGGGGGGGGGGGGGGGGGGGGGGGGGGGGGGGGGGGGGGGGGGGGGGGGGGGGGGGGGGGGGGGGGGGGGGGGGGGGGGGGGGGGGGGGGGGGGGGGGGGGGGGGGGGGGGGGGGGGGGGGGGGGGGGGGGGGGGGGGGGGGGGGGGGGGGGGGGGGGGGGGGGGGGGGGGGGGGGGGGGGGGGGGGGGGGGGGGGGGGGGGGGGGGGGGGGGGGGGGGGGGGGGGGGGGGGGGGGGGGGGGGGGGGGGGGGGGGGGGGGGGGGGGGGGGGGGGGGGGGGGGGGGGGGGGGGGGGGGGGGGGGGGGGGGGGGGGGGGGGGGGGGGGGGGGGGGGGGGGGGGGGGGGGGGGGGGGGGGGGGGGGGGGGGGGGGGGGGGGGGGGGGGGGGGGGGGGGGGGGGGGGGGGGGGGGGGGGGGGGGGGGGGGGGGGGGGGGGGGGGGGGGGGGGGGGGGGGGGGGGGGGGGGGGGGGGGGGGGGGGGGGGGGGGGGGGGGGGGGGGGGGGGGGGGGGGGGGGGGGGGGGGGGGGGGGGGGGGGGGGGGGGGGGGGGGGGGGGGGGGGGGGGGGGGGGGGGGGGGGGGGGGGGGGGGGGGGGGGGGGGGGGGGGGGGGGGGGGGGGGGGGGGGGGGGGGGGGGGGGGGGGGGGGGGGGGGGGGGGGGGGGGGGGGGGGGGGGGGGGGGGGGGGGGGGGGGGGGGGGGGGGGGGGGGGGGGGGGGGGGGGGGGGGGGGGGGGGGGGGGGGGGGGGGGGGGGGGGGGGGGGGGGGGGGGGGGGGGGGGGGGGGGGGGGGGGGGGGGGGGGGGGGGGGGGGGGGGGGGGGGGGGGGGGGGGGGGGGGGGGGGGGGGGGGGGGGGGGGGGGGGGGGGGGGGGGGGGGGGGGGGGGGGGGGGGGGGGGGGGGGGGGGGGGGGGGGGGGGGGGGGGGGGGGGGGGGGGGGGGGGGGGGGGGGGGGGGGGGGGGGGGGGGGGGGGGGGGGGGGGGGGGGGGGGGGGGGGGGGGGGGGGGGGGGGGGGGGGGGGGGGGGGGGGGGGGGGGGGGGGGGGGGGGGGGGGGGGGGGGGGGGGGGGGGGGGGGGGGGGGGGGGGGGGGGGGGGGGGGGGGGGGGGGGGGGGGGGGGGGGGGGGGGGGGGGGGGGGGGGGGGGGGGGGGGGGGGGGGGGGGGGGGGGGGGGGGGGGGGGGGGGGGGGGGGGGGGGGGGGGGGGGGGGGGGGGGGGGGGGGGGGGGGGGGGGGGGGGGGGGGGGGGGGGGGGGGGGGGGGGGGGGGGGGGGGGGGGGGGGGGGGGGGGGGGGGGGGGGGGGGGGGGGGGGGGGGGGGGGGGGGGGGGGGGGGGGGGGGGGGGGGGGGGGGGGGGGGGGGGGGGGGGGGGGGGGGGGGGGGGGGGGGGGGGGGGGGGGGGGGGGGGGGGGGGGGGGGGGGGGGGGGGGGGGGGGGGGGGGGGGGGGGGGGGGGGGGGGGGGGGGGGGGGGGGGGGGGGGGGGGGGGGGGGGGGGGGGGGGGGGGGGGGGGGGGGGGGGGGGGGGGGGGGGGGGGGGGGGGGGGGGGGGGGGGGGGGGGGGGGGGGGGGGGGGGGGGGGGGGGGGGGGGGGGGGGGGGGGGGGGGGGGGGGGGGGGGGGGGGGGGGGGGGGGGGGGGGGGGGGGGGGGGGGGGGGGGGGGGGGGGGGGGGGGGGGGGGGGGGGGGGGGGGGGGGGGGGGGGGGGGGGGGGGGGGGGGGGGGGGGGGGGGGGGGGGGGGGGGGGGGGGGGGGGGGGGGGGGGGGGGGGGGGGGGGGGGGGGGGGGGGGGGGGGGGGGGGGGGGGGGGGGGGGGGGGGGGGGGGGGGGGGGGGGGGGGGGGGGGGGGGGGGGGGGGGGGGGGGGGGGGGGGGGGGGGGGGGGGGGGGGGGGGGGGGGGGGGGGGGGGGGGGGGGGGGGGGGGGGGGGGGGGGGGGGGGGGGGGGGGGGGGGGGGGGGGGGGGGGGGGGGGGGGGGGGGGGGGGGGGGGGGGGGGGGGGGGGGGGGGGGGGGGGGGGGGGGGGGGGGGGGGGGGGGGGGGGGGGGGGGGGGGGGGGGGGGGGGGGGGGGGGGGGGGGGGGGGGGGGGGGGGGGGGGGGGGGGGGGGGGGGGGGGGGGGGGGGGGGGGGGGGGGGGGGGGGGGGGGGGGGGGGGGGGGGGGGGGGGGGGGGGGGGGGGGGGGGGGGGGGGGGGGGGGGGGGGGGGGGGGGGGGGGGGGGGGGGGGGGGGGGGGGGGGGGGGGGGGGGGGGGGGGGGGGGGGGGGGGGGGGGGGGGGGGGGGGGGGGGGGGGGGGGGGGGGGGGGGGGGGGGGGGGGGGGGGGGGGGGGGGGGGGGGGGGGGGGGGGGGGGGGGGGGGGGGGGGGGGGGGGGGGGGGGGGGGGGGGGGGGGGGGGGGGGGGGGGGGGGGGGGGGGGGGGGGGGGGGGGGGGGGGGGGGGGGGGGGGGGGGGGGGGGGGGGGGGGGGGGGGGGGGGGGGGGGGGGGGGGGGGGGGGGGGGGGGGGGGGGGGGGGGGGGGGGGGGGGGGGGGGGGGGGGGGGGGGGGGGGGGGGGGGGGGGGGGGGGGGGGGGGGGGGGGGGGGGGGGGGGGGGGGGGGGGGGGGGGGGGGGGGGGGGGGGGGGGGGGGGGGGGGGGGGGGGGGGGGGGGGGGGGGGGGGGGGGGGGGGGGGGGGGGGGGGGGGGGGGGGGGGGGGGGGGGGGGGGGGGGGGGGGGGGGGGGGGGGGGGGGGGGGGGGGGGGGGGGGGGGGGGGGGGGGGGGGGGGGGGGGGGGGGGGGGGGGGGGGGGGGGGGGGGGGGGGGGGGGGGGGGGGGGGGGGGGGGGGGGGGGGGGGGCGGGGGGGGGCGGGGGGGGGGGGGGGGGGGGGGGGGGGGGGCGGGGGGGGCGGGCCCCGGGCGGGCGCGCCCTCTTCGCCCCCCCCCCCCCCCCCCCCCCCGCCTTTAGGGCCAAGGATAGGGAGCAGCTTCTGCAACCCTTCCTGTCATGCCGTGACAGGCCAACCGCTGACATCTCATCGATGTCCATTCTCACACAGAGTAGTAGTCGCAAACCCAGGTGCGGGATTGACTACAAGTGCTACCAGGTGTAGCCTAGCTACTGTAGCTAAGCTACTTATGCACTAAGTGCCGAGGAAGACAAGCTTAAAGAGCTGTATGTCTTAGGGTTACTAAACCTCCCAATGCTAGCTGAACAAGCTTGTGCCCTTTGGTTGTAACATTCACGTCTCCAAGAGACCAGTATCTATGATTCACTTCCTTTATACAACAAGGACGATAACGCTCTAGCAACAAATGATATTCAGAGGAGGTTTAAAATTGATTCATAGAAATGCTTTTTTTTAGCACTAAATATAGTAGCACCTACTCTATACTTTTTGCTAGTCACTATTGATCTGGCTCTGTAGCCTCCTAATATGTAAACATGTATAGTCAGTATACTTAACTAAGTATAGTGACCACGTGACTATGTGACCCTTCGTACCTTAGGTACGGTTACATCAACCTACCAGTGTACCCAAGGTACAGCTACACCACAATGGTGTGGCAGGTGTGTATGTAAAATACACATTTTTGTGTAACCGGTGTAAGTGTTCCGCAACAATCAGATGACGGCATAGGAAGAAGTGGTTTACTGGACGGAGGTGATCCGGCAACTTGAAGCCTTTGCAAGACACGACCACCGCAAAGCGGACGTAGTCACCTGCAGCACGTTACACGCGTGCATTGAGATCCATACCTGCGCATCCAAAGAGCTCACAGAGCCCCATGAGGAGTGCTCTGACATAACATATTGTCATCAACGCCGGCGTTTTTATCCCGACTACAGTCATACCAAGACTTGTGCTGAAGAGTATATCGACATTTTCAAGTCTCATTCTACAAACAAAATGAGTTTTACCAACGATTATTGAGAATATTATCAATATGAAGCAAAACTCCAAATTTATTGTCGCCTTTCATCATGCTGTAGGCTCCTTACCAGCTAAAATGGCTTCGTTATCCAGGCAAACCGCTAAGTTTGCGTAGCAAATGTCAACTATGTCTTCATAATAATCTCCGTCATAGGCATCGTCCGTCTTCATATAAGTGTACCAAGACGCAAGCGTCATATCCATATTGAACTGGGGTGTCTCGTCGACGCAAGACTTGTCAAGAAGCTCCAAATCGTCGTCATTGGTCACGTACGACAACAGTAGCTTCATGCCGCATAAATGTTTTTCTTCTACTCTAAGTTCGAGACCACTGATTGTTCCAGTAGAAACATACTCGAACGCAACCAACTCTTTCTTGTTGCCATCCAGTGTTTTCATCAAATGTTCAGCATATTTGTAATGTGCTATCGGGTTCAATTTAGTGCTCATAAATAAAACGCTTGCTTGAGTAGGTATCTTTGCACTTTTGTTGCAATACTCGTCCACCTCGTAGATAGTGCCGTTGGCAGAGTAGCTTCCGACTCTAAGGTGGTCGCATACAGCTGACTTTTCTTTCGAACAAGCACAGTAAAGCGGGACAAGTGACGCCATATCTCCACCTGAAACGGTTGCACTTGTAAATCGCAAGGTCATTTCTGCCATAAATGGCGTCGGTTTTTCCCAATACTCAGAAAACTGGACAAGGTACAGAATATTCGATCCAAACCGATCGTCATCGTGTGTTGTAGACGAAGACGCAACGTCGAAAAGCGTGAAAATGTATGTCAATACCTTCCCACAACGACAAAGTCTGTACACAAGAGGAGGGATTATATATATCGTGTTTTCTCGGTCAAGAGCAGGAGCATTAGAACATTCCGTAATACATGCGAGGCCGGATCGGTAATCTTGTCGCCAGCCGCTTTGGTTATTAGCGCAGCACACGCTGACTTTGGTTCATCGTCAAGTTGCGTCATCAAATCTTGGAGAGTATTTGCAAGGCTTCTCGACCAAAAGTGCTTGCGGCACTCGCGCGTCGTCGCGCACAGTGCCATAAATGCATCACCAATGTCTCCACTATCAATGTCTGCCATTGACACGTAATAGCTTTTATTTCGGGTCGCTCCTGAAGTCGTGGCAATATCATCCAGAACATATCCCGTCACTTGAGGACAATTCAGATGCATTAAACGTTCCGCAAGCGCACTTCCATAGTTCCAACCGTACACGATAGTATATGCACCATTTGTGTAGTCCAAAAAGAACGTTGCTACATCCTTTGCAGCGCTTGTGGTAGAAAATGCCGAGAGGCTTCCGTACTTCCTTTGCAGAGCTTAAGCACACGCAGAAACTTTCATGGGTCGATTTCTTCATTCACACCCACTTGTGCTACGACGCAATCCAGCAATGTACTGCGACCAGTTCCACGTCGGTCCATGGTCTAAACGTTTACAGAATCACCCAATCTGGTATATAGTCGTACCATATACTTTTCCACTGCAGAAAAACAGTTAGTATGTACAAACGTGAAGGTAACAAGTCAAAGTACGCCTTACGAGAAGTTGATGATGAGCCCGCATCATCTGACAGCAGCCAAAAATTTGATGCAGTTGTTGGGTCTTTTGCAGCAGGTATCCGCTTCACAAACATGTCGACGCTGGGGTTCACACAGTCGGGTACCTTGCAAAATCCAGGATAACAAAGCGGCACACTGAATACAGCGCATTCGGCATCATGGTCATCAGAGGTTCCGTTTATTGCAACGGTGTACCTGGGGCAGGAATACCATCCATTCAAGTTGCTTTGAAAGGAGAAATTCAAACCATCGCACGCGTGAGCGGCCATCGCCACCAGCGACATGGCATCGTAAAGTTTCATGTTCGTATTAACTAGTAAGTTCTCGAAAAAATTGATTGTGTCTCAGCACGTCTTGCGTCAAGTACCGCGTATTCGATCGCACAAACACCTTCTGTCGGCGTTACTAGCTTGCACTGTCTTGTGTTGATCGTGTTTTTACATAAATCGGTACTACAAACACCAGCAATGTGACCCGTAGGCTTTCCGAAGATACAAGTGAACTTTGGCACATCGGGTGCTTAGCACTAAATGTATTCCGACTGCACGGCTTGCACACGTTTTTTTGCAACTGCGTTGACCGTGTCTATACTCGAATAGATAGGCAATGTTACGGCGTGCTTACCGGAGATCCAAGTATTATCTTCCGATTCTAACCACCCTGATTGGTGATCCAATTATTTGAAGAGCCCGTGGGTCCTGCGTACATATTGTGAAAGACGCCGAGTGTGTGATATGACGACGGTTATGAGTAGCTCTGACTTGTCCGAAGAGCAAATTTCTCAAGCAATTCAATACTCTTGAGAATAATTTAGGATATGCTCTACAACGACGGCTTCTGAAATGGTAGTGGCCTATGTGAGAAATTATATTTGCCAGAATGTTTAGTGTAACTTAGCTGACGAGCAAGCAGTCTCATTCAAGATATCAGCCAGCACTCACTACCCTCCTGAACTTTGTTCTATAGGTTTGCCTTTCGCTACTCCAAACTGTGTAATTGCTGCATTTGTCTCTTGCGTGCTAACGGAACCATAGCTTATAACACTAACCATTCAACAGTCCGTTAACGCTAGCCTGCAACAAGAACGCAGCCGACAAAATACATAGACAAAGGTGTCACACCGTAAATAATTTTTACGCGTGTAGATTGCCATAATACGCTGTAGCCAGACGACACTGCAGCCGTTGCACATTGCGTAGCAAATCGTCTCGAGAGCGAGAGACGGAACCGAGGAGCCGCGCGTGCTTCGTACAAACAGGTCAGGAGGAAGCAGTAGCATTGGATGGGGTTTTCAGCTACTCGTGGACAGCAGCTGTAGTAGTGACGCTAGAATGAAAGAGGTACAGGGGACGTCGGACTTCTACTGCTCATATTTCACGTCGCAAACTACTTTTGAAAAGGGAAAAAAGGCCTTACTATTTCGAGTTTGTCCAAACGCGTACCAAGACACCGATATTGCAAATATGAACTCAAAATTCGGATGAGCATCTGTGCCATTGTCGCCTGTAGACGCCTTGCTGAGCGTTAATTTGACGATTCTGTACATCTTTCCACCTTCGTCTTCGTCTTATAGTCTCGAAAAGCTACAATCTTCGTTCGTCAACCTCGTTGAGCAAGACTACCCCATTCTCGTAGGAGAATCTTATGTCAACCCTAAGACAAAGGTCCTGAATGTCAAGCTAACAAATGAAAACGACTATCAGGAGGCAAATCTGTCAAATTCCATGACAACAGAACAAGCGATAGAGGAGCGTTCGTTGGACTTGATTCCGGCAAAAATGCGTGACACAGAAATTTTTTGTGTGAAAGGGACACTTTTGGCCGATGGAGGGTTGGCCACTGGGGTGGAATTCAGTCATATGCTCTTTGATGCAGAGGCCATGCTCACGCTAATGAAGATATGGGGTCAACACTAACAGCGGTGTGGAAAAACAACATCGTTTGGTTGTGAATCACGACCGGCAACTGCTCGGGGGATCGGGAGCTCCATCGAGCATGCCTCACCCGGAGTTTCGAGTTGTTCAAGAGGAGGCTGGAGTTGTTAAAAGACAAATGATTAAGCTCAGAAATGCCACCGACGTCTCATCAATTCATTCATTTTACTCCAGTCATGATGAAGAATATAAAGGAAGCGGCAACTTGTGGTGGGTTCGATAAGGATGGGGTCAACGAATTTTCTTATGTGAGTACCATCGACGCTATTACAGCGTTGTTCACTGTGCTAATCTCGCGAGCTCGCGGTCATGGAGAAGATGTACGGGTTATGACTGCTATGAACGCTCGGCGACGTCTAGGACTGCTTGCGAATTACGCAGGAAATGTCGTCTGCAGCGCAGATGGCGACGTACAATGCCAGTGAATTGCAGTCTGGTGACGAAATAATGACTGCAGTTTCCCCATCAAACGCTAGGAAAGCTCGCTCGACGCCTGCGAGAATCGATTGTACAGAGTGACGAAATCTTTTTGCGCGACGCTATCAACTTCCTGGCAGAGCACAGCAACGCCGGTTGTGTTCAGCTGAGCAATAACTTCTTGTTTGGGCCTGACCTCGTGTTTTCGTCGTGGGTGCACTTGGGCATGTACAATGCCGAATTCGACGGTACACATCCGTAATGCATCCTTCCCTCGAATGACATGCTATGACGGCCGTGTAATCATCACGGAGGCCCAAAAAGGTGGCGAAGGGATCGATGTGGGTGTATTTCTTGTAAGTAAAGCCATGGAGAAACTCAAGAAGATGTTTTCCGAGGTGTCGTATCTGTACGAGAGGCCGATTTTAGTGATGATGAAGTACAAGATTGAAAACGTTAGTGCCATCGCAAGTTTACTATGACATTGCCTCATTGGCACTGACGCGGTCTGGCCCGATCATGAAGTCTTAATGAGGTTTGAATATAATGTTTTGAAGTATATGCGTAATCTCCATGACCTTCACGATAAGTTCTTCGCACCTCAAACCGCTTGCATGAATGCTACACAGAGTTGGTACGATAATCGTGACGCTGCTGCTTACCTCGTATGCTGTCTGCATGCAACCTTGACGCACAGGAATCGCATTTCCATATTTTTTTTGTCGCTGTTTTGTGCAAGATTTCTCTACTTAGTGACTCAAAAACATGGTCAAGATTTTAGCTTCTTTGATGTGAAGATAAGCAACACACCTCTTCGTCTGCAATGAATGCATAGCATCAACTGCAGAAACCATTGACCCGTTCAAGGTATGATTGTTTGCATTTACATATTTTTATCGTCTTCCAACTCTTGCGCTATGACAAAGCTTTATTACTCTGTCATTCACGGATGACGTCAACAGTTGAGTTGGTACTCCCGATATACCCCGAAGAAAAACGGCCAATACGTCTTTCATTTATTTCTCCGTCGAGAGCAGTAACTTCAAGAGTTGTTTGAGCACGAAACCGCAAGAATTCGACGTTAACGTCGTGAACTCTGACAAAATCGAGTCTAGTTTTAGATTCAACGACATGTAAGTTGTCCAAAAGCTAAAGCAAATTTCCAGCTTTGTACACTAGTACACTCATGTCATCACGTACACTGCTTATTGTGACCCAGGGGTACCAAAAATTGCTTGCGTGCAACGCACGAACGAGGTTCTGTATGAATCTCTGAGACAACAAACGACACTGGAAAAGACCGGACGTTCCAATTGATTCCATTAGGTATGTTAGACAAACTTATGACCTATAGATAAAGTTACGATCTCTTGCTGTTTGTAAGCTACGTGATAAGTCATCAATCTCTCATCTAAAGTATGACTTTCGATCCTTTACTGCCTTTCTCGTCGTCTCTTTCGTCAACTTCTTTGTGTCTTTTCTTTTCAAGAAATTTCATCCTTTCCATCTCTCTCAATTCCGTCATAAGACCTTGTACTTGATGTCCTTTTCCCAATGTCTCTGTACGATCGACAAAATCCTCAAAGTGTAGGCCCGGGTAGAGATCAAAAGCCCATTGTTTGTACATTTTGATCAAAGATGCTAGTGCTTGAACTTCGCGTCCTGATACATCAGCACCTACTTGATACGGAAACGTTCGATGAACCTTTTTAAACCCTTCGGCTGAGACCAAGTGCGACTCTTGTAGTAAATTGCGACGCCGTTTTTGGACACTACCAGACAATGAGACATCTTCTTTACCATCTTGGCTAGCTGTTGCATTCATAGATGTAGATGTAGAGGCATTAGTATTATCACGTTGAGCAAATTCGTCATCACGTTCCCATCCTTGAGTAGCCATGAGTATTGGTGGATCGAGTTTGAAAGGATCGATGGTAGTGCTTGTTGTGTGTAGTACACTTATAAAAACATATTCAAGTTAAAGTGGTTATTGTAGCCATATCACCCACGCAATGACGTCTATCAATCTATTAGGCTGTCCCTGTAAGACTCATGATATAGTCGTTTAGTTTCTTTCAAGGTCATTATTGCCATCAATGTATAATTCTTATACGAAACCTTGTGCATTATTTCATTTTCTTTGTGAAAGTAATATTGCATTACAACCGAGTTGTCAAAAGACCTCCTTCGACTAATGAAGCTCTTAACTTTGTTCTTCTCCGTGACAATTGCAACATCAACGTTGATTCTTGCTCAAGACTGTACAATGGAAGAACTTGCAAAAATTTCAAGTATTTATGGTACAGCTGTTGGTGACTCATGTCCGGAGATGACAACAACCACCGATAATGCTGACTATTGCTCGGACGAAGACTGTGTCAATTTCATGTCGGATATGCTCAAAGAGCTTCCAAATTGTACAACTAGTGGCATTAATGTTAAGGAACGCGTTCAGACTGTTGTAGAATCGTGCGATACCGGATTATCCATATCGGACGTTTCCAGCTCCTCGTCCTCGTCGTCAGGCTCGGCCTTCCCAACACTTGACACGACTTCGAAAGATCGAGTCACTAATGATACGACTTCGTCGTCAATGGATGGCTCGTTAAGCTCGTCGTCAGTATCGTCATTTGGCTTTGCCATTTCTAGCATTGTTTTCGCAGCAATAGCTTTATTTACTGGACTATAAGGTGACGACAGAGGAAGTATAAATGACGTGAGGCTATTGTGAGACTGATCCGTGCTAAGATCATAATGCAAACCATTCATTTTTGTTGTTTTTGTTCTTGATAACCTATTCATTCAGTGTCATTTACCAAAAAAACAAGCTAACAAATGCAGTCCTCAATCGTGAAGATACCAACTTGAAGAAAGAGCTCTTGCAATTTCGTCATAGAAACACCGAGGAGATAAAGTGCGTGATATATTGCCATCAGCTCATCATGTCTACTCACCACTGGCCTACAACTACCAGCATTTTTCCTTCTATGAGGAGAAAAAAAGTCTCAAACTCAATCAATATGTATCATGGCTGTACGCACCTCTTTGAGCCACGTACATAAAACAGCAATTCAAATTTATGAAGAACACTCTTCGCCCTTCGTGCCATCAACCGGAATGTACCAGCAGTGCTTCGTAGCCACACCGCCAGCAGTTGTCTCGTCCATGCTCGAACCAAAAACCCACGAGTCATCAGCTGTGTGGTACTGCAGCTTAAGCCAGTCCTCCGACGCCGTCAAAGAGAAGAAACCATACTCATTACCCGTGTACGCCCAAATGTTGCGCACATATTCAGCTGCGTATGTCGTAAGACCACTGGCAGATTCCTTCTGGATACCACCACCGGCACCGTTTTCTACAAAGTGCACGCCAAGTGACTCAGAATAGTCGTGCTTCTCGCCGTGAGTGTGACCATACACCCATGCATGAATACCAGATCCGTCCAAAATATCAAACCATGTCTTCATGCCTTTTTCAGCGTAATGCACACTGGGACTATAGTGGCTATTAACAATCTTCCACGTGGCATTAGACGCCTGTGCCTTTTCAGCCAACTGAGTACGCGAGTCATCACTCCACTCTGTAAACTTGGCAAAGCACGCGTCGTACATGTCCGTGTCGCCTCCGCAACAGTAATCATCGCCACGAGCAACACCTTCGCACAATTTATCGTCTCCTTCCGCGTAACCATAGCACTGACAGCACACCTGCTGCGCTGCGTGGACATCAGCATCACCCGAGTCAACATTGAAAATATCAATGCTAACACCGGAACTCGAGTCTTCAATCGTATACACATAAAAGTGGTCCTTCAGCAACCACCGATTGTTATTTGGACTAATGTAATCCTTTTGCCACTTGAATTTATTTTCTAGACCTGTTAGAAGATCGTCCGTACTGTTACATTTAGCGTTATTATCACCATCTGAGCAAACGTAACTAGCACCACCGTAGTCGTGATTACCCATTACACTCAGAAAAGGAAGTGAATCCAAGTTCTGACCATTAAATTTGCTTTCAAATGTCGTCGTAAAGCGAGAGTCTCGTAATTCTTCACTATTAATACCTGTCCAATAACAGCTATCACCATGACCCATTATAACCTTTGGTGGAATGTCTGCATCACCTGCTTGTGTATTCATAATACTTGCCACAACATCTTCTGCTACAATATCATAATTATTGTATGTGTCTGAACGTGTGCAGCAAGAGTCGGCAGTCACAGTTGTACCCCAATCCCCAATTGCAAAGGCAGCAAGTGTATACTTTACTATAAATATCACACCATGCACACAATATACATTCTTAGAGGTCAACAATATCTATTCTTGGAGGTCAATAATATTCATTCTTATAGGTCGATAATATTTATTCTTCAGTTCAAAAATATTCAGCAATTTCCACTCTGCCACAAAAATTCAAAAATACAAAAATTCATACCTGATGTCGGGTCTGATGTTACAGTTGGCGTGACCGATTTACTACTGCCACTGGAATTAGAAGTCCCTTTTCGAATGTAACCATCATTAGAAGCAAACGTGTCACCCGAGTTGGCATTTTCCTCCGAAGACGTCGAAGCTGAGCCGGAAGTAATGGCGACGATCACACCCACAATAGCACCTACTATGGCACACAGCACGACGACGCCTATAATAAGTAAACGTTTGTTTACTGCCATAACGATTGTCTTGTTTCTGACTTATCAATCTCGACTATTTAAAAACTGCCAAATGAATTTGATTGCCAAACATGAAAAACCTCGGACGAGAAAAACCCATTATTGCACGCTCACATCTGATTTCTGGGTGATTCTTGCCTCGATAAATGTATAAAAAAAGCATTGGTCGTTTAGACACGATAATTACGATAAAGTGTGACAAAAAAAATCTTTACCGAATGTATTAGAAACAAAGTGATTTCCAACACTCACCACAAACTTTTAGAAGCGATGCATGGACGTGTACATGTCAACGTATGTATACATAAATGTACATATTCCTTTAGCAATGCTGCCCAATATTAACAAGTCTATAAGCTTTTGCATGGATATTATATATCTGCTTCTTTCGTATATGCTACTTTCAGCTTAGCACTCTTTGCCATTGCTACCGTCAAGTGGTATATACCAGCAGTGCTTTGTAGCCACACCACCAATGGTGGTTGACTTAAAGTTCTCCGCAAAAACCCATGTATCATCAGTCGTGTGATATTGTAGCTTCAACCACTCGTCCGAAGCCTCTACAGACATAAACCCATACTCCTGGCCACCATAAGCCCATAAGGCCTTGACAGAATCCGTAGCAAATTCCGGGATACCACTAGCAGACTCCTTTTGGATTCCACCACCTGCACCATTGTTCACAAAGTGAACTTTGAGAGATGAAGAGTAGTCGTGGTTTTCACCGTGTGTGTGGCCGTTCATCCAGAGCTGGACGCCGGAGTCTTGAAGAATCTCAAACCACTTCTTCATGCCAACCTCATCGTAATGAGCGTAGGGCGAGTAGTGGCTATTGACAATTTTCCACGTTGCAGTGGACGCGGCTACCTCCTTAGCAAGTTGTTTACGTGAGTCGTCACTCGACTCAGTGAATTTGTCAAAACAAGCGTCAAACATTTCGGTATCACCACCCGCACATAGCTTGTCACCACGGGCAACGTTCTTACATTTCTTGTCGCTACCGTAGCCGTAGCATTGGCAGCACGTCTGTTGAGCACCATGAGTACTGGCATTGCCAGCATTAACATTGAAAATGTCGATAGTGACACCCGAAGTTCTGTCTTTAATTGTATATACGTAAAAGTGAGCCTTCAAGACCCAGCGGTTGTCGTTTGGGCTCATGTAGTCTGCCTGCCATGAAAACTTGTTTAAAAGCGCTTTTACCAATTCATCGGCGGAAGAGCACTTTGTAAGGCCTTTGCCGTCCGAGCAAATGTAGCTAGCACCACCGTAGTCGTGGTTACCCAGTACATTTACCCACGGCACGCTCTTGATGTTTGGTCCGTCGTACTTGCTTTCAAAAGTGGTTGTGAAACGTAAATCACGGCTCTCTTCACTGTTGATGCCCGTCCAATAGAAGTTGTCACTGTAGTAGCAAGGAACATCATTGTTAGTCTTTCAGTTGAGTAAGACCTTTGACAATGACCTACCCGTGGCTGACAATACACTGTGGTGGTGCCGATGCAGCGGTTGCTTGCTGATCCATGATATTGGCGACAATGTCTTCGGCATTCACATCGTAATCATTGAAAGTAGAAAACCGGGTGCAGCACGAGTCCTGTGATACCGTGGTACCCCAGTCACCGATAGCAAAGGCCGTGAGCGTGTACTTGGCTGTGTGATAGAATAACGTAGCGTAGATAAGTATAATCTCGAGACTAGACAACAACAGGTATAATAAATCCGTACCTGAGGACGGATCCGAAGTGATGGAATTGCTGCCGGAGCTAGAGCTATTGTTTTTTTTCTTTGTCTTTGAAACCGTATTCGTACCGGACAAATTAGCCGTGGACGAACTACCATCGGAGATCGTAGCATCCAAAACAGCAGTACTCGACGACTTACTCGCTGAGCTGCTGGCCTGTCGAGTCATCATCACACCGACAATAACGCCGATGATTGCGAGAATCAGTACCACAACGGTAAGTTGGGCTTTCTTGGTTATCATGTTGACTGACTATGATTCCGCTGTGCTTGTGTTGTTGAGTTTGTTTGTGGCTGTTGCGTTTGTTGAATCCTTTGACGGGACCACAGAGACCTTTTCTAGTTGGCAAAAGCGCAAATGAAGAGTCTGAAGCTACATATAGCTTTTAAACTTTCGGTTTCTTAGATCAATAGTAAGTAGTAAGGTCTAACCAACGTACGCTTGTAAATAAGACTGCGGATCGACATCAAGGTGCTAGCGAAATATACGACAAGACGGGGCGCCCTTGTGACCTAAAATGATTTTCAAACCAACGATAATGGCCATGGACGCACAGTCATGGGTGGTTTGTATATGTTTTTCTCTCTCTGTACGAAGTCTACAAATATGATGATGATGACGATTTACCACCAGCAGCAACAACTTAGTCTCTCGTTAACATAGATAGCAGCCTAACACGAATGTTTCAATAGCAGATGTAAACACGCAGGATCATGGACCATTTCGCCACACCGTTTGTACTGAATTCGCTTCTAGGTCCCCCGTTCGTATTCCTGCTGTGTCTCAAGAAAGCTGAAAATAAGTAGAGCAAGACATTTTCGAAAATGATCTACACGGAGTAATTGAATGGCTAGATGTTTGAAATATACGGCAGAAGTGCCTGTCGGACTGATCTGTTACGTCTGCATGTAGTAGTAGCCAACATAGTCATGTTAGCTTGCATGCCAATAAACAGACGATCCTCAAATACTCATAGTGTCAAGCTTTCGTGATGCATGCCGCTGATCACCTGCATGTAATTGACGAGAAAGATATATGAACGAGAGCTTTGTAAAAATTTATCTATAGTATAGCGACTCCCAGAAACTCGTGCAGATGATCCATCGTCTCGCAAAGCGTCTACAACACGAAGACTTCATTTCAATGCCGTGGGCATGATCAGAGTATGTATATCGACTAGTAGGCATTAGAAGCTAGACACGAGGTGACAATCAAATGGAAGTACGAGATGTCACTTTCAAATAATGCAAGCCAAAGTCTTGAATAGCAACAATTGACCTTGGCAATGATACTCATTGCTCTAACTAATGATGCAGCTTTATTGCCATTCTCTCTATTACATACTTTGCTTTGTGGCACATACGAAATTTCAAAGGACTAATGCTGAGCTGCTGCTCGCTACCTTGCAGTTTGTAAAATTGTACACATTAACGTAAACCAAACCAGTTACACAGTGCCAAATGGTTCTTTACACATTTAGCCCCTCTTTCTTGCTTTTTGTTGGTCGATGGACTAGCAGTTTGCGACGTAAAGTATAGTCTTCGTTAATGTGTAGCAGTTTACGCAAGTCTGGTAAGGAAGAAAAAGTGCTTTTTGTCAGCGTACTGCTTCGAAATAAAGTCAAAGTGCTATCACTCCGATATTACTTTTTATCAAATACTATTTCTACTATTGAAGCTAACAGTACTACTACTACTACAAAAAGCTATAACTGTTCTAGAAAACACCAAAATTTGTCCTCAAGCTACAACTGTTTGTTAAAATACGCCCTCAAATGACCTTATCTCACAATTGAAACAAACTTTATAGCACAATTTGTCCTAAGCCAATATCATAACTGTTGCAACTCAAGCCATATTGCGCAACTTTTCATTGGAACCTTTTCATCCCAACAATAAAAAACCGATAAGTCGCCATCGTATCGGTTTTCAAAACATTTTTACCACTGTCACACCGTAAAGAAAACAAGAAAAAGCCACCGACCCAAGCGACCTCGTCTCTCTCAAGTCATTCGTACGCAACGTACAAGCAGCATTGCATCTACTTGTACCATCTTCTCTTCTTCATTAATCCTTTCTCTTTCTATACACGCAAGTTTGTGCGTTTAATTCGATCTTGTTCTCGAGTAAATTGCTGTAAAACATGAGCTACCAAGTGTCTTCCGTCTTTTTGCAAAAGTTTTCGCCCAAGGAAATTCACGAGCTTAAGCGCGTGTTTAAAGAGCATGACCATGATTATGCAGCATCTGTGCCCGTGTCTGATCTTTACATGGTGTTACAAAAGCTTGGTGAGAACGTAACACCCAACCAGACGATGGTTATGCTGCAGCAGACGAAGCAGTCAAGACCCGAGGAGCTTACGTTCCAGGAGTTTTTAGAGCTCTTGTATGACTTTCGCAATGGCGTTATTTCTTTGGACCCTTCATTGTTCTTGAGTCATGCTTCCATAGCCCCTCCTCCAGTGCTCGCGCCTGTTGCGGCGTCGGATGCAGTATCTGAGCCTTCTGTTGCTGCAGAAACGCAATCAGATTTTAATCAGCAAAGGACGGCAAGCTGGAAACAGCATCAACCACCCAAGCTGCAGACACAAGCTCCGGCTTTTACACAAAAAGCTCAGTGGCCTCCTGTTGGAACACCGACGACTCCGACGGCAACGCCAGCGCCGGTTGCGAACAAACCACACTGGTCTCCTGCTGCTAATCAAGCAGCATCGTGGGGACATACGCCGTCGTCTGCGTCACAACCACTAACCCCTGCTGCGGTACCAACGCAAACAAAGCCGCTGTGGCCGCCACCGGGATCCAGCAACACGACCTCGACGAAGTCGCAGTGGTCATCTGCGATGTCTTCTGCACCTATTTCAGCCCCCTCACCTTCTGCCGCGACTGTAAAATGGCCTCCTGTCGGTGATAATAATGGAGACAAGAGTTTTAGAAAGCCTCAGTGGCCTCCTGCGGGGACCTCCCCTAGTACGCCAGAATCTCAATGGAAATCGACGTCTACACCAGTTGAAGCTACTTTGAAGAGCCCGGTGTCTGCTATACCATCACCGTGGTCGTCTGCAGGCGATGGAACAGCAAAGCCGCAATGGCCTCCGAGCGCATCAGCGTCTACTCCAACTGACATGAAGCCCCGCGCGTTTTCGGAAGCACCAAAGCGTACTCAATGGCCACCGAGTACGCCACCGCCCGTGCCTATGACGGCTCATTCTTCTTCTCGCTTGCCTGTGGAGCGGACTATGCCAGTCTCACCTGCAAAGGGTCAATTTTTGAGTGGCAACGTTGATGCACACACGTTGAATGTTTTGCAGCGACGTGCGAGCGCAGCTGCACAATATAGCTCTACTATCTACGAAGTAAAAGGTACTGCTGGTGGTCTGCACTCGTATTCAGAGGAAGAGACTGTCGCCTTTACGGAGCACATCAACAACACTTTACAAGCGGACAAGGATGTTGCGTATTTGATGCCAATTAGCGTGGATGCTGGTCTATTCAGGACGGTATGCGATGGCGTGGTGCTGTGTAAGCTGATTAACAAGGCTGTACCTGAGACAATTGATGAGCGCGCTCTTAACTTTGTAAAGCGGTCGAAGGAGCTGAATGTGTACCAGAAAACCGAGAACCAGAATTTGTGCATTAACGCGGCGAAGAGCATTGGTTGCAGCGTTGTAAATATTGGTCCCGATGACTTGATTGAAGGCAAACCTATTCTTGTGCTAGGCCTAGTGTGGCAGATAATCAAGATTCAGCTGACGTCGACCATTAACTTGAAGAACCACCCCGAGCTTATGCGGCTTCTACTGGATGGCGAAACACTGGAAGCATTTATGAAACTACCTCCTGATCAGATTTTGCTGCGATGGATGAATTATCACCTGAAGGCAGCAGGTCACCCGAAAATGGTTACGAACTTCAGTACGGACATGCAGGATGCGATCGCTTACAGTGTCCTGTTGCATCATATTGCGCCCCAGCAGTGCGACTTGTGTAACGAGTCTATTCCGGAGGAACGCGCAGCGCATGTAATTCAAAATGCGCGTCGCTTGGAAGTTGAGACGTTTATCAAACCTCGGGATATTACCAGCGGCAATCCGAAGCTGAACATGTCGTTCGTGGCTCAGCTTTTCAACACATGTCCGGCGTTGGATGTTGTTGAAGAAGAGATTAAACAGCTCGAAGAGATTTTGTACGATGATGTTGGTGATACACGTGAAGAACGTGTCTTTCGGATGTGGATCAACTCGTTGGCGATTGATGACGTGTACGTCAATCATTTGTACTCCGACTTGAGCGACGGTATGAAACTTCTCAAGGTTTTGGATAAGATTCAGAAGGGCATTGTCGCCTGGAACAGGGTAAACATGGTAGCGCCGAACAAGTTTAAGCAGGTTGAAAACTGCAATTACTGTGTCGTGTTGGGTAAACAGCTTAAATTCTCGCTGGTAAATGTTGGCGGCGCTGACATTTTTGAAGGTGCGAAGAAAATGATCCTGTCGATCGTGTGGCAGAGCATGCGATACCAGCAACTGAAAATACTGAGCGAGCTATCAGCAGGCCGTGCTGAAATTACTGACAAGGATATCATTGGGTGGGCGAATGAGAAGGTACGACAGAGTGGACGGGCAAAGGGCAACATCGTGTCGTTCCGGGACCCGAGTCTATCCGACGGTCTGTACTTGCTTGACTTGGTGCATGCTGTCGAGCCTCGCGCCGTGAATTGGGATATGGTATTACAGGACAAGACGGATGATGCGAAGACCAGCAACGCCAAATACGCTATCAGTTGTGCGCAGAAGATTGGTGCGACCGTTTTCTTAACGTACGAGGATATTGTGGAGGTGAAGCCCAAGATGATGATGACGTTTGTGGCGAGTCTTATGTTGGTTGACCACCAACGGGCATAGGGCGTCTGGTTCACCGAGTGCTAGTCACTAAATTGCAGTGTAAGAAGCTGCTAGAAATAATCACCACAGTCGATTAACCCGAGTCGGAGAAAGTTATACAAAGTAGAAACAACTTTAATATGACTTGAATTGTTTTCACAATGAAAGTATCCTCGGATCCACCTTCACCTTGTCACTTGCATCTTCGGCGGCTTAACCAACCGGTAATTCAAGTGCCATGTGACAACGTGACTACTGTCACTTTCGACCCCACAACGTTACGCCTGTTACTGCCGTTTTCATCTAAGTTCCTAGTAAAAATAAATGGCAAACGACAATCACACAACTGTATTTTAATGGCAGTGGGGTTCAAACGCTTGTGTATGTTTGACGAAAGCTCGCTCACATGGACAGAAGGTGCTGTAAAAAATCAAAGAAGCTTGTATGAACGTGATCCGAAGTGTCCGCATACACCAAAAAATAGCTGGCTACATGCTTGTGTTGTTGTGACGTGTGACGTGGAAATTGTGGAAAGACTTCAACGATTCTGCTCTCGCAGGAACAAAGTCAGAATCTGCAGCATGGTTTATATCCAAAGGATTCTTTGTTACTACTCTATGATCCTCGGCGTGGTGCAGCAGTCACATGCGTTTTATCGTTAACCTATACCGTGCTTCAAGAACAAGGTTTGTCTCAACGAGCACCTTTTGTCCGCTCAGATTTGGAGGACCTCTATTCGTCCGTGCTTGCACATCGCCTTTTGGATTCCAAGCTGGATTCGACCAGATGTAGAATACGCATTCTCGTTGAATGTCAATGCTACAAGCTATTCCTGAGTTTATATCTGACGTAAAACCATCAAAGACGCGTGACAAGGATTGACGGCCTCATGAACCATTGCTTGTTGCAACTTTGCGACCAGATATCACGAAATGGATATGCTCGTAGGAAACAGACTGTCCGTAGCAGTGCTTTTTTCCAAGCTTAGTTCACGCGTTGTACCTTTGTAATGTGTCAAGCAGTCTTAGCGGGACCAGTCTCCGTGCGAGGGCTGTAACACAATGTACCTACCTCAAACCTTTGAAAACAGTATTCGAAAATCGCTCTCGTCGAACTTTGCTGAATAATTGGATCTGTTCGGTGGTCCTGCTCACGAACGTAAAAAGGAGTACAGACGCTTTTTTTATCGACTGAAGTCCAGCTCGACACAAGTCAAAGTTTCCATTCCAGTGTACTCAACGCTAATGACTCTCTTTCACAGCACTTTGGTCATCTCTTTCGTGGCTCTTGCTGTTTTGCAATCTACTAGCGTGAGCGCCGCTACGTGCACGGAAGATGAGCAATCCACCATCAATAGCGTGCACACCGACCTGGCGAGCAGTGCAGTGTGCGCAGACCTCATCAGTGACTCGGACGCCACGTCACTCGACTACTGCATGAAGAGTGATTGCATCTCGGAGCTTAGTGCTGCCGTGGACAAACTGCCGGAATGCACAAGTGAAGACGAGACTAATCGCAAGACCGGATTGCAGGCCATCATCACGAACTGCGCTGACGTGGCAGAGGTGTCGGACCGGTCTCCATCTGCTTCGGATGACCCCGACTCAGTTGTCTCGAGTGCTTCACAAGATTTCTTAGCTACAGGTGCTCTGTTCACTCAGTTTTCAGTAGCGCTTTACTTCTTCGCGGGACTCTTGTAAGCTTTGATATGACCAATACGTCAGTAGTCGCTCTTGCCAGGACGTGGGTATGTCTTGTGAATAATATTTGATGATACGGCACGGTGCCTAACACAACTTCAACTAATGCCACCGTTTACCCAAGTTGTTGTTTCATAAAAGAGATTAATATCTACACCGTATTAACCTCAGCTCATTGCGACTACAGATCTTAACAATCAGGTGCTACAAGCGATGGCTATTCGCCCCTTATTGTTATTATCATGGTGGAAAGATCGACATCTTTCGACATCCTGCAACTCGAACTGCACTGATAAGGTGAATGTTATAACTGATTTACTGCCCACGCTACAAAGAAAGTGACGAGAACCTCGTGGCTCTCGGTCATGAGGACTACAAGCCTTTCGTGACAGGAGAATCAAGCCGACACGACCTCACATTCATGAACTGATAAGGTACTACTTTGCCATCGTGTGTTTTGGCTGCCATTGTTTCAACTTGCAACCATTTTGACTCTGCACTACAGACACATTACTCAATGCAGATCGAAGACGGCATCAGTGGATACGACACTTTCTTCACACCACGATCTTTTTCATCTCTAGCTTGCTTCGCGCCTTTCAATAGTCCATAGTCATCAAATAAACAACATCATCGAGACGAGTATGTAGAGACGCAGTTTTGTCGTGCAACATTAGCCAGTTCCTACTGCAGCCATTATGGCCAAGAAAAAGGTCTGGGTCTTCATATTCTAATATCTATCACTTGCGACGCGACGAGTATGGCAGAGAACAGCGATCCAATTCACTGCAAATGCCTAAGTAAAAACCATATCCAAGTCAAGTAGGTCACTAGTTACGTTAACCTTTACATGCTGACATTAGTAGCGTCATCCCGTATTTTGCTGCCCATGCTAAACGGCGTGGTGGCATCTTGTCATGTTTGACAGTTGCAGTGAAGAGAAAAAAACAGCACATTAAGTCATAGCGGGACTTCGCCTTGTTGCAGTAACATGAAAAATGAATGCTAAGCTGCTATTGCACCAAACCCACCACATCTGATAGCTGGACTTGTTTACTGCTCTCATCCATGAGATTTGCTGTTTACATTTATATCATTGCAACGTGATGGTCGTGTGTTCACAATTTCAGATTCCCCATTGTTAACAAAACACTATCTCTATTTGATGCCGCCTACTCAGACTGAAGAGTTATCATTGCCAATACAGTCCGAAGGAACAACGAACCTGAATGGATGTACGGCCGATAACAATGCTGCAAAATCCGAGGATTTCTTGCTGCCACTCTCACCGCTCGATGCCTTGATGCAAAAACTTGGAGTCATCCTTCTGTATATTTTTCCACGTCCACCAAGTGCGAAATACTACGACCTATCTAAGCTTCAACGAGCCTTCATCACTCTGGTGGATAAGGACTACCCCATTCTCATCGGCCAACTGTACGTGGACTCACAAACGGGTGTTGTCAGTGTAAAGCAAACGATAGAATCGAGACTACAGGGTGCCCGAATTATCCGCTTTGAGACGAATTCAAGTAGCTCAGTGACGACGGAAGACGCAATGAAAACCCTCTCATTGGACTTGTTGCCAACTCCAAGGAACCCGATGGAACTTATTTGCGTGAAGGGAACGGTGTTGTCGGATGGAGGACTTGTTATTGGTGTGGACGCCAGCCATGCGCTGCTCGACGGAGAAGCAATGTTTACGTTCATGAAAGCGTGGGGTCGGTACTACAGCGGTACGAGTGAGCAGGATCGAATGTTGATCAATCATGACCGACACCTGCTCGGAGGAACAGGGTCTCCGTCAAAGCAGGTTCATCCTGAATTCCGACTACTTGAAGTTCACACTGTAGCTGATGGAAGCAAATTTGAAACTACAACAACTGCTTCAGTGCCACCACCAACGACTCAGCATCGATTCCACTTTACTCTCGAAATGATGAAGAGGATCAAGGAGATAGCAACTCGTGGAAATGCATCACTGGGGCTCTCGGACCCATCGTACGTTAGCACAATTGACGCCATTACTGGCATTTTCACGGCATTAATTTCAAGAGCGCGTGGGTATGGTCAAGATGTTAAAGTGATTACTGCTGTGAATGCTCGAGGTCGTTTGAATCCCCCGCTGCCACCCAATTACTTCGGAAACGTCATCTTCAGTGCTCTATCATCATACGGTTCCGACGAGTTGCTAAATGACATTGGCAACGGAGGTATGATCTCTCAAGACATGCTCGCAAGACTTGCTCAACGTGTACGTAGCTCCATTCGTCAGAGTGACAACGACTACCTTCGCGATGCCATCGATTATATAACCGAGCAGACCAATCTCTCTGCAATCCAGCCCGCTATCAACGCTATCTTTGGCCCCGACATCGTGTACACGTCGTGGGTGCATACGGGCATGTACGATGCCAAGTTTGAGGACACCCATCCATGTATGGTATCCATTCCCTCTCTTCCATTTGACGGCTTTGTGATCATCACCGAAGCTTCCAAGGGCATTTCAGGAATTGACGTGCAAGTTTTTCTCGAGTGTGTTGCTATGAAGAAATTGCAAGAGCTCTTTCTTCAAGTTGGGTTCCTTCACGATTGAGGACTGCATTCGTCAGCTTGCTTTTTTGGTAAATGACACTGAATGAATAGGTTATCAAGAACAAAAACAACAAAAATGAATGGTTTGCATTATGATCTTAGCACGGATCAGTCTCACAATAGCCTCACGTCATCTATACTTCCTCTGTCGTCACCTTATAGTCCAGTAAATAAAGCTATTGCTGCGAAAACAATGCTAGAAATGGCAAAGCCAAATGACGATACTGACGACGAGCTTAACGAGCCATCCATTGACGACGAAGTCGTATCATTAGTGACTCGATCTTTCGAAGTCGTGTCAAGTGTTGGGAAGGCCGAGCCTGACGACGAGGACGAGGAGCTGGAAACGTCCGATATGGATAATCCGGTATCGCACGATTCTACAACAGTCTGAACGCGTTCCTTAACATTAATGCCACTAGTTGTACAATTTGGAAGCTCTTTGAGCATATCCGACATGAAATTGACACAGTCTTCGTCCGAGCAATAGTCAGCATTATCGGTGGTTGTTGTCATCTCCGGACATGAGTCACCAACAGCTGTACCATAAATACTTGAAATTTTTGCAAGTTCTTCCATTGTACAGTCTTGAGCAAGAATCAACGTTGATGTTGCAATTGTCACGGAGAAGAACAAAGTTAAGAGCTTCATTAGTCGAAGGAGGTCTTTTGACAACTCGGTTGTAATGCAATATTACTTTCACAAAGAAAATGAAATAATGCACAAGGTTTCGTATAAGAATTATACATTGATGGCAATAATGACCTTGAAAGAAATTAAACGACTATATCATGAGTCTTACAGGGACAGCCTAATAGATTGATAGACGTCATTGCGTGGGTGATATGGCTACAATAACCACTTTAACTTGAATATGTTTTTATAAGTGTACTACACACAACAAGCACTACCATCGATCCTTTCAAACTCGATCCACCAATACTCATGGCTACTCAAGGATGGGAACGTGATGACGAATTTGCTCAACGTGATAATACTAATGCCTCTACATCTACATCTATGAATGCAACAGCTAGCCAAGATGGTAAAGAAGATGTCTCATTGTCTGGTAGTGTCCAAAAACGGCGTCGCAATTTACTACAAGAGTCGCACTTGGTCTCAGCCGAAGGGTTTAAAAAGGTTCATCGAACGTTTCCGTATCAAGTAGGTGCTGATGTATCAGGACGCGAAGTTCAAGCACTAGCATCTTTGATCAAAATGTACAAACAATGGGCTTTTGATCTCTACCCGGGCCTACACTTTGAGGATTTTGTCGATCGTACAGAGACATTGGGAAAAGGACATCAAGTACAAGGTCTTATGACGGAATTGAGAGAGATGGAAAGGATGAAATTTCTTGAAAAGAAAAGACACAAAGAAGTTGACGAAAGAGACGACGAGAAAGGCAGTAAAGGATCGAAAGTCATACTTTAGATGAGAGATTGATGACTTATCACGTAGCTTACAAACAGCAAGAGATCGTAACTTTATCTATAGGTCATAAGTTTGTCTAACATACCTAATGGAATCAATTGGAACGTCCGGTCTTTTCCAGTGTCGTTTGTTGTCTCAGAGATTCATACAGAACCTCGTTCGTGCGTTGCACGCAAGCAATTTTTGGTACCCCTGGGTCACAATAAGCAGTGTACGTGATGACATGAGTGTACTAGTGTACAAAGCTGGAAATTTGCTTTAGCTTTTGGACAACTTACATGTCGTTGAATCTAAAACTAGACTCGATTTTGTCAGAGTTCACGACGTTAACGTCGAATTCTTGCGGTTTCGTGCTCAAACAACTCTTGAAGTTACTGCTCTCGACGGAGAAATAAATGAAAGACGTATTGGCCGTTTTTCTTCGGGGTATATCGGGAGTACCAACTCAACTGTTGACGTCATCCGTGAATGACAGAGTAATAAAGCTTTGTCATAGCGCAAGAGTTGGAAGACGATAAAAATATGTAAATGCAAACAATCATACCTTGAACGGGTCAATGGTTTCTGCAGTTTGATGCTATGCATTCATTGCAGACGAAGAGGTGTGTTGCTTATCTTCACATCAAAGAAGCTAAAATCTTGACCATGTTTTTGAGTCACTAAGTAGAGAAATCTTGCACAAAACAGCGACAAAAAAAATATGGAAATGCGATTCCTGTGCGTCAAGGTTGCATGCAGACAGCATACGAGGTAAGCAGCAGCGTCACGATTATCGTACCAACTCTGTGTAGCATTCATGCAAGCGGTTTGAGGTGCGAAGAACTTATCGTGAAGGTCATGGAGATTACGCATATACTTCAAAACATTATATTCAAACCTCATTAAGACTTCATGATCGGGCCAGACCGCGTCAGTGCCAATGAGGCAATGTCATAGTAAACTTGCGATGGCACTAACGTTTTCAATCTTGTACTTCATCATCACTAAAATCGGCCTCTCGTACAGATACGACACCTCGGAAAACATCTTCTTGAGTTTCTCCATGGCTTTACTTACAAGAAATACACCCACATCGATCCCTTCGCCACCTTTTTGGGCCTCCGTGATGATTACACGGCCGTCATAGCATGTCATTCGAGGGAAGGATGCATACCACGGATGTGTACCGTCGAATTCGGCATTGTACATGCCCAAGTGCACCCACGACGAAAACACGAGGTCAGGCCCAAACAAGAAGTTATTGCTCAGCTGAACACAACCGGCGTTGCTGTGCTCTGCCAGGAAGTTGATAGCGTCGCGCAAAAAGATTTCGTCACTCTGTATAATCGATTCTCGCAGGCGTCGAGCGAGCTTTCCTAGCGTTTGATGGGGAAACTGCAGTCATTATTTCATCACCAGACTGCAATTCACTGGCATTGTACGTCGCCTACGTCGCCTGCGCTGCAGACGACATTTCCTGCGTAATTCGCAGGCAGTCCTAGACGTCACCGAGCGTTCATAGCAGTCATAACCCGTACATCTTCTCCATGACCGCGAGCTCACGACATTAGCACAGTGAACAACGCTGTAATAGCGTCGATGGTACTCACATATGAAAATTCGTTGACCCCATCCTTATCGAACCCACCACAAGTTGCCGCTTCCTTTATATTCTTCATCATGACTGGAGTAAAATGAAAGAATTGATGAGACGTCGGTGGCATTTCTGAGCTTAATCATTTGTCTTTTAACAACTCCAGCCTCCTCTTGAACAACTCGAAACTCCGGGTGAGGCATGCTCGATGGAGCTCCCGATCCCCCGAGCAGTTGCCGGTCGTGATTCACAACCAAACGATGTTGTTTTTCCACACCGCTGTTAGTGTTGACCCCATATCTTCATTAGCGTGAGCATGGCCTCTGCATCAAAGAGCATATGACTGAATTCCACCCCAATGGCCAACCCTCCATCGGCCAAAAGTGTCCCTTTCACACAAAAAATTTCGTGTCACGCATTTTTGCCGGAATCAAGTCCAACGAACGCTCCTCTATCGCTTGTTCTGTTGTCATGGAATTTGACAGATTTGCCTCCTGATAGTCGATTTTCATTTGTTAGCTTGACATTCAGGACCTTTGTCTTAGGGTTGACATAAGATTCTCCTACGAGAATGGGGTAGTCTTGCTCAACGAGGTTGACGAACGAAGATTGTAGCTTTTCGAGACTATAAGACGATGACGAAGGTGGAAAGATGTACAGAATCGTCAAATTAACGCTCAGCAAGGCGTCTACAGGCGACAATGGCACAGATGCTCATCCGAATTTTGAGTTCATATTTGCAATATCGGTGTCTTGGTACGCGTTTGGACAAACTCGAAATAGTAAGGCCTTTTTTCCCCTTTTCAAAAGTAGTTTGCGACGTGAAATATGAGCAGTAGAAGTCCTACGTCCCCTGTACCTCTTTCATTCTAGCGTCACTACTACAGCTGCTGTCCACGAGTAGCTGAAAACCCCATCCAATGCTACTGCTTCCTCCTGACCTGTTTGTACGAAGCACGCGCGGCTCCTCGGTTCCGTCTCTCGCTCCCGAGACGATTTGCTACGCAATGTGCAACGGCTGCAGTGTCGTCTGGCTACAGCGTATTATGGCAATCTACACGCGTAAAAATTATTTACGGTGTGACACCTTTGTCTATGTATTTTGTCGGCTGCGTTCTTGTTGCAGGCTAGCGTTAACGGACTGTTGAATGGTTAGTGTTATAAGCTATGGTTCCGTTAGCACGCAAGAGACAAATGCAGCAATTACACAGTTTGGAGTAGCGAAAGGCAAACCTATAGAACAAAGTTCAGGAGGGTAGTGACTGCTGGCTGATATCTTGAATGAGACTGCTTGCTCGTCAGCTAAGTTACACTAAACATTACCTTATGGTCAAATATAATTTCTCACATAGGCCACTACCATTTCAAAAACCGTCGTCATTACCATGTAGAGCATATCCTAAATTATTCTCAAGAGTATTTGAATTGCTTGAGAAATTTGCTCTTCGGGCAGAGAGCCACGTGGTATACCTAGTTAAGTATAGTGACCATGCATATTTACATAGTAATAGGCTACAGAGCCAGTAAATAGTGACTAGCAGTAAGCATAGAGTAGATGCTTCTATATTTAGTGCTAGAAGGTAAACATTAAATAAATCAGTTTCAAACCTGCTTAAAATCGAAATGATTTTCTACTTTATCAAATATATACTTGAGCCGCTAGAGCATTGTTCCTTGTACAAAGGAAGTTGTGTCTTTGATAATAGTCTCTTGGAGACGTGGTTGTTTACAGACAAAAGACACAAGCTTGTATAGCTAGCCTTGAGAGCGTTAAGAGTCCTAAGACATACAGCTACTAGATCTGGTCTTCCTCTGCACTTAGTGCATAGTTTTCGCTACGGTATCGCTGCTACACCTGGTAGCACTAGTAGTAAATTGCGTGTGGTGTAGCGATGATCACAAAAAACTCTCTGCAATTCCGACCTTCCACTGGCGCCCGAACTGTCGACCGACGGATGGGGTACTCCGATACCGTATTGCTAGTCCTTCCTCACCCTGTGTACCCGTTTTCTGGGCGGGTTGCACTCGTCTCGGTGGACTCGATCCGATCTTGATCGTGATGGGGTCTAGGTCGAAGGGGGTGGATTGCGTAAGATTTCTTCACGCGATCACAGTAAACACTGGCGCTAAAAGCTGCCTTGATCCACCCTGGATCTTTGCTTTCCTTTCTTGTTTGTCTTCTTGAGCCGTCTAGTAGATCTTTTGACCACTTGAGCCGTCTCGTAGAGGTCCCTTGCTTGAATGCTGCGTCCGATCGCAGCTGACTTGATTTGAGTATACATGAACCCCGAAATCCAGGGGTGATCTGCTATACGTATGTGGACTCCCTTTATTCAACAGGTAATCCAACCCGGGAGCGATAAGAACACGTGTACGATCAGATTTTACCAATGTATTAGTCACTAACTAAAACCTATACCAATTACTAGCCTAAGGTACAAACACTTCCCATGGCTAACCTAGCAAATTTATACTACCCTATGTCCAATAATCCCAGAAACTATCATCTTACTTACTTGTATAACCGGATCAACGCCACGCGTTCTAACAAAAATCCAGTTAAAGTTAAAAAGTACCAATTTCACCACTTGATTTTAAAATAAAATACCTACGCCTCAGCAGCGATCGCGATCGGGGGTATGTGGTCCAAACCACTTGATCCGATCCCTGACGACTCGATCGGCGATTGCAATTCGATAGCTAGCGACTCGGAATTCCATCGTGATCTACGATGTGCGGTCCACACCACACGATCTGATCTGTAGACGACTCGATCGGCTGGGCACGATCGCGATCCGTATTGTGTAGTCCACACCGTGCGATCGATCTATTAACCAACACGTTACCACCATCATTGGGTTGCCCAATCGCTCGCAAAAGGCCTATTCACATAATCTTTTTTCCTTCACAATCGTCCCCTGCACTGGTACTCAACATCCAGTGTCAAAGTACCCGTGCCACCAAAGTGTTCTTTCACCATGAATCCTGCGAAAACGGCCTCTCCTTCTTTGTCTTCGTCTCCCTCTCCAAATTAAATGTCTTCCTCAATCGTGATCTATTTTGAATCCGTCACGACCGCGAGATCTGCTCAATCTGGTTTGGAGCCCGATCAAGAAACGTCTATTTTGGCTGATCTCCGTCCCCGGTCGAATGATCATAAGATGTGATATCTCGAAGCATACCAACATTCCCAATCTAATCAAGGCGTTGACAAGACTTATAGCCTAGATCCGTGGCAAACCCAATATCGATATTCGATCGCCGATCACCCTGGCTTCGCCATTCCGCGATTAGTCGGCAAATTCTTGAAGAAGTAGCTTGACATTATGTATCGGTCTTGAATGTACACTGTTCCATCTTTCTTTTTTATTTTTATCTTCTATTTCGATCGCTATTAGGTACAAGTACCCGTGACTTTTCGCTCGCGATCATCAACTTTTTGCCCAATCTCCGGTACAATTACCTGTAATCAATCAACTTTTAGCTCACGATCTGATAAAATACCTTGCAATCGTCAGCTTTTCGCTCACAATATGGTTCAATCACCTCGCGATCGTCAGACATAATACACAAATCGACCTTCCAACGTAAAACACAGATTTTCTGGATATCTTTACTCCTTTTATCCATCCATTCGTCAATTTTGTTCACCGATTTCTTCTTCCTGCGATTGCATTACTTCAAAACGGCTCGCTCTCGTACGATCACGGTCAAAATCTTGCAACAAAAAAAATTCAAAAGCAACTTCATTCACTCATGTCGGATCGTCATCACCCTTTCATTGTACCAGATATTCTCGCTGGACTCGACCGTGACGGGTCTTGCGGTTAGATCGCACATCAACGATCTTCTCCAGTTCCAACTCGCCACTTTCCAGTTCACCTTCCCAACTGTCATCAGGCAACATTGCTTCATAAAAATCCACGCGATCCACTTCTGCGATCGTCAACATGTTCTTAGGCCGATCTGAAAACATCTTCACCCATTTCAGCTTTAAGACGTAAACCACGGGAAATAATCGATACGGCATATCCAAATTCTCCAAATGTACTGCGTGATCTTCACATAATTCAGCAACTCGAAACGACCCATGCCACATATGTGCTAATTTCATCGCATATCCTTCCTTTATGCGATCCAAATATAGCCAGAATTGCGATCAGCGATTGATACCGTGTTGTGTTTATCGGCTCGATCTCCGATCGCTTTCTTTAATCGATCATTCACAGCATCCATAGCACGCTGGTATTGACGCTGGATTCGGTATCTTCACCTCCGTGGTTCCCGATCGCGCGTTTTTGTACTTCCCAGGGGTAACGTTGCTTCAAAAGTAGATCGTGGATCCCAACCATGAATCAAATAAAAGGAGGTCTCTCCACGGACGCGATCTTGCGCTATGTTAAGTGCAAATGTCAATCGTTCCGCATATTCATCCCAATCCTTCTGATCCACATCCGTCACATACATCTTCAGGGCCCGTGTCAAAGTTTGAGCCATACGTTCCGCAATTCCGTTAGCTTGAGGCCGGTAAGCCACAGCTACACGCTATCTCTGTCCTGCAATCCGGTTGAGTGCTCTGAAAAACTCAGACATCAATCCCGGCTCGCGATCGTGATGCATCGCTTCATTGGAACCAAACCGCCGAAAAAACATTTTTTTCGTAATTTCTGCAATAACTTGTGCGGTCCGAGACGAACTTGACTTCTCAATCGCATACCCAGAGAACAGATCTGCCCGTAGTAACAATTCCATGTTCCATTTGTGTGATTGTGGTAACGACGGGATATGATTCATGGAAATTATTTGTAATAGGTACGTCGCTTGAACATTCCCAGGAGATTCACCATGGATCGCGGGACGCCCTTTTTTTAGTTTCACCATCCATACATTCGCCCGCATACCGTTGTACACTGAGATATAGACCTCGCCAATGGAAGCTGGATCGTACCCTTTGATGGTTCCTACCAATTCCTTGGTGGCCGCCTTCCTAACTAGAATGATAATGGTGTAAGAAATCCTGCTGCAATAATTCTGGCACCACCAAGTGAACCAATTCCACCGATTCTAAGAGTTGTCAGCCGATCAAGGGCAGAAAAAACAACGAACCACTTTTGTTCACATCATAATCCGGCACGATCAGAGCACTTATTTTTGCTGACTGGGTTAGTGTAGCCACGTTCTCAATCAGATATGTCTTCAAGCTGGCAATCCATCTCTCTTCATCTTGCGCTTGTTTTATTCGCTCGACCCGAATATGTTGCACGATCTCTTCTCGCAGTACTTCAGGTTGACAACGTCTTCTTACAGCCAATAGAATGATCGCATCCATCTTGACTACTCGATCGCCTCTTTTTGCTATCTGAAGCTCGTCTATTCAATTGAGGGTCATCAGATCTCAAATTTCTTGTTTTAAAAAGGCAGTATCGCCTGTTTCCCAATGTAGGCTTCGCTTGCTAGCCGATCAGCACTTTTTGTTCTAATCTCGTTTCATATGTAGCAATTCGTGGATCGGCCGCGATCGAAGTCTTCCATAGCCTTTTTACGTAACAGCTGTAATCAAGATGCCTTGCAATCAAACTCTCCACGCACACTCTCCAAACGCATATGCCGGATCACCAAGTTTGAATCCTCACAGATGATCACCGTCCCTTCATCTGATCCGTAAGCAGATCGAAGGTAACAGCGGGCCCCGGTATTCAGCCTCATTTACAGTCAACTTTACTGTATACTTCGAAGCTGCCGCTATAATTTTCTACTCTGGCAGTTTCCACACGATCTCACTGTAAGCTCTATTGTTCCGCTTGATCCGCTTCATCCGTCAAAACTGGCCACCAGTAGGCTCCCATCTTTCTCCACTGTAGGTGGAGGCATGCTGATGGTATGCCTCGGCTGCTTCTGTGACCTCTACGAAACGGCATAAGTGGTCCGAAGATCTACTAGACGGCTCAAGAGGACAAAGAAGAAAGGGAAAGGAAGGATTCAGTGTGGATCAGGGCAGCTTTAGCGCCAGTGCTTACTTCGATCGCGCGAAGATTTTTACGCGATCCACTACTTTCAATCCAGACCTCATCACGATCAAGATCGCCCAGTCGACGGGTACACAAGGTTGAGGAAGGACTAGCATACGGAATCAGAGTATTCCTTCCTTCAGTCGACAGCTCAGGCGCAGTGAAAGGTCGGGATCACAGAGTTTTTGTGATCAATGCTCCACCACAGCGACTTTTACATCCGCACCAAGTCTTCTGAAGAGTGCGAGTCGTCAGCCGACGGGTACACAAGGTGAGAGTAATTTGATACGCGGCATCAAAGTACCCACTCCGACAGTCGGTAGTCCGGCACAGTGAGTGGTTTGGGGTCTCATCACGCAGTTTTGAAAACCCACTCTATCTTAAATGCCCATTGCTTGGCTAAGTCATAAACATTGTCGACTCAACTTGTCGGAGCCACAGCATAAGGTATAAAACTTTTTTGCATTCACGCGTATCGGCTTCCATATGTATGGGTGTCCCACCACAAGTCTGTGTACGTCACACAGGTGTGGTGCAATCATAAGTATGTTTGTGAGATACACATAGAGTATCCACATGGGCGCAGTCATTGAAGTAGGTGCTTCAGGGGGGTAATGAGTGGTTACGTCACGGTCATGATCCTGATTCCAACTTAAAAGACTCCGACATAGGGATGCGCGTCCAATAAAAGCGCGCGTCTGAGCATAATTTATATGGAATAATATGTGTAAGGACTTGCGGAACACTAGATGTAATTAAAAGTGAGAGTGCTAACCAACGAACATGCATGTCATAGATCTCACCACGTTTCTGTCGTTTTTCCTTATTTTCTTTTTATTAACTGTATCTTATTATTTCTCATACAAATATCAAGTATACTTAAATGGTATCATGGGCAATTGCTCAGAAATCGCGTCTTTCCTTCATAGTGATGGGTCAAGAAGTCGCCAGAGCGCCACCAAGCGCTTGCTTGCACAAAATAATGGTTGAGGAACGTTACGAATCCTTCGGCTCTCAGATATTATGTGCAGCTGTGTGGCGCTAGCCACATCATGAGAATAGGTAGTTAAATCTCAATAAAGCTTATAAAATACATATTAAACTTGCATCCCGCCTACAGTGTGCTGAGAAGTAGGTATCACCGCTCCAGTCACACATCAGGTACTGTCTAGTTGAAGAAGCAGCCTTAGAGATTGCTCGTCGATTATTCCTCCGCTGACGCAGCAGCATTCATCACATGTGGCTGTTTGTCACGCTTTGTTTTTGTACAGTCGTACAATCGATCGATCCACAAGTGAGACATGGCGAGCAATTCCACGCTTATGAGCACTTCAAGACATTTATCAAATGACCTGACGAAAAGGCGGCTAATATATTCAGTTTCGATGCTGCGTTGACCCGCGGCTCGTAGCTTCTGAGCTACATTACTCCTAGAATGACATCAAGTTTTCATCTAGATCGAGTCGGATGAAGTCATCATTATACTCTCCGTTCAAGCGCGTTGTTAAGATTACCACTACAAGTTTCTTCACTGTTACGTATGCGCCTGTTGCAAGGTGAACCGTCATCCTTGTTGTAGGGGTTTTTCGCACTCAAGGGGCTTGAGCCTACGATCACTAGCGACTGGCGTCGGACAAAGTTGTTTGACGCTTCACAGTCGACTTGGGTGCAAAGTGATATGTCTTTGTTACTTCGAGTTTCAACGGGATTTGGAATTCCCATCGCCAGGATCCGCAACACGCAGTAATGTGTGTTGGAAAAACAATTCGTCAACAGACCTGCACGTTGCTGGGTCAAACAGACGCTTCACCCCTACTAACCCCGACAGTTTTTTGACGGTCCATCACATTGTTGCGTTTTTGCAGCATCGTGAGAACCAAGTTCCTGGCTTATCTTGGAAGACGGACGGTCTTCGCGAGCCGCAACGGGACACTTACCTTTGGGGCACAACACTCATACGCGTAGTGGCTCATCTTACGTTAGCAGCTGCAATTTTGCAATGCTAGTATCCTCAAGAATGGTCGCTCGCTCTCTATATAGTAGAAGTCTGGACCTTTGCTCTGGTATTGTATTGATTATCGATAGGATGCCGCAAGGATCTGCAGTCTATTAAAGGCTGAAGTCGAAACGGAACAGGTGAGTCTTGATCCTTGATGGACACAGTGATCTGCGTGTGTTTCTCTATTGGGTTTAACACGATACAACTCACGAGGTAGCATATATCACGCTTGCTTTTTTTTTTAAATCCAGGCGATTAACCGGATCCTGAATTTATCACAAGGTCTTTCGAACGTCTGTTTGAGTCGCGCCTTGAAGATCTCACACTTTTTTCAAACACGTATGGATTATGAAGCTTAAGTCCTCCTGTCCTCAAGCTCAAGCTTAGAACACGACCCATCAACTCTGACATGGCGAAGTTTACATCATCGCATCGTCTTCGATAAGGGGGCGAGCCTTGGTGGTGTCGTCGAGTAGAAAGTCACCCTCGACTGTCCTACCTCAATCTTCAAGGATTCAGGTCGACGCATATGGGGGAGCCGGTAGCAGCAACAGCTTCTGCTTTCTTGACAGTTTGCTGTTGAGATGCGTGCTGCTACCGTAACAAGTAAGATTGATCGGCGTCTTCCCTTACTACAAAACAGTGGAACTATGTTGCTCGTTTCCATCAAGGGAGAACAACACAACGCCAACATTCCAGTTCAGTCTTCCTCTGTACCGCATGTCATTCAAGACTACTGAAATGGCAGAAGTTCTCACGCGTGGCGTAAAAGCTATTTACATTTGCTGATTCAGTACTGGATGTGTCCATGGTTGGAAAGACCACGAAGTGCTACCAGGTGTAACGGGGTATGCTGTTAACGTATAAGCTACTTCTACTGATAATAGTGTAACCAGGTGTCTTGCACTTCACGTATAGAGGCAGAGAAGAAGCCTATGCGACTAAGTGAATACATTTAGTTGAAAGTGAACGAAGCAGTGTATTTAACACAACTAAAGCCGATTATAAAGCAATCTGTTTTTGACCTAGTATCTTTAAATACATATATGCATACTAGCTATTTATACTGGCTGTGCTACCATCGGTGATTGGACCAATTGTGTTGGCTGATACAAAGATGCTTCGGCGTGTAATATTCATGAATACTATCAACGATTAAAATAGCATTCGCATTGGCACCTAGCGGCCTCATACTATAGTGTTTGGATGCGGTGGCAAAGCTGTTTACAACGTACGTCAGGACTTTCGAATCTTGTTATTGCATGTACGTTAAATATTATGGCAAGTTTAACGCCACGACAATAGAAAGCTGCTGCCTATCTAGCGCTTTAGTAGTCAATTAGCTTACACACGAATATTAAGTCAATATACGTGATCATCTTTTCCCAAATGTTTGGTTCAAAAACCGCAAAACAAACAGATTTACTGCAAACCATAGCAGCATCCGGTATGCTTATGCAACAATTGAGAGACGGTTGTTTCTTCATGCTACGGCAAAATAAAAAAAGTCGTATAGAAAGACCAAGCAGTGTCCACTACTTCTGCTATCCCTGTCATCTCGATCGATCAGAGCAAAATTAACAGATCTGTTTCATCTTCTTTGCACTCCTTTTCACAACCTTTGCAAAGCAAGAAACTTCATTAAATAAATACCTAACACTGCATTCACCATTCAGCATCGAAGCCACGGGTGGTTCAGTGCCTCTGTGGCTGTAAAACGCATGGATGGGTTGAGCTCCAATACGCGTTGCAGGAATTCAATAGCCAAGGGACTTACCCCACGCCAGTACCTCCCGGGAAAGGTCAGTTTGTACAACGATTGAATCGTTTGGTTCGGTCGCAGCCGAGTCGTAGCTGCAAACGGTAGTCGACCGCAAAGCAGCAAATACGTCAGGACCCCAAAGGACCACATGTCTACGGAGGCACCGTAGGACTGTCGCAGTAAAATCTCTGGAGCTAAGTAGCCTCCTGTTCCCAAAAAGGACGTGGACGTCGCACCCTCCTTCAGTACTTTAGCAAAACCAAAATCAATAATTTTAATGTTTAGTGCCGTAACAATATCCTGACAACGGTCACGACGAGTCGACACGGCCAGCAGCATGTTCTCCGGCTTCAGATCACGGTGAACGACACCACGTTCGTGCATGTGCTGAATGGCCGATAGAATAGAGCGACTAATATGAATAGCCTCTTGTTCTGAGAAACAGCCTCTGTCCACAATAGCGTCAAACAGTTCCCCACCTTCCATGAGTTCCATGATAAGAATGAGAAAATTGTCATCTTCAAAAGATTGTTCCAGCTTGGTAATGTGTGGGTGATCCACACGTCGCAGTATGTTCACTTCGCGCCGCAATTGTGCCGCAACCTCCATCCTCTTTCTAGCCGATGGAGCAAGTCTTCTCTTCTCAATAATCTTGCAAGCAAAATGTCGACCGTCCGTCTTTCGCACACACTTGTAACAGGTTGAGGTCGTACCTTTGCCGGCAACGCATTCAAGCACAAAATGCGCCGGCAAAAGAGCACGAAAGCCTGCAGCCGACGTGCGGCAACTTGGACGAAATATGGGGCTCGCTGCATGAGACGGTGAGTCACTCACAAACGAGCTCTCGGAGGTCGTAGCGGCTTCAGAGCTCACGGAACCGACCGGGCTCTTTTTAGTCCGATTAACGTCTTGTAGATGCACAGCTGTCTGCAGTAAATGCTGCGCTTTCGATCGTTCTCTGTCTTTTCTTCCAACAAGTTTCTTCTTGTCCATTGGCTCAAGAACTGTAGCGTTACGGCGACTACGCGTATGCGCGACTGAGCTTAAGGCCGACGGTGGCAGCGTCTTGGCAAGTACACGTGCACACTGCTGTTCGTAGCGGCGACGGACCTCATGATGCAGCTTATAGCGGGGCGGAGCGTCTGTGCGCTCTCCAACAAAGCAGCTCTTCATAATGGCGGCTCCCATCACTTGGCAGTTTGGCGATCAATAGAAAAGTGGCGTAGTGTGTAAATGCTGGGCGGCTGCTGGCTAGTATTACTAATCGGAATTCTATGGCAGCGATAGTATTGTCGTGATGTTAACGGTCTTGAAGCTTTTCGAATGACCTTTTTGTGTTATATATTCTTCAAAAAAGGATCGTCCTTTTGTCTAAAGACTTTGATGATAAGGTCAGAGCAAAACTTTATTACTCTTTCAGATAATACCTCTTGGTAATGATATAAGCGGTTCAAAAACCACGATTAAGAGGCGTTTTTAAATCCAGATTGCTTCTTTCCTGTACTTAGAAAAAGTGCCACCACAACCCCACAACAAGAGACTCGATTTGTCCGCTCCGGCTTTTTCTGATCCGTCATGACTATGCTAATTGATTGACGCAGCAAAATAGCTCAACCACATTCGCGATTAGTGTTCCTGCCATTGCATATGGTAAGTGATACCAATATGATCGCACTCAAGGACAGACACAGTCGATTATTTGTTATGAAATTGTGAAATGACTAGAATTGTTTTGATTTTAAAAACTCTGCGAATAACTAGGGAGTATTATCACAAACACGATGAACCTAGCACATTGCCTGTGAGTAAGCTTCTCTCTAGGTGATATAACTTTGGGACTATCCATGATGGTCAAGGGTACGAAACATGGGATGGAGCACGCTATAAATTATGCTTGACGTCGTATTACTTAGCCGAAAGCAGCCAATGTTTTTGTTACGAAGTAAAGATGCGAGGGTTTCATTGACAAGGGGCTATATAACGTATAAACTTGAGCTAGTGTAGGTAGATAACTAACTTACAGCCTCTGATTTTGCCTGCTAGCTTTAAGAATATTAGTCATTGTTATTTTGGACTAAAATTAAATGTTACGAGTAGGAATTGGTCGATGTCTAACAATCCTATTTATAATCTACTAACAGTAATTGTTGCTATTAATTGCTCAATTTTGTGATATACTAAAAACGCACCGAAATTCAATTTAGGTTCTATTGTTCGTATACTTTAATTTGACGTGAACCACACGTTATAACAAAAAGGCATTGACATAGTTCGTGTGTACCACACAATGTACCATTCTAGTGTTGCGATCGCAGCACCAATCATTCCATTTGCTTGTTGAGCTCTTTTCTCGTGCCATAAAATAATGGGCGCACAGAAGAAGAAGGCCAAGTTTGTGGCTAAAGGTTTGCTGTCACAGAAGATTAAGCAGCGCAATGTAAAGAAAAAGTTTCAGGCTTTGAAGGATAAGAAACGCAATCGTTTTGAGCGCAATAGCGACGCGCCTAGTAAAAAAAAGCTACGCAACGCGGTGGCTGAAAGCACTAGTTCTAAGAAGGAAGAACCGGATATGATGGATGAGATGGATGTAGATGACTTTTTGAACGCTGATTTTCTGGACTCGGACAACGAGGACACGGAGGAGACGGCAGACAAGGACATGACTTTATCTCTTAACAAGGCTAAGGCTACATATCAACAGGAAAAGAAAGATGAAAACGGAGAGAATGAAAGCAGCAGTGAAGAAGAGGATGAGAGTGCTCTGGATCCGCGCTACATGACAGGTATGCTATTTGAAGAAGAGGCTGAGGAGGAAAAGAACAATAAAAAGGAGGAAGAAGAGGCTGAGGAGGAAAAGAACAATGAAAGGGAAGAGGTGAGGAGGAAAAGAACAATGAAAAGGAGGAAGAAGAAGACAAGCAGACTACTGATGGGCGCACAGTTGTGACAATGGATATTTTGCAAAAGACCGAGAAGGAATGTTTTGAGACGAAATCGGTCTCAGGGCTACGTCGCTTGATAAAGATCTTCAGTGACGCATGTCGCTCGAGCGACGCTGCCGATTCCAGCAAGGAGAGCGAAATTGCCTTTGATGTACAGAGTAGTTACGTGTACAACCGGTTGATGGTAAATGTATTTCGCAAGACGCATGAGACGCTGGCTGCTCTTGTGACGCTGGACAGCTTATCGGAGGAAGACACTGCTTTCAAGATAGACGACAAGAAGTGGAAGAAGCATGCATTAGTTATTCGTCGCTTCTTTAGCTGTGCGTGCTACTTGCTTGAGCAGTCCACTGGCCAAGACATCCAGACCTTTGTCTTACGTGAGCTATCGCACTACATTCCGTTTGTGGTGTTGTGCCCCAAGACCTCACGAAGAATGCTGAAAACTCTGCTAAAGTTGTGGGCAAAGTCGCTGAACGCGAACGTGTGCATGCTAGCATTCGTCCGTGTTCGCGACTTGGCCCTGGCTGTGCCTTTTCCATTCTTGGAACTTTGTCTAAAGGGCATTTACGTGACGTACATGCGAAACACAAAGTTCACGAATGAAGTAACTCTGCCTCACCATATCTTGATGGGTAACTGTGTTGTTGAGCTCTTCGGCCTCGACCTCAGCAGCTCGTACCAACATGCTTTCGTGTATATTCGCGAGCTCGCTGTTGCTGTGCGCAAGACAATCACATCTCCTGGTCCTGGTACGTTCAAGGCTGTGCTCAACTGGCAGTTTTTCAATCAGTTGCGTGTATGGACAGCGGTGGTATGCGCTTACCCGGCTGAGAAACAGCTTCGTGCGCTTGTGTACCCGTTGAGTCAGCTTTTGCTCGCGGTTGTACGACTATCGAGCACGCTGCGCTTTGCCCCGCTTCGCTTCCATTGCGTAAAACTGCTGCAGCAGCTTGCTTTAGCTACCAACTCTTTTATCTCCACAAGTCCTGCTTTACTTGAAGTTCTGCAGCTAGAGCCGTTCCGTTCGTCGTACAAGGCTAGTGGTGGAATGAAGGGAGGCAAGGGCAGCAACCCCTCAACTGAGGTGGATCTCGAGCTCTGTGTGAAGTTAACGAAGACGGCGTTGGACGCAAAGCGCGTGCACGACCAAATTATTATCCGACTTTTTGAGCTGTTGCAGCGCGAGTGCGATGTGTACAAATTTAACGTGGCCTTTCCAGAATTTGTAGTGCCACTGTTGCTTACTCTGAATAAGTTTATGCATGCATGTGCCGTTCCGAAGTGGAAAGCGCAGGCACGTGGTCTTAGCGATGGCATTAAGAAACGTGCCGACTGGATCCGTTCAAAACGTAGCGGTCTGGATTTGTCTCCGAAGGATACGGTTGAGCTGGACAATTTTCTCCGTGCAGAGCGTGAGGCTGCCGTGAAAAAGCTATTTGAGAAGGACGCGATTGAATTGCAGGAGAAGCTAGATGCTTCGGTCGAGGCTTTCAAGAATAAAGTGGACGACGGCTTGGAGCAGATTGAGAAGAAGAAGACGAAGAAGACGAAGAAGACGAAGAAGGAGAAACAGCGTGGTAAGAAGACGGGTGTGTTTGTAGACGAAGAGACCGTGGCCAAGGTGAAGAAAATGTCGCTCAAGGAGTTTAGAAAGTCGGTGGCACAAGTGGACGCTGCTGACCAAGTAGATGAATTTCATTTTTCGTCGGATGACGAGTAAGAGAGAGAGAGACGAGAGACAAGAGAGACCTTTAAGATAAATAGATAGACGAAAACACAAGGTCCATTTTGTTTTGCTTTTTCTTGCATATAGAGTTGTTTGATATTAAACTTTATAGTAAAAGTACGTCTTGTCATCTCGCATTTTAAGACTTTGACACTTTGTCTTCGTATAAAGTGGTCTTTTGCATAATGCGTAAAAACTCCTTTTCATTAATCTCTCCATCTCCGTCACAATCTGCTTCATCAATCATTTCTTGTAATTCCTCATCTGTCATATTTTCACCAAGTTCCTTTGCAACACGTTTCAAATTATGAAATGAAATTTTACCCGTTTTGTCCGTATCGAAAAGGTAAAAAGCCTTTCGTATCTCGTCGTGTGGATCCTTTTCACTCATTTTTAACGTCATCATGGTCACGAAATCAGCATAATTTATAGTACCATTGCTATCTTTGTTCAGAGTAGCAATTAGTTCGTGCATTTCTTCTTTCTTAGGTTCAAAACCTAAGGCACGCATAGCCACTTTTACTTCTTTCAAATCAATCGTTCCAGTACCGTTCATATCAAATAAGTCAAAAGCCTCCCGAATTTCATGCTTTTGTTCATGTGTAAGCTCAATATGTTTGTTCTTTTTAATTGTACCTTCATATGTTTCATTCGATATAGAAGACATTATGCTACTGCTACTTTATCGAAAAGAGCTTGGAGGGTTCTTTGTTTGATAGAAAATCAGACACGTATCGAAATGTTCACGTGTGTGTGTGTGGTCAGTCGGTTGTGGTCACAAACAAATAATAAGAAACAACGATCAGTGTTGAGGGGGGGAGGGGGGATGGGATACAAACATATCTATCTATCTTCTGTCGTGCTTGTGGTTACGGACACTTTGAATAGGACACATTTAGATAAATCAAAATGTCCAAAACCAACTGTCAGCTAAAATAAGATCAAAAAGGTAAATTTTAGACTTTCCAGCTGCCACTAAATCCTGCTCTTAATAAGAGCCAGAGACTGTTGTGACATAAACATAAACTAGCCATCGAAGACGTTGGTGGAATATCGACCGCCACACGTCAAGTTGAGGCCTTGAAAAGTGTCCAAGTCTTCTTCTTCTTCTACTCACGTGCTTATTACTCTTTTTTTCCATTCTCAAAGACTCTTTACACATTCTCATGAGTATTGGGGTTAGTCGAGAATCAATTTCGAAACTAATGGGTGAACTTGTGGACAATTTTCCAATTGAAACCGAGAGTCGATCCTCAATTTCTGATTTTGGCAAACTTCTCTTTACTGAAGGACAAACTACGACCAACTCGACCAATAATTCAACCAATTCAATTACTAACAATAGTACGAATACTACGAGTTCTACTTACTCGTATTCGATCAAGACGGAAATGAAGAATAGAGGTGCAGCAATTCAAACTGGAAGTAAACGTGTGTTTACTGAAATAAAAGGCATTCCACGACAGAAACAACATGATGTACGTACATTTATATGTAGTACTCTTCTTGTTGTTCTTCTTCTTATTGTTCTCTTACTCATATCGTATGAATTGGTTTTCATTTTTTTCCTCTATCTGCATGTATATCTATTTTTTATATGTAAAACTAGATTATGAAAACAAAAGATAAAGCAATACCGAAACGCTGGACACAAGATGAAGATGAAAAATTGAGAATAGCGGTAGGACGACATGGTGAACGAAATTGGAAATCCATTGCGGAAGAAGTACCGGGTCGTAATCATACTCAATGTTTACAAAGATGGACAAAAGTCTTAGCTCCTGGACTTGTAAAAGGACATTGGCGACCAGATGAAGATGAATTACTGAAGGAGCTTGTAGCAGAAGGTCGTAAAAATTGGGGTCAAGTTGCGACGCGAATTCCTGGCCGTACGTCAAAACAGTGTCGAGAACGTTGGTATAATCATCTTGATCCGAGTATCATACGTGGAGAATATACGCAAGAGGAAGACCGTATGATTTTGGACGCACAAGCCAGATTAGGGAATCGTTGGTCAGCTATTGCTGCTATGTTGCCTGGACGCACTGAGGATGCTGTAAAGATTCGATGGAAATCGCTCTGTAGAGTGCGGAAAGGGTGAGTTGGATGACGTGGGAGATGACATACTATACTTTACACCACAAGCTAACGTCCGAGGGTTAATGTGATTTGATTGAATAGACAAGGACGACGTGGACATACTGATAAAGGTAAAGCAGCTGACAAAGGTGCCATGGAAATGTCAAGACAGATGGTGCAGCAAGGCGACACGAGTTTTGACAACGATATGGTCAAGAGTGAAGAAGTTGCTCCATTCTCGATGCACGCACAGCAACATGGTGCGCAAATGGTACGACTCCCGAACGTTCAGATGATGTCAGCTACGAGCATGCAGCAGTCGAATGGCCAGCATTATCACCAGACCATGATGGGTGGAAACGGCATGATGTATTTAACTGATATGAGCGGCGGTGGATATGATCCTACCATGGTGCATTATCGAAAGCCTCCCATGCAGCAATACATTGTGAACAGTCTACTGCATGCATTGCCACCTTCAGGACCCATAGCAAGCAGTAGCGCTCAGGATTTTTCGGTCGAACGTCGGTCTAACGCGGATTATTCAGTTGAACGTCGATCTAACATGGAGTATCCAAGTCCTTCTCCAACTTATGCTTCAAACATGAATAATGGCATGTATACGACGGGATCATTAACACCTAGAGGAGGCACGAGCAATGGACAAATGTATGGTAATGGGACTCTACAAATGAATACTTATCGTCCTGAAGCGATATATAGTATGCCACTGCCATCGCATCAGCCTCAGCAGCATATGTCACAGTCTTCACACGTGCAGATGATGTCTTACAACTACCGAATGACGTCGAGGCCGAGCTCGGCTGAAAACCTGAACGGAGAATCCGCAGCAAGTCACCCGGCGCAATTTAGTAACAACGTAATGAACAAATCTGGAGCTGGATTTTTGCAACATCACCAACAGCAAGAACAGCACCAGTATGTCGATCGCTCGCCACCCGTTCCTCATTATCAGGCTCAAGAGCACCACCATTCAGCGCAGCACCATGTTCGCACTCACGAGCAGAAGCAGGAAAATTTGAAGGAGTCGTCGGTATCGCACCAGGTTCATTTGAAGCAGTCGGGTACAAGTGGAGACGAAATAAAACAGGAATCGCGGCCTGGACATACTCCGTCTAGCCAAGCAATGCCAAAAAACCCTGCTGCAATGTTTGCGCGTAGCCAAGCCGCCAAGGCATCCCCTCTTGCTGCCAACGGCAACCCAGTGGCCGCTTTCCTGCAGATGCAATACCATCAGAAGCGCAATGAGCAACCTAACAGTGGTAGTAAGATAGCTCAAGCGGGCCCACAGAGGCCGTTCAACCCAGCGGCGACATTTGCCCAGCGGTTTCAAGCGGGACAAAATCCATCGGTACTTAAGAGCAGCAGCGCAGGCTCTACCAAAACTAGCGATGACCCAGCGAACGAGGACGAGGACAGTGAGAATGGCTTGGGTTGTAGGACAACCGAGCCTTCGCTTAAAAAGGTCAAGCCGAGGCTCAGTATTGATGCTGCTCGAGCTTCCGCCGCCCGGCGAATGCGCAACTCGGGCAGTGGCGCTAGTTTGTCTGGTCGCGGAAGTCTGGATGTGTTTTTGAACGAGATTGGTGACGTCGGGCGATTGTCAGACCTCAAGATGGACGAATTTCATACTCTGGATGAGTTGTGGCGAGTCTCAGGCGACATGGACCGGCTGTCGCTATGAGCGTATTTGATCAGAATAGTAAGCTCATTGTTTTACGCCCATTAAACATCGCTTTGTGTTTGTGTAGATTTGTTGCTGGTCTAGTATTCAGCAGATTGCCGTCTCACATGAAGCCTCGTTGCAAATGTACCGCATTCCCTGCGTCACTATATGTTTTAATTGACGCCTTCAATGACGTCAACTCGACGAAACCCAGGCAGGCCCCAGCTAGGCGGGTCAAAATACAAGGTAAAGTGGCTCTCATTGTTTGACTTGCTTACGTCTTGCAGAGGGAGCAAAGGAAAGATGTTGAAGGAGAAAAGACCTCGTCAAAAGTTGGCCGAGATAGATAACTACGCCAATATCGAAAACGGTTCGACAATCTAACATAGCGGTGATACTGACTGCGTCGTACCTCGCTGTTGCTGAATTGAGCTGCAAGAATTGCGTCAGGAAAGTTCAACGCTTGATCATGTCAGCGGGCAGAGTCATAATGCGTCAGTCGATTTCGAGACGAAGCCAGCTACTGTTTGAATGCAGACAGTCACTCAACCGAAGGTGGCTTAATTAGTCTGGTGAAGTCTGTTTTAGACAGCAGTAAACAGCCCCCGTGGCGACATCATTATACAAAACATGCAGTTTTCTTTCCGCGATCATCCAGCGCTATCTTTTCGAGATGGCATGAGTTTGCAAGGAAGTGCGCATACAAGGCACAGGAGGTTCTCAGCGACACGGAGGGGTGATGTTGGCGACTGTCGATTTTCAGACGAAGAAAAAGCTTCCACGAAGTTGGATGCAGCTCTCCAGCAGTTTGATGAGGATGTCTTGCTGAAAGGCGTTGAAAGTGTTGGCACAAGTTCTATGGCTTGGTTCATCTCTTCATTCGCGCAAACACGTGATAAGTTGTAACGCAATGAAAGATGAAGAATGGAGTAGGGAAGTGCGCTGAAAGCCTGAACACATTGGAGAATACTTGCTCGACCACACCTAATGATATAACAACTTGCAGTTGATGAGTCTAGTGAGAGAGGTATTGCGAACGCGACACTTTCGATCGGTGGCATGATGTGCAGCTCGTGCGTTCTTTGGTGAAAGTGCCAGAAACGCTTGGTGGGTGTTTTATATCTGTTACTGTGAGTTACGCGACCGAAAAGGCTGTTATTTATTATGACAGGCATATTCGGTATCTCTGCGCTTGCAGCGGTGAAGCCTTAGGGTACGAAGCTACGTTGACGACAAGAGTGAGCATGAGTGAGCTGGGTAATGCAGCGGTTTTGATCGGCGGAATGACGAGCAACTCGTGCGCTATCTCAGTTGAGAATGCATTGGAGAATACTGAGAATGTGATGTTGGTCATTGGAAGCTTTGGGACTGAGAAGGCGAGGATCTGTTTCAACAAGGACTTTGTTGGTATTTGAACACTGCTTCAATCTGTAAAGATGTTGGATACGTAGCTTTGTACGTGTTGGAATCATGGTGGTGTTTGAGAAAACATAATGCATCAGATGCATGTCATGACGCCGGAAGTCTTGTTCGGCCTTTCGTCGGAAGCGTTGAGTGTAGCAATTTAGCAACTCCTGTTCAATTTTGCTCAGCTCGCCGATTTCGTCTTGATGCTTGGAACGGCATGAAGAATGAAGTGTGAGATACGGCTTTGCTAGTATCCAAGAGTATCAATGTGGCATTCCTGTACGGTCTATTCACAATCGTTCGCGCCATCTCTGTGGAAATATTCGGGTATCACCAATATGAATACTGTTCATGACATCTTCGGTCCTGATTGTGTTTGTTGTGCTTGGAAAGCTTTTGGGATCGGTTGGAAAAGGTAAAACATCAGCGGCTCTGACTAAATTGATGAAGTTGCAAGTGAAATTGGCCACGCTGCTAGTCGTTAACGCCGATAGAACCATTATTTGCGACGACCATAGTGTACTCATTGAACTGGTGCAGCTGGGGATGTCCTGACAGTTGTTCGAGATTTATTGATTCCGATCGAGGGTATGATCCGGTGAGAGTTGACTTGATGAATTGGTCTATCTTTATACCTCACTGTCCCTCGTTCTTGAGTAGGATGAGTTGCTACTTGCTACCGTTGACTATTTGCTTTTCTTGTAGCTCTATTGTCCTAGTGTACTGACTGATGAGACTAAACGTCAACAACATCTTTACGTTGCTACGACTTTTAGGATCGGTTCCATCATTTTCTTGTTCCTAAGTATGCGCAGTATCCACAAGCAAACAATACGTGCGCAAAAGTAGATAATGCCTCACATATTGCATTCACAATCTAGCTCAATCAACAGATATCGAGTGTTATCGTAGACTGGGTTTGCACGTGCGCCTTGTTTGTCAGCGGTTCATCATGATTCTGGTAAATTATGGAAATGGTGGTCGTATCTCTGATGCACCTCTTGTCTTGACACCTCGACTGGCTGCTTTTCATGTCGCAAGATACATTGTTATCCTGCTATATCACTGCTTCTTCACCTATCCGTCGAAGACTCGTTTGCAAACGAGAATGACAACGGCTGGGCAAATGAACGAAACGTCTTTGAATATGCGCGGCGCTTCTTTGGCGAGTCAAGAGCTTCTCGAAAATACGGTGGTGGTAGCACTGCAGTCGACGACACGAGTGACACGGTCTCACGTCCTGGCGATACCTGAAAGTTTCCCCTTAATATGCTCATCTTGGGCATAGATGCTACAGAACCACTTGATGCCATCTTCTCCAACTCGTCAGCAGGTGACAGCGATCGCATCATCGGCAATCCAGGGTGAGCTGTTGAACGCGATGTGGCCGACAATGGCGTAGCCATCATACTCTCTAGAGATACGAAACTAGTCGTACTCAATGGACTCGTAATTTCAGACAACACACGACTTCGATGCAACGGACTGCTAAATGTCTGATCATCTCTTAACGAACGTGATTTAAGCAGCACACGCTCTGGTGTCGAGGGTACCCCCTGTTTGCTTGCCACAACAGGCATCGATGTCATCATCTTCATATCTGTGACTACTACTTCAGCGTGCTCTGCAGCCATCACCTCATCAACATAAAGAGCTGGCGTCGACACTTTGTCTGTCATCCTGTTTTCCTGCTGCTTAGACTGGTCCGTCACAGCCTCTTTTTCAAATCCAAAGCCTAGCAACCTCTTTCCTGAGCCAAAAATGTGTCGTAGTACTTTCTTCTGATCCTTTGCTGCTACCGTTTCAACAATTTGTTCCTGTTGCGCCTGTACTCGGTTCGCTTGAATGGCAAAGTTTCGACAGTGACATTCCCGTCCCGGTGCTGTCTCATGCTGATGATTACTATGTAATGCTACCTCCTCGGATTCACACCACAGCATTTGGTCAATATCTTCCTGTGCATTATTTCCCAAATCTGCTCCAAAATCGTATCACCAATAATTAATGTAATTTTTGTAGTACTAACAAAAATCTTTTCTTTAATATTCAACAAAATATTACAATACAGTTTTTACTTACCAGGCTGAAATAGTGAATCAAAGTATAATTTATTCCAATCTTCATGATAGGAATCAACAGTATCGGACATGGCACTAGGACGAAAGACATCCAAGTCAATGTCCATTTCCACGTCCAACGCCATCTCATCGCTCTGCAATGGCAACGATAGAGTTTGTGGTACATTCTCAGAGCCAATGGATGACACATCACCTACAGGTGAAAGTACTGTAAGCTTTGAGTCATCTAGTGCACTTACTAGCTGCATTCCTATTGGCAGCGTTGTCATGATTGTCAATGGTTTGAATTGATTGCTCAAGTTTGTACTATTAAGTGACTCTAAAGATGAGGTTTTCATTGGTTGAAAATATGTGGTAAAATAAGGCTGTGGGATGCTACAAATGGCTATATAACAGGTTTTAGGCTATTTCTGTGTTTTTGTCTGGATACAATTGATAGTCATTTATACCTTCCCAACTTTATTTCTAAAATAATCAAATAAATGATAGAATGCCTGAATCACGTAATTTGATTTCTGTAGAACCATCCTTTGTCTGCTCACAAGTCTTTTAAAACCATACACTCCCCTACATGAAAAAAACACGGTGATCTCAAGTACTGAAGAAGCAAGATCTGACGCGAAAGATGACGGTTGGAAACTTTCTTGGCTGCGGTATCGACACTAGTTTGTCATGCTACTCACAATTATAGATTAAGTATATTGTCTCTATAAGGTAACATGTAGATGACAATTGTTGCAATCGAGAAACTTGAAATGATTGTATACGTTCAAATGCGTCTGTTAAACATCTCTATATCGATCAGGAGAAAAAAAAAAGATAATGTAGCAGGATTAGGTGGAGTGTCCACACCAATCGTTGGTTCCTCGTCTTTTCTGTAAGAAAATTCTATACTACTACTAATAAATTTCTGTATTTTAAGAATTGCATGATAAAGTACTTATCATAATATTATTCAGACCAAAAGTAAACATGATTGCAAAAAAAGGTCGGATATTTTTCTAATCAACATGACGTGTATCCATCTACTAGCAGAACTTTCTCTTACAATACGACAACATTTGACAGTGATGCGTTGAAATGAACAGATGGTATGTTCTGAAATCTTACGATCCTTCAGTATCCTACACTACATGTGGCGGACTCATCACGAACGAACACATAGTGTAGAAAACTCACCACGTAAACTCAAACGTGTGACAACCCCGTAAACTTGGGAGAGTGTTCATCTGCTCGCGAATATCTCGTGTTTTACTATTGGCACCTCCCCAAAATGTCATTGCTCGGGTTTCAGCCCACACACAGTTGTCAAGCGCTTCGGATTCTCTTAGCGCTCGCTCTTCATGCAGTAGCTCCACGTATCGCAGTCGCATCATTTCTGTCGAAGTTGTTGTCTCCAGGTTATCCGTTGATCTTGCGAACGTATACGTCGTACGCTTGACCAGCATCTTGCGAAGCTGTGTCTCGAGCTGAACCCATTCAGCTTGATCCCTTTCGCGTTTGGCTTTCTGGCGTTTACGGTAGTTTGTCTCATAGCCACGTTGCTTGTCTTTACGTCGCTGGTCGCGACCAGAAGGGCCCACGCTGACCTTCCAATTTGTTCGACGGGCTGGCTTGGCAATGGGCTTACTTTTGACGGGGCTAAGACTTGGTGCAATCGAACATTTTGTTTCGACACGGGATTCAGTTTCAAGCATCATCACGTTATCAATGAACGGGCCGAGTGGAGAGTGCAACTCGGTCGAGCAGGTGAAGAAGCTTTGCACTTTGGGAGTGCAGGGTAGCGGAATGTCATCCATGTTGTCGGGAATCGATACCATTAAGTCGGGCACCGGTATCTCGTCAATATCGATGTCAATGTTGATGGAATCAATCCAGGCGGGGATTGGAGCTTCCCATTCCATTGTCGAAGTCATGGTCATGGTGGAGAAGATGTTTAGCAGAGTACTGTAGAGTAGAAGGATGAGTTGATGCTGCTGTGGCAAATTGAAAAGTGAGGGTAAGCGGACCAAGCTTTCTTTCGTGGAGGGGTCTTGATGCACTTTGCGAGCAGAAAGTCGGAGCAACCAGATGCAAGTCCCTCTCTTCAAAAAAGAGGGGTTGTCACCTCGAACGAGATCTCGCCACGACCATCCACCGTGCAGCGTAGCGACGCTACAGACAGTACGTTTAGTAAATCCAGCAAGAACGTTTCTATTGATGTCTGTGATCCAAGACGCTGAGCCAACCTGCCAAGGAGGTCCACCCTTGCCTCTCTTCTTCGGTGATGTCTTGGATACGGGTGTGACAGCCACCCAAGATCGAAAAATCTAGAGCGGAGATCACCACAACCCACCAATTTCTCACGGCAATTGCGATGGTTGACAAGCGTCAAATCGATTTATTGCTCGGAACGATGTAGTGCATTGGATCAAGGTGATGAGAAGCTTCATGTATCTTCATGTAAGAGCATTTACAACGACTTCACCGTGTAAAAAGAGCATCTATATACACGTTTTCCTTCAATCTGGTTGTGAACTCGCTCATAATTCCTACGAATTTCCTACACAATGTGACACTACTTTACCTTCCAAAGGGCACAGTAAAAAGGAAATCGAAAGTTGAATGGGCAACAATGGTAACGCGATGAGCTTACAGTGGTACATTCATTTCAGATGGTTGACGGACTGGCCAAGTGGATTGGTGTTGTTTATGCAACGATACAATAATTGATGTCATTGACCTATTGCATTTTTGATTGGCTATCTATCACACAATTGAATTATTAATTTAGTATTTCTTTTATAAGCAAAAAATATTTTCAAGCTAGCATTGTATACTTATCTAAATGTAATAACTGCGGCATCATAGCTTAGATATACAATCAATATTTATAAATCATGCTGACGTATTGTAAAATTTTGGAAGACAAAAGTAAACGACATATGTCAGTAGAATATACCGATAAGCCCACATACACCTGCGTCAAGCTAGAGAAGAAAGCATCATGTATTACCACACTACAATCTCCATCTACAGCTGCTCACATGACTCCACTTACACCTTCTTCACGCTTCTATCGTCTCTTTAATCTTCTCCACAGCTTCCATATCCTGCTTGTCTTCTGCCACCTCGTCGTCTCTGTCCGCGTCATCTTCACGATGGCGAAACCTTGGGTTCTCCTCCTCTTTGTTCTCTTCTCTTGAAGATTCTGGACGCCTTTGACGACTAGCCGGTGGCTCGTCCATTGCTACACTCTTGCCCCGTGGTCTCTTTACATGCGCTGAGCGACGGAAGTGGTGGCCGTCAGCTGTGGCATCGTCTCCACGCCCGTAACCCCCTCGACCAGCATCGTAATCATCTTTTGAGCGTCTATCATCTCTTACTTGACCTCCGGAAAGGCCACGACCAAACTGGCGGCCCTCCCGAAAGCCTCCGTCCATCTCACAGCGCATCACACGGTTGTCTAGTTTCGTTTCGCTCAGAAACTGTGCACATGCTTCAGCTTCAGAGTGAACACTGTACTCTACAAAACAAAAGCCACAAGGTGTTTTTTTAAAGCGATCTAGTCCCATGATAACACGTTTTACGTAGCCCACACGGCTGAACAGCTCGTAGATCTGCGACTCCGACGTGAAGAAGGATAAATTACCCACATATAAAGTGCTAGAGCGGGCCACGGCGCGCTGCTGTTCGGCAAAAGATGAGAACGTCTTACGGTCCCAGTATTGACGCTGTGATGGGCCACGTGCCAGCCGCTGTTCCTCTTCTACTACCTCTACATACAACTCGGCCATGGTAAGTTAAGTTTCTTTGGTAATAAGTAGAATTAGTTGGCTAGGCAAACACTGACGTAAATTGATTGGTTGTAATTGTTAAATGCAGAAAAAAGTATGCTAACTTATTTCAGTGTCCTGTCTTATAACTAAGTAAATGTTACAAAAGTAACAATAATACTGGCCCGCTGGTTGGCAAATCAGTTTAGAATTTCGTTCTGTTGCAGCATACACCGGTACTTCTTTCAGTATCCTGATAAACTTGTCGAAACGCATATCCTGGTGTACCTCAGAGTTCCAACATTTGATTGCAATTTTATGGACTAAATGTATTTTCATGTTAAACTAAAAAAAACAGATAGACGAAAATTAGTTCTAGCGCATTCAAAATCAATTGATTTGAATGAGTTAAAAATTATAAAAATGCTCGACCTCTGTCGGCAAACATTAAATCTTAGAGCGTCATCAAAGTTTTTTCTCACTGCATGCGGCGAGCAATTGTCGCTCTCATACGAAACAATTCTATCTGCTCATCTTCTTGTCATGGTCTTACGGCGTCTAAACATATGATCATATGCACAAGAAGAAGATTGGTGCGAAGAATAAGCAAAAAAGAGCTCGAATAAGTCAAACAGCTTTGTTTTCTTAGATAGATGATACATGGCGCTTTTCAGAGGCAAAAGACTCAGGAGCTCATTGTTTTTGATTCCATAGAAACCTATTGTTTGTGTCGGGTTTCTATCCTACTGCTTTCCTGTAGAATTTCCACCTACAATACCCCTTCAATTCTACAAAGTCGAGGAGATAAAGTGTGTGATATAGTGCCAGCAGCTCATCATGATCACTCACCACTAGCCTACAACTACAATCATTTCCTTCTATGAGGATAAAAAAGCCTGTGAAACTCAACCAATATGCGATAAACTTGCTATGTCTTTGTAACGGGGTTACACGAAGGTGTGTATTTTACATACACACCTGCCTGTGGCGTACCTTGGGTACAAAAGTAGGTGATGTGAACGTACCTGAAGTACGAAGGGTCGCATCGTGGCAGAGAGCCACGTCGTCACTATACTAATTTAAAGTATATTGACTATGCATGTATAATAATGACAGGCTATAAAGCCAGTAAATAATGACTAGCACTAAGTATAGAGTAGGTGCTTCTATATTTAGTGTTAGAAGATAAACATAGATATAAATCAGTTTCAAACCTGCTCTGTAAGCATTACTGCTTGAGCGTTCATTTCCTTTAGAAGGAATCTGTATCGTTGATACTAGTCTCTCTGAGTCTCGGTTGTTAATACCATAGGCACAAGCTTACGAGCTAGCCTAGGAAGGTTAAACACCCTAAGACGTAGAAACTCTCTGAGCTTGTCTTCCTCTGCACATAGTGCATACGTAGCTTTGCTACAGTAGTCTGACTACTTCTGCACATAGTGCATAAGTAGCTTGGCTACATTAGCTCGGCTACACCTGGTAGCACTTGTAGTCAACCGCGCACATGGGTTTGCGGCTACTTCTCTGTGTGAGAATGGACATCAAAGAGATGTTCGCGGGTGTCATGTCACAGGCACAGCAGAAAGGGTTGCAGAAGCTGCTTCCTATCCTAGGTCCTAAGGGCGTGGAATACCTCATTGCCCAAGGCAAAGAAGAGGTTAGCAAGCGTATTCATATGCTTGATGAATATAACAAAGCTCTAGTCGAGCATGTAAACGCACAGATACCTTCCTCTACGCCTACGCCCATGGCGACTATGGCGCAGGAAGTGGTCCGCAGACCAAAACTCATACAAATGGAAGTCGATAATTTCGACGGCAAGGAAAGTGACAACCTTTTGCTGTGGTTCTGACAGGTTGAGTCGGCTATGTTTATAGCCGACATCACCTATGAACCGCACCGTGTTGGCTTTCCCACGGGTAAGTTGGGTGACTTAATCAAGCAATGGGCGTTCACATGCGGTGCATCACTGCAATGTGCTTTCTCAACACAGGCCGATCTGAAAGTTCAGATGACCCGGCAGTATGCACTGCCAAATCAAGCTCATCAAAATTGGTTACGATTTTTGGCGTGTTGCCACTGCAAGCGTGAGCTTGCGGCATATGTGCAAGCGTTGAGAACACTTAGTGCTGCCATGGTCATAGACTCTATGCCTGAGGTAGTGACCGTCACGGTCTTTATAGAGGTCCTTCGAGCTGGCGTTGCCAGAACAGAAGTCTTCCGGATAAACCCGTCTTCATTCGAGGAAGCTGTTGAAGTGGCATGGAATGCCGAGACCAACTCTAAGGCTGCTAGGCCTGCCACTTATAACCTCGTATGATGGGTTTGTTCCCATGGACTGCAGTCAAGTGAGGAGGAGAAGCTGAGCTCCATGCTGCAGAGCAGCAAAGTGTGCACAGGTGCTATATCGGCAAGAGCACAGGCCATTTGATGACAAAATGCCCTGCAAGAAAGGTATATTTGGCCTCGAAGGGCCGACGCCAATGGGTAACCCTTTAGTTTGCCCCGTGGAAACGGCGGGACCCAGTAGGCGCGGGGTGCCCTACTGGGGATGAAATAAGTTCTGTTGAGCACCTAGGAGGTAGAAGCAAGCAGGACCAGCCTCAGAGAGACCCTAACTCTAAGAAACGGAACGGGAATGCAAGCCAGGCTTGCCAGTCGTCAAAGGGACGATCAAGGGCTTTGATAAGCATGGATCATTTTGATTGATTCGGGGGCATCAGGCAATTATGTTCGCCGCGCCACCGTAAAAGGTAGTCAGCAATATGCTGAAGCGCTTGTAGCGCGTGAGAGTGACACAGTCACGGTTTTCTTAGAGATTGGTACGCGTGTGACGGTATCCAAAATCCCTATGGACTAAAATGTAAAGTACTTGGACTTTAACCGCATGGAACGCTGTTTGGGCTTAGATCTGGATGCGAGGTATGGCCTTATCCTATACATGGCATGGCCTGTGCGCCATGGCTCATGGATTGATTGGAGGTCGAAGACCTTAGGCGCAACGCGCTTTGCTCCTGGTGAGGCTCTGAAGATTAATGAACTCACCTCTGCTAGGAAGCAAAGAGCTTTTGGCTCGGATATTGGAACGAATCGGTTAATATGCTTGGTGTTAGATTATTCAACTTTGTAGACACTGTAAGTGTCGAGGACAATAGTCCAGGGCGAGGCCCAAGGACTGTCAGTAGTGCGGTTGAGAACCCACTAGATGACACATATGACATGTGTCATGAGAGTGATGTTCACACCATCAAACACCATGGCTGGCGCTGGTGGCCGCAAGCCAAGATGTTAGGACACGAGTCCAAGTGACATGATTGACGAGGAACTGATGCAAGAGGGTCGGGTGGAGTCAAGAATGACGGCTGTCTTTGAGTAGATGAGGTAGAAGTACCTCATGGCGTGACGTTGACTTAATAGGGTGCGGTACAGTCAGTAAACGAAGTGGTCTTTGACATTGAGGTGTGTACACCTGCGAACGCTGATGCGTCGGATGCTGAGAGCATCATGAGTAGCGATAATGATATCGTGAGTGACGGTGATAGCGAACAGCTATATACACTCGTCAATGGTTTGACTGGGGATGTTGAAGAGCTGGTGGCTCTATCAGCAATACTCGCAGTAAGTGATCTGTTAGAGCTGGACGAGTTGTCCTTTGCCGAAATTGGCAGTGCCTTACAGGCAGGCGACATCGCCGAAGTGGTCGTTAAACTCCTCATCGCTTTTGGATAAAGCAGTTCTTGAAGATACCAAGAAGGCACTGAATGCGCGCATGGACCACAGATCCTGAAGGACCCTTCTGATCCTTATTTTCCTTTGCTGAAGGAATATGGAGATGTTGTCTCCAGAGAACCTCCTAAGAGGCTACCTCCGGATAGAGGTGTACGTCATGAAATTGACTTGGTTCCAGGAACCAAATACTGTGCGACACGACAGTGGCCGCTGCCACGAGAACAATGTGAAGTCGTTGACAAGTTCTTTCGTGCAAAGCACGCCGCTGGCATGGTGCGTGAGAGTAAGTCTCCTCACTCTACGACCAAATTTTGTGTGAGGACGCCAAATGGGAAGTGGCGAGTAGTGCATCCTTGCAAAAATCTACATGCAGCCACTATCCCGACTCAAACACCGATTCCTCGCAAGGATGTTCTTCAGAACAATATGGTGGGATGTACAAAGACGGTGCTCTCGACTTAGTCTATGGATATTACCAACTGCTCATGCGAGCTAGTGATTTCCCGCTGGCAGCGCTCAGCACTCCGAGCGGTATGCTCTGGGAGTGGTTAGTGATGTTTCAAGGGATGTCTAACGCACCTGCAACGTTCAATCGTCTAGTGACGCATTTGTTTCGGCCCCATAGGGCGTATGCACAGACATACTTTGGCGATATATTCGTCCATAGTCGAGCTGAAAATGGCAAGACTGATGTGGAGAATCATATCGAGCACGTGCGAGCTGTGCTCGGTTGCACGAGGATGCATAAATTGTATGCCAATATTGACAAATGCATTTTTGGTACGGAAGAGATTCCCTTTTTGGGATACTTCATTGGGAAGCGAGGAATCTGGACAGACCCTGTTAAGGTCAAAGCCATAGTGGAACGGACGGTTCCGAGGAACCAGAAGGACCTCCGCAAGTGTGGGTTTGGCAAATTACTTGCACAAGTATAGCCACAAGTATGCGGAAGTGGCTAGGCCATTGTCGAATCTTCTAAAAACGTATGTAGAATGGTGTTGGAACACTAAGCACCACGAGGCTTTTGAATCCATTAAGGAGAGTCTCTTTCAGGCGCCAGTTCTGGCTTTGCCTGATCATGAGCGTCCGGTTGGCGTCGTATGTGACGCTCGGGACTTTGCCATTGACAGTGCACTTTTGCAAGTCGACTCTGAGGGTCGAGAACGCGTCATCGCGTTTTGAGTCTCGCCAGATGAAAGCTGTCGAGCCAAACTATCCGGTACATGATAAGGAGCTACCTGCGATGAAGTATGCCTTGCTAGGTTCGGAGTACACCTGTTGGGCTCAGAGCCGTTTGTGATCTATACAGATCATGCGTCGTTACGCACAGCGACACAGTCGCTTCATCTCTCACAGAGAATGGCCGTTGGCTCTCCTTTTTTCGGGAGTATACCTTTAAGGTGAAGTATAAGCCGGGAAAACAGAATTTTTTGGCTGATGCGTTATCACGTAGAACTGACTATGAGCTTGCTCATCTCACTGTTGTGAGCTCGTCAGTAACGGATCGTATCCGTGTAGCGTATGCACGCGATGAGGCATGTGTTGCCATTCTGCAGGTGCTAGGTAGCGCAGAGTTTGAAAACTCTAAGGTGAAGCTGTCACCGCATAATCGTGCGCGACTACATCGTAATGCACTGACCAATGGTCTGTCGTACTAAAGTACAGGGCCGGATGACCAGTCTCGTGTTGTGGTGCCTCATGATGAGGACCTCAAGTATCAGATACTTTATGAGGCTCATAATACACCACTTGATGGTCATTCAGGTCGTGAGAAGACCTACAGCTTGGTAAGCACCCATTATTGGTGGCCCAAGCTGTATATAAATGGTTTGGTACATGTGTTTGCACGTGTGAAGCGTTTAAAGGGTGAAGCCCTAGCCTAGTATGTCTGCGCCTTTGGCGAGTTTGCCTGTACCCTATTTCAATTGGTAGAAGATATGTTTGCAAATATAAGGTTGTAGCAGTCCATTGGTATGGACTTCGTGTTTGGCCTACCGCGCGATGCGATAGGCAACACTAAGATTGTGGTCCTTGTTCACCAACTGAGGAAGATGGCTCACTTAGCGGCAGTGCCAGACTCCATTGATGGAGAAGGAACAGCTAAGCTGTTCATGGATCATTTGTTTTGACAACACGGATTTTCTGTGTCAATCGTCTCTGATAGAGACTCCCTTTTTACGGGTAAGTTTTGGACGTCTGTCTTTAGAGTGTTGGGCACTCGACTGGATATGTCCACGGCAGATCATCCGCAGACCGATGGTCAAACTGAACGCGTAAATCGCGTCATTGGTGACATGCTTTGTAGTGTTTGCGCTGAAACACCCAAGCAATGGAGCACGATAATACCACTCATAGAGCTTGCGTTGAACAACGCGATGCATGCCTTGACAGGCTTCACCCTATTCTATATCGACAGTCTGTTTAATCCTCGCGTTCCGTTAATGCTGCCCCTGCCACATCAGGGCTTAGTGGGGGGAGAGATAGCCGAAGTCTTGGCTGATATCAGCCCTTTTGCGATATGCAAGACGGTGGAAGAGTTTCTTTCAACGCGTTTTGACGTATTACGTCGCGTCAAAGACGCTATGGCTGAAAGGGAGAACTTTTAGAAGGAACATGCGGATGCCAAAGACAGAAAGAACGAACACGAGTTCAAAGTGGGAGATTTGGTTTTATTAAACTCTAGGAATTTACTTACGCGCAGGATGGCTTCGCCCTTGACCTTCTGAAGAAGTCGACGCCTGTACATCACTTGAGGTATGGAAAAACGCTTCAGAGGCTTGATCCCCTCAAGTCTTTGACCTGTATGTGGGCAATAATTTGCTCTTCGCTTTGAGCTTAGCGAGTTCAAAACGTAGACGCCGTTCTAACCAAACGTCTTGTTCTTTAGCGCTTAAGCGCAAGTTAGAAAGACTTGAAAGCTTACACGCTCGTTCTACCCAAAATGTGAAATGGTGATCACCTTGCGCCGATGTCTCACCTGGTGCGAGCACCACTGGTATGTCGTTCAGCAAATGCACAGGCTCTCCACCTGAATGTTGTGACAGTCGCTTCTGATACGATTTTATTGTAAATTCATGTGGAGCAAGGAGCCGCTTAAAAACTGCGGCACGATCCGCAACCTCGCAAGCAGTGCAGGCTTAAGACTTAATTACATAAGTACGCAGTAATTGCGATGCAGCTCGTCGAGCTTTCTCATTGTGTCTCGGGGAAAGAAACCATAATCACGTCGTGAAGATGTTTGTCTGGGCCGTGCCAAGGCGGACGCTCGGGCCTCGTCATCGATTCGACGACGCTGTGCAGCGTCAAGAGGGTTAGATACCTCTTTGTCGGCACCCTCACGAGACGGAAGCGGCGTTGCTTGACGCAGCGCAGTTGCTACCCTTGAGAGGGGACACAGATCACGATCGACGTCCTTCAATCGGCGAGCATGGTGAACGCGGGGTTAAATTACCCGAAGGAGACTCAGCGCCGCTACCCCTGGAGGCAACGCTACGGTTATCGTCCCCAAAGATGTCACGACGTATTGCAGCATCCATAACGAAGCAAGCGCAATATAAACAATGCTTAATGTAAGTAATCACTAATGGGTATAAATACCAAATGCTAAGCACTTAACGTTTATAAGCAAGTGTAGTAACACTGAATGCTTTAGCGTGAGTGCAATGCAGTGTATGCTCTAGGAGCAAGATGTCGTAACACTAGGGTGTGCCAATAGCGTAAGTGCAAAGCACAGATGCTCAATGAGCGAGTGTCGTAACACTAAGGCTTTGTTCGCAAATGCGAGGCACTTATTGCGGCAAGCAAAATGGGAAGAAAATGAAATTGAAAGAACTCCACATAAGCTCTTAATCCGTGGGTACGTCGGGTCCCACGGATTTCTGGTGTAAAGGGGTTACACAAAGGTGTGTATTGTACACACATCGGCCGCAAGATATTACCTGCGGTGTGGCTGTACCTTGGGTACAGTGGTAGGTTGATGTGGCCGCACCGAAGGTACGAAGGGTCGCATCGTGGCAGAGAGCCACGTGGTCACTATACTTAGTTAAGTATAGTGACTATGCATATTTACATAGTAATAGGCCACAGAGCCAGTAAATAGTGACTAGCAATAAGCATATAGTAGATGCTTCTACATTTTGTGCTAGAAGTTAAACATTAAATAAATCAGTTTCAAACCTGTTCTAAATAGCACAAGTGCTAGAGCGTTCTATTCCTTTTAAAGGAAGTTGTATCTTTGATAATAGTCTCTTGGAGACGTGGTTGTTTACAACCAAAAGGCATAAGTTTGTGAAGCTAGCCTTGTGAGGGTTAAGAACCCTAAGACGTATAAACTCTTTGAGCTTGTCTTCCTCTGCACGTAGTGCATAAGTAACTTTGCTACAGTAGCTCTGCTACACTTTAGCACAAGTCTTCGTATGACCGTAGTCGGTATAGAAGCGCTGGCGCTGAACGACGCGATACTATGTCAGGGCACTCCTCGTGGGGCTCTGTGGACTCTTTGGATGCGCACGTATGAATCTAAATGCAAGCGTGTAATGTGTGCGGGTGACAGCTTCCGCTCTGCGGCGGTCGAGTCTGGCAAAGACTTCAGGTTGCCGGATACGGTAGGCCTCTGCTTCTTTCTGTGTCGTCATCCTTTCGCCGCGGATGACACAATCAACACGTTTGATCAGAGGATCGTGGTGGTCACGTGCAAAAGATCGTTTAACATTGAGTCAGATATAAGCTGCAAGCTGAGCGATAGTTAGTTTCAAAGACATGTGGCTAGCTCTTAAAACACGTATTGAAAATATGGGGACATTTGATACCAAGCAGGCGTAACACAGAAGTAGCCTCTATTCACCATGCATTTCTCTCTCGTAGTAAATGATCCAAAACTACCGCGTCCGTACGAATCTCACATGTGAAATTTAAAGTCAGCGCACGAAAGCTTTAGTGCTAAGTGCCAGCGTCATAGTTGACCGTAAGACGAGTAATAGTACAGCGTGTCACACCGGAGACAAAAGCTCACAACGTTTCCTACTGATATAGCTTTACGGGAGATGCAGATCTACACACCATCTACATTGGTAAGCGACGTGGCAAGAAAGCGCTTGCGAGTAGTCTTTGCTCTCACACTAGCAAAGCATATGCTGTATCAGCAAGTAGTTCTACAACAACTTGTTGTCAAGCAACTTCAACTTGTGACGCCTTCTCATATGTCGTTTTGATTGGCTAAAATCGAACCATATGAATCTCCTTCAATCAATCGACTCCATAATTCCATTTCCACTCTTCAATGCCGCACTAGGACGCCATGGACTGGAGCTCTATTTACGAGAATAATGGCGAGGAGGACGGCAACTGGAAAGACCGAGGCGAAACGCGTTCATCTCGTAACGCACACCGCTTGCTTCACCGCGAGTCGTCATTTTCTCTTGTCAAGCAGCAGGACTTAAGCGCGCAGTACTCTCCCTACGTGGCCTACGCCTTTACTGTTAATTACATTCTTGGTGTAGGTTCGCTAGGAATTCCTTATGCATTTTACCGTGCAGGCTTGATCATGGGCAACATTATGATTGTACTCGTCACGTTACTATCCTACATAACTGTAATGTGGGTCTGTGAAAGTGTCGCGAGAGCTCGAGAGGCTTTCGTCTTGAATTTTCTACTTGACGAAATGGCAGCACTTAACTCCGTTGCTTCTTCTTCGTTTACTGGTTCTACTTTCGATACAAATACACGCTCTACCTTGAAAGGTACTGCAACTATAGAATACGATGACTTTCCGGAAGTTACTCAGTTATGTGATAGGTTCCTAGGTCCCCTTGGCTCTACGATGTACCAAATTTCTCTTTTAGGACTCATGTACGGAGGTTTAGTAGGCTACAGTCAAGTTTTTGTCAACACGTTCTTGACTCAACTAGATCACATTGGAGACTGGCAGCTCTCTAGTGTCCATGCAGCTATTGTCTTTACCTTTATCGTCTTGCCTTTGTCGTGCTCGGACCTGACAGAGCAGATCTATGTCCAGTTGGCCATGTCCATCGTACGCTTCGCGGCGTTGCTGATCATGATCATTAGTGCCACGTATGCAATATATGGAGATCCGTATGACGGCGGAAAGGAGCTCAAGAACAGTTCGGAGTCGCCGTATATTAGCAACTACTCACTCGTGGACATGAGCGGTTTTGGCGTCATGTTCAGCACCAGTGTGTTTTCTCAGTTGTTTCAGCATTCTGTGCCGGGTTTGTTGGCTCCACTGGGTGCAAAGAATCAGGAGCACGCAAAGACAATTTTTGGAAGTACATTGCTTACGACCATGATATTTTACATTGCGCTGGGGTCGGTGTGCTCGCTGTATTTTGGTTCAAAGTTGACGACAAGTGTGAATTTAAACTGGGCGGATTTTACGTGGGGAATCAACGAGTCGACGACGCTTGTGCCTCTGTGGGCAAAGTTTCTGTCGAAAATTGTCGTGATATTTCCCGCTCTCGACACTTTGAGTGTGTTCCCTCTTATTTCTGTGACGCTTGGTGACAATATGGCTGCTGTGGTACCAAAGAGATGGACTCGAGGTAGGAGGAAATCATCGTGGAAGCTTCTGTGTCGATTTGGTGCAGCCTTGCCGCCATTGTTAATATCAATGTTTCTTTCAGACTTGTCGGTCACCCTTCAGATTAGTGGGTTGTTGGGAATTTACGTGGCATTTTTTGCACCCGCCTTGTTGCAGTTACAAGCTCGTCGTGAAGTCTTAAAGAGTAATGTCTACAGCAGTACTTTCAGCGGAACAGCATATGTATACGGCGTCTTGGTATTCGGCACGCTGGCACTACTAGTTCTGCTCTATCAGTTAGTGCTTCAGATCATTGGAGGATAAACACCAAGTCAGGAAGATTCGATTGCTGCAAGTGTTAGCGGTTTTGGCGAATTACACGTACACGTTCACGTTGACAAGAAATAATTGCATACATATGATCCAAGCTTCTCTACGCTGAGAAAGGCAAGAAGATCTGACATCTTCCCTCTGTTCGATTCAAGGTTGCTGCAATGAAAAACATGATTTATATTCCAATTCCCATACGAAACAAGTCAAAACATTACGATATGTCCGTCTTGTGTTCGCGTGTTCTGAGCGGGTAAGCTCCATTTCGGCACAAAGGTCACGACCATGTATCAACTGCTTTGATGAGACAGAAACAGATTGGCATTGTCGGTATCATTCACAAAGAAAACACGTTTGTTCGTACTTGAGCGGGTAATGTACAATTACCATCGATGCACTTGTCGGCACCACAAATCTCGAACTTGACCTGCTTCTGCCTCCTTCCGCTGCGCTGCGCTTCGTGGCGAATCATGAGCTCTTTTTCTACCACTACTAGCAGTTTCACTGCTATTTTCTCGTCAAATTCTACCGTCAATCACGATTCCGATAGCTTTGAAAGCGTTAAAAACCCTTTAGTGATGAAAGTTCGACGGCATCAGAGCCATTTACTAGAGAATCAGACGTGCCTAGCAGCTGGCAGTGAATCAACCAATGCTAAAGACAATGAGCGAGGTGGCCCAAAGACGCTGCAGCAGCTGCAGCTCCAAATTCTGGCGAAAACTGAGAACTTTGTGGTGCTGAACAAGGGGCCAGACGAGAGGATGGACGGTGCTTTTAATGTGACGCTTGAGAAAGCGGTACGTTTATTGCCAATCGAGGCAATTATTCTAACAATATTAGAAAGTAACTAAATGGTTTGGTGGCTCATATAAATGGCTATGTAGCTAATGAGAGACTTTCCAGAGGTAGAGAAGTTCCGGTGGATCCACCAACTTGATTTTGGTACGAATTGGCTCGAGAAAATGAGTGTTGGGTGATAGAGACAAGAGACTCATGCGGTAATTTGTGATTTGAAAAAATCATGTTGCAGCAACGTCGGGTGTGCTGCTTGTCGGAGCAAACAAAGAGTAAGTAGCGCTGAGATCTTGTACGTGCATTGAAAACACCGATCGAGATTGTTGTTATTTCTTGCTATTTTCTAGAGCTACTGCGGTAGGCTGTCAACTTTTTCGAGAGAAGAAGGTGCAGAAAGAATATTTGGCAATAGTGCGAGGTCATCTGCCTTTTCATCCGACGGATAGTGTGGACAGCATTGGGATGGCTGCTAAAGCTTGCACGTTCTCGAAGCTTGGCTTGCTGATTCAGGATATGGAGGAAATGGAGCGACTAAGGAGCCAGCAGCGTGGAACGAGGGCACATCAGCGAATGACAGAATACCCACGCGGCGCTCGCCATGGACCTAACATGTTCGCGATGGAGCAGGCTAAGCTTCTACGCGAAAGTCGGGGAGAAGGAGATGCTGGAGGCAGTGCTCGTGAACTAACTCCAGTAGAAGTAGCATTTACAAGAATGGCGTGGCAAGAGCTAACAAAGGAGGAGAAAGATGCATACACGGAGAAGGCAAAAGCAGATAAGCAGCGCTTTTTGCACGAGTTCAGCAAATTTCTCAGCAACGAAAAGGCTCGACTTGCTCGCAAGCGCAAATACGGTTGTCTTGATGCGAGTGACGATACCATCGAGCCGGTGGCTTATATTTTTGATGCGCCAATTGTTGAGCCGCACCGAAGTACACAAGTTTTTCGTATGCAGGTGGGCACGGAGACTAACACTATAGCCAAGCAGTCCACAACAATTGCGTTTGTCTTGGGCCATGCAATGTACAACGGCCAGCCAGTTACAAAGGTGTTGTTGCGCCCGCTCAATGGCCGCCGGCACCAATTACGTCTCCATTTGGCAAACTATGGCTTTCCAATTGTCGGTGACGTCACTTACGGCTCAATGGAAGATGAAGCACCACGAATGATGCTGCACGCTTGGAAGATCTGGCTTTGTGGACGTCCAGTAGACAAGGTTTGTGCTTCGTTTGAGTTGTGTTCTTATCAAGCCACCCTGTGACCGAAACCATGAATTGCTAATTCGTTCAGAAAAAGTTTGGCGACCTGTATTTCGAAAGTCCCGATCCGTTTAAGCCCATTGTGTCAAGTGAGCGTGAAGTCTCTACAATAACGTACGACAAGCTAAAGAAAGCAGAAGGACGCCACGTGGCCACCGAGGCAACTACATACTCGCTGGGTCTAAGAGTCTAGATCGGTACGCGGCTTCCACATCGTGCCGCACGCCGACCATGTCGACAGACGAGGGATGATCAAGTCCTGTACATCGCGATTGGTAAATGGTCAGCTTGTGTTATGCAGACTCGACAATAGCGTACTCGACCATACTCACAAGGTACGAATGGTAAGCACTGCTTCACGAATGCTTTTTCTGTCTATGGTCCTCCAGAAACTGAATAAACAGCCAAAGTCTGCGCAACATCTCGCCTCTAGCTACGTGTGTGGTGCTCAGTGAATATGGATGTCTGCTGCGTCATGGGGCTTGTTGCTCTGAATGCGTTGGCCCTGAGTGTCTATACATCAACGCAACAGTGTCCTCAGGTGGGTTTGTTAAAACTGACAAAGACATTGATCGCTTGCCAATGACAGCGCACTGAATTTGCTGGTGACGTTATTGCTTGTTATTGGAGCTTGCTGGCGTCGTATAGCGGCACGCTGGTACATTGCGTAAAAGATAAATAGAGAGGGCAAGTAAAGCTCTGGGACATGTATATGATCAGGTCCAAAAGAGCGTGGCAAATGAGCGGCTCGCTGGAGTCTTTCCGATTCGACTCTATAGTCGATGTAGCAGGCTGTCGAGCTTGTTAAGTTTGTTCACAAACCCAAGTCCTCTAGCTGGGTAATTTGATCGAAACGCACTAGCACTCAGATGTTGTGGCGGCATGAATTTATCATCCTTTTTACCCGTAGTCACTTGATCAAGCAGAAGCCTTTCTTGCTGCTTGGATTGCCACTTTTGTAGCGTAGCGTATATCGACGAGAACGAGTCAAAAAGATACAAGTCGCAGCAAGTGCTTGTTATACTTCATTGTGGCTATTTATTTCCCCGTGCAACAGCTCAACCATGCGCAAGTGTATAGGCTGTCCAAGAAAATTAACTTTCGAGTTGCATCAGCTCTCATTATTTGTGTATTGACAGTTGCTTACGCACTCTTACGTGATGAGGGATGCAAAGAAAGAATCTCGTGACGTTGATTTGATTTGAGTTGAATTGCACGAAACCAATACATTTCGCGGAATTCTCGGTTGATGACTATCCTAGATGGACAATTGACAGCTTTCACTCAACACGTCTCTGACAATGTTGAAACAAATGTCAAGCGTGAGATGCTGAAAAGATCAACAGCGAATTGTTGAATGCTACATCTGATGATACAAAAGCACCTGCAGGAACGCGTAATCAGTGTAGCTATCGTCGTTTTGGTGCTGTATTGTTGTACAGCGGTCACCATTTGGATACAATGGACGGGAATGGAAGACAAGGAGGTAGTTCTATTCGATGAGCAAAGGTTTCGAGATTTCAATGATGACGATAATGAAAGCAGTGAGTATCCCCATCAGATATGGAAGAAAGGCGAGTTTGAATGTCTTGGTTGGGTGGAGACGGATGACGATGGTGATGAACTAGGGAGACGAAGAGAGTGCTGGCAACGTATTCAAGCGGGTGACGCCGGATATTGCGAGATATTGAACAGAACATCTGGAAAGGTGTTTCGAATAATGCAAACAACCAGCCTCTCCTTGAAAGACGACGCTCGATTCACGTGCAAATTGTCCAGAGTGTTTTCTTCATTTCGATTTAATGCTGCAACATATCGTCATGACCCACCGATGTCACTTAATTCGTCAAACGTGCATGGAATTGTCATGGCTATTCATGAAGACGTACTGCCTAGCGCCTTCGCTAGTATTCGTCGTCTGCGAGACATTGGGTGTATACTTCCCATAGAGCTTTGGTGCCGTCGCGACGAACTCATGCAAGACAACCCGGTGTTGTTGCTGCTGATGGAAAAGTTTGGACCCGTCCATTTCCGACAAGTGTTTGACGAGCGTATTTACAACTTCAACGTAAAAGTTCACGCTCTCTACTATTCGCAGTTTACAAGCGTGTTGCTGCTGGATTCCGATAATTTTGCTGTGCATGATCCAACACCGCTGTTCACTTCATCGGCGATGCAGACCTATGGCGCTGTGTTTTGGCCTGATTTCTGGCACCCAGGAAATTCCATCTTCAATCTTCATGCTCAAAGCCTGGTATGGGAGCTGCTAGGACTCGATTACATCGACATGCTGGAACAGGAGAGCGGTCAGCTATTGGTGAATCGTGCAATGAATCGACATGTGCTTGACCAGTTGCTCTACTACGCGACTCACTCACCAAACCTGTTTCGTAAGCTGAAACTCGTGTGGGGTGACAAAGATCTATTTCGCTTGGCTTGGCTTCAGAAGAAAGCAAAATTCCACTATAACGACCATCGCATGCCCGGGATGCTCGGGATTGTCAATGAAAGCCGCCAACGCTTTTGCGGAGTCACAATGGTGCAGTACGACTTGGATGGAAAGAGTATGCTATTCTGGCACCGGAACACTATAAAATTAAGCGGTCGCGATGATGACAGGCTCGTTTGGCACATGTTACAAGAGATTCCGACCTCTGCTGGAGAAGACGGCTATCCGCGGCCCAAGATACAGTCGTTTAACGGCGACAAAATGTTTAACGAAACCTCGTGCTTTGGCATAAAGCGCTACGGGACGAACCCGCGTGTGCAAATGACACAAGTTGAGGATCTTGATGAGGACTTGGCCTTGTTGGAAAATGCTCTGATCAAATACGCGCGCCAGGCATACACGCTGCTTCACGAAGAAAACTAACGCACCATTTTCATAATCTAGAGCTCGCTTAAACGATGGGCGATAATTCGGCGCATAGTTTCAGGAATTTTCAGGTCGAAAAACGGCTCGACGGTAAAGAAGGCAGCTCGTTGAAGTTGTGAGCTATGTTTGAGAAACATCGTTGCTGCTTCCTCTCGTCGTGCGTAGAATGCATTCGATTCGATGTTTTTATGTTGTTCTGCTTGATGTGCCATATGATTGTAGACTAACGATTGCACATAGCAAACCTCCTTTAGTCGCCGCAAGTTTTGCACCAGCGCAAACATTTTTGCACTTGCGCTTAGCGTGTGAATGGCCTTCATTCCAGCAGGACTAGACCCATCTGTACCATTGTTGAGTTGCTTGATGTTTGCAACCATTGTCTTAGCTAACACAAGTAAGCACTCGCCACGAAGATTCACACTGCCATGCTCCATCACCAACGGCATCTGGTCATGTATCAGCGAGTATGCGTCTCGTACCTTCCCCATTGCGATGTACATTTCAGCCATAACAACGTGTGCTTCCGCCAACAGAAGATCATAGTGATGCCTCTGGCATACATCCACGCTCTCGAGCAGTACATTCAGTATAGTGAAGGGTGCATGCGGCGCAGAAGCCTGGAAACGAGTTCGGCTGATAGCAATCAGCACCTGGGCGTGCAAATGCGCAAAACCAAGCTCACGACACGTATTTTCTAGACTCTCAAGCAGCTTGAGGCTTTGAGCGCAGTCACCGACTAAAGTCCACAGATGTGCCTTTAGCAAAAGTGCCTCGAGGTAAGACGGAAAATCTTTTTCTTGAGGAGACAAGACGAGAATCGCATTCAAGTGAACTTCTGCGCGCGTGAATTCACCTCTTTCAAGTGCCCATGAAAAGAAAAGATAATGCAGTGTTCTCTGAAATGTCATATCGTTGAGCAAGTGCCGTCGCTCAATGTTACTTTCACCTTCGAAAAGGCTGACGAGAAAGTTGAGTGCCCGCGCATACACAACTCCTTGCTTGTCAGTTTGTGCAAGACTGGATATCGCCATTTGGCTTACCGTTTGTGCAATTTCTCCTGTGCTAGCCGAATCTTCGTAACACAATAAATGCATGTGGTTAAACGCTTGCTCTAAAGAACGCTGCCCGTACAGACTCCACCCGGCTGCTGTAGTAAGCGTAACTTTCCCACTCAGTTTCCAAACGGTGTCTAGAATTGCTTCAACTGACTTAACCCAATTCATACCACTTCCGCTAGACCGATCTGAAGAATCTCGCCCCGCTCCCGCTTGGGCTTGTAGTGCGGTCATTGCCCGCGTACCGGTGTTAGAGGAGCTAGCACGCGGTGTCGATATCGAAGCGATCGATTGCATTGCTTTGTACAAGCGCGACCAAATGTGTAGCGGTCGAGGTGACGGCGCATGGGAAGCGAATACATGGGAAACTGATTGCGACGCTGATCCAACCGCATCAGACCTAGTTGGGCTGTAGCGCTTTAAGTCGCTTTCCACCTCTGTCAAAGTTGCCAGTACCTGCAAAGCTGGAAGACGCAACTCCTTGGCACGATCCAAACAACTGCCAACTAATTGTAGAACATCGTCTTTTGATGATCCGATCTTCTGATTGATGCGAATCATCCACGCAAGTGCAAACGCCACGCAAATGTGATCTCCGTGGTGCTGAGCAACACGAATTGCTTCTTGAATACTTTCTTGAGCAGCATGGTAGTGATCAAATACAATCTGCAAGCCTGCCAGATTCAACGCAGCATATTGAATGCCACTTCCTCGAAAATGTAATCCAACGCCTCCCACTGATCTTGACGCTGAGCTATTGCCATCACTCCCAACGTTACCACTCAAGCTAGCGCCTTGTCGTGGAGCAAGCACGTCGTGGTACTGGTGCAAACTGTCAAGCGCACCCTGATAGTCACGATCGCTAAGAAAATGTAAGTACCTCACAAAAAGTACGTTAGGGTTTGACCGATCCATTGTCTTGCAGAGCAGGCATAATTGTTCTTGTGTCCACGGATTCTCTCGTCGATAATTACTACCTACCCCATCCATCTCTCGAACCATGTCATTCAAAATGTAATTCAGCTGGTCATTCGACCACACCGCCGGGTCATTCACTTCTTGAACAGCTTCTACGGCCTGCAATTTGTTTACGTATGGCTGAATGTCAAGTTTTGAGCTTGCAGGTGTCATCAAACTGCTCAGCCGTAGATTGTATGTTGGTACCACACTTTGTGATTTTATCGGGGATAACAATAGCTTGTCAATTTCCATTTTGCTATCATTCCACAAATGCTGCGATGCAGGTGACCCTAAAAGCTCCAAGTTGCTATCCTTCTCCTCCTCTTCTTGTTTCTGTTTCGTTTCCCTCTGCATGTCGTCTCGAAATTGCTTTACATACTGCTCCACGTCATCAAAAAGTCTCGAAAGACCATCAAAGAGCAAGCGATTAACTGCGAGCAAGAAGCTGCGGACAAAAACACCCAATAAACTCGTGCGAACAAGTGTAGAGCTAGCTGAATCCACATCTACTTCCTCATCTTCTCGTGAACTTTGCACTGGTGCCACACACTCCGTTATTTGCTCTATCGTATTCCACACGGCATCAGGACTTTGAATCTTGGTCAAAATACGCACCAGCTCGTATGATAAGTGGTTAAAATCAGTTGTATTGTTTAAATTTATTTCCAACCGTTGCAATAAATTATAGAGGGTTGTAAACCTCTGATTCGTCATAAACAGTGGGTGTTGAATTTCCAGTGTTATAAAACGGGCAAGGGCATTAAGCGACCGTCTCTTCATGACAGATAACAGAGGTAGTGACGAGTCAACAACTAGTAAATCACCGGTATTGCTCTGTCTTGCGTCCTGTTGTTGTTGTCGTACATACTCTGAGATTAAGATACAAATACTTAACATGTAGCTGTTTACTCTCCACTTGCGCATGACTGCAAGAAGCTTTTACTCTCTCTTTTACTATTGAATTTCGAGAGATTGAGACAGCGAGAAGGGAAGTGTATACACGTAAGTATTGGTTTTATATTTAGTATACTTTTATCAGGAATCGGTAGCAGATACTGGTACCAAACCGGTTTCTCCTATCCTAAGCAACATAAGGGGAGAGAGAGAGAGGAGGGAGTTCATCCTTAGGTTTAAGAGAATGAAGCCGTTGGCAGTACTTAGTGATGTCCATAGCACGTCGTCTTCCCCTTCATTCAATCCCTTACGAGCCTTACAATTGATACTTTCAGCTGATACGGTGTCTATGAAACAACGTATTAAGGCAATCCAAGAATTAGACGACTACTTGCGTGGTTTACCTCGTACTCGAGGTTTATTCCTCTTCTATGAGCCATATTTGCCTCTATTAACCGAGATATTAGTCACAAATGATCCAGAAGTACAGACAACTGTATTAATCATGCTACAGACCCTTTCATGTCATAATCCTAGTGCATTTATTGACTGGATTACTCGAAATATACAAGTAGGGAATGAACCATGGTTTGTTCAATGGAGCTATGCGTTATTGCTACAGACTGAAGAAGTAATACCTCTTGTAAAACAAGAGAGTGAGAAGGATGGACAATGGGATCCTCAGTCGACACAAATGAGAGAGTTTGATCGAGTGTTTACGCAAGTGATGCTCATGTGGAGAACAGTATTAGATTATACAGAAGATGACGCTCTTGTTGATCAATTGGTGAATTATCTACAGCATCTTATGATGAAAGAAGAAGAAGAGGACGAAGAGGAGGAAGGAATAACAACAGCAACAAGTGGAAGAAAGCAGTGGAAAACATTGGTATTGAAGAAACTACAGACGCATTTTGTCGATATTGCAGACGTTTTAATTGGATGGATGATGACCACAGGACCACGTAGTATACTACGGTAAGTACTACATGAATGGATACATACGTGATTTATGTATTTTACCGTGAAGCTGACGATAGTTGATACGGTATCGTTTTGACGGCTCAAACATGCAGAGAGGCAATTCTCTCACTTTTGCATGAATTTGGTCAATTGTGGGCAGATAATAGTGTGTTTAGCCTTCAGTTACTTCATTCATTTGCAGATGTAAGATGTTCTCTTGTGATACTGTGGACATAGTGCTAGAAGGTGATTGAATACTACTAACTGGGTGGTTTTTCGTGGCAATGAAGGAAATTACCAATTTGTGTGATTCATGGAAGGATCACCAGGAGAGTGACAATGATCGGCTTAGTACTCTATTGATGTGTTTTATGATGGTGGCACAATGTGTTCCGGACCTCGGTGGGTGCTAAATGTTGACGGCTTTTGTGTCATGTTTTCGATTTGCACATGTGTTCGTTGTGTCAAATATCATTGTCTTGTCACCTTTATAGCCTTTGCGGCTGCTGAAAGCACTGATAGCCCTTTTGTTCGAGTGCTTCATCGCGTTGTATCCTGTCCTCAGCCGGAATATTCGTAAGTTGGTCATTTCTTGCTGCTGTAAAAAGCAAAAGATTAATGCTCCATATACTGTGCTATGTATGTACAGCCTCTTCTGTTTGGCGAATTGTTCAGAATACCTGGTGGCGATATCAAGCTGTAAGCACAGCAGCTTTCCTCCTCTCTCGGTTGCTGCAGTGAGGTTCCTACTGTACCACTGTGCTGTGCAGTCTCAAATGCACGACAGTGAAATTGACAAGTTGTCGAAAGTTATGGAAAACACTTGCAAGCTAGCAAGTGCAAACTTTTGCATGATTAAAGATCCACTTTCAGTGCAGACTACTGCGATAGACACTCTGGAAGATGATGTGCCCTGTAAATTCTTCAAAAGATGCAGCCAATCGAAGCGTGAAAAAACCATAGAATGTTTATATCAGTTGAAACTTGCAAGTGGAGTAACGCATGTTACCCAGCTGTGTTTAGAGTTAGTGCGATTGGGTGGAATTGGTGCTCTCAAGGTTTGTTTGAAAGCTGGCCGTACTAAAAATTGAAATGTTTGAATGTGATGACGTATGGCTCTTGTGCTTTGTGGCTAGGCGCTTGGGGTGCAAGCACTTCAGCGTTTGAGTGACCTACACAGCGAAAAGGAAACCAGTTGTTTTGTGTTTGAAGCTACATGCTTTATCTTAGCCTCTCGGAATCCTGAAAGGCTTACGTATAGAGGTGGCCACCATGAAGCACATGTTATCGCGTTTCTTGAACTGGTTTTAGTGAAGCTAGAAAAGCAGAATCATCGAAGTTGTCAGCATAGATTGACGCCTCGGCAGCTGTGCCTTGTGCTGAAAATGATGTGCGCGTTTATTGGCGCTTTGTCTCACTGTAATTTTGGTCGAAGCAATGCTACTGAGTTGGTGAACAAGGTATCACTGCGAATGCTGGAATGTGCGTCAAGCCTGCTGGCCAGTGGTAACGCAAAAGGTTTGGATTATCGGTCTACTCTTGACTTGTTGAAGGTGATAGGTACTATATTATCTGAGTCAAAACTTGTCTCAGTTGTGCCGCACAAGGTTTGCTTGCAATTAGTGAAAGCTATAACCGTAGTTGTGCACTGTTCAAGTGTAAGAGTGCGAGAAGAGTGTCTTCAGGTTTTAAGTGCGCTTACGTTTTGTGCTGAAGCTCATTCATTTGCTTGTAACGTACTCGAAGTGTCACTTGACCTAGCATTGGATCACCGTATACGAGACAAGGTTGTATCTTCCGTTATGAGTGATGTAGCTCGATGGGCTCTTTTGACACAAGACAAAGTGAGTGCGCCACGCAACCGATTGCAGGATTTACATGCTTCATTCGCTGGAGCAGATTTTGAGAACATTATGAGTTTGTTTCAGGCCTATGAATGCAATACAGCTGAGTGGAATCGCGTCTGTGGAAGAATTGTTGACCGAATTGCCCAGGGTGTAGTATTTAGAAACGCTGATGTGCTTCTGAATGCAGTTCGCCAAGCGGCAGGATGGTGCGTCCACTACAGACTACGCACCCATTTTGGAGGGCCAGCTCAAAGCTTTAAGAGCATTGAACGCTTGTTGCAGGAGTATTCGATTCGGATGCAACATGTTTCTGGGCAGACATCCCAAAAGAGTGTCGGGCAGCTTTTATGTAATTGGCTGTTGCTTGAGTTTGTGATCGCGTTAGAGATGCGTATCATTCGTGCTGTTTGCTCGACCGGGGGAGATCACAGCAGCCTTGAGAGTGAAGACAATAAATCAGCACTCTTTTTTCGTACAAACAAGGCGGTGTGTGACGATTGGTTTATCAGAATACGACCTCTTCTCGTCGAAATGTCAAAACATGGACCGTCCTACGAATTATGCCGGTATCATAGCCATGCCAGGATGACGACCTGCTACAGTAGACTTAGCAGAGCGATGACGTCTCTGACATCCCATGGGGGCTCTGAGCAAGTTTACAACGAGCTGAAAGAAGCAGAAAAGGAACTGGACGTTGCATTATTTTCACTATGTCGCTGCCATGTTGTTGCAAAAGATGCAGATTCAATTGTTGGGTTTCGAAGATGGGGTGACTCTGTAACTTCTTCTCTAAGCAACTGGTACCAATCGAGTAAGGAAGTTTTGGACACTGAGAAAGAACAACTTGAAGTGCCCTTGTTTCAATGGTTGAGTGCAATGCATTTTGAAGCTAAAATGCGGTATGAAGATGCAGCAGCAGAGTACGAGTCACTGCTGCAACCGTTGCTATCTGACGTCGAATCCTGTTTCTCACGAGACGTCAGCGTTTCAAAGATAGTTGAATCGCCAATGCAATATCTTCGCATGTCGCACCATGCACTACTAGGATGCTTTGAGCAATGCGCAAAATGCTACGCGTCTCTGCGTGAATGGACCAAGCTTCGATCGCTTGTTTCCCATTTTGTAAACATGGCTCAATCACTAATGGATTCTGGCCATTCGATCGAGAGGGCTCGAGCAATTCTTGCCATTAGTGATACGTGGAGTAACGAGATTGAGAATATACGCAGTCTTGAGCCTGAAGTAGTTGTATTAGCAGAAGATGCCGCGAGTAAGGGCGAATTGAAGATTGATTCGATGAACCGAGCGGCACTGGCGCTTCGTGTATGGAGCATTTTCAGTAGCCCAGTCGCTGGATCGCCATTGTTGCAATCGGACAATGTTGTTAGCCAGCTATCGAGTGAGCTGATACCGTTGGCGTTGCAGCCGTCTCCATGGAATGGCTACGCAGGTGAAACCATTAGCAAAAGAGCAGAGGAAATTCTACTTCGCATGTTTGGGTGTTCTCAGAAGGCACGATCATTTGAAACGCAGCAGGCTGAGTTGCCCATGGATGGTTTGAGGTTAAATCATGAGGTGTATGACTGTGCTGTTTGGAGCCAGCCATTTGGCACACCGAGTTTGAACTGCTGGTCTGATCATAGGTCAGCTGAAAGCGGCGATGCAGATTGCCTGCACTTGGTGAGTGTTGCCAGGTTGACCCGAAAGCAACACAATTTTACTTTCGCTCGACATTTGTTGAAAGAAGCTGCAGCTATCAAGGGCGCAAGCCAAAAGTCTTTAATGGCAGTCAATTACGAAAAAGCAAAATTACTGGAGATAATAGGAATGGAGGATGAAAGTCGTTGTCTGTTGGAGGCACAATGTGAAATTGATTTGAGCTCTACTGAATTACTTAGCGGGCTGGAGAATGCCACAACTCGGGCCTTCTTGCATCTCGCTACAACACTTGCTAAAGTTGATAGCACCAAGCAATTGTCGCCGGTTACGTGTCGCATTGTCCAAAATACGCTGATGGGTATTACGAATCTTGACAAGCGAGAGCTGCTGAAGGACCAAAACGATTTGGATTTTCTGCCTCAGCTGGAAGATGCAGCGGTGTACAAATGCCTTGTAGCTGCAACGGCTGTATCGCCAAAATCAGCAAAAGCGTGGATTCGGTACAGCCACTGGTGCTATGACCAAGGAAAACAGGAAATAGCACGAATTACAGAGAAAAATGGATATATCCATCTAGATTCGTCGGACGAAGCGAGGGTTAACGATCTTCTGGACGAGATTGGTATCGCTGAACTGGAACGTGATCTAATTGTACGAGCTTTTTGTCATTTCTTGGAAAATGGTGAACTCGTCGGCCCACGAGTCGACTATATTCATCAGATTTGTACGAGTCGGGTGCCTGACCATAATAGTGATGCACTGAATCGTTTGATCCAGCTGCAGCGGCTGTGTCATTCCAAGGTTCTTAGATTTCATAGGCTATCTGCTCATGGCTACGGGAAATACTTGACAGTGCTGCTCAGCGATCCGAACGCCAACTTTCCGAAGCAGGAGATTACAATGGTTGCACTTCGTGTACTTGGCCTTTTGACAACGTACGGAGCCGAAAGTGACATGGTGTCAGCGCTTGAAGGAGTATTTTCCAACGGGTCAGTGACTCCATGGTCCTATATTGTGCCTCAATTGATAGCGCGGGTGCATCATCCGGTTGCGGCCGTGTCGTCTTTGGTTTGTTTGATTCTTAAACGGTTGGCACACCATTCACCCCATTCAATTGTTTATCCGACTGTCATGTATTGTATGGAGGATTGTGAAAAGGAGCGAAGTGCAGCGAACACATTTACTGCTGTTCTACATGAGCTGGAAAATGTGTCATCTGGGCAAGTTGAAGGAGTACGGTTGCTAATTTCTGAACTCCGTAGAATATCTATACTGTGGGATGAAGCCTGGATCAGCGCGCTGATGAAACTGACGGCTGATGTCGCTCGACGGACTTGCACACTGGAGAAAGAAGCGACTCGAGTTGATAGGAATGTCTCATTATCTGCTAACGAAAAGGCTGAATTAGCACAGCGAAAGATGGTGGCTATAATGAAGCCAATTCTGGTTTCGATTGATAGGTTGTGGAATGAAACGTGTGGTCGTGCTCGTGACCAACCCAATGTCTCACCGCATGAGCGCAAATTTTTAAAAGAATATGGTGGGTTGATTGAGAAAGCTATAGAAAGCTTTCGCGATTGTTGCTCATCAGAATTGCGGGTGGAAAGTATTAAGACACCACAAGAGCTCTGGCAGCCTTTCGCTGATATAATGAAGGCTCTGATGAACGCTACAAGCCGAAGAGATCAATTATTGCTTCATGACATATCGCCAGCAATGGCTTTGGCTTCTCGTGAATTGGTACTCACCAACATGCCTGGGGCCTTGTCTGGACAGAGCGATCCCACCACTATTTATCGTGTGAATCCATTTGTGACCGTTATGAGAACAAAAACGAAGCCGAAGTCTTTAGGATTCATTGGATCCGATGGAAAAACACACAAGTACTTGCTCAAGGCCCGAGAAGACTTACGTTTGGATGAGCGCATCATGCAATTTTTACGAGTGACGAACGATTTCTTGCGTGCTGACACTGCTGCTGCTGCTCGAGATTTGTCAGCTCAAAATTATAGTGTGATACCGCTCTCGCAAAATGCTGGCTTAATCCAGATGGTCCCAGACGTTGTTCCGCTTTTTCAAGTGTATGTATCCCGAAACGAGGACGAAACAACCAATGAACAAGTTTCTCATAATTCTGCTGCAGCGTCTTCGGCGCAGCAGCCACCACCGCCTACAGCTCTATTTTATGCAAGGTTGAAGCATCATGGAGTTACAAATGTGTCGCCAAACAATCGAGCTCAGTGGCCAATTTCTGTGCTAAAGCAAGTGTATCTGGAGCTTGTTGCGCAACGTCCGCGCAATGTGCTGTTGCAGGAGATTTTACTCCGCAGTGAAGATTTGCGAGAAAGCTGGACAAAAAGTGTGCGGCTAAGCAAATCCCTAGCTGTAATGTCCGTTTTAGGGTACATTGTTGGACTAGGCGACCGGCATTTGGACAACATGTTGCTTTGTGTCAACAGCGGAAATATCTTACATATTGATCATAATGTATGCTTTGAAAAGGGACGCACACTTAAGGTGCCAGAAGTCGTGCCATTCCGGCTGACACCAATGTTGCAAGATGCACTTGGGTTTACAGGTGTGGAGGGAAAATTTCGTGTAGCCTTTGAAACGACCTTACGCGTCGTGCGCTCGCATGATGTTCGCGAAGCGTTACTGACGTTATTCGAAGCGTTTGTATACAGCCCACTTGTCGATTGGATATCTGCGGATAAGCGACAAGGTCGGTCAGGAGACTTGAAAGCTCGGCTGGAAGTTAACGTGAATCTGTCTTTGTTCCTGTCACGAGCCGAAGAAAGACGACAAGACACAATCACCTTTGGACGACAATATGAGCAATTTGCTGACGTAATCACTCGTATCTTGGAAGAAACAAAAGTTCCGATTATCGACTTGCTGGAACAACGCAAGCGAGTACAGTCTATTGAGAAAGAGGAGCAAGCGTTGTTAAGGGAGGTATCGAAAAGTGAGACTGAGATGTGCACGTATCGAAGTGGTCAAAATTTTGCTTACGCAAGTATGGAAGCTGCCACTGCTCAGGCCAAGGAGATGAGCGCAAAACTTGCTGCTTTTGCAAATGAATGTTTTGCAAAATATCAACAGATTGAAGTGTGGAGGCAGAAAAGCATAAGTTTTGCTGAGACTGATCCTGTGGTACAACTAAATGCCGTGACAAAAGGGGTTGATTCAGCTTCTTTTCAGGACGCGCACGCAAGACTGAGCGATATACTGGCAAAATCTTGGTATGATGGCCCGCAAGAAGAAGTGTTTGCCGCATTGGAGTCAAAGTGCATATCGCTTGATATAAATGTGAGACGTCTACGCGTCGAAATTGAAATGGTCGCCATGCATCTGATCCCTTGTCTTTCTACTTACAGCCACTGTCGAAAAGAATTGGACGCATATCTGGATTCAGCGTTACAAGCGTCAGCAAAGGATGTATACATATATTGGTGGAATCGTTGTACTGAGTGCTTACGTGGACTAGTGGCTGGCGCAAATGCTGAACCTGTTAGTACTGAGATGAGTCGGCCAATTGCTCTTTCTCAAAAAAGTCTAGATTACTCCGATGTCATGATAAAGCGCCTTGATGAAGATGACCTTAGGTATCCCAAATATATCGGCGAAATGAAACAAGATCCGTCTATTATCTTGGAAGCGACCCAGTTGCTTCAAGAAGTATGGAATGCGCTATCTGCAATAAAATTGTCGAATGCTCAAGGCCAACGCCTACTGAAGCTTGCAGGGGCGTCTTGGATCGTCGATATTATGAAGAAACTAGGCTTCTACTCGAACGTTAATGCAGCTGTGACCGGTGCTTTCACTCCCGTACTTGCTACTCCTGTGGAATTCCAGCAGATCGTTACTGTGTCTTATGCGTGCTCCACCTTGCTAGAGTTAGTCTCGACGCCAAAAGGCTCGATGAAGAGGCTTCGAGCAAGTGATCTTTTGGCGGAGATTCGTGAAAACGATTTAGCAGAAAGCAATCAGCGGGCTAAAGCAAATTTGCAATTGTTTATTGACGCTCTTCAAGCTGTGGGATCATTTGCCGTTGTGCTTCAGGAAGAGTTCATCTCTAACCTTCATGGTAGACAATGGGATAAAAATGTATGCCAAGATTTATTGAAAAGTGTCAGGGAAATGTCAGGTGGAATACAAAGCGTGACGGATACAATTCTGATGCCGTCTGCAATCAATGATGGACAGCTTTCGGCGCACATTGCTATCCAGAATGTCCTTACAGCTGCTTTGAAGGTGATCCGAAAGTTTTCAGCTGTTGCTGGCTCATTGCAGCAAGGTTCAGTTTTAACAGATAAAAAGGCTGAACGCATGAATATTTTGTCTAGCTCGAGTTGGATTGAGTTGGTACTCAACTTTATTACGCTGTTATCTGCGGATCAACCCAAGCAGAGATTCGAAGATGAAGCACGCACACTTTGGTCTGATCATATGGATGCTTTTGTTTCCAGCTGTGTGGTAAAATTACTCCGCTATCTGCTTTCAAGTGTCATCTCCTTTGAGTGGAAATTTGATTTTTTCGTAGTGGCTGAAGGGATGGATATCAACGCCATCAACGAGGTGCAGACTTTACTCAATTCTCGATGGCTTGCTTTTTTCCGTTCGCAAATTGCAGACATTTTGCCGTCTGCTTCGTCGAATGATACGTCAGAAGCACACGTAAACGCAGTAAACAAGTCGGTCGCTCGACTGATGGCAGTTTGCGAAGAGTGGTGGAGTCAGAAGTGGAGAATATACCAGTCAGCATTGTGGCAGAAAAAAATATCTTCCCTTCGCACACGGCATGAACGACGACTTCGATATGGTACATGGCTAGCGACGTCGCCTACGGATTCAGTCAATTTGGGAGAATCACCATGCCTTAGTCGAGCCAAATTGCTCTCATTCCTGTCATCACAAATTCCCCATCTAAATGCTTTGCTCACGGACCAGATTGCCGTTGAAGCGGACGCGTTAGAATTGGCGCAACAAATGGATTGTCTTGCCTCAAATTTGAGTTCTGCTTCCCCCAATGACCGACAATCTGCCAACGAGAAGTTTCATGAATGCGTCCAAAAGAGTTACACCAACGCAGTCGCACTCTTTGACTATGGACGAGCTTTGGCTGACCTTGTTCAGGGTATTAGTGTAATTGAAACGTCGTCCGGCGACTTCGTACAGGGTGCGGGACAGATGGAGCTCGAAGTAAATGTTGTCGGAAAGAGCCTTCTGCACAAAGCGTTTGAAGCTACTATAAAGCTTCAAGCGTGCAGTAACGCTGTCATTGAAGTGGAGGCCCGTGCGCGTGCTCTTGAAGATGAAATTGAGCGCAAACGTGCATTGTACAATACCATCGCTTTGAGTAAATGTGCCACCAAAGCAAGATTTGATGAGATATGTAGCCAAAACAAAGATACTGTTGTGGATGTTTCACGTATGCTGTGGAAACATGTAAAAGAGCTGCGCTTGTTGCTGAGGAGTTTCGACAAGTTCAAGAAACCGCTGAAGCAAACTACGCCTGCAGAATCCGAGGGTGACCCCTTACAGACACAGCTACAGGCGGAGAAAAATAAATTGCTGTCAGTAGGCCCCCTTTCTCCGAGGTTCACAGTTGGGTATTTCTTTATGGAAAACGATCGACTTGTGAAGATTCTGTTACGCAGTATTCGATCAGTGAAACATCTGCAGCTGCTGGAAGGGGTTCTTGAGCGGCATGAAGAGGCTTGCACCGAGATTCGAGAAACGATTGATCAGATTGACCAAGCTTTGGCTGATTTTGATACTCTAGCTAGCCAGTTGCTTGTAGATGAAAGCCAAGATAAGGCAGGTGTTGACTCAGATGCTGATGCAAAACTTACACTGCTCCTCAATTTGATTGAAGCACTTCGTGTTATAAATGCGAAGGAATCACAGCTTCTGTCCGAAAGTAGTGCAAGAATTGATACCACGGACGAAACTTCGATACCTCTTCTTGTGGTGGGCCGTGATCTCGTGCGCAAATGTGTGAAGCTGTTTTTCGAAGCAACTGAAATGGCTGATCGAATGTCAAGTGCAGAGGATGAGAGTCACAAAACGGACGATGATGTCTCGACGCAATATGTAAATGACGAGGATGAGGAGCAGCATGAAAATACCGACAACTTTGGTGCTCCTATCGCCATAGAATCCGGCAATAGTGTCGTATTAGGTGTATGCAGTGGGAATAGCTCTCATGCCACGACCACAAGTTCTCCTTGCAATGTTGAGGAAAAAAGTCGGTATGGTTTGCAAGTTCTGAAGCGCATTGAAGAAAAGCTGTCAGGAACGGTAACGGAAATGGCTCATGCACCTTTCGCGCTAACAGTTGAACAACAGGCATCGTGGCTCATTGACGAGGCTACAAAGACAGACAATCTATGTGTCATGTACGAAGGATGGACACCATGGATTTAAAAAGGCCGATATATAAAAGACCTATACATACATATAACATAGGTCGCCTGCCGTAAAATATGAAGCCGTCTTGCAGAAATATACCACGCCAAAAAGTTTGTCTAATCGAACAAAGCAAATTTTATAATGCTCACAAAACTTACCGCATTAATGACTGGCAACAAGAAGACAACTCGCACGAACTCATTCGTCTTCTGTTGGTGTCACGCTTCCGTCGCTATAACTTTGCCCCTCACTTCTTTCTTCAGCCAGCACACTTTTCTGCCTAATGAAACTTGTACTGAATCTTCTTGTGCACCTGGACCAAAAACTCAACGTAAGACACGTCATTGCGTGTGCGGTCCTCTACTAGCGTGCTCATGAAGCGGTTCGCACGCCAATCATTCTTGGTCAGGATCTCCAAAGGCTGAGAGATCGGGATGGTTGAGTTTAGGTACTCCACTAGCGAGCGTAGCCGCTCACGAGCGCTTATACCTTCGCCCGCAAGCGGTTCGTTTTCGATAGTGTCAAACAGGTTCAGAGTTTGTTCAGCTGTGTCAGCATGATCCACGCCGAATAGTTCAACCAACAAATCGGGAGAAACCTTCGGACCAATGTAAATGGAGCAGCACATTGCTGAGTGCAACAAAAAAATACCTTCTTCATCCAATTTTTCTGCCGTCGGCGGAAGCTGAGGAGGAAGGATAAACTTCCCATCCTCGTCCAATGTGCAACAATCTTCCGCCAAGTCATGTACACTGTATAATTTGGGATAGACTGCCGAAACGCAATACTCAACGGGAAGACTGTTAAGTAGACCCATCATCATTACCCGCTCATCCGCTCGCACATCAACGAATCCACGTGGAGGATTATCCACAAGGTTTCCTCTCAATGCACGACTCTTGAGCGTTGCCAAAGTGTATAAAGGCAGCAGCTTCAAAGATTCAGGTAGAATCAGCTGTCCCGAAGACGAAGATGAAGCACAATACTTGCGATAATTGAACAACACCGTCACGCACTGGTCTACCAATGACTCCTTAACCGCCATAGGCGTCGCACGCATTAACTGCTTATCCACGAACTGACGTGCAGCTGAGCGCTGCCACACAGAACAGGTCGCGTCCAGGTCAGCAAAGCGGAAAACATTTGATAACAATGGCTCCACCTGCAATGCAAGATTGTGCACACGCACGCAACGTAAGCCGTCACTACGCGTATAAAGCAGAGCCGCCTGGATGAATGCATCCGTGCCTTCAGCCAGTGGTTCGTCGTACGAAAAAGTTACGCACATTGAGCGATCTTGGTCAATCACAGCAAATTCCATCTCATCTGAAGTCAATACGTTTCCACGAGCGCTAAAGAAATTACCGTATGCGTGCTCCAAACGGAGTCCAGCGCTGCAGCGCACCTTAAGCACGGCCTCGTAGCCGCAGTCACGATCCACAAGGCGCTGAAGCATACTGATAAGATGATGACGATTACTCGATAGTTCCTTTTCAAACTGAGGCATGTACTGAACACGCCCACCAGTCAGTTCACATACACGGCCTACATCAGCAAGTGATGCAAACGCGTTCGCAACCGAAAACACATCCAAAGAGATGTGCTTCTCCGCGCATTTACGAGCTAATTCCTCGTAAGCGTTGTTTTCCTCAGGAGTATACAGATCAACCTCCTTCGTGGTACCGTAGGCACCACTCGCTTCTTCACGTTTCACTTTGCCAATTCCCACGCGAGGAGCACCAGCATGAAGCAGCACTACTCGTCCCCCCCGATACAGATAGTGCATCCGCTACACTCCAGAGTGCGGAGCCAGAGACTGCCTGGTTTGTTGTCGTATTTTCAAACGAGCGAGTAATCGTGTCAGATAGCTCTGTAATCTTGTCAGCCGCAGCCGGATCGTCCATGGATATCAGCCAGCTGCTCGGAGGCAGCGGCGCTACCGGATCATCAATGTCTGGGCAAATGCACATGGAAATAGAAGACGAACCGCTGTCCATACGGTAGTAATGTACGGCTGTATCGAAAGTTATTATGCCCACCTTTTTGCGCTTGTTCTGTGCCATCGACGGTAGCAAATAATTAATTGCTTGCAGTGCGCTAGTAGCAAGGCCCGTCCGAAACGAAATGAGAGAAACGTCAAGAACAAAGACCAAAATGGGCTCTTGTGGTGGACGGATAGTGTACGCTGCAGGCACAACATATTCCACTGAACCGCGCGACAGTTCCGCGCGCTCTTGATTATCACGCCGCTTGCCGTACTGGTCCACGCTGCAGTAGTAATCGCGCGGGGTCTCGTTACTCAGCTGACAAATGTTGCACACAAATTTGCGACCACCTTGTATAAACTTCGTGAATGAGTTCACATAAGCAGCACAACGTGTGCACCGCAGCGGGCCACTAGGACCAAAGTCCACCAGCGGAATCGGCAGCTCATCCTCTTGCAAGTCGGCAAGAGGACAAATCACCGCAGCCAGTGGTAGTCCACATTGCTTTAGCAATTCTTTTGTGGTGGGGACATGGTTAAGTGTCGGTCGAATGAAGCGCGGGTTACAACAGCCTTCGTCCACACACACGTAGTCGCTTGATGCCGGAGGTGGCATGGTCACCGTGTGACCTCGGGCAACATACTGCACACGCTCCGCCGATATAATAGGTCGTGGGATCTGAGTCGGGTCGATACGCTGCTTTTGTGCCTGAGAAGCCGGCTGATGTTGTTGAATATACCCTCCTTGTTGAGGTTGGCCATACGTTCCAACTGCCCCTGGTGCACCGTAAGGCGGTGCAGCAGCAGGGGGTACAGGAGGTCCAGGGTATGGCCCAGCATCGCGGTTCGGCTGAAGGTACGGAGCTGCTCCCCCCTGTAAAGGCGGTGGTCTTTGTTGTTGTCCATTGAACTGCGGAGGTAGAAGTCCCTGCGCTTGTCCATTGGACGGTGGAGGTAAAACACCCTGTTGCTGTCCGCCAAACTGCGGTGGAGGGGCTACACGGCTGCCCTGAGGCGGCGGCGCATTGCCATACTGCTGTCCTGGTGCAGGAGGTCCCTGCTGAAACTGCTGCCTCAATGGACCTGGCGGACCACCAGTCTGGAAAGTCCCTAGTCCTGATACGGCAGGTGGAGTGTTTTGAAACGTACCGGATCCTGGTGGAACTCCACTGTGTCCTAATGCCGATCCAGGAAGATTTCGATTCACTTGATTGTTTCCACCTGATGACAATGATGGACCTATAGAACCTGGTTGTCCACCCTGTTGTCCAGGTCGAAAGGAACCACCACCTTGAGAGCCTGGAGTTGATAAATGAACCTGCTGCACTTGACCAGAAAAGCCAGTATGTTGACTGTTATAGCTTAAGTTGAAAGGATGAGCTTGAGGCTGCTGAACTCCAGATAAGCTTTGACGTGGTAAATTACTCAAAGATTGAGCCATTGGCTGTTGTTGTTGTTGTTGAGAAAACTGCTGCATATTATTATGTCCATATCCTATACAAAGTAATCATAAATAGTAAAGACCAACAAGTATACAGTTATTAGTATACATAGAACGTATAGTAGTAGTATACATAGTATCGTATACTATACTATAATATATAAACATCTTAAATAATAAAACCACGACACATACCAGGTACATATCCATTTCCACTACGAGGAGGTCCACTCTGCTGCTGTTGTTGTTGTTGCGATACAGTATCAGAACTGCCAAAATAACCTCGTGGTGGAAGATTCGATTGCTGCATCGTAAGAAACTGCACGAAGTTGACGCTATGTGTGTTCCACGTGTGAAGTGGGGGCAAAAAGTGGCGAAAACAGTTTTCACAGGGAAAAAAAGATCAACGGAGTTTATATTTGTCAAGTTTTATGTATGATACGCAATATTCAAACTATGATAGGACATAGATGTAGCCATGATATATTTAAGGTATCGTCAGTCCCTTTTTTTTGTTTTTGTTTCTTTATATTGTATGCAATCTATAAATCAAATCTGTCGTGACAGATTGATTCTTATTATTGGCTACAAATACAAATGACCATCATTCTCATTATCAGATTCTACAGATCAAAGGGGGCGAGGCGATAAGTTAAAAGGTGTATAAAACACGTCATCCCTCCCTCCTCGTCCCACATTTGAAGACGTTCATATTCGAATTTACCAGCGGCAATGGAAGTTCAAGAGCGACGAAACAGTCTCACTGGGCACGAAGATGACAAGGTATTGAATCTAATGATGGAGCCACAAAGAAAAAACGGACACAGAAGCAGCACGTCGAGAGACGCTGCGTACTCTTCGTTTGGCATTCGTAGGCAACGTCGATAGTGGCAAGTCGAGTTTGATTGGAACATTGATTAAAGGCGATCTGGACGATGGACGTGGTTTGTCTCGTCAGGCTATTTTTCGTCATAAACATGAGGTTGAATCGGGACGTACAAGCAGCGTGGCAACTGCATATTTGGGCTTTGACGACTCTGGAGAACAGATTTTATCCAAGAGAGCAGGAAAGCTCATTCCATGGGCAGAATTAGCCAAGATTGCACATAAACGAGTTCAATTAATTGATCTAGCAGGGCACGAGAAGTATCTGAAGACGACGGTTTTTGGGTTAACTGGTATGCAACCAGATGTCGTCGTAGTCGTGGTAGGAGCAAACATGGGCGTTAAACGGATGACGAAGGAGCATTTGGCGATTGCAGTTGCAGTAAGTTTAGTTGCTTCTGCGTTTATTGTGGCTAGTCATTGTTTCACTGTAGACTAAAGATGACGTTTGGTATGTAGCTTGAGATCCCTATTGTCGTAGCGCTTACGAAGATTGATATTGCCCCGAAGAATGTGGCAAAGGAAACGTTGGCAATAGTTCGTCAGATTCTACGACGCTGTATGTTTATATAGTAGTTTTTGCAAGAAACATTGATGACTTATCGTATTTGTGATTATTGCTACTTTTTTTGCTGTTGCTAGATGGAAAGATGGCGATGTTAGTAAAGACGACGGAGCAGGCTATGACAGCTGCCAAGGGCATACCGTCGAACCGCGTGACGCCTATTTTGCCGATTTCGAATGTCACGGGGGACGGATTGGAGAACTTGCGCCGGATATTGTACGAGACGTCACCGTCTGCATTGTTTAAAGCGGGTCTGTCTGCCTCGACTTTGGCAACAACCAAGTCAATCAACCAAGAAGAAAGCATTACAATACAAACGCCAACTGATACAGGTGATCTAAAGAAGACTATAGCGGTGAACAATGTGATTGAAATGCCGATTGATGAAACGTATCAAGTCCCAGGTGTTGGATTCATTTTGGCGGGGACATTAGTGACAGGAAGTTTCAAGGTTAATGACGTCTTGCAGATCGGACCCGACTACAGCGGTAATTTTTACAAGGTTACTGTGCGCAGCATGGAATCAATGTACATGCCTTTAAAGGAGCTCGTCTCGGGACAAACTGCGGCTCTTGCTGTCCGATCAATCAACAAAAAGTTTGTGCTAAGCCGGTTAACTTTTCGCAAGGGTATGATTTTGCTGAGCCCCGAAATCAAGGTGAGCGACTATGTGTCGCGGGTGTTTGAGGCTCGGGTGGTGATACTGCACCACCAGACTACCGTCACCGTTGGCTACCAGCCGATGGTCAATTGCCGGACGATTCGGCAAACTGCAGAGATCATTTCGATCCAATCGGACCAGGACGTTATCCGTACAGGAGACCGAGCACTTGTGCGCTTTCGATTCATCCATGCGCCCGAGTTTTTGAAAAAGGGCATGCGCTTTGTGTTTCGCGATGGTCAAGCAAAAGGAATTGGTAAGGTTGTTTCTATAGTTCCTACCGAGCAGTGTGAGACGGTGTAAGATGTACGAGTGGAAATAATTGATTTGAGAATGAAGAAATTCATTACGTTTGCCTAGCAATTTGAATGGTGAAGGGGTTTTCTACATAGTGACTTGTTAATCGTCGGCAATTGTTGTGAGAAAGTATACAATCATAGACTTTTACGAATGTGTCAAGGCCATGAAAAGCACGTGTACACAGGATACTAAGCTTAGTGTGGTCATGAAGCTGTGAGCAATGCAGACAAGAGGTTTCTTTCATTTTGTTTCAACTTTTGACAAAAGTAGACATCAAAAAGACGCAATTTTGCCAAATCACAAGCTGGCAGAGCCAGAAGCAATCAAATGGCATAAGATTTCACAGGTCAAGCAAATCTGACTAGAGAATCAATCGGTTTTCTCAGCGAACTTAGTCATAGGTTCGTGTTAACCTAAGTTCGTAATCATTTCGATAATGTCCGATGCAGGTCCTCGCATGAGTGACACGCTACGTGTGCTGGTGTCCACGGATAATCATTTGGGCTATGCAGAAAAAGATCCAGTACGTGGAAATGATTCATTTCGTTCATTTCGTGAGATTCTACAACTTGCACAGCATGAGAAGGTTGATCTCTTACTCTTAGGTGGTGATTTATTCCATGAAAATAAACCTAGTCGTCGTACTTTATATGAAACCATGCGTCTTCTGCGTACTTACTGTATGGGTGAGCATGCTGTTAATTTTCAAATTGTGAGTGATCAAAGTATCAATTTTCCAAATTTTGGAATTGTAAATTTTGAAGATCCAAATTATAATATTGAGCTCCCTATATTTAGTATTCATGGAAATCATGATGATCCAGCAAGAGCAGGAGGAGGAGGAGATATGACACAATCATTGGCAGCTCTAGATTTATTAAGTGCTGCTAATTTGGTGAATTATTTTGGTAAAAGTGAAAAAGTGGATGCAGTTGAAGTGTCTCCAGTGTTATTGATCAAAGGAGCTACACGCGTAGCTATTTATGGACTAGGGAATATGAGAGATGAACGTCTGAATCGAATGTTTGCACAGGGAAAAGTGGTGTTTAGAAGACCAGCAGAAGAAGCAGAAGCATGGTTTAGTATTTTTGTAGTACATCAGAATCGAGACGACAAAGGAAGAGGGAGCAAGAATTGTGTTCCTGAAAGTGTGATTCCAGATTTTATTGATCTTGTAGTGTGGGGACATGAACATGAATGCCAGATTGATGTCCAAGAGAGTGTCAAAGGAGATTTCTTTATCACGCAACCAGGGTCATCCGTTGCGACTTCATTGGTGGAAGGCGAAGCGAAACCCAAGCATGTTGCAGTATTGGAAATAAACGGTCAGAGCTTTCGGATGTCAAACCGTGAATTGCATACCGTACGACTATTTAAGATGGGTGAGGTGGTTTTAAATGAGGTTGAAGAGCTGGAACCGAATGACCCGGATGTAGCTGAACACATTGGCGAGTATCTGGAAGGCAGAGTGATTGAGCTGCTACATGAGGCTGAATTGGAACAGCAGGAAAGGTTTGAGAAACGGTCGAGAGAACGTGAGCTGAGACAACAGGAGAGTCCCTTCCCGCTAGCAGAGATTACAAATAAGGAAGATGGAAAAGAACTTGTGCTCATTCGTCTGCGTGTGGAACATACTGGTTTTCCAGTGATAGTTAACCAACGGTTTGGTGCGAAATTTGTCGGAAAAGTGGCCAATCCTAACGATATTTTACTATTCTACCGACGAAAGAGAGATCGTCTTAATGCTTCGGACAGCAAAGCCAGTAAGGAGCTGGAGAAGTCACTTTTGGGTCGGCCTGTGCGACCGACGCCGCTAGCCGCATTGACCATCGAAGACATCTTAAGCAAGCAACTGTGTGTACCTGAACGGAAACTTGTGCTTTTGCCCGAGGCTCAGCTAGGAATTGCACTAGAGAAATTCACATTGAAGAACAACGCATCAGCTATTCAGGAGTTTGTGGACGGCGTGCTCGACGAGACTCAACGTGAACTAAGCGCTAAGAGTGATGCTAAGTCAGCACAGGATATTCTAAGCGTCGTTGGAAAGAAAAAAGAACACACTGATGCGCTGCTTGCATTGGAGAAAGAAGAAGAGGAAGACGAGTTACGAGATAGTGCCGCCGAGCTTGACACGGTATCGGGAGGTAGTCTGTTGGCAGACGGGTTTCGATCGAAGCGGATCACAGAGGATAATGGCAGCTCGGCTGAATCGCAGAACGGGCGGTTGGGTACGCCAAGAACCCCACAAAGCAAAGCGGTTCGCCCAACGAGAAAACAAGCCGCGAAGATATCGTCATCAGTCTTTTCAGATCTTGAAGATGACAGTGACGAAAGTCCACGTCAAAGGAAGGCGTCTGCGCCTCGAAAAACTTCAGCATGCTCAATCAGGAACAAGAAGCGGAGGACAAGTGACATGTTACTTTCCGATGACGAGGATGTAGCTTCTGCTGCTGATGATGATGGAGATGAGGACTACAAAATGGACGATATGGAAGAAGAAGATATGGCTTTGCGATCGTCAGTGAAGCCCCGTGCAAGAGCCTCGGCCCGACCAACAAAGGCCAAGAAATTATCACCGATGCGCAAGCGCCTTCGTAAGACAAAAGGTCAAGACGATGACAACTTTATGCCATCCTCTAGTATGCGTAATAGAGCTGCGCCGACAAAATGCGACAGTCAAGCAGATGAGGCAATAAATTTGTGCTCGGACTTTGAGCCAGAACAACCAGCACCTAGAAAGCGTGTCAGCCAGACAAAGGCGAACGTATCCCAGCAACACAGACTGGATCGCCTGTTCAAGACGCAAAACCTAAATAGGAATGATACCGACGACGTCGAAAGCGACCACGAGTTCACGCAGCTTGCCCAGCAGGCAACCGGCCACATCCAAGACATAGTTGGCTCGTCGCAGTTGCAGTCCGAGTCGCAGGCGTCTCAAGCTCGTGGGGGAGGCTCCACGCGGCGCAAACTGCCGCTGTCAATGACTACAGCTTCGCAACCGCAGTCTCAAGAATTGAGGCGTCGTGAAGCTGCTGCCCCTGCTGCTCGTAAGGGATGGGGTCGTTCTCGGCGTTAACAGGAAGTGACAAGATAATGTCATCAAACTCGTGAGGTAATGAACTGATTTAGCCTGCTATGCCCAAGTTCATTTGAGACCTTCAATCTCGTTAGCGATAATGAGTGAGCTTACTGGTTCACTCCTTACTCGTTCCTTGCGAATGTTATTCTGACGTCTCAGCATTCGCTCTAGTAAAAGCCTATACTTCGTCAAAGCCTACTCCATGCTCTCCAATAACTCCTTGGGTGGGGTCTTTGGCAAACTCGAGTTCAGCTCCTCGTCCTTAGCAGGGTCCTGTCGCATCCAGGTCTTGTTCTGAAAGCGTGGACGCATCTGCGATGAATAGTATGGGTTGCGTGGCGCAAAGGCTGGCGCACCAGCGATCAAGTCGGCGTTTTGTAATTCGCCATTTGGCTTGCATCCAGTTGCATCTGGTCCTGATTTGCCTTCGTTAGCTTTTGCTTCCTCTGCTTTGACCACGTTCGGGTTCACCCACTTGCGATTCTGGAATGGTCGCGGCCCTCGTGGGCAAGTTTGCATGTCAACCACGGCCGACCGAGGGTAGCCGCGGCCACCATACGGCGGCATGCCTTGTGGTGGAAAACCCATCGCGTACGGATTCATGGGACCGTAACCTGGCGAAGGATAGAACATAGGGCCTCCGAACGGCTAAGCATAATCAAAACACAACACCAAATAAAAACAGTTAGATGCATCTCCTTCATCAATAGCCGAGCTAGGAAAACAACATACCGGTGGGTAGCCTCCATATCCCATCGGGCCGCCCTGAAACCCCATCGGCGGGCCCATTCCTTGTCCAAATCCCTGCTTGTCCTTGTAGTCACCTTTCTCGTCTGATGGTGGCAATGGCGGCGCCACATCACGAGAGCCTTTACTTCTCCGCTTGCCACTGCGTCCCCCATCCACCATATCTTGGTCTCGGTCTCGGTCATTTCTCCGGTTGTCACGTGCTCCACTATGTTGATTCTCATCACTGCGGCCACGGTCTCCGCGTCGCTTCTTCTGCGAACCCAAAGTGGCACGTGCGTCTAATTCGGCTTGGTCAACATTAACAGGTGGGCCCAGTCGCTTTGACAACCGACTGCTGCTTTCCCGCTCATTTATTCGTCGCTTGTTTCCTATCGTTCCCATCTCATCTCGCTGATAATGGTTATCGTCTCTCGTTGATGATGTTTGATGAGAAACTTTCTTCGGTGCTGGTTTCTCTATGACGCCAAAACGCTGAGCACGTCGCGCAATAACGTCGTCCATGTCAGTCTTTGACGGGTTGAGCGACCTAATCGTGCCTCGATTGCTGCCGAGCGACACAACCTTTTTCTGAACTGGCTCAGACGACGTCTTCGAGAGCCCTTTTAAGCTAACAACACGTTTCGTCTCCTCCTTCTCGTCTCCTAAATTCTGAGCTCTATCTTGAGCTTGAGACTGCAATGTCTTGTCCTTGGTCGGACATTCAGTGTCATTATTTTCCTGAGACGACATATCCACGACTGGCGCTCTCACTTCAAATGTTGGCAGCAATTGACTGAGCCATGCTACAAATTGTTCAGCTGATTCTTCTCCAATAAAATCCACGAGGTCATGAGCAATCTGTTCCATGTTCTTCTTGTTGCCGACCATCACGATCACGTATTCCTATAGTAGTTGTCCCATTTTAAGTCGATTGAAGAAGGAAGAATCAGATACTTATACAATACTATACAGGATTCTTTTTTTCATATAAAGAGTAGTGGGGGCGGGTGGCGTCCCTAAATATTCCTACTAATAAGAGCTTCACCCTCTTTTTAGCAATGTCTTTCACATGTATACAAAGTATCACATAGTTATAGGTATACAGAATCTCTCTCTCTTTCTCTTTCTCTCTCTCTCTCTTGACTCCTTCTTATAGTCATATCATTAGTGATAATCCTGTTTGTTTTCTCCTATCTTCTTTACTATAATATGCTTGAACCAGGCAAAAAGGGAACGCCACCCTCTTGATTGTCATACAATTACTACTACTTTTCGTATACATCAACACGTACCGCCATCACGTTGTCTACTTCAACACCTAACATTTCCGTAAGCTTTTCACGAGTCTTGAGTGTAATTTGATCCTTTAACTCATCAGTTAATAGTAATGGAAATACGTAATTCTTTGAATAGAACACCATTAGAGAGAGAATAAAGGAGATATGGTGCAATTTAGTCTATGAACCGTCATTCATTAAAGTTCGACTGAGAAAGATAGTACCGTGAATAACAAATAGCGGATTGGTTACAGTAAGAGACAATACAAGCAGAACATCAATATCCCCACTTGAATGACATTAATCCAACCCTCTTAACGACTACTTCATGATGACGAGGTTTGTGTAATCCACACGAAAACAAGAGAGACCACCACCATCTAGCGACTTGTGCTGGGTGCTATGACAATATAGCGAACCCACGAGAATCTTCATCTTCTTTTGTACTAGCTAGCAGTTCATGCAAATTTACTAATAAGGATTGTCAGTAGCCTTCGTGATAAAGTCAGTTTCAATAAGTATATCTCGAGTATCAACGACCCTATTCGTCCGTCATCAGGCACGGTCTCAATTACAAATGCCAGAATCATTAGCAAGTCAGTTTCATCATGAGAGTAGTAGCAACAAACACCACCTCATATGTGTCAATAGACGAAAACACTGTGACATCTTTGACTAGACATTCCATTTCAATATCCTAGCCATGATCTGAGCATAGCCCTCTTTTGCATGTCAACGTCGCCTTAGCAAGTGCAATGTTGCGACTTTCACCAAGGCCATTTTTTTGCCTTTAGTTGCTCGCTGTTGAACCCAATACTTATATCATCGTTGCTCGTCGTTGTAAGTTGCGTGCGAAAGAATACGACGCGCAGTATGCCTTTTTAACCATGTTTCTGGTCGGCTGTTTTGCTGGAATTCGTAGCTTGCACGCTGATCAACGTAAAGCGACGCTAGTTTTTAACATACGTGACTGATTGCGGACGTCTGGCTGGATTGATACTATTGTACTGAAACAGCTAATGACCCTGTATCTCTTGAAGCTATTCTAACATCATTCGATAACTGTCTGATGCATCCATCATACAGTTAGTTGAGCCTGCTGTAGCCATGTGCTTTACTCTATGCAGATCGTAAATGACAAAACATGTCTCTGTATTTTTCTTAAATATCGAAGAATCAAGAAGACCTTTTCCTTCTATTTGTACGAGGACTTCATGGGACAGACATATATATGTATGTTACATATATGCTAAAAGGGTTCTTAGGGTGATAATGATAATACTAATGATGATGATGATCATTATTATCACATAAAGAGCTAATTGAAACTTGTGTCATCTTGTTGTTGTTATTTAAGTCCTTGTCGAACCTGCAATTCAATATTTACATGTGGAAAATATTAAAGAGTCAGATGCATTCAAAGCGAATCTTCAGATCGGTATGTGGCTTTGCTTTGCAGCAAATTTGCAACAAAAAAAGCATTTCTCTTGATTTCAGTATATGATAGGCGTCAATCTTCCCTTCACCTCTATTGGCCCTGCCCCTGCTCTCCGTCTCGATCTCACTTGATTGCTCCTCATTGTTACTTTGACCTTGTGAGCTGACGGCTCAGAAAATAATATACATATTGTTATATACCTTCCATGGCTTCACCAGATATTTGTGGTATTGATGTTCAAGGATTATATCTAGAAGACCCAGGGAATAAACAGGAACCTGTAGGTTATGTTTTATGCTCAGAAATGGGTAAAACATGCAAGAAAAATGGGTGCAATTGTCGAAGTGCCTCAAGTCAACCAATAAATGGGTCAACAATGTATTTTGGTGTTTGTGTGATACTTCGGAATGGTGCAGATTGTGTTACAAGTGGAGATGACTATATCACTTGTGCCAAGAATTCAGATGGAAGTACAAAGACAAAGAACACGGCGACTTCAACACGAATGAATTCAGACAATGGAATGTCAAACGTGACGAAATCCACGACATCAGCAAAGATTAAGGCAGTAGTTGAGAGCAATGGGGGAAGTATCGATTCCTCCACTAGTACGAGTGCTGGTAATAGCTCTAGTACTGATACTAGTGCTGGTACTAGTGCTGGTACTGGTACTAGTATTAGTATTAGCTCTGGTACTAGTAGTACAAGTGCTAGTTATAGTGGTAGTACGAATGAAGAGATTCCAGAAGATGCAGTACCAGTTGTGAATGATGTCGCTTCGTCCAGTTCAACGAGCTCAACAGTTATGGTGGTCATCATTATCGTTGCAGTCATGTTTGTAGCGGTTACATCGTGGGTTATACGCTGGTACTGCATGCGTCGTTTGAAAGCTAAAAGTAAACTACGTTCTAGACGAAATCGGAGCATTCACGCGGCAAATATTCAAGCAACGTCCCCAAGTAATACGACGGGCAGGTCTTCAGGTACACCGTCGTTTCCGGCGTTTGATAGACGTACACGAGGAATACAGTCGCCGGTCACAGGCGAACGTGGGCGGGGGAACCAAGACGTGCAGCATGGACGACTTACTCCACGTAGTCGCGAACAAACGTCTGCACGTGGCCGAAGAAATCCTGACCTGGAGTTTGCATCAAATAGAACCCGTCAAACGAGCCGCGAGCATGATTCTAGACGTGGTAAACGAGCTCTAAATTTGGAAGGAGGGCGACGTGAACCCGGCTCTGGTCGACGATGGCAAACGCCTGATACTAACTTTGTGCCAAATGGACCACGGAGTCATAAAGAAGCTGGCATGCAGTACGAACCGAATTCTGGAAGAAGTCGACGAGATACTTACAAAATGTGCAAGGCAGAAACAGTGACGCGAAATCCTACGAGCAACGACGCGGCACCATCTTCCAGTGGCACTGTATATACTGGCCGTAATACGTACGAAAGAGTTGCGCAGTTTGCTCAACTAGCAGCATTTGAGGCGCCGTCTCCTTCACCTGTTAGACCCCAGAGGCCGATTCAATCGATACCAGTCTCAGACGCAGTTCCGAAACATATTAGAGCGCCAGCACAGAATGCAAGACCAGCGCCTTCTGCTCCTTCCATGCCAAAGCGTACAGAATATTATATTGAAGAAAGTCCTGTGGCAGCGGACTATGACATTCTGTCCCCCAAGACGGCAAGGTCACTGGCATCAGTCGCGTCATCGGCAACAACGGTGGTAGTTCCTGGACGCAATCGACCAACTGCACTTCAGCAGGGTCGACGACCGCAACATGCGCCTGCCGTTGCTTCTTATTATCAACCAGGCTATAGTGTCGATGATGCAAAAAGCTTTGGCGGCGAAAGCCGATTTAGTGAAAGCAAGTACGATGAAAGCGGGTTTGGAAACAAACAGAAAGCACCTGGCAACTATCTCGACTCGTTTATGAGCAAGGATAGCTCCATGGCGTGGTCAAGAGCTTCAGGCCTAAGCGACGACAGTTACTACCTTGCCCCGCCCACTAACTTAGCTTGCATTCCCGTGATCGAGGCACCCCGTGAGGACGATGACGCCCTGAGTGAGGACGCATATTCTGACTGGGGTCACTCAACTCACCAAACCTCCGATGATTTCCGAAGCACTGCAGCATCATATTCAGCAAAGGATGCATCATTTTTTTCCGTAAATTCTGATTTTTCGGATTCAAGCAGTATGTTCAAGGAACGCGAGTTCTAGACTGGTCAATGCTGCCTGCCAAGTCAAGAGGCGGTAGCAAGCAAGGCAATTAGTTCAATGGATATTGTAAAAGTTTCGGGCGGGACAAAGTAAATAAAATAGCGTGTTGTCGTCCATTGGTACCTCTAGACCCAAGCTATGAGGCTGAACTGCTGGCGTCAATGTTTTTGTCGTAGGTTACGCACGTTATCCCAGTTGTACGATCAATAAATACTGTTATGACCAAGCAGCGTGCTAACCACAGTAGGACATGTTGATGGTGGTTGTACACACGAGCATGAACTGCTTGAAGGAGTCAGCAGACATGAAGTATCACTGTTTATGATGCCATGGAATTGGGACGGAAAAATCACGAGTTCAGTTGGAGTGTATCCGTTAGCAATTCCATGTGTGGTCAACCGATACGCACAAGTACGTGTCCGGTTGTGTCCTGGATTCTGTTTCCATACTTTCGACATCGTGTGGAACACCAAAGCCTATGAAGTCTTGACTATGATTTTCAGCTAAAGGGAGAGTTTCAGCTTACACTTTGTTCGAACGTGTGCATTCATTACGTTTTTTTCACGATGGCATCAAGTTCTCAAGCTTCAAGTACTGAGTTGGCTAGTACCTCAATCTTAAACATTACGAATCCGAGGACAGATCGACCGATAGGAGGATTAACCCCAACACAAAACGCAAGCACCGATATAAAGTCTGGTGATATGAGTACATCGCTATTTGTGGGAGTCGTCGCTGCCTCGATCATCGCTATCTTGGCCATTTTCATCCTGATTTGCATTCGACGTCTCCGATACACATTAGAGCTGCCAACATCTACCAATTGTTCGGCGTTCCAAGAGGCAATCTCATTGACGCCATTCGACCACCCATCCAGTCCGGTCGAAGTCAGCTCTACGTCGACATGCACAAGCACCCCACAACCTTCGCTCAGGCAGGCATCCAAGCCATCACGACTGTCTACAAAAGATGTCGTTGATTCGCCTATTGCTGAAAATGAACCAGTGAGTAAGACATTGCCGACTGGAAGGAGTACCCAGCCTTTTCGAACGACAAGTGTAGTCAGTGGTGGATCCCGTTTTTCGACGTCGTTCTTAATGCGAGGTAAAGTGCGTTCATCGCTACCATACCTTGCACCATTTCGATTTTCACGTGCAAGTCGGGACGACAGAACAAGTATTGAAAACGACCTTTGCGCAATGCGGTCATCTGGATTGACTCAAATCACACACTCACGTAAAGTTAGTGTCTGGACTCCAGTTGAGCACCAAAACGCTGAAGATGGTGTGTGGGGAGAATTGTCGGATACGAATTGGTCTATTGGTCTAGACAGTGACAGTGAGACTGAAACTGAATGGTTTACGGTGCCTATTGGATTCAACACAAGTAATGAAGCGTTTGTTTTGAACCAGAATCAGCTTTCTACGTTCTCAGACACAGACAAAAGTGCGGAGGAACAGGATCTTGACATTGATCCCCTCGATCATTCTTCTCGTCGACGAGAGTCTGAAAATATGAGCACAATGCTCACTTTTTCTCCTCAACGTGAGCAAGACATTAGCGCAATCGTTGATTCATCTCCTCGACAAGTACGTGGTCTTAGTGCTCTTGATGGCCGATGGAAGGCCAATCTAAGTGATGAAATCAACACAAGTATGTCCGAGCCTTATTCGTTCTCGAGTGATTCATTCTATAGTGGTGCATGCAGTTTAATCTCTTTTGATAGCGATTACGAGAGTGATAGTGATGACAACATGCAGGAGGAGGAATTCTAGGACAATCAAATGTACTAATGAGAGTTCTATATCTATTTATCTATCTTCTCTATTGATATGTCAAAGGTCTTTCAATCATAAGCACTTCTTGTCTACACTTCAAGTAGCGGTTAGATCCGGTAGTAAGAAATGGATCCTAAGTTGTGTCTTCAATCACTGGGCATCAGTATGTTAATGGTGTCTATATACACACTTGAGCTGGAAAGCTCACTCACTGAAGCTACCACATGCTTGTCCAGACCAAATGTGCTCTAGTATATTGGTCGATTTACAGATCTAGCTCAAACTCACTACGACCGATAGGACCCCCGATAAATGATTCATCGTGTAATTGGCTCTACCTCTGTGGCGTCTACTCCTCTGAAACAGTTTCTTGTAGTAGCCGTTGAAGCATTGTACGATCTGCCGAATGTGCTGAGCGTAGTGCTGAGCTGTGGCTGCATATTTGAACTTGTACTTCAAAATGACGGACTTCTTACCATACAATATGCTTCAACTTGTGCAAGATTCGGTTCTTGTTACTTATGACGTAATGCCTTTCGGAATTCACCTCCTTTACTCATGTCACCTTCTTCTCAACGTGCATCAATCTACTTAGCTAATACATCTATTCTGAACCAAACTACCTTCATAATGATAGTAAACGCTTGGAGTTTTATATAGAGTCCATGTCGAAGGAAAAGGCGATGCAACTCAATTTCATCATCTCCGACTCGTGCATGCGCTCACTGGCTTCCGTGTCGCGAATAGCGTACTGGACACTCTCTTGGCTCGAAAAACTCGAGACGGCTACATTTTCTTCGGACTCTGGCTTGGACAAAGCTTGACGATTACTGAGGTTTCTTGAACTATTCGAGTCGCAATGGGTTCCGCAGGATGCATCAAGCGGCGTCCGGAAAGATTTGAAGCTTGTTGCCGACTCATACATCCGCTCATCCGACGGAATGTCGCATTGAGAGCTCATGCCAGACGAGTAGCTCTCTCGTGTGTCAAATATTCGGCTGGACGTGGGCGACTGCACGTCCTTGTTGTGCGATGCGAGAAACTGCTGCTGTATCGTGGCGTAACTTGAACGGCTGTCTTGCATTGCCACGTCTTTTCCAGCTACAGGTCTCACACTGCACTCGTAACTATCTTTTGATGCAGTTCTTCTGTACGACCTATATTGGCGTTTTGATGGACTTGGTGGTGGGGTGAGGAAACTATCGTCAGAGCCGATCACATCGATCGAGGCCAGTGGTGTCTCGTCAAACGCCTCGGCCTTGCATGTTTCTTTGCTGTAGTATCGAACATCTTGTTTGCCGTAATTCGTCGGCATCGCCATGGAAGTGTTGTCATCTGGATAGTCATCCATCGGAGTTCCGAGCTCCTTGTCCTTTATGAACTGACTCCTGCGCATCACGACAAATATTGCGATAGCAGCCGTAATTCCAATTCCACACATTGCGGAGAGCACAGCGGTAAGTCGCTCACCCGACCAGCTAGAATTACTTGACGAAGTGCTGGTACCAAACGTCGTTGATCCATTGTCTCGTGAGCGGATAGTGTTCTGGTCTGTGGAAGGAGCAGTGTCGAGCTGAGATGGCTTGGTAGTTTCATCAACATTGCCGACCACGTTGTCTTTGTCAATGGAAAACCCTGTCGGATCCGAACCAAAATCATAGCTCGAGCTGGCAGGTTTCACGGTAGTGCCATTGCTGCTTGTGTCAGCATCCACGTTGGTATGCAAGCTTACGGTAGTGTCAGTGCTACTGTTGACGGCATTGCTGGAGTCCGCAGATCCCGAAGCGCTATCGCTGCCAATGTCGACATCAAGTATAGAACTACCATTCTCTGTGTCAATAGTGGAGCTTGCCGATTCGGAAGCGATGACAGGAATATCAATCTCGTCGATGCCGGCGCTTCCACTGTGGGAGTCACTGCTGGAAGTCATAAGTTCGGGACCTATGACGGGAATGCTAGTGGGTTTGTTTGTGTTAATATCCGCGTCAGAGCTGCTACTTTCAATGCTGATGCTTACATTGGTGTTCAAGTTTGGGTTGGTGTCGGTGGTTGATGGAATATAGTCTACAGCGGATTCAGCTGTAAAATTTGACAAGGTGCTTGGACTTAAAACCGAGTTGCTTTCAACACTGGTATCACTGCCGTTCGCACGACTGTCGTTGGAACTGACCGAGACGTAGTTGCTACCACTCATATCTTCATCAAAGCTAGAGCCGTCCTGCAAGACTGTGTTGTTAACAGTACAGCCAGCACTACCATTGCAGTCGCAGTATTCTTGGTCTTGACCCCGACAAGTCGTAGCGTTCCCGGATCCAACGCAAATAACCCCAACGACTGTTACACCTTCTACTAACCCAACCTTGTTTTCACGACATGAACAAGTTTTGCAAAGCTCTGCGTCACTACCAGTAGCGTTTAAACACGACACATACCCTGTTGGAAATGATGATGGTGTCGAAGTCGCAGTGCCGTTGACAACGTAAAGGTTGGTTGCGGTGTAGTCGCACACGCTTCGAGTTGACCCAATCGAAGATACCGCCTCACACTGAATAATATACAGATGCATGACTCCTATGATGACGAAACATCGGCATTGCGTTTGACCTAGCGTCATGCTTGACTCGTCTTACTTAAGCTTGTGTGTAAGTGGCAGAATCGAAAAGTGCACGAACGAAAGCTATTGTGATACATGTGAATGGACAGCTGGTACGTTGTATCCTTATCTTGTCAGAGTTATTGTACCGCAACTATAAATGTGGCAAGTACATGTCACCGGCTGGAAAACTTGAGTCTTTCGGTAGCCGTGACCTAACTCTGCTGTAGTCACAGATGGATGGTTCATGTGTAGTATGTGTGCGTATGTGACTTTACTAGAGACGAAACTGTTCAACCAATTTCTCATGATCTTTTAACTACTGAACAGACCAAGAAAACGTGAAACTTCATGGATTTCATCTATTTTCTGGCCATTAAGCCAAGCAAAACTTGCAACAAGAGCTATGAACTGGCAATTCTAGTTCTATCCTCCTTCAAACAAGAGAAAAAAAAGACGAAGGAAAACAGTTAAGACTTGAAGACGCGTGAGAATGCAGTCGGTAGTAGGTAGAAAATAGATCTAGATCAGATGGTTTAACACGACCATAGATAGAATTTGACTTCCATGACGAGGTTAATATTAGGTGACAAGTTTACTGTTTCTAACGAAATTTACTAATAGAGAAAGACTTGGTCTGACAATCATCGTAGCATTGAATATGGTTCATATGCGGAAGTAAATGCATGCAATGGCTTTGGCAACAATGGTATTATTACAGTGATGGACTCATGTATGGCCAACACTTATGATGCTGGTAGCTAAGCTCTAACAAGGGCTATAGCGAGTTTAAAAAGCATCAACACAGTCTTGACGCCGGTGAGATTTTGCAATGCGTGGGGACAATTTGCTATATGAACACCTCAATAGGGATAGTGATCACATATACGTATGCAGAGCCAAAGCCGTTTCGATTCAATATTACTGCTTGTTGCTGAGCTTTCATCTTTTGCCGAATCCAATACTGGACGATTTTTTTTCACCTTTGACCAAGTCTTCAGGCTTTTACCAATCCATCGTGGCGTTGCCTCGAGGCGAGAATGCTGGTTTCATGGGTCTAGCAAAAGCTTCTTTCCGTGACCCACAGTCCGATGCCTCGTAGATTTCAAGTGCATCACCCAGTTGATTTCTGTGTGCAACAGTATTACACACAAAAGTTAAGTTGTAAATATCCATCACCTCTACGATTCGAATGATTACGTTACCGTAGTGCCTGCACTCGTTCTGCACTAGGCGGATGCGTTGAAAAGTATTTGAACTGCGAGCCTTTATCCAGCTGACCCAATGACGTGTTCATTTGAATACTAGCACGAGGATCGTAGCACGCTTGAGCCATAAGCCGCAGACCGATTGAGTCAGCCTCCAATTCTAACTTGCGTGAGAATGGTAAATCTACCGCAAGCTTCACCATCTGAGCACGACCACAACAATCAAAAATGTCCATCAGACTTGTACGAAAGCTACTAGCATCTCCAATATCCGTACCAGATCACTGATCTGACCGTAATCTGGGAAAATGAGCGCTAAAAGCCCATAGACCAGCAAACTGAATGAGATTTTTTCAGCACCGTGTCCTAATGCAGCTCAATTGATTAATTTGAGCTGTATCAAGCACAAACGAAGCATGAACATTACAACGTACGAGCGAGACCATGAGCAGCTTCATGAAACAGGACGGCTGCCAAAGCATCTTCATTGCGTAATACTTTAAATAGTCCCGAGTGAACAAAAATTTTACCACCAGGAAGACAAAAAGCATTTGGTTCCTTTGCTTCAATCACATGAAATGTCCATTTCAAGTATGGAACGTCACTTGTTTCTTGAGCAATTTTACGACCAACACGTGCGACTGCTTGTGACATCTACATTAATATATATCACAAATATAACATTAAAATCATAAATATAACATTCACAATTAACAATGTCAAGGTAATCAAAAAAGACGATAAAACACCTACGGGATGCAATGGTGACAATAATCGAGAATTTTTCACAATTTCACGATACGTTTGTTCACCTAATTTTATTTCATATTCTGGTGATAGAAACATAAGACGATGACGACCATTCTGGGGCATTGTTTCTACATGATTAATAAGATAAACTAACAATTGTAGCAATTAGAAAATGAGGTTGTGGTTCTAACTCAAGCATTTGTGGTATCTTAGATTAGAAATAATACGATTATATCATCTTGTACGACATACATCCACCAATAGTTGCAGTACCAACAACTACGGCTCTTAGAAATGGTGGCATCCGTTGCCAATCCTCACGTCGATAACGTCGACTTTTTCGTAGATACATAAATAGTATTTCTAAACAAGAAAGAACAAGAAGGTAAACTTTAATACTGTTTTTTAGTCAGTACTATTTATTGCAAAAATTATAGTATATTAGCAACCACTCATTACTACTTTTTAGTATCAATTCAACGTTTTGAAATATTAAAAAAAAGTAGCAATTCCATTGTCAAATGTGGCAACGTCTTGTGTCAGGAACTCGACTATCTTTGTCTCGGACGCAGTCTCGTTTACTACATCGTTCTTCACGAGTTATTTCTCGTCGATTTACTTTATCTTCTACGAACTCTTCTCATCGTATTTTATGTGTTAATATCCCTCAACATGTGGCTGAAACGTCGTGTGTACAAGCACTTGTACAACGTGGTTATGATGTTGATCAAGTACGCGTTACTTCAGAGGATCATTTTGTATCTATAATACCAAATTACGATGCCTTAATTGTTGCAACTGGTACAAAAGTACCACGTGAAGTAGTTTTAACGGGTGGAAAACATCATCTACAGCTCATTGCAGTCCCTGCTGCGACGATTCCAAGTGAACATGTGGATCTCATGGAAGCAACTAAACAAGGCGTCATGGTATTACAATTAGATTCCAAACAAATGGGTGATCGTTCATCAGTTGAAGCAGAAAGTGGGCTTACTTTACTCATTGAATTGACACGTCATTTACGTCGTAGTATCAGTGCAACACGCTTGGGTAAACCGTTTCATCGTGAGCAATTTATTGGTACAGAACTTGCAGGTAAAAACCTAGGAATTGTTGGAATTGGACAAGCAGGACGACGTCTTGTGGACATGGCTCAGGCGCTTGGATTACAAATTTTTGGCTTTGATCCGAATCTAAAGCAAGAAGCAGCTGAACTCATGGGCGTCAATTGTGTCACCATGGATCAATTGTACGAAACGTGTGATTTTATCACCTTTCATGCTCCTTTAACAGCTCGAACGCGTGGAATGTTTGGAGATGATGCACTTGAAAAGTGCAAAGAGGGAGTAAAGATTCTAGCAGTGTCTGAATACAAGGCAAGTCATGGTCTGCTTGATGAAAACACACTGCTACGAGGACTCAAGACAGGTAAGATTAGTGGCGTGGCACTAGACTTATTACAGTCGCAAGAGCTGAAAAACGAGTTGGAGTTGTCACCTACCTGGGTCGAGCTAATGAAGCACGAGAACGTTATCACACATACGCATGCTGATGGGACAGCGTCTGACGACGTGCTCCAAGGTCGCAAATATCGTCTTCTTGCAGAGAACGTTGGCGATGCGCTAGCCCAGCGCTACTACCGTGGTGTGGCGAATGGCGTCTTCATGCCGCTAACACTCTTGCCGGAGATGAAGCCGTTCCTCGAGCTAAGTGAGTCACTGGGTCGCTTTGTGCACCAGCTCACTTTATCAGTAGACTCCAAGGACCGCATCACGCACGTGTCTCTGGCTGCGACGGGTGGGTTCCAGATTGATATTGCCACACCCCAATCACGTCAGCTTCTTCAGAACGCTCTGCTTAAGGGTATGCTCGAGAGCATGCGTGAGCATAAACATGCTGCAGAAGACAGCGAGCAACCCGATGTTAGCTTGTTGAACGCGTCGCTGTTTGCTATGGCAAAGGGAATCGACGTACGTCAGGGTGATTTACCGAGCGACCCACTGGCTATGCGTCGTCACCTAAAGAATTGCTTGACTGTCGTGGTAAAGACCAAGAACAAGGACCGCCTTCTTGTCAAAGGCAGCGTCTTTGGCGAGGACCCACGTGTTGTGCGTGTAAACGAATACTCAGACTTCCCAGCCTTCCGTCCGCAGGGGAATCTACTGGTGTTCAACAACGAGGATGTGCCCGGTGCTATCGCCAGCATTCTAAGCGAGTTGTCGCAGGCCAAGATCAACATTGCCAACTTTGGACTTGCTCGCCAGAGCAATGTCGAGCTTCCTCTTGGTATTCTTGCTCTTGACTCAGTCCCCTCTAATGAGACGCTGGACGCGCTAAAGAAGCTACCGAGCGTTCGCAGTGTTCGCTTTGCACAGGTGTAAGCTTGCGCTCCGTAAATGTGCAAAAAGGCTGAGTTGTTGTGATGGATGATGCTTGAGCACAGTTTAGTATCGTGTATGGAGGTTCGAAAAAGACACACTTGGTCAGGTCTCGTAGTTAGGCATCAATAGGGAGTATAGTTACTTGCACTGGGTAAAAGCATCAACAAACACGACTACTTTGTTGTTGTTCAAACTGTTTCATGCCGATCCGGACGCTGTCAAAGTCTGCGCAATTGACTGCGATCGGCGTCGCTCTTTATTCTCAAGAGAGGCTATATACAAATGCTTCTTATTGGTCGACGTCTGCAAAAAGCGCTTCATGGTGCTGTATAGGAGGGGGCTCATGGACTCCCTGTCGTGCTGTAATCGCTCACAAATTAGTCAGCTACGTTTTCAGACGTCAAGTATCTGCAATGCGCAAACTCTTACCTCGTAACAGTACATCATCACCGACATTGAGACAGAAAAGAGAGCCACTTCGCCATATATAAAACCTGAGCAGATGCCACGGTCGTGCAGGATCATTGCCAAGCTGTCAAGAGCACGAGGCAATACATACAAAGCCAATTCTAAAACATAAGGCACACATAGATTATGATCAGACCACCAGGAGCAATAGATCAAATGAGCAATCATCTATACCAGAGCGCCGGCTTTTTGGTTCCAGCAGAATTGTCGTCGACGCTCCAAGTCCGGCCATATAGTAGATAAAGCGATGATCTTTACTAACGACGCGGCGGTGCAAGCATATCAGTGACAAATAGACAGACACAAAGGATGCTAGGAAGCAATTAGATCGCGTCGCGTTAAATGTCGAACGCGCAAGAATTCGGCATGGAGCACGCAGGAAGCGTTTGAAGTGGATAACTACACCTGGCACGATGAAGAGTGACAGGTAGAGCGGGAAAGTCTTTTGGAAAGCACGTTTGAAAGTCAGCACCATGCCCACTACACACGAGTCTGCATTTGCATGCACAAGTCTGCATGGAATGATCTTCATTGGTAACGAAAAGTTTCTGGAAATATCCGGCTTTCGATTCAACAGCTTTTGAAGAGTAGTTGTACTAATAGGAACTCCTCGATTTACTTGCTGTACAAGCTCCAGTGCTTCCTTCTCTACTGGTCCTGTACGTTGAATAAATCTCCGATACTCGGATGGTAATGTCTGTGGTCTCATAACATAAGCGTACATGACTTGAGCACTTGATAGGGCAAAAAGCAGCACATCCCCGTACTGCCACTTACTTCCCCAAAAGTGCCACCGTTGTTGTCTCTTGGCCGTATTATAGCCACATTGCAATGCTCTAGTTAAAGCATATAACGCCATTGATCGACGTCGTTTCGTATCAACAAACGCCAGTGCGATAGCTGCAATGGCTCCTGATCCAAGCACTGCAATATCTTTAACCTTTTGACCATCCTCAAGTTGTTTCTTTGGTAAAACTCGTCGTAAAATCATGGGTAAAAGCGCTTTAAACCCTCGATAACCTCCTGTAAATGAACCCACGAACAGACCAAGTCGAACGGCATCTACTCGAAAGTGTAATTGCTTTTCATCCAACACTTGTCGTACATCCATTGCTGCTTTCCACTCGTGTCGTTGCAGTAATTGAAAGATTCGTAATAAGACTGCAATCCCTGCACGTGTATTATAAACTACCAAGAAATTACTCATACCAAGTCGTAAAGCGTCATATAATGCTTGACTTAATGATTCGTCATCACTTGCACCTGTCCGAGTCATGCATTGATTCGTTTTATTTAAAATAGTGCTATTATTACTATTATTATCTAGATTCATAATTTCTTCGTCAGAAGAATGAAATAAGCTAATATCTGATGCTGTGAGATGGACATTTATGGAATTAGACGACATGGTCGAGTATTATGGAGGACGACAGTATATTTATGAGATGCTAATTGGATGAAATTCGGCAAATGTATTAATTATCATCTATTCATGTTTTTGATGACAGGAACAATCCCCTCAAATGGAATATCACTTCCAAATGCCTAATTTGGTGTTCCTGTAATATAGGCGTCAATTATGACTAAAGAGAAGAAGAAAAAGAACAATATGCGAACCTTATTCCAATTTTTACAACGTCTCAACAAATGTCATAAGGTCCGATGTATCACCACCACCACCATTACCAGTAGTAGCACCACTACCATTACCAGTAGCACCACTACCATTACCAGTAGCACTACCACCAGTCGTAGTCGTAGTCGTAGTCGTATTGTTGTGGACGGATGTGCTTTGACCGGATGTACCATCATCCCAATCAAGCAGATCCATACCACCAAAACTAGTAGGTGACAATGTGTTGGAAAAATCCATGAGTCCTCCTGAAGACGTTCCAGAAGGTGTCGGCATTTGTAACAAATCGTTCGCCATGCTGCCATATAGCGAGTCATCTAGTCCCAAAGTTAGGCTAGAGCTGATGGACGTGCTTTCTCCTCGAGATGATGAAGCGTGCTGGGTTTGCTGCTGAGATTGCGGAGGTTTCTGCTGCTGTACCGAGTTCTGTGACTCTTGCTGCGACCGCGAAATCCCTTGTTGTCCCAGCTGTTGCTGAGTCTGCTGGCCACTATGCTGATTGGCGGCGTTCGGTCCATTATGTTGCTGCTTCATTTGACGTGACTGTTGTTGAGCTGAAAATTGCGCTTGTTGCTGTGGACCCTTCTGCTGCATTTGATGCTGACGCATCATTTGTTGCTGCTTGATCATTTGCTGTTGATGCGCCTGTGCCTGCATTTGTTGTTGTTGATGCTGCATTTGTTGAGCACGCTGCTGCATCATATAGTGCTGCTGTTTCTGCTGCGCCGCCATTACCGAATGCTGCGTAGATGCACTTTGTTGCTGAGTCTGCCCGGCGGGCTGCAGCTGGGTCGTGGCACTGCTAAAACCATTTGCATTATTCTCTGGCATGGTAGATCCAGAGCTCGTCGTCGCAATCAAAGAAGTCTCACCACTCGAATCAGGTGGTGTTACGTGCTGGCCACATGTATTAGCATTGCTATCACTAGCTGGATAGCTACGCTTGTCTGTCTCCGTCCGAAGTTTCTTCAAGTACGGGTTTACAATTTTCACAATGTATTTAAACACCTTGTCCAATTCTTCAATCTTCCGTGCCTGGTGCGTCGTTTTATCCTCACCTAATATGTTCGCGCAGAGCTCCACATAGCTGAGAAGATACCGTAGTTTCTTCTTCTGCTCCGTCTCATCGTGTCCCTTCATATGATCCACATATTTCTTGAATGCACTATGCACCTTCTCCACATCCCCTTGATGTTTTGCTCGCAATGCTGCATGTTGTTGCCAATACTCGGTTGCAGTACTCACGGTCGAATTCGTATCCATCTTTACTGGTGTATTTGCAGCAGTCACCAGATTTTCTTGTCCCTGTTGTTGTTGTTGCTGCTGCTGTTGCTGCTGCTGCTGTTGCTGCGCTGCTGCTGCTGTTGCTGGGGTCCAGGGTGAGGTCCCGCTCCACTAAATTGATTAGTATGTCCCGGATAACTACTCACATGATTTCCATTAGCGTCTCTCTGGTTCAAATTGAGCGTATTATAGTACGAAAAGTCAAGTCGAAAGAGCATGCCCTGATTCGGTAATCCTTGAGCCGCCATGGCTGCATTCATATCCGACTGTTGAGCGCGAAGTGACTTGAGTCTTGTAAATATCTTGTTAATATAAACCTCCTGAGTCGGTGACTCTTTATATAAGGAAAGCTCGTACCACGAGACATTCATCCAGAGCTTAATACCTGGTACAGGATCTGCTGATACACGCACCATTTCATTATATAATTTAGCAATAAGATTTGCTCGGTGCTCTCGTGTTAATTGTATACGCCAATCAGTGGCATTCGTAGCATTACTAGCCATTGGATTAATGTGACTCGTCGTCATCGTATTCATGGGCATCTGTTGTTGCTGTTGCTGTTGTCCCATTGTATTCATTATCATTTGTTGTGGTAGTGGTGGTGGTGGTGGTAATTGTCCATACATATTCATTGCCATATTCTGAAGATTATGATTTCCATTATTCATTTCTATTGACATTGACAGATTACTTTGCATTCCCATTGAATGTTGGTCCATTAGTAGTAGTAGTAATAATAATAATAACCAAGAAGAGCTTATTTTAATCACTTTGCTAATTCGCGAATGAGTCGACGAATTAAGAAGTGCTCTCTCTCTTCCGATAACTTTCATTTGGCTTCAGTATGATCTTTTAAACATCCTTCTGGCACTGTACACTTTTTAGCGAAAAACAAAACGGTTAGTAATTGGTTAAAATAAATGGACAGGTTTTGATTCGTTGAAAACGTACAACAAGATACACTGGACAATCCAAAACGATGATAACCTTTAACATTAAAAGATGTGGGAAAGCTTCAGATTAAAGCACGTTTTTATTACTTCCTTGCAATAGAATCCCAAGCAAAACGGCTGAAAAAACGGTTTAAAAGCGTGTAGAGACGAGATCAGGACGCGCCCGATTGCACACGTCACAGTAAAAACTCGACATGGAGTTGAAAAATGTACAACCGCCTTGTTCACTAGCACAGACCCATTTATCTCGAGGTACACCACGCTGGCCATCCATATCCACTTCACAAATGGCGCAAACCACATCATTTGACTGGTTTATAAACGTACAATTACCACATCGCCATCCATGTTGTTGTTGCTGCAGCAGATGATGCTGTGAATTGCCACCATCATGCTTTGGATTGGGCTCGTTACATGTTTCACATACGTCAGTAGCATCATTGTTCATGTACGTACACACGGGACAGCTCCACGACGCTTCTGTGTCTAGACCTGCCACTGCAAGAGCACTGTTTTCCTGATCGTCACGAAGAAGAGCAGTCTTTATTTCTTCGCCGGAAATACCAAAGGCTGCACAAATTGTCTCGATTGGAATGCCCTCGTCACCGTTTGTGAAACGAGCATTCACGATAAGTTCAATAATTTCGTTCAGCTCCTTTGATGAAAACCCCAGCTGAAAACTCTCAAAACATTTGTGAACTTCTTCGGCGGTCAATCTACCGTCCTCATCATCATCAAATCGTCGTAGAGCCACAGCCAAGTGGACAGCAGTCACTGTTTGCTGTGGCTTCTTGCCCTTGTCCTTCTTCTGGTATTGTCGCTGCTTACGCAACAGACTCTGCTGAAATTGTTGCAGACGAGCTCGTGCGGTTAGCAAGTGCCACTCGCTTTGAGCAGTGAAAACCTTTGCCAGTGGCGTGTCCCCCCCACAAGTGACGTTCTCGGCGTCTTAAGCGGAGGAGACAGTCGAAAAATTCGTGACGCAGCGAAATCGGGACCGATGCTAGCCCCTCCATAAGTAGTTCCAACTCCTGAGGAAAGTAGTACATCTCGTTGTTAAAGAACCGCAAGCACTGTATACCAACGGCAATTTTCTTTTCACGCGGCGACATTGCATGAGCAGAAGTTGGTCCATACTTTGGCGCCCACGACGAAAAGAACGAAGAGCTATCGACCAGCTCACCCTCACTTGTGCGCAACTGCACCTGGCTCACCTGGAACACAGGGTGCTTTTTATGAATCATACGACGTATAGTCTCACCTTCAGCAAGCGACAAGGCAGCCAAATACACGGGCGAGTTATTTGTCGTGGCTGTCACAGCATCTTTGATTGCATCAGGAATCGCATCTGGACTTCTGGTAGCCATTTCAGCGACCTCCTGAAGAGCTTTTACTGCAATCTCATTTGCATTCCCTGCAGATGCCGCCGTGGTCATGAACGCTGTAAAAAGTTGCAGCACAACCTTTTTCATTGCTTCCTGGTGGAGCAGCGGTGACCATTCGAGAATAAGCCCGACGTTCTTGACACGACGTTCACCAAGCCCCACCCATCGACGTCGAAAAAAGTTTCCAGACATTAGTAATTCTGTCGGAAAATCAATTGTTGGGCACTCCGCGTGAGCTTGGAACTGTGAAAAGGGGTAAAACACGTTAGCGTCTTCTTCTTTCTGCTGTTCCGCTGCTGCGTTCGTCTGTTCGTCTCGAGGGGAGCTGGCAACAGGTTCTGCAGGTCGTCGGGTAAGAACAGAGGCGCTCCATGGAATCGGATGCTCGTCATCCCGCGTGAAAGCACTCATCTTTTGTTCCTCTTGTTCTGCTTCTTCCTCAGCCTCTTCTTCAGCTTCAGCCTCATTCTCATGCACAACCTCAGCAGTGAGCCGCAGATCACCTTGCTCCGACCCGTCCTCTGCCAGCACTTCCTGCTGGTTCCCTGTTGAGTGCGCTAGGCGCTGCTGAACATTGGCGACACATGCCATATCTTCATTTGTCTGTAAGAAATCCTTGTGACTCTCGATTAACTTGCCAATCACATCCGAAAGTATCTTTTTCGTCGGCACAGCAGCATCCACCGCGTAAGATATTTCCACGCAGAATATACCAATACACTTGCGGAGCCAAGCTTTCGCAACGTCATCATCACAGCCAACAAACCGACGTAATCGAGACGCTAATGATGCATTCTTGGCCGTGGCTGCTGCAATTTCATCTAACAAAGAGTGAAGAGCCCGTTTGCGCCAAGTGTTGTGTAATTCTTGAAATGACAGCTGGACGAGCTGCATAGATTCCATGCGCATCGAGTTTGTAAGAAGCCATGCTGGCACGAGCAGGAGAAACTCGTCCAGCCGCTGTTGCGCGGAGGCTTGTGTCGTAATCTCAATTTGAGCAAGTTTCATCTCATGACGAATGCGGTTTTCAATTTCAGGAATGAGAAAGAGACAGATTGTTTGTCCCGTAGCAATGCCGCGCATTCGATAAGCTCCCTGTGCGTAGTCACGGAAGGTCATATCCTTACCTAGTGTGACAACAGCGCGCGCGTTGACGCACTGCTTGATGTCCATACCTGTCGTATGCACTTGGTCGTAGAATGTAAATCTCTTGCTTGGGTCCAAACCGCACTGAACTAGCGGCATAGGTGCGTTATGGTCGCGCAGCAAAATCATCTGTCGATCATTTTCGTCCAGATATACAACTCCTTCCATCTCAGCAGGCAGATTCGCTAGAAGAAAGATGGCTACTTCTTGGTTATTAAAGCCTGTGATCAAGGCGCCCGTGTCAATGAGCGCGTGTACTGGTGGCTGCGCGCGGGCAATATCCAACAACAAGCTCCTTGCCGTCCACTTCACTTTGCGCTCGACTGAGACAATGCGCTTGTTCGTAAGAGATTCAAAAATACTACCGTCACTGCTTGGCTCGTAGTAACACTCGCCAAGATCCATCGGTAATAGGTTCGACGGCGTTCCGGAAAAACCAATGCGGTTTGCAAACAGGGAATTGCTGCCAAGTTCATGACCACAAGCCGAAATCTTGAGCTTCTGGAAGTTCATGCACGACGGGAAAACGTGCTGCCGGACGTAGTAATACACAACAGCTGGAAGCTTGGCGACCAAAAGATGCAGCCGCGCCACTTGCGATGTATCACGAAGCTGGAAGAGTGGCAATGGAAGAACTCCTCCAGACGTTTCTTTGTTTTCTGACAATATCGCAGCTAGACCACTTTGGACCCACTCACGAAACATAGCGCAGGATGGACGCTGGTCGCGCGGTCCTAGCTGGCGACTGAAGTCCTGCTTCAGTTGCGAAACGATTCGCACAAGATCAAATACGCGAATGCCTTCATAGCGATATGCGAGAATGGTCAGCCCAATTAGCACGTCAGGGTGCGCAAACTCTGATGAGCGACTCGGTACATCTTTTCCAATGAATGGTACGGCCAGCATCAGTCGTGAGTGTGCATTGCCACCACTATTATTTCCTGACGCGGCAGCTGATTGATGCTCTCCTCTAAGGAGACCATAGGACACACGATTGATCTTGGATAGAACGTGCGGTAAAATTGTATGCAGCCAATCGCGCGCTAGATTAAGCAGCTTGATTGAAGATTCTGACAGCCCCGTTTCAATATCGGAGCGAATAGAAGCATTCATATGAAGCTGCGTGCTAGGGCACTCTAAATAGTACTTGATTTGGTCGACAGAAACCTCCATTTTGCTCATGCGGAAGAGCTTCAGCAACCACTCAATTGCTATCTTAGAGAGCAGCGGTAGCATACGTGCCTCATAAAATTCCATATCCAGAAGCACAAGGTGAGGAAAACGTTGTAGCGTATGAGCAGCATAACCCTCCTCTAATACAGCATGTAATTGTAAGATCAAGCCAGACAAAGCCGTGACGGTGGTAGGCGATACTAGAACAGCATCAATTAAATAAATGGGAAGCTCCCACCTATAGGCTGCAAGGTCGATTGGAAACTTGTTCCCTATGGGAAAGTTCAGTTCTGACCGCAACGGGTGCAGCAACACATCCACCTCATCCATGATCAAAATGCCACTTTGCCACAGTCTCAGCGTCTTATAAATTTCATCAGCCATTTCCGAACGGTCTTCCAAGACACGCTTCAAGCGCCTAATATTTGTTGACGCTGAAGAAAGTGGTACTTCAATGATGTCGGAAGATTCGTCTAGCGAATGTAGGAGTTCAACAAGCTTCAGCATAATCGATTTAATCGACTCCGGGGAAGCACATACCACATCACCATGACACCGAGCGCGATCCAGCTTTGTAAATATTTGCAATGCAGCAGCTGGGTCATCACTAATTGCACGGTCGAACTCAAAAGTAAAAATACGTTTGCGAAGGATGCGGTTGCTGAATCGACCTCGAAGCACCTGCCGGGACTGCTCTAACAGTGCAGTTGGCATGACATGCGTCACAAGATGCGTTTTGTCGGCAAGAATATACGTCAAAAGAGGTCCCACGACCGTGGTTTTTCCCGCACCCATGATCATCTGCTGCACACGGGAGCTGCCTTTTGCCAAACTCGTCAAAATGCTATCAATCATTTGAACCTGTCTGCCGCGCAGCAAGATGTCGAAGACGTATTCAAACACCAAAAAGCGGGGGTCAAAACGCCATCCTGATGATTTTTCTGCTGCGGAGTTATGGAGGTAGTGTCGCTTTGAAATTAAGACGTCAGCCAAATCCCGAGACGCTTGACGTGTCAGCTTTACTAGGCTAGACCTATCTTTTTCACTGTGCGGAGTAAAAAGACCAGTTAGGTATTTAATAAGAGCACGAGCGGCTTGTACAGTTCGGTTAATGTGCATGATACGACTGCACAAAAAGAGCACTTGCAACATCTTCTCCATAATACTTTCAGTCACATCCACCACAAACGGATTACGAGCCTTCAAATCTGCTTCAAACGAACTTGATACCAATAAAGACGTAAGAAAATCGAAGGACACCCGGGGGTAAATACCAACGCATCGCTGCATCGCAAAGCGATCGGCATCGACAACCACTTCTGGGCTTTCGTAAACGCCAACATGGATCTCGTTTAATCGCATTTCGAGCATCGCAATTTCCTCTTCTACTATCTTGCGGTCACACGTTCTCATATCTTCGCAGGTATGAATCAGCTTATGTAAACTTGCAACGGTAGAACGACTCGACGTTAGCTCTTCAGGCGTCAGCAAACTCATCGGAGTCACGCCCGTTATAAACGCATCTTTGCTTTTATTTACTGCTTGTGCATTGATTGCAATATCGTCACCGAGTCTCTTAAGCAAATCTCTGGCAGCCGCGGTTTGAGCCACCGGGTGCTTTGAAAGGTCAAACGGTAGCGTTGCTTTTACTTCTGCCTCTGGATCGCAATAGGTGATAAATTGATTCACATCGATCGCTTCCAGCGGAAATTCAGGATTAATCAAGCCGTTTTTATTTCCTATGAACTGGCGCTCGCCACATGAAGCATTTGACGCGTCAAAACCCATCCTGTCATTTGAGGCGATAATTGGTATCTCAAACACACATTCAGCGGTATGGTGTAGCTTACTAAATTGAGTTTTTACCGGCGCAACAATACGCGTCTGGTGGTCTTCAGACTCAAGTTTAGATTGAAACTCTACTGCCCCGAAGTCAAAAAAGTGTTTCAGCATTGTTCCGACCGCCACTTTCGAGTACAGATTCGCACCATGAGAAAGCATGTTCACACTTTCTTGGTCACATGGCGATGATGGCCACCCACTGCCGGGATGTGCAATCACCATAGCCAACTGCGCTAATGCGTACGACGGTACACACTCTTCTTCACCATCATTCACGGTTTCTCGACTCCATCTCGACAATTTTAAGTGCAGGAAACGTGCAAACAACTCACCGAACGACTGGGTGCAGTCATCGCCACCCATTCGAATGACAAGCTGCTGATTCAGACATTCATACAGGAAAAGATAGCCCAGGCCACGGTTCGTTCCACTTATCTCATCACCAACCACTGCACAGTTCCACACGAGGTTTCCAGCCTCCTCGTCATCAATCAAATACTTGTTGTCGATCCCTACTGCATACTTTGGTCGATTATAACGCACAGTCGAAAGCTTTTTAGCATGCGCCGCAAGATAACCTTTGCTGTATAAGCAAAGTTTCATCCAGGGCTGACCACCAACCCGCAGTCGAGTCAACTTAAATTTCATTTTTGTCTCAGAATATGGCTGGACATGGTCACAGAATTTCTTGCGCAGCAACAAAAGAGGGCATTGCTGGTAGGAGTGTGCTAGAGCTTCCTTTTCTTCTTCTAGAGTTAGCTTGGATTGAGCTTCAACGTGCTTGCTTGTGGTAAGGTAGTCGTACAGCTCGTCGCTCACCTTCCAGGGAGCCCTATTGTTACTATACGCAATACCTAGCGACAGGCGAATACGGCACGCACAAGCATTGGGATGGCGGTCATCAAGCGTTTTAGACAGCTGGTCAAAAACCCGCTTTTCCTCGTCAGTAAATTCCACGTCAACATTGCACCCCATTATAAACTCCATTGCAGTTGCGTAATTTCGTGTGAGTAAACTTATCAGAATAAGATACAAAGTGGAGCTGAGAGAAGAAGGAAGCAAGAATGTGTGGCTTGAATGCACAGGATACGTGTAGAATCTTGTTTCCATCGCTTGCTGCCAGCCCACAGATCCACGGTCGCTAACAAGGGTCGAAGAGAATGGCTCTCCGCGAATTGCTGGGCGATACAAGTCGTGGTTGGGGCAAATAAGCTTTAAATCTGTAGTGTCCGACTCGAGTACAAAGCAATCAGGCGTAATCGCAATAAGTCGGCGAAGGTATTTGGACGTATCTTCCAACATTGTAACAGTCAAGTCGCTCACAAACCAGCCGTTTTGATCCATCACGTCCAGGCGGACACGCCCAGATACAGGGTCTCTGTTCGGCTGAAACTTCAACTTCAGTCTTGGTAGCTCAATAAAAGCGATAGAGGATACTTTACAAGGCACGCTTTGCTTTACCTTAATCGAACACCAGACTAGTATATGCGACAGATCCTCTAATCGACTGAGTAATTGAGACAATGCCAAAACCTCGTCATTTTCCCGGGCTGAACTGGTCTCAAGTAAATTTAATAGATAAAAGGTTTCTCCCACGGTTTCTTCAACAACTTCTAGTAATTCGGCATCTCCACCGGTATATTTTTCCTCCCTGTCGGTAGCCATGGGTGTACGAGGTTCTTCATATGAAATTCCAGCTTCCGATACATCACCGACGTGAGCATCTTCTGCTCGTTGAATTTCGGAACGATTTGCAGGATCCGATATCCACGCTTCCGCAAGCTCCAGATTGTTGTCAAAAAGACCCAGCGCATACTCAACAGCAATCCGTGAAGGAGACTCCTGCAAGCTCAAGAGCAGCCCGACGTTTTGTTCATGCTGTTCCTCGGGGCTAATCGTGCATTCACTAGACACAGCCGCTTCTTCTGCATCAAAAACCTTTAGCTGATTCTTTTCATCCAATAGCCATTGAGCCGCGACACCCATGTTATTACGATTTAAGCGCAAAGCAAGACTACACGCAGCATATGAGAACCCCATGGCCATGAGCTGGACAACATTGTCATCACTAATATCAACCGAATCAGGCGATGATGACCGCAAACCTTCCGTTACGACTTTTCCAAGCACTCGTACCGGAACTGGCGGAGGCTGCATTTGACTGCTAGCTGGTGAAAGTTTACTGTCGTTTTTGCCGCAACAAATTCGAGAAAAAGATGTCAAGATGGACTTTCGACAGATAAATGCCTGTCCTGTCTCTTTCAGCTCAATCTCCACACGATATCGAAACCATTGTGACTTCAAATCTACAGGATCACCCCGAAGACGTCCATCTTCTCCAATCCAGAAACGAAAGTTCTCCAGCAAGCAACTCGGAACAACTCCTTGAAGAAGACGCGGAGGAACAAATTGCTCAGTTCCATTAAGCAAATGGTTCTTGCGCAAAATCACCAGCGATCCTCCACATGTTTGCCGCTCAGTTGGATCACCACTAGCACGCAACAGTGCTGGATCTACAGATCCTTGATCGGGCGAAACATTCACGGGAAAACCGTGTAGACTCAAACGCGAATTTGATGTGAAAATAAGTTTTCGGTATAGTCTACGGCCATGCGATACTAAGGCGTACACGTGCATCACCTCCATTGCTCGATACGCTATAATTTCCTTAAAAGTTGCAATTTTCTCATTATCTTTAGCATCAGCGCCACAATCTAATCCGATTAAGTGCACACAGCTAGCTGTAGCTGGCAATGGGTCACTTGGAAGAAATAGCGTGAAAGGTAATTTTTTGGAATCTGGCACAGGAGGGTACATCAGACGAAGTGTGTTGCCAACAAGGTCCACAAACCATTCTTCATCAGCATGAGGATGCTCGTTTACAGCATAAATATCAAACGGTCGAGAAAACGTCTCACCAAGATAGCAAAACCCATCAGCACCTGGTTGCTTGGACGATCCGTTTTCATTTCCTCGTGGCTGAGGTGGTGCACGAGCAACACGAGGGGTACCGCACACCTCACACATAGCGTTGGGGTTATCGCCATTAAAATTTGCACATGTGCAGGCCGGACACTCCCAGTACATTTTAAGCTCCTGGGAGTTGTCACCTAGATTATCACAATCACCTACACTTTCAGGCTCATACATCGATGGAGCGCCGACACCCTGGTCCATTTCGAACGTTGGATCGTCCCATTCGACAAGTTGAAAGTTTGTACCAACAATATTAACCCATAAGCGGTGTTCTTGGCGCGCAACAAGACCACAATGAAGCGGTTTGTTTCCAAAAACGGCCATGAAGTCTGCATACTGGGTCATCGAGTCCGGAACAGGTTTCAATTCGTCATTTCTCCACAAAATCTCACCCGTCTGGGCATTTAACGTCAGCTCATGATGACTGCAGTAATACTTTCCTGCGCCTCCAATGCCAGATTCTTCGACCCACTCCCAATCGTCAGTCGGCTCAGCTGAGCGAAGAGCAATTCGAACTATATTTCCCAGAACCTTGTTACGATTGGCCTTCGGAACACTTGCCAACCATTGCACGATTGAGCGGCGATGTAAGTGTACACTTTCAAAGATCTCTGCTTCAAGGACGTCGCCAGGTGGTAGCAAAAGATCGTTTCCATCGCCGTTTCGCAGCGCGACAATGCTGGGCGCTTGAATAGTTTGCGTCCCAACTTTCAAGAATAAAGGCCGCCCCTTCAAGTACTTGCCAAGTGCCTTGTTGCCAACATTTGCTGTATCGATGCCTTGAGCCTGAAGCCAACGAAGCAGGCGTTTTTCTCCCGAAAGCCCGGCCGCCTCGTCACCATTGTCTGTAGAAAGCTTCATCCCAAAGCAATGCCAATTGTGAACGTAGGCAACGGAACCAATCATTTCGGAGATTTTTTGAGTATCGTATTCGGAGCATCGCAAACTTATATGAAGATAAACGAGGTACGAATGAATTACGCATGACGTCTGAAGATTGTTGGCCTCTTCAGCTTCCAATCTCCATTTATTCAGTGTTGTGCGAGCAAATCCAAATGTGTAAGTCATCAGTTGAGATCGATGCTCTTCGAGCTTCTTAACTCGCGCTCCGTCGTCACCAGTAATACCCCGGTCGAGAGCGAATGTTATGTAACGCAAAATATCTACGCCCAGCTTGACCATGAAAAGAATGAATCGAGCGTCCGCTGAATGAACTGACGCCTCTCCAAGCTCTTGTACAGCATTTAACATCTTCAGCATCGGAACAACAATCGCGTCAGGAGCGTAGATCAGTTCGTTCAAAAGAAGTCCATCCATTGTGCCAAGATGATCCTCACACTTCTGGTGATGTACACGAGCATCAAATGTCCGCTGGATGGTTTCTTCACGCATCACGAGATTCGACTTTCGCAATGGAATGTGGGTAATCATCTCAGATTCTTCATCGGAGACCCAGTCTCCACCCTCAAACAATACGGCGCGGAGCAGTCGCTGCAACAGCGGATTAAATAAATACGTAACACGGTCTCGCGAGGAGAAGAATGATGCCACAAGAGGAATTTGTGTGTATGGCACCGTCAGGTAACCCATGAGGTACTCCGCCTCCTCTGCTGATAATGTTCCACTGAATGTAGGCAAATCAGTAAGATGCATGATATCATCTTCAACAACGTTTGAAGGAAGGCTTTCGCCTGATGCATTGCTTGAGCTTTTTACAAGAAGTGCGCTCAAGTCTGCCGGACTTGTCATAATCGGGCCCTCGCCAAAATAGACTTTCCGCTCAATGAACCCTTCCACCTCCATATCAACGACATCTTGGTCGCTTCCACGAAAACCAACCACCTTCCACTTCAACGTAGAGTGAAGAATTTGGTTCAGTCCTCGCATTCCAAAAAAGTTCCGTCGATGGGTTGCAGTTGAGTCGTCAAATGATAGCTGCCATGTCTGCCAGTGCTGGTGAGCTGTGCGGCGCCGCATAAGTTCAACTTCCTTTGTCTCCATTGTAGCTAGAAATTTCACTACCATCACTATGTCACGAGTTAATCCAACTTCTGGATGGTCATTTTCCATGGGTGACGTATCACTACAAAACCACTCTATCAATGCCTCCATTTCAGTTGGTGGTGTCTGGTTGTTGGGATCAATTAGCTGGTAATGATAACGCTCCATCAATTGACGGAAGAACAATAGTGTCGTTGAGTACTTTTTGACTTCAATCTTGTCTTCCGGCATGTGATAATTAAACAGCTGTCGCTTGCCTTTCACGTCCTGGCTGTGGAAATAAGCAAGCACTTGACCTCTGACCACACAAAAATTTGGCCGCGCAAATTCCATTGCCGAAGTCATCTTCTGGATCGAAATATTGGCCTTACAGAACGTATGAGCCAACACATATCCACCTTCTTCTTCCATCATCAGTGAGATCTCCAGCGGGTCGTCTGCAGCCGGGGTGCGAACAAGCGCGTCAAAAATGCATAACGCACACAATGCTGCAAGAGCGCGCTCTGAATCAAAGTGACGGCTTGGCTGCTCCATCGACTGCCATACTGAGCCCAAAATCATTAACACAGAATAAAGGCCATTGAGGCACCGCAGCTGCATTTCCTTTGCGACAGGGCGTCTCCACATACACGAGGATGACACAGTCCCGTCATCACCAATGGGCTGTGGCGCCGGCAACATTTCAACCAGAACACTTGTAATCAGTTGTATGACTTCGTAATGTAAGGAAAGTCTTGAAGATGACGATCCCTCTGCAGCTCGCTTTAGTAGAGACTCGCACAAAGCTTGGCATCTCATGAATGCTGCAACCGCGAGTGGAATCGACGTAACGCGCTCGGGTACTTCCAAAAAGTTACAGAGCAGAGGAGTTTCAAGCTCCGACGCATTTCCTGCGTACTCACATTCTTTTCCTTGCACCTGTAACAATTCCATATTAGCGTGAGGAGCAAACGGAAAGTTTTCTTCTCGCTTAGCTGTCACGCACTTATTCTTGCTATCAAAGCTAGCAGCCACCCCTAAAGACTTTACGAGCTGCTCTGATTTACTCATCAATGTGTTAACGTGGCTGAGACCACAAGCTTCAATATTCTTACGATCATGGTGCTTCAGCGTTTTCAACCCGATTTGCTTGACACCCATGGTAATACACATCGTTTCGGATGGAGAAAGGGTCGACTTTGGCAGTTCAAATTCTTCGCTATTCCATGGATAAAATGCACCTGTTGGGTCCAATGCCACCAGCTCCTTACCCATCGGCGTCAATATCGTCCCATCGGACCCTCGCAAAATAAGCTGCGGCGCTTTCGAAACACCAAACATCTGGACAAGCTGTTGTCGAGCTTCTACTTCTGAAAAAGGCACCATGAGCCACGTGTGTCCCGGCAAGTTCTCACTAAACGCTGTGTAATCTGCCCGCTCTTGATCAACTGATACTACAATCACAACAAACTTTTTTCCTGCAGCGTGCAAGCGCTCGCTTAATTCTGTCAAAAGTTTTGTCAGTTTACGACAAGCCGCAGATGTTGATAGCGCAAAATAAATACCAATGACAGCTTCTGGGTCAATTTCTGCCACGGTGTAAGTGCCCTGAAGAGAATCTTGGAGCGAGACAGTGGACAGTGTTCGCAGTGCACTAAGTAGCGTGCCTTCATGGATTGCCAAGGCTGGGTTTTCAGCAATCTCTAATCCCTTTACAACTTTCTGAAACAAACGATAGCGTAACCTGTACAAAATCGCGTATTCTACCTCTGTATTGGTAAAAGCTTGGCTACGGAGACTCAAATAGCGCATTCCTTCAATGACGCTCTTGCAAAATCCCAACTGACTGCGTTGTGCCGTATGCACGTGACCCAGCGCTAGCTTTGTCCAATCTTGAGACGCACCTTGCTCTGCCATTTCACTTGCGAGTGGCAATAGTTTGTCTTCTGCAAGCCAGGGCAGCAGGACATCGTAAATGGTCTCCACTCGATGATATTCGGACGGAGGTTTACGTACCCACAGTGAAAATAAAAGTGTCCAAAAGGCCATATCCAAGTAACGTTTCGCTGGTATGTTACTAATTTGAATACAAGACTGTACACGAATTTTATCGACACTGGTGCCTTGAGGTTTACAGGGATGATACATTTCAGCTCCAGGGCCTTTATTACATACTGTAAACGAGTATTGATCAGGAGATTGACTTGTTTTTTCCACCACGTAAATAATTGTATGACTTGAGACATTATTCTGATACCCTCCAGGTACTAAGAGAGGTTTCTTCACTTGAAGATTCATTAATTCTGTCTTCCAGTCAGCTAGAAACAATTGAAAGTGAGCTGCATTTTCCACTTTCAGACCCTTTTGAGCCCATTGACTGCAGTATAATAATTGAGGAATTATTATTGTCTCAATGACGTGGTTTTGATCCATTGTAAGTGGAAATTTCACATGATGTGCTTGAGTTTTATCTGGATCTTGTAATGGTTGTAGCAATTGTACAAAGCTATTTAGCACATTAACAAGTGCATTTATATCTCCTCCAGCTTCATACGGTGTTTCACGAAGGTATGGGTCACCAAACATACCCAAATAGACTGCAGAACGCCATACTTCCATTGGTATCGAGTTAGTATCGCGTATCTTTCTTTGCTCTATATAAAGTTCAACCGAAAGAATGAGAGCGTTTGTCTGATTGGGTAAGAGGTTGGATACGAAAGATGTGGATTGGACAATTATCAACATATCTTTTGACACAAATTAAATTCTGTCCAAAGTATTTGATTGGTTCAATTCTAACAGCCGAGATTTCTTTTCTCCTAAGAGCCAGCGTTCTAAATCTGAAACTTCAGATATTCTTCCTAATCTTATAGAATCTCAATTCTTATGACTCAAGTAAAGTTGTTTCTTGCCATACAAACAAACAAACCCATCAATTCTTTACTTCACAATGATCTTTATACAACACTTGAAGAAAAAACACATTGTAACTTGCATGTAATTCTTATACAACCAAAAACATTCTTCGTTCTACCGCCTTTTTCCTTCCGTTGCTAGCCATTTATTTAGAATAGTGGTACTTCTTTCTCAAGTACGTGGCCAGTATCGTGTTGTTGTGATTGGTTGAGACAAGACCATACGTGTAACGGTTACAAGGCCAATAAAAAGAAGTCACTTTGAGTTTTGTCCTGAAAGCCGCTGGTGGACGCAATTTTCCTGAGTAAACTTGTCCTCCTTTCCTCTTTTCTCGCTTCATCCATTACGAAATCCGACAACACGACCGATTCAAGATGGTGCTAATGGCAGTGACATTTCTGTGCGCTAATCACGATCGCTTGAGCGAGTTATCACACGTGTGGAAATCTCTAGATCAATATCTCGACTACTCGAGCGGGTGGACGTTGGAACGTGCAGCAGCACAAGGTATGAAGTTTCTAGTCCAGCATCTTGCTTTGAAGGCCTCCACGACGCTGAAAGACGATAACAAGTTGCTGGTCATGGACTTTGCAGCTTCCAACGGCCATCTTGACATCCTTACGTGGCTTCACAACACGGAGCAGTTGAGCGGCTGCTCAACGCGCGCAATGGACAATGCGGCCAAGAATGGCCACTTTGCAATCGTCCAATGGCTGCACGAAAATCGGCGCGAGGGATGCACTACAAAGGCAATGGACTATGCTGCTAGCCGTGGCCACCTGCCGATTGTGCAATGGCTGGATCAGCACCGCTCGGAGGGCTGTACTGCTCGCGCGATGGATTTGGCGGCACAGAATGGACAGCTGCATGTTCTACAGTGGTTGCATGAGAATCGCGTGGAGGGGTGCACACCTAGTGCTGTGAGTTACGCGGCCACCGGGGGCCACTTGCACATAGTACGTTGGCTGTGCGAGGTCCGCAAGGAAAAATGCCCTTCTAATGCCATGGTTAACGCTGCACGGGGTGGGCACTTGTGCATCCTCGATTACCTGAGCGCGCACTTTCCCGAATTGTTCGAGAGTGTTGGTCCCATGATGGTGCACGCCGCCATTGCAAACGGCCAAGCAGCGATCCTGACGTGGCTCATTACCGTGCTCCCGGTCAAGTCGCTCAAGTGTGAAGAGGCTGCAGGATCATGGATGGACGTTGCTTCCGAGTATGGTCAGGTGGGCATACTTATGTGGTTTCATGACCATGCGACTGCATTACCGATGAGCGTAGACGGACATCTGCCCGCCTGCACCGTTACAGCCATTGAAAAGGCAGCTCGAAATGGACACAGCGACGTACTTGCGTATCTATACGAGAATCACTTGGTCAAACTAACTGTCGAGTTGGATGCAATGAAGGCGCTGGTTGCTGCAATTGGAGGTGACCAACAGAACTGTGTCGAGTGGTTGGTGGTACACTTTCGCAAGCTGTACGAGCAGAGCTCGTCTACGTCAACAACTGCAATGGACACTGCTGCTGCAGTTGGTAATGTGGACATTCTGCAGTTTTTGCGAAATGATTCGACAACAAGCAAGTGGCAGACCAGCGCCAAGGCTATTGATGATGCAGCTCGTCAGGGGTATGTGGATGTCCTTCGCTGGCTGCATTTTGACCGCTGCAATCACATCGAAGTAGAACAGCAGCACGTGAACAATGTATTTATCAACAGTCAGGAAGACTTGGAATTGATTGACGTGCGTTGGACGCCTATGGCATTGGAACTGGCGGCTACAAATGGACACCTTTTGGTAGTTCAGTGGCTTATTGAGTACCACCGCGACATTTGCAGCAGCTTTGAGGCATTTAACGCTGCATCGTACATGGATCACTTGGAAATAGCTCAGCATCTATATGCAAATGTTTGTAGTTTGTGCTCTGTGGAACAGGCACTGGAACATGCAGAAGAAGGAGGTGCCGAGGATACACTTGCTTGGCTTCAGGGTCTTTTGTGAGTGAGTGAGTTCTAAGAAGAGAATTAGAATGTGATACTAGATAGAAGACACAAGATAGAGTTGATATATGGATATTGTCCAATCCGAACAGGTCTTTGATACGATAGAAATACTATAATGTTGCTGGCATCGATTTGTATGCTTCATCATGGAGCGTGATATTATCACTTTTGCAATAGCGACTCGCTTCTGTGTAACGTTTCTATCATTATTAACAGCTTCTCTCATAACACCATATGATACTTCATCTCATCTACAGGCAAATGAGTTTCTTCTTCTTGCACCACTAAGTAATTGGGACGGTGTTTATTACTCTCATATTGCTCTATATGGCTATAATTTCGAGCACTTTCATGCTTTCTTTCCACTTTATCCATTGCTAATGCGATTATTTGCTTACTTTTTACCATTTGAGAAGACATCAGCTGTGCTTATTAGTGGCTGGACTATTAGCAATGTCAGCTTTATCCTAGCGGCGCTATTCCTCTATCGTTTGGGTTGCATTGTTCTTGAAGATGAGATTGTCGCCAGAAGAGCTGCCTACCTCTTTTGCATAACTCCTTCTAGTATCTTCATGTCATCAATCTACTCAGAGAGTCTCATGTGTCTGCTAAGCTTCAGTGGCATGTATTTCTTAGCTAAACACGCTCAGACACCTGAACCACGTCGAGCTTTTCGTGATCTGGTCTACTGCGCGCTACTGTTTGGTGCGGCCTCTGCAACTCGATCCAACGGCATTTTACTCTCGTGTACGTTCATTCACGTACAATTTCTTAATTTTCTGGGATGATTCACGCTAAGACTTGGTCTTGTTTGGTACAGTGTTTATTGCGTGGCATCGAGTGATAGTTTCGCCACCACCAAGGAAGCTCAGCTGGTTCTTAGGATTTTGGATACGCACTGCAGCTCTTGGTGTGCTTGCTATTGCACCACAAATTGTGTATTTTGCCTCTTCAATGATGCCATACTGTCCGTCGCTCGTACAGTCTTTGGGTTGGAAAGTTTCGGAATCTGTTGAGATGAAGGACCGTAGCTGGTGCGCGATGGCATTTCCCAATGTATTCGCCATGTACACGTTCATCCAGAGCGAGTACTGGAATGTAGGTCTCTTTCGCTACTACGAGCTGAAACAACTGCCAAATTTCCTTCTTGCTGCGCCAATCATTGCTCTTAGCGTGCATGCACTTCAAGGGTATTTTCGAGGCAATGTCGTGCCTGGACGGTTACGGGTCAAACTTCAACAACGGACGGGAGGGTGCAATTGGCGAGGCACTGTGCTGACTCCATATTATGCACATTGGTTGTTCTTGCTACTAAATGCGCTGCTCGTCGTTCACATCCAGGTGACTACGCGACTATTGTGCGCATGCCCTCCGCTTTTTTGGCATCCTGCTTCGTTAATCTGTGATACTGCGATGACAAGGAAGAAGAAACCCGTTTTGACAAGATATGGTCGCGTTATTATCAGCTATTTTCTCCTCTTCACTGTGCTCGGAAGTGTTCTCTTTTCTTCATTCTACCCATGGACATAACCCAAAACAAATATTGGAGTCGAAACAATCGAATAATACGTGTTTGGTAGCAAAATAACCATCGTATTCTCCACTTAACTCCTCAGACATATATCCAACATTCCCGTTCACACTGACCAACGATCCCATATGTGCTGCGTTTTCCCTTCGGGCTGTACGATCATTCAAAAAATATCACCGCAGCAAAGGCTTTCTAATTTTCAGCTTCTTTGCCAGCCGATCACGCGCTGAGGTCACGTTGCGTTTGCGACCGTGGCTTTTGTGACTATGTTTGTTCCCACTGCTAGCTCTGGCCGACGGAGGAGTGAGCGGAAGTGGAGGGCGTACGTCCACTGACGGTAAAGAGGACGCACCCGTTCTGGTAGCAGCAGAAGAATACCCTTGAAGCATCAGTCCTTTGCCCCTTGGTGACGGCGTTACAGTAGCTGTAGGTGAAGCATAGTCTTCCATTACGCTTGAATCTGAACGTGTCTTCTTTCCAGACGATGAGCTTCCCAGTAACCGACCGCACTTTCGATGTGACAAGGTGCTAGATCCAGATAAGCGTTCTTTTTCCGTCGCGCTAGTTCGCTTGTTGCGCCTACGACTACGGTCACTTCGCTTTGTAGATCCAGAGTGCGCATCCGATTGTTCTGCCGAAGGCGGTGGAGGTGATGATGGGGGAGGAGGAGTGGACGGAGGCGAGACGGCTGGAATAGGAGGAGGAGAAGGGTCGACGGTAGCTATCGTCTCCACCTTGGACAACCTGTTTCGATCGACACGCCTGCTTCGGTGTGAACGATGTGACGTTGCCAACACATCGACAGTTCGAGCCAAAGATCGCACTCCCATCGCATCCACATGAGATGCATTCATACTTTTGTCACGGTGCAGTGACAATTTAGCATGACTTTGCTTCCGTTGTCGTTTACGATTTCTAGTTCCTTTTAATGCAGATTTGCGCCGGCGCCCTCTTCTCACACAACGCGGGCATCGATAATCGTCTGCTGGTTCCTCAGTCATCGGTATACGGACACATATTGTATGTTGCCACGTCTTGCAGCTTTCACATTCTACCATTCGCTGACCATCGTCGTGATTGGGTCGGCGACGAACGGAGCACACACAGTCGAACATCCAGCTACAACGAAAGCACAGAAATTTCTCCCGCACCACCGCCTCTGGCTGCTTGTCTGCGCATTTGGCATGTACCCAATGTGAGCAGCTATCGCATTGAATCATGAAGGTTCCATCGTCATAGTTTTTCTTCATTAAACCGCAAGAGCAGTCTACAACCCACTCGTCCCCTTCCTGTTCTTGTAGAGCCATCACCACACCGGTGCTGCCGGTTGTGCAACGCCTCTCAAAGTCTGCCGACTTCTTGGACACGACATCACTTTTAAAGTTTCGACGTTTAGAATACAACGTCTGTCTTTTCTTCTTGGAACGTGGTGCCTCTTGCCGCTCTTGGTGTCGCTGCCTTGCGTCTGCTATTACTTTCTGCTTTAACTTGTCCGTCAGTTGCAGCTCTTTATGTGCTTCTTGCTGTCGACGATTAATAAGTGCATCTACTGGTGCTGGAGAAAGACGCGGGTACGAGTTTTTGAGATCCGAGCTCTCATCACTTTCTTCACTATCATCGTCATCTGCAGGATCAATATAATCATGATACGCCCTGTCCTTTTCATTGTCCGTGTCAAGCAACATATCATCATCTTCATCACCATCATCATCTTCTTCTTCTTCGCTTTCAACTGTTGAATTGTCGCTGATACAACTGGCATCGCTGCTATGGCCGTCTTCTTCGTCTTCTTTCTTGTCCTTTTGATCGTCTCCTTTGTCTCCCCCATTACTGCCGTTATTCACAGGAAAGTCCTCGTCACCATCACTTGTACTGCCGCTATAATTTGAGCTAGAGTCATTAATATTGCTGCTATTACTGCTACTAGACGAAGAAGGACACGGACTACTGGCTGGACGCTCCTGGTCAGTGCTTGTCATACTCTTGCGCACTGGGGGAGCCAAGTGTACTCTAAAACCCTCAAAACATCGACCAATCCATAGACCACCAGAACCAGCAGCAGTTTTAACTGTCTTAGGACGCATTAAAGCTGCAACAACCTCAACGTCTTGACCTAGAAACAAGACACTCAGCATCGTCCTAAAGCGTCAGATAGTGTCTGTCCTAAAACTTTTGAGCCTACTTCAGATGACGTACACTCTTATAGTTGATTATACACTAGAGATCATAATCAAAAGGTAATCATCTGTTTGGTTTGTTACGTAAGGAAATGATTGCACGTATACATTTTAGAAAAGTATTACATTAATGTTGGCTATTGTTAGTAATAGTAACAATCATAGTCAGATACTAAATGATACAGTGTGTTTCAAACCAGTCACTGAGCAGATACTTAAATAATAGTATCAAGTATTAAGTTGTCATGACGGGTCAATGGATTATGCGACGTCATTCTTGGCTGTATGCAAATGTACCTACGAGTCTATTGCATCATTTACGCTGTATTAGTACACCATCAATGCCTAAACCTCGCGCACGTGACCACATTCGAGGCAATCGACGTCAATCACCAAGAGAAGAAGAAGAAGCAGAAGCAGCAGCAGCAGTGGCCTTCCAATTCAAACATCACAATCAACAGCCTGAAAAGCGTCGAACAAAGAAAAGAATGAATCAGAATCCTCCTGTTTTTACAAACAAATTTCAAAACTTATTGAGTTTTGCATTTGAAAATGTAGACAATGAGCAAAAACTACCACCGAAACGCACGAATGAGACGTCGTCATTGGACCTTCTTAGTACTATTGAAGTAAGAAGCAAGATCGATGATAGTCCAGAACATACATTGGCTCAGCTAGGGCTTGGCAGTTATGATGATGAGGAGGAGGAGGACGACGACGACGACGCGTTCTTAAAACGACAGCCCAAACATCCACGACAAAAACTGGAAAAGACCAAATTGTTTTCAGGTCATACAGATCCATCCACAGTGTTGGCAGCACTCGGTATTCCTTTTAACGGAGAAGGCACTGATTGTGTGGAACCACCACGTATTACTGGTAGTCGCAAGGCCATCAAGATGAATACAAAGCGAATAAAAGGAACACGCAATTTGCTCAAGAATTTTCAGTTTGAAAACAGCATCTTCGACTCGGATTCGGATCTATTTGGGGATATCAATTGGAAAGACTCGGAGGATCGTGAGCGACGTCGTTTTCAAAGAGAGCAACGGAAGGAGATTAAGCGTAGACCAAAAGAGGAGCTACCTGCGCAGGAAGTAGAGATTCCGACGTCACTTACCGTCAAAGATCTTGCCGAGCGTATGAGTGTCAAGACTCGCGTAATATTTCGCGCTCTAAAGGACTTGGGTGAGAACGGGCTTAATGAAGAATCGATGCTGACTAGTGATATTGCCGAGCTGGTGGTCGACTCACAGAACATGGTCCCGGTGTTGCTACCGCCTGACTTTGTCGATCTAGAACTGACAGTGCCGCCTGAGGATTGCGCAAGGTTTCCTATTCGTCCACCTATTGTTTCGGTAATGGGCCATGTTGATCACGGCAAGACCACGTTGCTGGACGCCCTACGTAACTCGAATGTCGCAGCGACGGAAGCCGGTGGAATTACACAGCGAATTGGTGCATTCTCAGTAGATATGGGCAAGAAGTTTGGCACACAAGCAAAGGTCACATTCATCGACACACCTGGTCATGCGGCATTTAGCAACATGCGGTCATGTGGTTCCGAGCTCACGGACCTGCTCGTGCTTGTGGTAGCTGCAGACGATGGTGTTCGCCCGCAGACAGTGGAAGTGGCACGACTGGCACTAAAATACAATGTGCCACTCGTGGTAGCAGTGACGAAGATGGACATGCACGAACACGACAAGAACGAGGTAGCCAAACGTCTTGGAACGGAGCTATTGAATCAGGGGATTGTGATTGAGAGCATGGGAGGAGAAACACCTATGGTCTGTGTATCGGGAAAAACCGGTGAGGGCCTTGACCAGCTCAAAGAAACCATTGCTCTCCATGCTGAAATGCTAGACCTGCGTGCCGACACACAGGTAGCGGGCGAAGCGGTCGTTCTTGAGGCGATTGTGGCACGAGGTGTTGGTACTCAAGCAGATGCAATTGTTAAGTGGGGCACGCTGAAGCAAGGTTCTTTTGTAGTGTGCGGATTAGAGTACGGAAAAATTCGTGCTCTCGTCGATCAGACGGGAAAGCGTGTAAAGCAGGTGGCCCCAGGTCACCCAGTGCGCGTGATTGGGCTAAAGGGGTTGCCTGAAGGTGGTGCTGCATTGCTGTCGGTGACAACAGAAGACCGTGCGAAGGAGGTCGTGATGGCGCGTCAGGCCATGATTGACTGGGATCAAATGGCAAGGGCTGAAGACGAAGAAGTGGAAATTCATCATGATAATGACAGTGCCCCGAGGCGTCGTCGTCGTCTTGGAGGGCATCGAAAATGGGAGCAAGTGGAATTACGGAGACGTAAGGCTGCAGAAGAAGCTAAGCGCGTCGCAGCTTTGAAACCCGGAGATGAAGGTTATATCGCAAACTTGGTTCCCATTATCGTCAAAACGGACTCGGTGGGTGTTATTTCTGCAATTGATGAACTTATTGCATCCTTGCCACGCGACGAGGCAGCGATAAAGATTATAATGTCTGATGTCGGACCTGTTACTTCCTCTGATCTTGCAATGGCCCAAGCTACCGGTGCTACTATCTACTCATTCAATGTCAAGCATCCAGCCTCTATTGATCAAGAAGCACTGCACAAAGAAGTTACGTTACGTCAGCATCGCGTGGTGTATAGTCTGCTGGACGACATCAAGGAATTATTGCAGGATAACCTCAAGGGTGTGGTTGTGCACGAAGTGATCGGCTCAGCTGAGGTGATCCAATCCATCCCCATTTCGGCATCGGGGACCCGAAGTACGAACATTGCTGGTTGTAGAATCACTTCTGGGTCACTTAACATGCAGGCAAAGTATAGACTGGTGCGTGACGGTGAAACAATCGTTGAGAACGTGGATATGGCGTCGATGCGTCACTTTCAACAAAAGGTGGCCGAAGTGAACAAGGGTCAAGAATGTGGACTTCAGCTTGCAGGCATGGACGACTTTCAGCCTGGCGATGTACTTGAGGGGTATACTACAAAGGTGGTAAAGCCTGAGATCTAGAGTTCTCCTCTTTCCTAATGATGTTTGGAACCCGCATAATGCGCATTTGTGACGATAAACTTTACATAGACGACTGGTAAATTGGAAAGCACTGCCAGGTAAACACAAAATACACACGACTACCACCTATGTCGATGTAAGCGTGAGAAACGTGGATCTAGTGATAGAATCCTGATTGCAATTTGCTTGATGGAATGTTCACTGGACACCAACTAAATGCGTTAGTTATCGGTAAAGAAGTTCCATCCGTTAATGCCAATTTTATAGCCAACGCATGAATCCGATTGCTGACATTTGGTATTCAAAGTTGAATGTCTTAGTCTTAAAGCAATCCACTTCTTGCTCACTACAATATTCCAAGTTGCGTCGAGGCATAAGTAAACGCGTCGACTGTTGCAAACAGCAGCTACTGATACTCGCTAGCGTACAAGCAAGTACATTTCTATGACTAACGAGGGAGGAAGTCATGTAGCACGCGTCAGAGGCTAAAGGGTACGCATTTATACATACAAATATTAATAACACATCGGTCAAACAGTACTCAGCAAAATGTTATTCACAGATAACTTAATGCGCGCATTCAAACTGACCACTTATCTTGTCAGCAAAAGGAGCTTGAAACAAGGTGCATGCTTAAGTGCGTCTATCGTCATCATTTTTGCTTTTCTATTTACAGGTCCGCAGGCATCACGCAGTTGCCATAAAGGGACTCGTACGTTTCGCGTTCACGACTGCATATTCATATAACACGGTTTAGTTGTCAGTCAACGATCAAAAAAATACTGTTACGAGCAAAAAAGCGTACATGAGCGACTCGCTGCCGTTCGCGCGAAGAAGCACTTCAGGGGCGCGAAGCTTGCCATTGTACTGGAATCCCATCGAGTGGGAGTGCGCGCCCGTGTCGTGAATTACAAACAGGTCACCCACTCTTGCTTTCGGCAGTGGGCGGTCTTTCGCAAACCAGTCATTATTTTCGCACAGCGTGCCAACAACGTGCGACGACAACACCTCCTCGTTCTCACGTCCTGGTATCGAGATCTCGTGGTAGGCACCGTACATGCCTGGGCGCATAAGGTGCGCCATGCAGGCGTCGACGCCATAGTAGCGGCCGTACGTCTCCTTGATGGCCTCGCAGCGCGTGACGAGCCAGCCGAATGGACCTGTCATGAAGCGTCCGTTTTCCATACAGAGACGCGGGAGCTTCTTGAGTCCGTGTTTTTCCATGGCCACGTCAAAAACCTCACGCAGCATTTTGGCGATGGCCTTGATATCTACAGTGTCGTCTTCTTTGTGGTACGGGATACCAAGACCTCCGCCAATGTTCATAAACTCGAACTCAATACCGAGCTCCTTCTTAAGGAGTACAATGGTACTGAAGAGCACCGTAACCGTTTCACGCCAATAGTCCTGGTTCATCACGCACGAACCAGTCATCATATGAATGCCAAAGCGCTTGGCACCAGCATGTTTGGCCCTACGGTAGGCTTCAACGATCTGAAACGGAGGGACACCAAATTTGGCGTCAGGTCCACCCAGCACGTTGGACTTGGTCTCTGAGTCAGTGCGGCCGAGGCCCGGATTAAGACGAAAGCTGATAAGGTTTGGGCTTTTGTTACGCACGGCTACGAGACTATCAACAAGCGACATGTCGTCTAAATTTATAATAACGCCCTGATCAAATGCCATGGCCAGATCCTTTTGCGCTGTAAAGTTAGAGGTGAAGACAACCTGATCACTAGGCACTCCTAGCTCCTTAACAATGTGCAATTCAGCCGAAGAGCTACAATCCATACCACATCCTTCTTGATGTAAAAGCTTAATAATGGCTGGATTAGGTAGCGCCTTGACCGCGTAAAATTGCTGGAAGTCTGGAAAATACGTGCGAAAAGCGGCAAGTAAATGACGTGCATTATCACGAATCATCTTTTCATCATAGAGCTGCAGTGGTGTACCATACTTTTCAGTAAGCTTATCTAGATGTTGTAGAGCAGATGTAGGAAGTGGTAGTGGCATTGTCTGGAGGAAATGCGATGTGAGATGTGGTCGATGGACAAGCTCATCCAATCGAAACGTTTCTAAAAATTAACCGAAACAAAGTAATCAGATCGTTTAGTCGATCTGATCCCGCCATTTATTTTTCATTCTCATCTGTCTCCGAATAAATAACGATTATTGTGCAAAGACTCAATTTATATACAAAAGTGCTTGATTTATTTCTTTACCTCGCATACGTTAATCAAACAACCATAATTTCATTATTTTCAGCTCTGATTTTTACAATGTAATATGAAATTTGTTACTTGTGTCTGTTTCTATCGCGTACTATTCGTAGCATTCATTGATATAATAAATCACAGCTCCTTCCAGATTAGCAAACGCCTTGATTTTACGCTGCCCATCAACGATGTCATTGAAGTAAGCCAGTGACATGAGATCGATATCAAACTTCCTATTAGTGCCACAATTGACTCTAGCATCTGTACCGAGTGGAGGAGTGTATTACCTACAATATACCATCCTATCTGATCCGAAACCAATCTCCATGTAGGATTCCAGAACCATTAGGATGCAGTCAATTGCAGCCTGTTTCACGAGGTCTGTTTTGTTTGCAAAGCTGCTCAGAGCTTTTCAGATTATGAACAAGAATTACTGCTTACTAGAAGCAAGAAAAAACGAACAACACATCTGCCATAGCATAGCGTTAACATTACGCTGAAAAGGCGACTCTCTAATACTTGGCATTAAGAAGATTCACTGTAGCTAAATTTGTGCAATTTGCAGCTCAGAGGTATACTCTTCTTACCTCCACTGCCTTCTTATTTGGAACCGGCAAAAGTAAAAAGTGCTCTTGTCTGGCCATGTCACTTGTTTGCTCTTTCCAATAGACGAATTGACCAACTCAATTACAACGTCTTCTTTTCCATCTCAACCTCCTTAGGCTTTCGTGAGCTCAGACAGTAGTTCACGATAAAAAAATTCATAAAGAGCCAGAAGAGTGATTGAACGTAGATGAGGTACATGACTGAGGTCTTGTAAGGCATACCCGGACACGAGCGCGAGACCATGAGGTAACCTTGCATATTCATGAGAATAAACTGGATCATTTGAACCATCGTCAAATACGGCTTCCACCAGATGTTGCGCGTGTGTGAGCTCACAAAATAGTACATGTACATGATGGCATGCACGGCACCATTGAGTACAATGGTCATGTAGAGATCACCGTCATAAGACGTACGGAAATTGCTCCATAAGCACTACGAGAAAGCGACACATAGAACAAGCACCTAGGTCAGTACCGTACTAAAGGGTCCGATATTGACACATAACGGCAGAAAATACTGACAATGAAGACGGTAATATGGTGGTACACGTGAAGCACCGAAAGCTGCTTCCACTTCTTGCCCATGACAATAAAGAATGTGTCGCAAAAGTCCAGCACCTTGGACAGGTAAAAGATGTACACAAGATTACCCATAACAGGGTTTGTGTGGTTAAAGTCATTGCACGGCGTGATTGAGTATTCCTGTAAGGTAGAGAGGTATGTTAGTTAACAGTAATGGGTCGAATGTGACCCTGAATGGTGTACGTGCGTTGCGACGGGCTTGTAGGATGGCCTCAACAGTCATGTACGAGCACAACACAATTTGAATGGGATTGTAGATGAACTGGAGTGGCGCTGTGTTGAGCGCTGGCATGCCTGACTTCATAACCAGCTGTAGAGGCAGAAGTGCAAGGGGCAAGCAAATAAATCAGTACTGGTGCTAGAACATGTAGATCGATAGAATAGCGACTGACCGTGCCAACCACGACAAAAACAAGATAGCCAACGCAAAATGCGAATGCCGTGCTAAAGTCAGCCAAGAAATAGTCCTGCATGGGTGACTGACGGTATCCCAGGGTGGGGTCGATCCAGTCCAAGATCATGACGTCCATGCCGTCAGCCCATTGCTTGTAGCTGTCAAGAAGAACGCTGCCCATTATGTCGTGCTGCTGCTCGAATCTTACGAGGCCTGACTGTGTCAAAGTGGAAGTGACAGGGAGGAAGAGATAGGCGGAAAGGGGCCAGCATGATCCTGGTTACTCGACTGGCGGCCATTCAAACCGCTCTTCTGAAGCGTCAGCATAAGTGTTTTGACAGGAGAGTTCTGGTTTCGCTCGTTTATCTCTTGAAGATAATATGATACATGATAATTGATAGCAATAGAGTTATTTATTACGTAGAAACATTGGGTATTGAAGGGTCAAAAAGGTGATAAATAGCCGGGTCAAGTGGATACAAAACATGGACACGTCGTGGGATGTGTGGAAGCTGCTATACTCAAGCAGCGATCATTTCAATTCATTTTAAAACATCAGCTCAAAAATTCCTTGAAAAGACGGACACACTTGTTTCTTTATTCTCTAGTGCACTTTACAACAAGTAGATTACAATAGAGAACAAAGAATGCAATACTAGCAGTTAATTGAAGATATAGAAGCAGTAAACTGCATGTGTGCTTAAGCGTTATTGCCACATATTCGCGGTGCTATGCAAAATCGGGCCAAAATGCTGTTGCAACAATACAGAGCTCTGATACGAGACTACTAGCACGATAAAGATAGTTTTATCGATTGAAGTTTTAAATGCACGTCTTGTACAAGCATGACTTCCTTTAACATTTCAACGTGATGTACTCTGCTAGCTCATTCGTTCATTCAGCTATAATCTGCGTATCTCGTGAGAGCTATCTTACTGTATGGAAATGAATAAGTCTTTCAATTTCGTTACAAGTGCGTTGTTGATTATACCCTGTCATTCACAATCCGAAGCAATTCCAGCTATGTATCTAAACCGGGGCGTTATCCGTATTGATAAAAAGCATCTGCATCATTACTTCGTAGGTATTGAAATCTCGGCTCAGTCCTTTGCAAAAGCAAAAACATGCATCAGAAGCAATACAACCATTTATCGTCGCCACTACGACGGATAAAAGCCATGGTCAACATTGTATTATTCGTAACAGACACAAACACCAAACTCAGTAGTTGCCAGCAGAATGTATAAGAGATGTATAAAAGACACAAATGTACGTCGCAAAGCGCTGAAAGCGTATATTGTCTTCATTTAGAAAAGATCGATTAACAGCCTTATCCTCTCTATTGCGTCTTCTTTCTGTTGGACAACTTGCGCGGCTTCGCGCAGTACGACTTGATGAAAAAGTTCATGAACAACCAAAAGAGCGACTGGATATAGACGAGATAAATGACTGGCACCTTGTGGGGGAAATTATCGCACGACCGCGATACCATGAAGTAGCCCTGCACGTTCATCGTGACAAACTGGATCAACTGCATGGCAGTCAGATATTTCTTCCACCAAATGTCACGTGTGTGTGCACTAACGAAGTAGTACATGTACATGATAGTGTGAATGAAACCATTCAAGATGATTGTGGCGTAGATGTCGCCGTCATAGGCCACGCGAAAGTTCATATAGTAAATCTATTGGCATCGAGTACACGCTCCGGATGAGATGTTTTTTAGCTCAAGTAACACGCAATAAGTAGGTACTTACCGCAAAAATCGTCAAGTGGTGGTACACATGCAAAAAGGAAAGCTGTTTCCACTTCTTGCCGAGGATGATAAAGATCGTGTCACAAAAGTCCAAGATCTTCGATAGATAGAACATGTACAACACATTACCCATAACAGGCTTCTCCGCACTAAACGAATTACATGGTGTAACTGAGTAACCCTGCAAATAACATTGGGAAAAGACAAAATAAACGACAGGCAAAGTAGGTCACATGTTAACATGACTCATTTTGTTCTCAGAATAGTAGTCATAAAGACTAAAGTGCGTACGTTGCGGTAGGCGAGGATACCGGCTTCCATGCACATGTACGAGCACAGCACAACCTGCAACGGATTGTAGATAAACTGCAGGGGACTGGTCTTAATAGCTGGGACACCTGCTTTCATTACAATCTGAAGAGGCACAAGCAAGTCAAACAACGTATGAAATCAAAGCACATTCCTTCTCTAAAAACGAGTGGCTAACGCACTGTGCCAATGACGACGAAAGAGACGTAAATGACGCAGATAGCAAAGGCAGTGGCAAAGTCAGCGCCAGGCAGGTTTTGCATGGGCGAGAGCTTGTATTGTCCCGATGGATCGGCCCAGTCTAATATATTCGTCTCCTGATCATCTGCCCATTGTTTGTACCTCGTCCAGATTTCAATGGTCATTCTCGATATGAAGCGTAACTTGAATTGTTTTTGAAAGAATGAGAACCATTTGATTTAAATGATACTTTTTATACCGACCACACAATTTTATATCTATTTCAGCCAGACCGATTGGACAATAATCTCAAGCCAGGCGTTGCTTATTGGACAAAACATACTCTAAAACGAATTCATCGAGTTATCATTTTGTAATAAAGGCATCATTAATTGATTCTTATCTCCTTAACTAACAAAAGAAGGTGGCTGAGCTGAACGGACAGTGGAAACCCATCTGGAACCCAGACCTGTCTTCGAGATGAGAAGAAACATGTCGTACTGGAGTATGAAATGAGCCTGCTGGAGGGAAGTTGAGATCCTTTACTCATCTGATTCGGCCAAGCGGGGTTAATTATGCGTCAGTTATCCGTATACCAGCTGTCAAACTGCGTTTCTTGATTACAGCAAAGAGGACTTAGTCAGTATCTACGCAATAAACACCCGCCCAGACCGTGATATTTGCTCCAGTGACTTCTCGAACTTGACGCTCAGCAACATCTGACGTTCTTGATTGAGGACTTCAACAGTGTCCAAGATCCTCATTTCGACCGCTTCGAGAACAGAGCACAAGGTCGACCGGAGAGCCTGGTGCTTGGCCGGCTGGGTGGTTGCTACGTACGCGAAGGCCGACGCTGTCGATATGACGGAGAACCCAACCTCCCAGAAATCCGAATCCCGCTGGGACCCGATGCGCTGGCAAAAAGAGAAATAGACGAACACCTCTTCTAGAGCTGTCCATTTGCTCAAGCAACTTGTGCACAACGCATATGCCACTGGGAAAGCGCTAGGGTGCAGCCTGACCTCTTGCAGTGCTGGAAACGCACCTGTGGGCTCACAGGACCTCCTCGTCCTATATCCGACGAATGGTTGCCCAATGGTGCCCTAACGACCGGATGACTTTGCTGCCGATTGGATTCGATGTTGGACAATCCTCTGCACGGCCGCCATCACAAGCCTCAGGATCAAGCGTGTTGATCGTGTCATCCGCAACGAACGGATGATGGCACAGGAAGAAGCAGTGGCCTACCAGAGGGAGGCAAATGAAGCCATCGCCAGACGCGACCACCGCAAGGCGGATGCTGTCATCCGCGGTGCCGCGTTACATGCGTGCATTGAGATTCTCACCGCTCATCCAGAGAGTCCACGGAGCCTCATGAGGTTGTTCTGACACAGCGTCGCGCGTTTCGGCGCAGGCGTTTTTGGCTTAGCTACGAACATACCAGGAACTTGTACTAAATTGTAAATCGACATTCTGAATCTCACACTACAAACAAGATAAGTTTTACAAACAATCATAGGAAACACTATCAATATAAAGCAAAACTTTTCATTTACTTGTAGCAATTCTTGTTGCTGTCGGCTTCTTGCCTGCTAAGTCGCTGAGCTGAGAGATATTCTAGCTCGACCGTAGTTTGTCGCAAGCTGATTCCTCTGCGCGGCAAACGTCAGCTATATCATCATAGAAAACTCCGTCATAGGCATCGTCTGTCTGCATGAAAACGAACTGAAACGGAAGTGATACATTCATATTAAACGGGGGCATCTCATTCACGCAAGACTTGTCAAGAAGCTCCAAATCGCCGCCATTGGTCACGTATGACAACAGTAGCTTCATGCCGCATGTTTCTTCTTGTCTGAATTGACTGTACTTTTGTATAGTGTTGAAAGAGCCGCTATACAATCCCGAGGATGTCGATCTTGTAAGTCGACAGGTCCCGAGGAAGGGTTCCATGCTACTTGCGCTGGGAACCAATGGATTGCACATTAAACGTACCAAAGCGAAGATGCCGGGACTTCGGGCGTGGCTGCGGGCGTCGGCTGGTGGCTGGGGGTGAGAGAGGGTAGAGAGAGGTGTGTAGAGGAAGAGACCCGTCTTACACTAACGGATGCGGCGGTGAAGTACCCAACGGAAGGCCTGAGCTAGCATCATGCTGGCCCAAGTTTCCCAGGAGGGCGTCACCCCAGCCTCGAGTAAGACGCATGCGTATCATTTTGTAATAAATGCAATATTGATTGACTTTTACATACTTAAGTAGCACCATCGAATATCATCTGTTTCTTATAACTTTATGTAGCTATAAGTTTTTTGTGACCTTCTTTTTTCTGGGTTGTTAAGCAAAAGCAGATACAAAAAAGTAATTTTAGCTAAAATATGTGGCGTTGTGTAATGTCGCTCTTTGTGTTTACAACCGCTATACATAATGCAATATCTGAAGTATCGCTATGCTCATTACCATACAGCTCATTATACATCAAGGACGATAAAAACACGCTCGTAGCGTGTCTTTCTCATAACTCTTTAACCATCTTGGCTCGGTGTCGGACTGCGTGTAACTGCAGACGACTTGAGATTGGACGAAGCGCCAACAGTCTATGTTTAAGTACTAGTGCGACCTTTGATTGCGATGCTGCAGATAACGCTACACGTTGCACACAAGGTATGGGATCCATTAGTAACACGCTATGTGCCGTGATAAAAGTGTACAGTGTTATAATCATCCATTGTGTTGTTCATCTTTATTTTAATGAAGAACCAAAATCAAGTGCTACGAAAGAGATGGCGAGAAACAACGACAGAGGTAGCAGGAATGACTTGAAGACGTGGCAATGGGGACTCATTGGACTTGCCATTGTGCTTGGAATAGGAATGTTGCTTTTCGTCTTTAATTTCATAAAGAATCGTCCGCAACGTGGTGATAATCGTAGAGAAGTAATACAGACACTGGATTCGCGTCATCCACAGCCAGTGAACGACGTCAATTCGTTGCCGACTGTATCTTGTAAAAGCAAAGTGGCAGCCAGAGGGACCACAGGTTCCCAAAATACCAACTCGTTCCAGATGCCGGACTTTTCAGATGGAAGCTATCGCACGCATGCTATGAACCTGATGAGTAGCACGCTGACAGACACTGACATTGTGACAGAGCAACAGGAGCGTGTGTTTTCACCCATTAGTGCGTCTTCTCTGTCCGCACGATCATCACTATACTCTCAAGGCGTAGACACAAGCACGATGCTAAACACTGCATGCTTGCTAGAGGTGAGTCATGTTCGCGGAAATATTAGTGAGTCTGGTCGTCCTCCATACCCGTCTCTTAGCAGCTATTCTACGCCGAGTGACATAGAGTCGCTTTCCAGCCAAATAACTATTGATGACTCCGACATAGAGACCGGTGAGAGACTTTCATGCCCTCGTAAGAAGTCGATTGAGTTTTAAGGATGCGTGTATTAAAACTAGTTAGAACATTTGTTGTTGATATGTTACAAGCTTAAATGGATGCGATACTCAAAGCTACTTCTTTTAATAGCAATTTATGACATGATGCGTCTTAAGCGTGTAAATTGCAATAGAATGAGTTTAAGCGAATGTTTGAATCGCTCCGCTGCATTGATCATACTCTTGCTTTGCCCTCCGTTGCCAATGACATAACACATCCCTGCCTGTCTTACTATATAAAACAAAAGTTGCGTTTGTCTGGTGCGAGCAGAATAAATGAGCATGTAGATCCCATCAAATGGCGAATATATTAGCTTATTCTAAGTCAATGAGCCGCAAAATCGCATGCGCCATTTCTGCGGAGATGTCTGACTCCTTCGCTACACGGAATACACGAGGGGCTGACAAGTAGTCACTGAGCCGTCTGCGGGTAGATTGCGTAGCAAAAAATGCTTCTTCAACGATGGCAATGAAAATGTTCAAAACCACGTACATGAACAATGAAATAAACGAATACAAGTACACTCTTCCTGAAATAATAAAGTGGTGAAGATCCATCGCATCAAATGTGTCCATGATACTGTCTCCGTTCATGAGCGAGAACAGCGTAATCATTGAAGCACTAAGTGTGCCGAACTCATCAATCTTATTTCCAAAGTAGATTGTCCCAAAAAGAGCATATCCTACAAAAAATGGAGATACACCGAGCAAAAACTGCAGCACACGTGGTGTTCCCCATTTCAACGTCAAAACAATCGAATAGATGTGCTGGTTATGCTCCAAGTACCCGACAAAACAACTCCAGAGTAATAGCAACGCTGTCGCATGCAACAATCGATGCCAAAATCGAATTGGCATGTGCGCTTCCAAGAAACATAAACTCCACATTGTGCTTGAAAACAGCAACACAAGCGACGTGAGCACCAGCACCTGTCTGGAACACAGCACGTATCGAAATAAATCAGCTAGAACACCACAAACGTTTGATAAATACACACATACAAGCTGTTGATAAAGTAAAGCTTTAGCGAAAATGGGAATTCCGCCCATGATGTTATCAATCCGCGCTGTCTAGCATTAAACAGCAATCTTCTTACATTGCAGTCCGCCGAAGCTTCGTAATAAAGCCCATCATCACTCTTTTCGTACGTTTCGTTGCTATGATCCAGTAGCAGTCTCCTGGCTCGTGCCATACTACATGTAAAAAAACAACACAATCAGTCCAATCAATGCGCTAGATACTTCAGACAGCAACGCCAACTACTCTGACAACATACACACGCAATGATTTCCACAGCGCTCTAAGACTGAGAGTCATGTACAAGAGTACAACCACCACAACAATCACGTGCATCCAGACAAAAGTTTGTCTAGTCATCGCCCAAAATGAACGCGGATGCATGCTGACGCAGCGCAATACTTCGCTGTCCTCCAACTGAACATGAATTCGAGCGCTTTCAATTACTTGAAAACCCACATTCACGTGCCACTCAAAACACTCCTCGTAGAAATGTCCAAACTGGCGGTCACGCAAAGGAAACGAGAACTTGACAAATTGAAGTGACCGAATCAAATGTTTTTGCTGCCACGAAGTCATTTTCGAATCAAAGGGCCCTATATTCTCGTCGTCCTCCGCGACAAGGTATTCACGCATTTCCATCTCGCCATGAGGTAGGATAAGACCGACAGTCAGCTTTACTGGCTGAATATGACCCGAGTACGTGCGCAAATATTCGTAATTCGCGACAGACGTGATGCCAATGGAAAAATAGGAATCACGTAAATAACGCACCGCTGTCATTGTACGATTGATCGTATACAAGTCCCGTTGAAATCGAGGTCTGATCAGCAAACAATATACAACTTGCAGTGAGCATACAGATATTAAATGCATTAGGCTAAAATATTCAGTACACACACGACGCCGTTATCTGCGGTTGGAGGAAGAAAGAAGAACGCCCTATACCAACGAAATACGTCTATCAGATGCCCTTCACTTCTTCAGACAATGCAGCTAGACGTACCAATTGCGGTGCGAAGCACGTATGTACGCAGCATTTTGAGCGTCAAATAACTGCATCTGAGCAAATGTAAGTAGTATTAAAGCCATATGCATCATCAACTTATACGGAAAGCGACCGTAATTCACCCATTTTTCCCAGGGCGATAGTATTAGTCGCTCAATTGAAGTCATTGAAGATGGATCCTTCGGTTGTTTTGGATTTGGTTTGTTCTTTAATTCGTTCTCATCGTTTTCATCGTCCGACGACGATGATGATGTTAATAACAATTCACGCCGCACTTCTGCTTCAAGCTCTTCATTTAAGGCGTTCATGAAATTTTTCATGCAAAATTCTGAAAAATAGAGCTTCACATTTTTTGACAATTCCTTAAAACCTCTGGATTTGCATGAATTATTAGGTTGAACAGCTGACGTAAGCAACTGTTTATTTCTGACAGAACCAAAAATGCCCAAAGAAATGATTAACTTGCTTCATGTCGGTAGACCGAATGTAGCAACAGTATTTCTAGCAGTATTAACGCATGAAATGAAATGGAAGAAAGTAAATACAATGGAACATCAATTGAGGAGTAAAGAAAATGAAGTGAAGGGGAAAAAATCTGTTGGTGGAGATGAGATAATTATGGACGAGGAAGTAGTAGACGGTAAGCTTGAGGATGCAAAGTCTGTTAACGTCATTGATGTGACGAAAAGAGATGATGTAAAAGACGTAGTGATAGTGCCGTTAAATCCAAAAAATGATGATGCTGCTTTCAAAACGGTACCAATGGAGAAGAAAGGAGAAAAAGCGGTTATTGATGCAACAAATCCACTGGAAGGACTGGCAACTGATTTAAACAATGTGACTGAGAGTAGCAAAAATGACAAATTTAATCTCACGCAGGTGGTTACAGCGCCGCTTTCCTCGACTATGGATTCAGCAATGACGGAGGTACCTACTCAGACCATAGAACCTTCTATGACAGTGATCGCGACGATTAAACCATCTTTACGCACAAAAGAACCTGCAGTAATTTCTGACACTGTAACGAACAATGGTGAGAGAATGCAATTAAATGGATACATCAATCAAGGAAACAATCCACTGGTATTTGCAGCACTAGCAGGCATATGCTGCATTTTTTTGTTTGTCTGGGGACGTAAAAGGCGATCAAATGCAACCTCTAGCTCTAGTACAATTGAAGGCAAAAGCCCCAATGGGTTTGACGTAAAGTACTCAAAAGTACCAGATGAGCAACCAGTAACCCATAGCCAGGAAAACGAAACCGAGTACTATGATGATTATGAGGAGGATACTTTTACGAATGGTCGGGATAATTGGGATGACTGGGAAGATGACTCTACTCAAACACAGCTGAATCCTTTTGCTACAGTACCCGGTGCTTTGCGTCAGATGACACTTCGCCAGAGCAGCCTCAATCCTTTTCATCTCGAGCAGACGTTGCCTCCTCTACCAAAGAAGCACGTGCAACTTCCGAAACGTTTTGCTACCGTTAAAGATGACGTGCTACTTTCAAGTGTCGAATCCAATAGCTCAAGTGACTCTTTTGAGGTCGTAACAGATGAGGTCGATGCACCACCAACAAGCAGCCGCAGTGCTGCCACTGACGCCGAGAAGGAAAGTGAGAGCGACGATGACTTGTTCAGTGTGCGTGTTCGTTAAGATGTTATGCTGCCCTTCCTGCGACTTGAACTGACGTACAATTTTCTGCGTGCAGCAATTTGGTATGGTCATGAAATTCAAGAAAAGTGTTAGAGTTCCACCTTCGTCTGCAGCTTCTAGCACCGCTCTGATTTGTGAACCTGGAGCAAAAGCAGCTGCCCCTTCCATGCTATCCTCGCTTACTGCCGCAGAAGCGTCTGCATTGTTTGCAGCTGAGATGGATGATGAACTTACTGGCGTGGACGTCGCCGACGAGTGGGGTGAAGACGATGAGTGGGTAAAGCGTATTTGATCGCTTTGCCATCGATAAGTGTTGGGAAAGTATAAGTAACAGCAAACATTTATTTTGAAATCCTTTTGTTGGTGGACACGAAAAAAGGCATGACTACAGCAGGGCGTACGAAGTAGTTAATCGCTGCTCAGTTACCGCTTAAACTTGCCGCAATGCTGCTGGACAAAACTGAGGGGACGACTGTCATCGCTTATTTCATATAACCCACCCGACATAGGAGTGTCCGTACCAATTTGGTGCTGCTGGAGTAGAACCAGCTCGCTTGTTGCAGATTTAGTAGGGTCAATAAACCGCGTTGCGCCGTAAATATCTAGCCTACCACCACTTATGGTGCTCTCGCGATGAGCATATCCAGGGACAAGTTCTGGCGGGCCTACCCACAGCTTGCCTAAAATTCCCCGTCGCCATCCCACAATTACCAATACACCAAGTGTACAGGGTACTAGATACATCAATGCTGGCTGGCCATTGCCTGAGGTCACGACGCCGATATTAGCGAGGAGTAGACCAACTGTGTAACCCCATATTAGCAAACAGAATAGCCCACGCCGGCATGGATAGTGCCTTTTTGTGCCAAGCTCTGCTCCTATCATGTCCAAATCGGCGTCATCTCCATGTGTCGTTGCTAGCGAGCCGTCCAAGACATGACATACCGGGCGTTGGTCAAATGCTTTGCCATGCGGAGGCACTAAACGCCCAAATAGCTGACCACGTGTAGCATAGTCGTATCGTGCACAGAATACTAGCAGCAAACCAGGTAGCACGATGTCGCCAAGGCCCAAAAGTGAAGATCCTGCTCTCCAGTCCAGCACCTTCGGAACTCGAAGTAAAATCGGCATCAATTCACCGTGACAATCATGTTTTGTATCAGCAGGATAGCGTAGACAGTACCCACTTGATACACCACCAGTGGCAGTGCTTTGTGCACCGCCTGTGGCTACCTTAATCATGACGCTTTTGTTGAATATATACGGTGAAATGAACACCATAAAAATGTCGTACAAAAAGGCCAGGACAAGCAGCACCGAGGCCACCTTCACATTAGGTAACCGAGCACTTCGCAAAAACACAAGGCAAAAGCATACACCAAAAATATCCTGAAAAATCCACGAATACGAATGAAAGCGAACAAGAAACCAAAGGAGCACAATTCCACACGATAATACCAGCGCAAGCAAATTTCCAATGCTCCACGTCGCAGGCACCAGTATACGATCCCATTGCCATAAGACATCCCGCCACGGTAGCTTATGCAAGATTTTTATCGGAAAACGTCGCATAAGGGGCGCCCATATAATCTGAAAGGTAGCGAACACGGCTCCAATTCCAAAGATTATCACAACCACAATCACCAAATTTACAAAAAATAGCAAAAACAAAATACCCGAACCAAGCACCAAAAATGCGAGCGCGTGCCAGGATTTCAAATCAAAATGCTCCTGTTCTGGAACCTGTTCGTCGTGCTCCTCATACGCCACTCGAGCTAGAGCGATAGCATCTGAAGAGGTAACATCAGCAGCGATAAGTGCGGCCTTAAGCTGAGCCTTAGTTCGTTCATAGGCTGCACCCTTGTAAGACCCAATCAGCACTGTTGCACAAGCAACAATCCACAGAATGACCTGAGAAGGATCGACGAGAGGCGGATCGCGCTCGTACACAGATATCAACAGTTGACCGTCCTTGTCCTCGCTTCTAGACGCCAACATCCTTTTTAGCGAATCACCGTCAGCAATGGAGATTCGTACAACAACAATGCCGCTCACGCTACTCTTGTCTGTAACAACGTTCGATGTGTTGAAGCCCATGAGATCAGGAATATCCCACACGCAGCATACCTGCTTGTTCGCACCACCTGACGGCGTGCACATGTGCGATGAGCACCTGCTGCTACCCGCGCAAGATCGCACACCCGTGTCCTCTGCCCATACAGAGGAAGTAAAGTCATTAATTTCTACATTTGAGTCAAGGTTGCCTGAACCACGCGAGCAGCTATACTCCATTTGCTTATCTTCTTTAGAAGTACCAGCGGCACTGACGCGATTGTGAAGCTGTTCCCGAGTATCTGTTACAATAAGAATAGCAGCCCCTAATTCCTGTGCGTAAAACGCTTTTTCTGCAAAAGTACAACCGCTTCGATCCACTAGCAGCACAAAGGGCTCGTCAGGCAGTCCAAGCAGGGCTGCACTACTAGTGCCTGACAAATTGAAAGACACAGAGACATTACCACTAGTGCTATGATTGAGCAATGTCTCCTTTGATGTGCAGCCGAATCCATCACCCAGCCCCGTTGCATTATACACTAACGGATAAAAAGCGTGTCTTTCACCGTCGCTAAGCTTCTGGGCCTCCAGCGACGCACCCCAGTTCTCCTCGGCAGCGCTGGACGCGTAAAACACAGCCTCTGACTTCTTAACCTTCACAACGGCCGATAAAATCGAGTCCGCTGGGTTTTTGGCCACACATAGCGCCGCTGCTATGCCAACTAGTAGCAGCAGCAACGCGCGAACGAAAAGCCGCATTAGAGATGAATGATATACAAGAAGACTTTTCACTACTAAAGACTTTACACGGCACTTGCTCCCTTTAGAATGTATTATTTATCCATAGAGTACGTAAATGTATGTATGATATATATAGTATGTCTGACAATACTGGATCAAATAATCAAGTACAACATATATATGTACAGTCTCTCCGACCTGTACACCTAAAGTTAGCAAGTTCAGCACAACAAGAGGGAATATTATTATCACCCATACGACTGTTTTTGGATGCTGACTGGATATAGAAGAGACACGTTTAAGAAAAAGAGTGTTTTTGAGTGAACACAATAATAACAGACAATCTCCATCTAGTTTTTGTATGACTGTATTTGCTCTAATACTTCATAAACTTTAATAAAAATAAACCTGTGTCATTTGATAAAACAATTTTCTTACATTCCAATATTTATATTTCTAACTTCGTACAATCGCAATTTTTGTGGCCATTTGATCGGAGCCCACAGTGCGCAACAGAGTAATCCGCATTCACTTTCCTGCCATTCTTATCCTTAAATTACCGCGAATGGATCCACATATTGTAAATACGATGAGCACACAGAGTAATATTGCAATACCTTCATCGATGGAAATGACCAGTTTAAACGGTGGCATTACGCAGTCGACAGCCATGGACATCAATGGGGGCATGACAATGAATGCCTACGGTGTCCCTCAGCAGCAGCAGCACCAATATCATCACCAACAACATAATAAGCAAGAGCAACAACAGCAAATGATGATGAACATGGGACAGATGAACCCGATGAATATGGGATCCATAGCCATAAAGGTAAACTCGAACGCCATGAATCCAGTCGTGCCGTCATCGGCGACCATGAGTCCAGGAATGCAGACTGTGGGAGCACAGAGATCCGATGCAAACTGGCGTATCCAGCTCACCCGCGAACACCGTGCGAATCTCATTGCAAAGATGTATGAAAGGCAAACTGTTTTTTCGTGTAATCTTGTCAGTTTTTTGCTGACTGATTGTTGTTGTTTATGTTCAGCTATAACGAGATGGTACGTGTGTCTGCTGACCCCGAGCCTGGCATCAAGCTCTGGATGAATGTTTCATGGTACGAGCTGACACTCTACAAGGAGTCACGCACACAGGAGGAGTATATTAACAAAATTTTCACTCGTCTCAAGTCACTACGTGCGCAGCAAACGGACATGAACGCGGTCATGGCGGCGCAGACATTACCAAACCAGGGTATGCTGTCGAGACTTGACTTTTCCTACTACAACACACATAACATAAGCCAGCGCACAAGCTTTTCTTGTACGAACGGTAGTCAGGCTGGAGGTTTTCCAGGACACGCACGATTTGGTGGACCGGCTGCTCACTCTGGAATTCAACAGCCTCAGACTCGTCCGGGCAAAGCAATAGTGGCAGGTGCGGTAGACATGCCCACAAATCCGGCGGGGTTTAATGGCGCGAGTAACACGCCACAGGCGGATAAGTCTGAGGGTGCAATTACCGTCGAAACACCAGCGGAGTATTGGCGGCAGCACGCAGCGCTAAAGTCGAAGTATCACGATGATGTAGAAAAGGTGCACAGCGCGTTTAAGAAGTACGTAGATCATATGACGGGTCACGACGAGACCGAGCAGAAGAAAAAGCTACGGTACCTACTGAGCTACGTGCAGCTCTGTGTGAATATTCTAAATGAGGACAAGACGACACATGCGCCGCGCAAAATCGAAGAGCTAGACAAGGTGTACAAGTACATTGTAAAGATTGTGAACCCGTATTTAAAAAAGCTGCGTACGGAAACGGACAAACGCAGCTTCACTCCCAACGCCAACGGCAACTCTGCTGGTACGAATCCCTCGACGGTAACAAGCCCAACATCCTGCCCTCCTGCAAGCGCTGATACTGCTATAGCATCGTCGAGTGAATTGAATGGTGCAATGCACCTGCATCGGCAACAGCTAGGTCAGCCCCAGCCGCTGCAGAGCTTGTCGTTGCAGCAAAAGCAGCAGCAGCACCTCGTGCAGCAGCGCGCTCAGCAGATGCAACAGCAACAACAAAGAATGCAGGCGCAAGCGCGTCAACAGCAGATGCTGCAACAACAGCACATGGTGCAACAGCAAAAGGGCGCGGCTAAGCAAAATCAAGCCCATTTGTCCGCTCAACAGGCCATTCAAGCAAATATGCAGAAACAACAGCAGAACGGTCAGTCTCCATCAAACCCGCAACAAAACCAAAAGCAACACCAGCTAGCTCAGCAAGCTTCAAATGGGCAGCAACAATCTGCACAGTCCCAGCAGCCCACTTTTCTGCAGTCTCAGCCCCCTCGCCAGTCATCGCAGTCTGCACGACATACGATGCAACAGCAGACTCATTCTCAGCAGCATAAGATCCAGCCACTACAGCAGCAGAAACATGCCCCATCATCAGCACCAACATCCCGAACCGAAGTTTCCTCTTTGAGACGATTGGACGACCCGGTCTACGGAGGAATGGATAGCAACAGTTTGCTATTGATGCCGTCGACTTTGGGACCCTCGGGCTCCTCATCGGGTTTTACGAACTACCCGAATGATCTGTCGCCAACAAATTTTTTGAGCATGGATCTGCTCGACATGGAAGGCTTTATAGGTCATGATGGGACCAGCTCTGGTTCCGGAGCCTCTGGACAAAATAACATTAATGGTGTTGTTGGGAATAACACAAGCTCTGGCGATGGTGGCGACTCGGACCTTATGTTTATGGAAGCACTTTGAATTAAATAGTTCAAAGTGAGTGTTGCTATATGTGTAATAGTGTTTGCGAATGCAATTGCTCTTTGACAAGCATCCGGTGCAAAGTTGCAACTTTTCCCAGCTACAAGAGGGAGCGATCTTATTCTGTCGGTATCGAGAGCAAAGCCGGTTCCAAAGTTGTGCTTTGCTGATATTTCGACACTGCAACAATCTTGATGCGAATATAAAACTTGGGGTCTGAAAGCAGTACTAGCTACAATTAGATGCATCAGTAGTTCTAATTTATGCACGAAGCACCAAAAAATAGGGATTTCATTTAAAATATGTGCACTATATGGTAATTTTCTTTATATAACATGCGCTAAAAGTAGCCCGTCTTTGTTCTTTCGACGCCAGAAAGCACAGCCGTACTTGCGGTCACTCACTACCACAAGTGGTCGTTCTCTCCCTACTGTCGACGGCAACTAGTTCCGTACCACGGCGGCATTATCATTTTATCTTACTCAGACCTTACGTAGTGTGTAAGTTATTAAATTAAATTACAACCTTTTGAGACCCATGACAAATAGAAATACGAATCGATTACTAAAGCACACTAGCAGTACGCAAAGCATGTCCAGTGCGCTGTCATTACAGACAACACCGCTTACAAGTGCTACGCTTTCCCTTGCTGTTGAAGAGGATTTGGAGTCACAGGCGCGCGCATCTCTCAGTCTTTTTGGCTTTGGCTCGCAGGATTCGATGAACTGGAGCCCTGTTAGCACCAGTGCGGCAGCTATGGCCGCATCTACCATTGAGAACCCAGGAACAGCCGGTGCAATCAAGGTCCGCCTCATGGAGCGCGTGTGCCCTATTGGCACTAATGCCTTTCTCTGGAACACGATGAACTCGCTAGCTAACGGTGGTGAAGGAAATGACGACCTGGCAATTGGCACTGCAGACTCAGCGGTAGCGAACGGCAATGGGAACAATGACGTTATTGGAAGTGGCTTATTGGAAAGCGATGCGTCGGATCGGGATGTCGCGTCGGCAGGAGTGGGCAATATGTTCGCGTCAAAAGTCTTGCAGCAATATCTCGTAAAGTGTGTGGCTCTTTTGCCCTCGTCGATTGAGGAGACGGTGGATCTACTCGTGCGTTCAGACAGACAAGATATGGAGCTGCCTATGCAGCACCTCGTAGGAGCTCGCACGAGTTCATCAGCCTTTATCTACCGCCGCTTGAAGAAGCGTTTGCGTCGCAGCAACGGTACTAGTGGTGAAGGCGTTTCCCAGCGTATGACGTCCCAGACATCAACTCAAGATTGCGACAGTGAGTCATCGTATTCAGACTCTGATTTGGAAGTCGTAGACGATGTGCAGCCTTTTACATGTGTTAGCCAAGAATCCACAACTGGACGCGCCCGAAGCACACGATGTGAATTTCCTGATGTTGATCGATCAGGAAGTACTGGAGCGAGGTCGGAGCTTTATTTGTCGTCTACAAATATGGAAGATTACCGTGCAGCAATGGCAACTTCGGGTCATCAGGGAAACCTCAGTATCAAATGGGTCGTTGGTGAAAAGTCTAGCCGTATGTTTGCTACGCGGACCACGTACTGCCTGTTGGATTATGAGTGCATTCTGGTGAACGACTGGGAAGAAAATGCGGATCCATCACCAATGTTCGTGCGTACGCTGCAGTCATGCTATAGCTCGCACTGTCAACCGTGGCTGGACGAGGTAGGCTCTAAACCTACGGACCTTCAGCCCACAGGTTTTATGGTTCGCCAAGCCCGCAATCATGATGGATATGTTGAGATTCAGTTTGTGACTTCAATTTTGGAAAAAGCGCAGTTGCCTATGGCATCTCGGAGAGCAAAGCTGCGAGCATTGTGCGCTAAAATTGCACGACTGGAAGAGGTTCTTACTAGTCGGCGTTTATCGCAGTCCTTGCTTGTGAAAGCACCACATTGGGTACACAATTCTGAACGGTTGGGATGCCGTATTTGCGATGCAAAGTTTGGTTTGTCACGTCGTCGTCATCACTGTCGTCTATGTGGTGAAATTTGTTGCTCAGAGTGCTGCCCTAAAATGGACGTCGCGCTTCCTGAAGTGGGATCTACAAGTGTACGTGTATGCATCGGATGTGTACAGAAACGCAAAAAGAGTTGTGAATTAGTAGCGTCTTCGTCTAGTGCCCCGACTAGGGTATCTACTTTGTCACCGATAAGAGGTGTCTGTGTAGCTACTCCACCACCAACCGGATACGCCACGCTACGCTCGGTTTCGTCATCGCCACCCGAGTGTTACTTATCTTCTTCTTCAAGCTACAGCTACGCAAGCAGCTTTACCAAGGCCAGCAGCAGCTTAGGTGAGCGTAAACATTCATTGGCGTCGTCGGTTTTTCAAAAAATGAAGAGTAGTTCGATAAGCTAAGTTCCTGATACAAGACACGCATACGCTGTAAGTAATCCATCTAGTTATACCTCATCCCAGGACAGTGCATGACTTGCAATGAGCCGAGCAACATTACATTCGTCTATGATGCAGAGATTAAGAAAAATTGGCCTTCAACAATAATACATACTTGTCTAACTGTACACTTTGGATTTTAGACACCCCTTGTCCACTATGAAACTGTACCAATGTACCCAAATTACAGCCACATCAAAATGTTGTGGCATTGTGTTTGCACAATAGCAAAGTTAAGAGTCGGCTTCATTTGAATTGATTATACATGTATACATCCTGGTCGGGTTGGTAACGCCCTCCCGGAAGGCTTGGGCTAGCTGATGCTAGCTCCGGCCTCCGACGGGTGCTTTGCGGCATCTATCAGTTTGGACGTGATTTCTCTCCCTTTACACACCTCTCTCTTGCCACTCTCCCCCTAGGCGCCAGCCAAGCCGCTAAGATATACGCCGCCACGCCCGAAGTCTCGGCATCTCCGCTTACGTACGCTCGCGTCATTCTTGTTCACGGTGCTAGCAACGAGAACACTCCCTGGGCCCTGTTGACAAGATAGACATCCAAGGGACTAAGCAAGAAACCACGCTGGACACCGCCGTCGACAGCCCCAAACCTGTACCTCCTTTGCCAATGTGCACAGGATCGTGCAGTCTGGACGGCCTTCAGCGCGGCGCTTAAAGCGCGCACCGCTTAGCAGACCCTGGCGAGAGTAGAGAGAAATGTAGAGAAAAAGAGATAACCTGACGCATGCGGAAGTCAAGCCACTTCGGTGGCGAGACGGCTCGCGTAACGCGTTGACATACATACATACATACAATCCATCCATACATACATACATATATACATTTGACATAGAAATCAATGCTCTGGAATGAAACTTTCAGCCTACAACTATTAAAAAGTATTGAAGACTGCTTCAAATTAAGCAACAATTGTATTTGTTTACGGCGCATCTCTTTTTCTCTTTAGTCGAATAAGCAATACGAAAAGTAGACGAGCGCTTAAAGCTATCGAGCACACACCATCTGGCACGAGCAATGTCGGCTTTTCGAAATCTAAATGATATATTCTTGAAAGACATAGTCAGACCCGTTATTCAAGTAGAATCAAGCCTCAAGCGGCAAGGCTTTCGTTGTAAACTCCGTCGTAGGCATCTTCCGTGCTCATAAAAGAGTACTGGTCCTCAAGCGACAAAGTCAGATTGAACGCGGGCATCTTATCGACGCACGACTTATCAAGAAGCTCCAAATTGCCGTCGTTAGCAACATATGACACCAGTAGATTCATGCCGCACGTTTCATCGCTGCCTTGGCTTAGTGGAGTAGACTGTATGATTCTATGAGTAGCATACTCAAACGTAACCAACTCTTTTTTGTCACCATCAGTGCTTCCATCAAATACTCAGCAGATTTGTAATGTGTCTGCGTGTCTAGTTTACCGCTCATCAATAGGACACTGGCCTGGGTAGGAATCTTTGCACTTACATTCCAATACTTGTCTACCTCGTACAAAATGCCATTAGCAGAGTAGTTTCCGACACTTTGTTGGTCGCATGCAGCTTATTGTTCTTTCGAGAAAGCACAGTAGAGCGATACAGCTGACATCGCATATCCACCCGATATTTTCTGACTCGTGAACCGCGAGGTCAACTCTGAGACTGATGGTGTTAGTTTTTTCCATTTCTCAGAAATAATGATGAGCTGGTAAAGTACACCCGATTCAAACGCACTGTCGTCACTTATTGACCCCGGGCTCGAATACAAACTTGTGAGAACATGTGTCAAAACCTTAATATCTTCAAGTCTGCAATTTTTAAGTCTGTAGACAAAAGGAGGGATTAACTTGCGGTCGTAAGCATCATTCCCAAAGTCATCCTTAAATTATGCGAGGCCGGCATACTATCCTTGTCATCAGACGTTAAGAGAGCGGCACACGTCGACTTAGGGTCATCATCAAACTCTGTAATTAACTCTTGAAGAGTGTCTGCAAGACTTTTCGATTTAAAGTGCTTGCTGCACTCGCGTGTTGTTGCGCAAAGTGTCATAAATGCATCACCTACGTCTCCGATTTGAATGTCGATTAGTGAAGCGTAAAACATTTGTCTCAAGGTGCTCCTGAAGTAGTGGCAATACCATCCAGAACATATCCCGTCACTTCGGAACAATTAAGATGCATTAAACGTTCCACAAGCGCAGTGCCATAACTCCCACTGTACACGATGGTATTTGTACCATTTGTGTAGTCTGAAATGAAAGTTGCTACATCCATTGCAGCGCTTGTGATAGAAAATGACAAAAGGCTTTCGTATTTCCTTTGCACAGCTTGAGCACATGCAGGGACTTTCAATGGGTCGATCTCTTCATTCACACCCACTTGTGCTACGACGCAATCCAGCAATGTACTGGGGCCAGTTCCACGGTGGTCGATAGTATAGACGTTCACCGCTCCATTCAATCGAGAATGCAAATCATCCATACAAAATTCCACTGCAAGACAAACAATTAGAATATACAAGGACCAAAGTAGCAAGTCAAGTACGTTTTACAAGAAATTGATGACAAACCTGGACCACCTTGCACCAGCCAGACATTTCGTGCAGTTTCTGGGTCGCTTACAGCAGGTATTCGCTTCACAAAAATGTCGACGGTGGGGTTCACACAGTCGGGTACCTCGCAAATGCCAGGATAACAAAGTGGCGCACTAAATACAGCGCACTCGGCATCATGACCATCGGAGCTTCCGTCTGCAGCAAAGGTGTACTTTGCACAGGTATAATATCCGTTCAAACCGCCTTGAAAGGAGATATTTAATGCATCGGACACTTGAGCGGCCACCACCACCAGCGAGATGGCATAATACAGTTTCATTTTGGTGTCAAATTATAAGCGGCGAGAAAATTCGAGCAAGCCTTGTGACCAGCATTTGTATTTCAATCGCACAAATGTCGTCCGTTTGCGTTGCTACCTCAAATTTGGGACGTTTGACCGTGTTTTTATACAAATTGATATTATAGACAGCAGCAATATCACTCCATATGCTTCCAAAGATACAAGCGAGCTTTGGCACATCTGGTGCTTAGCACTGAATCTTTTTGATTATACAACAACAGTGTGCTTGCAGTGCTGCACGACTCTTTCCCCTGCTCTGTCTTATTCGCTTGCATTATACCCAGCGCAAAAAAGGCCAAGACCGACACAACTTTTTCAGTCTGGAACACATGATGTGACGACCATTCGCTTGCATTGCTGCACGACTCTTGCAGTCGCACTGTCGTTTTTGTCCGCTTTCTTCTCGGCAAGAGTTGTGCCAAGACTGGCCAAAATATTCAGTGTTGGGCCCAAAACAGGAGTTACATTGCTGCCTTTTTGAGTACAAGAGGTCACGTATACACAGTGCGAGCATGCAAAGCTAGAGTCGAACAGGATCGTAATGTCCAAACGTCGTGAAGACTTTTCAATGGTGGGCACATAATCTGCCAAGCTAGGCAAAACAATTTGTTATAGCACTTTTGTCGGTACCTCTTCTCATAATTTACCAAATATACTCTAATGAAGCGTGCGGCATGAATCTACTGGTATCATACGTGACTAATGAAGACATTTGAAGCTTCTTATACTATCTTGCGTCGATGAGATGCCCACGTCCAATCTGACGTTGTCGCTTGAGCTCTTCAGTACTCTTTCCTGAGCACGGACGATGTCTACGGCGGATTTACAATGTAGGTTATTAAGTACAGATCGCCGTTGGCCTTCGTAAAACTTAAAGTTGACCTGTCTATTCATTTCACACTGACAGCACTTGCCACTGCAATTCGATGGATGCGTCGCGGCAGTGAAGCTGACAAAGACGGAGGATAAGCATCTGCACTTTTTTTCGGTTTTGAAGAAACACTATCTAGCTTTTATCTACACGCAGGGCCCCGAGCGGTGAAGGGACGGAGAGAATCACGCGGCCACAACTTTTTTCATCCGGTGCCGCTAGGCAATGGTAGGCTGCCACAGCAGCGTGAATACGGGCCTAACGTATCTGGTCGAGGGACGGCAATATATCGGAGCTCCCGCATGACTTAATCGGCAATATATTGGAGTTCCCACACGACTTCGCACATGAGCAACCCGGATTCGTACGCAGAAGTTGTATCGTTTGTGATCAATTCGGCGTCCCAGATGACGAGAAACGAAATGGGCCAAACTGTTTGAGATGGACGTGGGTGCAGCCAGCGATCGGGACCCATGCAGGCAGCTACAGCTGTACAACCCTCGCGCGCGTATCCTTACTCCAGTGGCATCCACCGGTCGATGGAAGAGTTGTGTAGCACTAGAGATCCGTCGTCAGCTAATTAGGTATTATAGCGGGTGAGCCTTCTCTTCCGGTGTTTTTTCGCATGATAGCGGGGAGGATTCCAACTCTCTGGAATGCTGGACCTCGCTCACCCGTGCACATCAAATTATATAAGCGAAAAATGAGCCGATTGGGCGAATAATGCAAACTACGTGCCATAAGGGGAGGATCATGTGACAGAGTGTGTCATCCATTTGGCAAGGAGAGACATCCACGGACCACAAGCCGCATGACCGGTCTTTTAACGGCATCACGAGTCGTTCTGGCAAGCAGCGGCTCAAGTTTTCCCCCGCTAAAGCGTAGTAACACCGATGAATGAATATGCGCGGCTAGACAATCGTCAACTTATCTTCTTCATATGGTGCAAGATTTTGTACCTTTGGTTATACTAAGCCCGAAGCATGGATGGTCACCTCATGACAAGACTTCTTACTAGCGCAGAATGCGCCGACCGCGGCAGGGCTCCCGAAAATTGACGCGCACGTGGTTGGACGGTTGAATCGCCAAACAATCCTCACGCCCTGCACCGCATAACGACTCCTCACCCACCGATGATCGTGATATCTGGCGTCTGCTGCGCACTTTCACCTACGAGAGTGATACCGTTACAAACAATTCGATGTTCCGAA